TTATAAATAAGGTAGAAATAAGTTCCTCACGCTGATAAATAATAACTAATCTCTCTGAGGACACGGTGCTAGTGCACGCTCCTACAGCACCTTGACACGACTCAATAAATGTTATGCAACATTTTGTGAACATCAATTTATTTGCATTTACTTGTTATAATTTATTTGTATATTTCTTGCTGTCAGTATTTGCAAGACATTGGTATTTGGTTAGGGTTAGGTATTTGGTCACGGATCATCTTGTTTCTTATTTTTGTCCTGATTGTGCCCTGAGCAGTTTTATGACTGAATAAAAACAAATAAAATCAACATAAATTGAAAAATCGTCCTAAATAATCGTGATCTCAATTTCAGTCACCATAATCGTGATTATTATTTTTGCCATAATCGAGCAGCCCTACTTGACACGACTCAATAAATGTTATGTAACATTTTGTGAACATCAGTTTATTTGCATTTATTTGTTATAAATGCCACTCTATAATTCTTGCTGTCAGTATTTGCAAGATATTGGTATTTGGGTCTGTACTGGTTAGACTTACATGAGTTAAACCAAGGTCTATAGCCCTTGGGTCATAGACTATGAGCTATAAGTATATTGGTCCTTTTATCCTGGGAATCAGGAGTTCTTTTAGTGATCATCTTGTTTCTTATTTTTGTCCTGATTGTGCCCTGAGCAGTTTTATGACTGAATAAAAACAAATAAAATCAACATAAATTGAAAAATCGTCCTAAATAATCGTGATCTCAATTTCAGTCACCATAATCGTGATTATTATTTTTGCCATAATCGAGCAGCCCTACCTGAGGAAGGTGGAATAGGTGGGGAGAGCAGAATAAAGAGAGAGAGGTGAAGAAGGTCATACAAAAGCCAGCTTCAACAAGTGAGTCTTCAGCTGCTTTTTAAAGGAGACCACTGAGTCCACTGATCTCAGGCTCAGGGGGAGAGAGGTCCAGAGTCTGGGGGCCACAGCAGCAAATGATCTGTCACCGTTGGTCTTTAGCCTGGTGCTGCACAACCAGTAGGCTTTGATCACTGGACCTCAGGGACCTGCTGGGGGTGTAGGGGCTAAGAAGATCACCAATGTAAGATGGTGCTTGTCCATGTAAGGCCCTATAGACCAGAACCAGGATCTTGAAATGAACCCTGAAGTTGACTGGCAGCCAGTGAAGCTGGAGGAGAAGCGGGGTGATGTGGGTGTGTTTGGAGGACTTGGTCAGAAGCCGAGCACAGGCGTTCTGAACCACCTGTAGACGGTTCAGGGAGGTTCTGCTCAGACACGTGAAAAGAGAGTTACAGTAGTCTAAGCGTGAGGAGATGAAGGTGTGGAGAACTGTCTCAAGTTCAGTGCGGGACAGAATGGAACTCAGCTTAGCAATGTTCCTGAGATGGAAGAAGGAAGAGCGAACAAGAGAACTGACATGAGAATCCAGGGTGAGAGCTGGGTCAAAGGTCACGCCAAGATTCCTGACAGAAGGTTTGGTGTGAGAAGCAAGCTGACCAAGAGAGTCTCTGACTTTGGGAACTAGCTTGTCTGGGGCACAGATGAGGTTGAAGCAAAGCTTGAAAACTGCTGCAAGCTGACTTTGTAAGAATGCTCATTAAGCTGTTGCAGAGCCGGTTACACTGGACGGCCACAGACTTGCAAATCACCCTCACACTGACCATTTTTTGTTACAATTCTCTTCACAATGAGGGATTTGTCTAGGAAGGCCAAAAAATGCAGTGTAGTCCGGGCTTCAGCAGTACAACAAATAACTTCTGGGTTGCTCCTGTTTACTGGCTAATATCCCATCACAAACTCTGGAGTTTTTGCCGGCCAGTGTTGAATAACAAATGCCAGTACAGACTCTGCTTCCCTGTGGGCTCACACAGGACCTGCCCAAGCCTTTGTGGGGCCCTGAGCAGGATTTCCTTGGAGGCCTTCATACCAACAAGTCAACAGCAGATGATTCATCATTCCTAGGCCACACTATGTGTGTACCATCCTATCATTAGCATAATTTGTAAGCAGCTTACGATTTTTAAAAAATGGCTTGTATTTGCGAAGCGCCTTCTTAGGGCTCTACAACCCCCCAAGGCACTTCACAACACAGTCATTCATTCACCCATACACACGCTGGTGGGGATGAGCTACGATGTAGCCACAGCTGTCCTGGGGCAAACTGACAGATCACATCACATCAGTGTTTTGATGGCTATTCATTTTAACTTTACAGGAGTAATGAATCAACAAAAATGCTTACTTTAGCATTTCCCAATGCAGTGTTGTTTAAATGTGGTATATTAATAAACATATTTCAAATATATTGGTTAAAGTTAGGGTTTCTGATAAACCGGCTATCAACTGTTAAGGGGCACCAATAGCCGGTTAAAGACATTTTGGAAAACGTGCATCCTTAGTAGAGCTGAAACGATTCCTCGAGTACCTCGAATAATTCGAGTACAAAAAATCCTCGAGTCAAATTCTCTGCCTCGAGGATTCGTTTAATTCATATTTAATTAATTTATGGCTTTGCAATCGCCCGGGGTCATGTTTCACCCGGACCGAAATAAGTGACGCACATGCCCACTGGACTGAATGCACACGCGAGTAGCGAATATAACTTAACTTTCTCTTAAGCCATGGCGGACAACTTTAACCCCGGTGGAGGGCGAAAAAGACAGAAAATGTCAAAGTTGTGGAACCATTTTTCACGTCGTAAGGTGGAAAACGTAGTCCAGTATAAATACAGTAAAATGGATTTAGCCTACCACAACACCACATCCTCCATGCTGCAGCACCTGTAAATGTCACTTCTGCAAGCGGACTCGGAGCCTCTACAAGATAATGCTTTTTAGCCTGTTTTTCTATATTTTCTGCGGACTCTGCGACTTTTTCGTTTGTAGCGCTCAGTTTCAGCTCACACCTTACATCTGGTAGCAACACGTCGGACTTAAAATGTGCTAAAAATAGCAGTTTTTACACAACACGTCGGACTTTTTATTGTGTTATTGATGTCTGTTGTCCCTCGGGGTTTCTGCAGGAGGACACGGGTATTTATGAGTGGCGGAGGAAAACGAAAGAAAGTAAATACATGTTTTGTGATCAGTATAATTTGACAAAACCACAGCAAACATGCTTTTGGCAATCCTTGTTTGTGTGAGAAAAAAAGTGTGGAAATTAAAACGGACGTGTGTTAATAGGGAAACAGCCGGCGAGCTGTTTGCGCCGTGAGCGGTTCTGGTTCTGTTTGGGCCGCAGCCGCTCGCAGCGTCATCCTCCTAGTTTTTGTCTGGCTTGCAGGCTAGCAGATTCTCGCACGAGGGGAAAATCGGCTCAGGTTTACTTATTTTTTGCACAGGCATTTGTTTACTGTGAAGTAAAGTTGAAGTGCTGAAGTAATGCAAACTAATTTTGAATAAAACTTGAATAACTGGCAATTGCTTGCTCATTTTAAGAGGTCTTTCATAATTATAACATGCTATTTGATATCAAATCAAATCACTTTTATTGTCACGTCACATGTGCAGGTACACTGGTACAGTACATGTGAGTGAAATTCTTGTGTGCGAGTTTCACAGCAATAGTTGTGCAAAAATACAGTAATGTAAAAACAAGTAAAATATAAAAATGGCTAATCTAAGTATACAAATGAATAAAGTAAACAATAAGATAAGAGATATAAAATGTACAGAGGTTGGTATGTGCAAAACAGTGGCATTAATGTACAGTATGGAGCGTGTAATGTTGGAACTTGGTGGAGCTCGCGACGAGGCAGCCATACTCGGCGCCATCTTGGCTCATCAATATATGATATAATGGTTTACAAACACAAAAGAGTAATTTATTAGAGTACTCGATTAATCGAAAAAAAGATTCGATAGAGTACTCGATTACAAAAATATTCGATAGCTGCAGCCCTAATCCTTAGCTCCTTTGCTGCCAGCGTTTCTCACCGTTTTTACTGTTTTTTTTAAAGAGTCACAGAATGTTGCGCCCTAGGGTGATGTCGACGCCAAAACTACCAACTCACCTCTTACATCAGGAAGAATCCGCGCGTTTTGAGCGTTATCCGTTCTTTCATAATCCGTTGTTGACTTGTGATCGGCAGAAGCTTTTCCGGTTCGCGCCTCACTTTTTTTTACAGCAGCGGCCCAAAACGATCTCCTACCACATGGATTTGCTGCTTCCTGATCATATGACGTGTGACGTATGCGGATAAAGATCGGCTTTAGAGCTGAGATGTTTGTTCTCACGGTGCGGGGGCTTGTTCCGACGCCCACACAGTAAAAACATGCAAATGACGTCTTTTGCCGTCACTGGCAGTGAATGAGTTAACAGAAAGTAATATTTAATTATTTTTCTGGGATTAGCATTATTTACTTTGTGTGGCACGGTGGAGAAACGAGGGCCCAGGCGGGATTCGATCCTCAGACTCCCGGGTGAGAGTCATACGCTCTAACCAGTCAGCCAAAGGGACATCCCACTGGCCAAGTAGCCAGGGCGCATGATCAATCAGGACACTGTGACAGGACACACACTGTCACATTTGTATTATTTAAAGTTATTAAAACATTATTTCAAGTCATCTGGGTGCTGTTTGGGGACCCCAAGCAGTCACCTTGTGCCGGCTCTGGGCTCACACATTTAAAAAAAGACTAATTCCCTCTTTGTCCATGTCAAATGGAGAAAAACTAACAGCCCCCAGCTGCCTGATTAGAAAATCTGTGTCAATGTAACCTTCCTTCAAGCATGATTGAGACATTAGACCGTTTGTCTGACACTGAAATGTTATTTACAACATTTAAGTGTGACAAAAAATAAAACACAGCAGAATGTGTAGGGGGGGGGGGCTCACCATCATAACTTTGTATAGCTTAACATATTTTTGTTATTTTTGTATTAAATATAGAGTTTTAACAGACTAAATGCCTTCTACAGTACCTTGACCTTTGGCCTAAACTTATAAAAGAGCTTATTTGGATGTATAAAACTTTATCAGAGCGGTAAACTCGCCTCCCGGATGGGTCTCTGCCTCTTGCTGCTCCTGCTCTCCCGGTTGCTCTTTTTGGCTTTCTTCTTCTTCTTTGACTTGGGTGCCTCTTCTGCGTCAGAGACAGCATCCTCCGGCTCGTCCTCATCTGTAAAGAGACACGGTTACCGGCAGAGTACAGACGGACAGAAAGCACCGCTGCTGCAGACCAGAGGGGAGGGAAGAAAAAAAACAAAAACAAGGAGACCGCGCGCGCGCCGTGGCACGACTGGCAAATGTCCGAGCACGCGCGCACACATACACAGCGTAAATGCCACAACAGCAGGTTGAAACTTGTAGTTGAAACTTTGACAGTTCACGCCCACCGTGGCGAGGACACGCTGGTGGGCTGGGTTACACGAAAACAAATTTAAAAATAAAAACAAAACTCCGAACACTCTGCTGTCCAAGTTAGCTAACTAATCTATCATGGCGAGTGACCCGAGCCGACTACTCCTCGCTAGCTTGGGCTAACGCTAGCATCGCGTTGAAGGCGAGCTCAAGTTACACAGAGATGGACCTTCTTCAGGAGGGGAGGAAAGCAGGCGAGCTTACCGTGAAGAAGTGAGTGCTCGTCATCGGCTCCAAAGTCCTCCCTCTCATCCTCGCTGCAAGACATGTTCCCAGCGTTTCTATTTGAATTCTTGGTGTCCGAATAAATCCTCCGTAAACCTTGCTCCTCGGTCAGCGAGGGAGGAGGGAAAATGACGTGGGACTGGTGGATAATGGACCGGGGGTGTCCAGGAAGGGAGAGGAGGCGGGGGGGGGGGGGGGGGGGGGTCTGGGTGCAAGAGAAAAAAATAAATAAAAATAACAATACATTGCACAGGCACGAAACTTCCTTGTTTGTTATTTACATGCCGTCCAATTATCCACCTGTCCTCTCAAGCAAGTTAAATTAAAAAGATTTTACCCGCTTTGACATTAACATTAGCTGATTTACAGGTAGAGAGCCCCACACGGGAGTAAAGTGTGGCTTTCAACGACAGCCTCAAAAGGAACCGCAAACGCGAGCCGTCTTGTCACTAGAGAAAAGTTTAAGCTTTGAAATTTCCACCGTCACACACTGGAAACTTACTGTACTGCGCGTGTAGTCCCGGCGTGAGGTGAGTTCTCCCTCGGTGCGAGAATCAACACAAATTAAACTGTTCCCGCTCCTGTTGTCGGCCTTTGGTGTCCATTCATTAATCCCTGTGTGGTATTAGCAGTAACAAGCAGTTCTTGTCTTAATGACCCGAAACACGCGGCTCCGTCCCCCACTTCTCCTTCCCCCCTACCTTAACAGGCAGCGCTTAGCTAACATCCTCACAAACACACAAAGGGGACAGGCATCCCATAATAATCCACCCCCCTCCCACACTCGCACAGGACTCTGCATAGTTACCTCGCAACGGACAGACCATAATACTCAGCCTGCCCCCACCCCCCTTCACCATTCGCGCGCACACGCGTACACTGCCAGTGCTAGGTGCTAGACATGCACTAGACTCATAGCATGCACACTCCTTCCCCTTTCCACTAGTAGTCCCACCCCCCCTTAGCAACCCCGTTGTCATGGTGACACCCCCCTCCCGCTCTCCATGACAGACCATAATACTCCAGCAGTGGCAGCATACATCCCATAATATGCAACACCTAAATAGACAAAAAGGTAAAAAAAAAAAAAAAACAGTCTGATGGTCTCTAGGGGAGCTGAAGTGAAGTCCTCTGGTGACAGACCATAATACTCACTGAGTGCCTAAAAGTAAAAACAGAAAGACTCCGGTGTTGCCCCTTTGTGGGGCTCAGACAGGTAGCCCACATACCAGCGGCGCGGTGCGCAGGTCACACAGGCCCGCTGAGCTGGAGCGTTTAACCAGACCCTGAAAGAGGCTGAGGCCTCCTGGTTCACCACTTCATCATCACAACCCGACTCCTCCAACTTACTCCATCAGCTCATGTATGATTTACTCCATCGGCAGCTCATGTATGATCAGGTATTCAGCTGCATCCCCGAGCAAGCAACACCTGTGCAGAGTGATGAATGGTTCTGGTTTTGACATTGGTTCATAAAAAACACACAAATGCAAATTAATTTTCCAAGTTTAGTTTGTAATCCAGTAAATTAGACTTGTGCCGCACCGCCTAACAAAACATTGTACAATGTTGTGAACATGACTAAAACATTCATATGTTTGGGTGCTCACGTTTGGGTGCTAACCTTCAACAGCTGCTCGGTAAACCAGCATTTTTTTACTTTTTGAGCCATCTTGTTGGAGTAAGATAAACTATTGAACAGATCCAAAGTAGAATTAAGGCCACATGTCCTTTAAATGCTAATGTGAGTTTATGTGCATTCATCTTTATACAAAATCAGTTTTGACACTCTTGGATGCCAAATGAATTATTTACATTTCTTCGCTACGTAATGTGGTAAAATAAGTTATTGTATCAGTTTCAATCTGTTTTGTTCGACAAAGGCAACGTTTTCTACTAATAAAGAATTTTACTTGTTTCCTCTTAAAAGCATTGAAGTTAGTTATTGTAATTTCTACAATTCTCAGATTCATCACCTTTAAATTTTATTTTCAACGTCCCATGCATTTTTCGAAACATATTGTTAAAACCTAGCTTTGTGTCCTTTTTTGGCAAATAAATAAAACGTATTTATGACGTAGTTGGTTCAGTGGCGCACCCGAGGGTGGCATGGGGGCCATGGATGGCCATACCTGATAAATTAATTTGTTGGCCCTCTCATAAAAGGTCCTCGCCCCTTAATAAATCACACAAATCAAACAATCATCCTCTTTAATCAAGACATGAATGTTAAAGCAAAAAAGGAAATTAATTTTACTAAATAATTTTATTTTATTTTAATAAATAATTCATTTGATAAATCACCTATATATATATATATATATATATATATATATATATATATATATATATATATATATATACATACATATATGTATGTATGTATGTATGTATGTATGTATGTATGTGTGTATGTATGTATGTATGTATGTATGTATGTATGTGTGTATGTATGTATGTATGTATGTATGTTTGTATGTATGTATATACACACACGTGTGCATGTCATTGAGGCTCACCATTTGCAAAAAAAATTGTGGATAATTTTGTTGAGAGAGCGTCAAGCAACTTGAAAAGCTTTTTTAAAATCCTAAAACAATACATTTTGAAAAAAAAACTGAAATTAATTTTTGAAATGTTGTTTTCTTTCATGTTTGTGTTTCTTATATTTGAGGTAAATGTTCTGGATACATAGGCCTTTTGTTTTTTGTTGAAATTGAATGAAGGAGCAATGCACAGCTACAGGCTAAACTCTCCCAGAGTTACCAGAGAGACCAATTTGGGGGGGACACCCCAAATTTTTTTCACTGGCCCCCACTATGAAAATTTCCTAGGCGCGCCACTGCTCTGGCTAACCCACTCTGACTTGAGAACTGGCTGCTTCTTGCTGCGATGCTAAACACCTTTCTGTTGGGTTTTATTGCCTTTGAGCTGAGTATTGTATTATTTAAGAGTCGTTTTGGGTTTATCTTTAGACAATTAGTTTAGAGCAGCAGCAGCAGTGCTGCTTTTCTCATATTTCCCTCCTGATACAGTAGATATGGAATCATTAACTTTTTCTGCAGCTGTTGTAGTTTTATTTGACCCTTAAATGGTCAGAAATGTATTCATAGACTGTGTGAACTGAAAACAGTACTTAAAACATGTGCAGCTTTTCTTTATTTATAGAGAAATAAGTTTTTTAGCATTAACAGTGAAAACAAAGACAACGAGAGCCAATGGGCCTTCCGCTCTACTCCAGTGACCACAATGCAGCACATATGAGTAGATCGCATAGCAACAAAGGCTGAAGTCTGGCTGTTTGTCTGTTACTGTTGCTTGAATGCCCCCACATCTATGCGTGTGCACATGGGTTCACGTGCAACACCGTCACCAACACCTCATCCAGATATCCGCTCCCTTCATCTTCGTCCCATGTGCACAGCTATCTTTCCAGCTCACACGGGCCGCACCTCCCAGCGCCGCCATATTTCCATAACATTCATGGGTCATCCATTCCCTATGCCCCCTCCCCCCATTTTGCACACAGATCACCTCCCACTCTGCCACCCCCACTTCCCTGCCTGACAACACCACCGCCCGCCATCCCATAATATTCATGCACACGCTCCACGCACATTCATACACAGCAGTGCATTCAGCCCTTTTGTTGGCAGAGAGGCCTGAGCAATGTGTGCGTGCTCATGCACAGCAATGCCTGATATGATTATTGCATTCACGCCGAAATCGCTGAGGCAGGTGGCCCTCAATTGGAGAGGAGGACCAAAGCAGAGGAAGTAGGAGCAAAGGTGATGGGTCACATTTCTGTATCCTCACAACAATGGAAGGGGGGGGGGTTTATGAAGTCCAGAGTCACCCTAAGGCAGCCTTCCTGAATGAGGCCAATCTTCAATTTCATGAGAAGCATAAGTGAATGAAGCAGAATGGGTTTGGATGTGACCCATCTACACAGCAGGCTCAATGTAACAGGGACTGCAAGCATCGCTCTGCAGCCTGGCTGCACTCAATCAGGGTGGAACCATTTCTGCACGATAAAACGTACACGAAACAGGAAAAGATTATGATTAATAAAGGGAAAGTTATTTACGAGAAGGGTGAAGAGATGAGCACAACAGAGGCGCCGGACGTGACAGTGGCCAGCTCATCACCATGGCGTTGCTGTGGGAGACAGCTGAAGACGTCACTTGGAGAAACAAGGGACACAAAAGGGGGACATGAGGAGGACTCAAAACAAAAGAAGGAGAGCCCAGAAGACAGACGCAGTCAAAGAAAAGCGTAAGAAATGAGGAAATAAAAAACTATATCGTGTCTCCAGTTAAGGCAAGCCAACAGGTCCCAGAAAAGGACAAACGAGGGTCTGCAGATGTTTAGTTTCACCATGACCCTATTGGATTTCAACAGGTGCACTGCTAAGATTTTAATTCAGTTTTATTGTGCATGGCGATAATTGCTTAATTTATTTTGTTTAAATATTAGTAGAATAAATTATAGATAAATATTCTCACATAGAAGTCACAAAAATGGATTTCCTCGTAATCCAGATGTGAACATAGAATGCTCAATTTTTCACACATTCTTCTGGGTGGATTTCCAGCAAAACCTGTGCAGATGGTGTTAAAATGGTCAAAATCAGAAGATAAAGGATCATTTTACAGAAGATGACAACTCACAAGCACTTTCAAACCATTAAAATTTAAGAATATTCAAGGATTCAAACTTGATATAAACACAAAAGCAACAATTCATGTGCTGAATAGTTTTTTTAAATGACGTTTAACAAAAAAATCAACAATGCCTTAATGCCTTAAAGATCTGTGATGGACCAGTAAACATAAAAAAGAATAAATTTTAACACATTAATTTACCTATTTGAATGTTTGCTGGTTATGATGCTAAAAACTGAGCGTTGTTCAGTGGTTAAAACAAACATGAGAGTTCAGCCTTTTCTGTTCTAATAACAAAATTCCTTTTATAGAGTACTTGGGAAGAGAAGGGCAAACCAAAATTCAGGAAAAGAGTATTATACTGTTTATATGAAGGGCGATGGTGTGTGAAATGTTGGAGAAACTTTACGTTATTATTAGTTAGTGAGCTTCTCATCCATACCCAATATCTCCATTTCCCTACCTTTCAGTTGTATTAAAACCTGCTTTGTATGATTATTGTTTCCAAAACATAGCAAAAGAATAACTAAAAAAAAACATAGGGGTGGGACTCAATTTAAAAATTAATCTAATTATTAGAGGCTTTGTGATTAATTAATCTTGATTAATCGCATTTTAAGCGCTCAAGACAATTTGCGCACAAGATATTTTTCTTTAATCAAAAATAGAGTTGAGTGAGGCACAGATGACATACACACACTTTAATGTGTATATTTCTGTAACTACAAAGTCTATTTGATTACTTTGGTCTCATTATAAACCACCGTGGGATTTGTAGCGATGTGTAAATATTAGTATATGCGTTACTGATGAAGTGTACATGGACATGGAATATTGTAGATGTTGTGTACTAAACTGAACACTAGGTGGCAGCAGAGCACTGCTAATATATATAGAGGTGTAGTGTAGAGTTCAGGGGAAGTTCTGCTGAGGGTTACAAGATAAATGCTGCATGTATGTTTGCCCCTTCTGCTGTAAAAAAGTTCACATGGATAAAGTTACTGTCTGCCTGCTTTCTATACCAACTAGAAAACATAACGGTAAAATAAGTAAATTTTTTTCTTCCTTTCATTTCTTCATGAAGAGCGATTTGTCATGATGAATTTAATTGTAGTTTTAGTTCTGTTTGGAGCACGTAGAAAGGTTTACATGGACTTGTAGCACAGACTCTGCAGTTTTGTTAGAGGTGCAGCTTGATGATATTTATGGATATTTAGGGCATAAATTGTAACGCTAAACTTTTCTGGATCAAAGGGGTAAATTTTTTACCCATTATATTTTTTCTAATTAATTAATCGTAACTAGCACGTTAAATTCCTACCCCTAAAAAAATACATTAAAAGAAAAGAAAAAACAACTTCCAGAAAAAAAAAATCTGACAGCATAATGAAAGATAAAATAAAACTGGATATTTTAAATCTAAAACACGCAGAGTGAGTGGAGCCCCGTGACATGTTTACAGATAAAACCATAAATCACCATGAGTCTAATATTATTACCTTTTTAATTTTGACATTGGCTTTTATATTTTTATCATTCGTAATTTTTAATTGCTTTCATTTGTCTATTTATTTCTTTAACTGATTTTTATACAATATGCTGTTTTAGTACTACTCTGGTTTTTATGCCTTGTTCAGCACCTTGGACTTCCACTAAGGTAGTAGAAGGTGGTTTATAAATAAAGAAATTGAATTAATTTATTAAAATCAAGTGCAAACAGTCACACTGAGACTAAACAGCAATGAAGTGGTGTTATATTGAGTGCTGGAGCTCCAATATTTGCACTAATAAAAACAATTCATGCAGTTTGCTGTCATTCTTTGTGGTACAGCATCAGACGGTGAAATATGGTTCATATTCTGTTCAGATTTCCACTTTGCACTCATAATGGCTTCAAAATGAATTTGTGACTATCCCGTTTTATTATTCTTTATTGCCTTCTAGACTCCCCAGAGCAACAACTATCCGCACTCCTCTGATGCCCTCGCTCCTACCTTGTGATTTATTTGTCTCCGTTCCAATATTTGTCAGCAGTGTTTTTTTCCCTCTTGTCCAAATGTCACCCCTTCTTCTGAGACAATATAGGGAGTGGGAGCGAGGGAGAACTAGGGGGCAAATGCGGGGGACACCGAGGAAGTGGAGGGGGTAACTCGTAAAGCGAGCAACAAAGTTTGGGAAAATTAAACATTAGGTAAGACGCTTTGAATTGAATTATAGCCAAGGTAAGACGACGTCTCAGATCCCCCTGCAGGTTTGATGTGAAAAGTTTGTTGTGTTTAGAGTTGAGCTGGAGCAAAGGCACACACACACACACACATGAACGTGCATGGACGCATGAAGCAATATAGATGCCCCTGCCCAGATTTGAGTTTTCACAGCAAAGAAACACAACAAAGGTTACAGCTTTAATACTTACAGCTATTATATCTTTTCTAAAACCGCCTCCTCCTCCCGCCTGAGTCGGCATCCCTCCACGCCCTGGATCACGCCTGCCCTCCCTCTCCCACCCTCACCGTCTACCTCCTTTAAAACCCATCACTCCCGTCCCACTGCTCTCACACGTTCGGACTTTTCCAACCTGGAACAGACGCTTTTATTTTACTGAGACAGCAATCAGCACCTGACAAAATGTGGCCCAGTGCTCAGAGTTATTCTCTTAACTTTTTGTTGCAGTAAAGTCTTCCATTTGCAGATTTCAATTGGAATACGGACCTATCGTTTGGCTTAAAAGACGCGACTGATGAGATGATTTTACAGTTTGTGAAACAGTCCTGTAAGTATGATGTGTTGCTGATTAAAGTTTGGCTGCATTTTGGAATTCGACCTCCAAAACAGAACGAATAACCGGCTGTGCAGAGACATGAACTGGTGAGCATCGTCTTTGTTAAAAAACTTTTTTTATCCACATCTAAAAGAAAACAGCGTTGCTGGTTTTACAGCGTCGCATTTGAACATAACTCCTGCTCGTTTGGAAAAACTGTTCAAAATCTTCTAGAAAATGATGATCGCTCGTTTACCGTTCATTTGTTGACACTGAAACAGATGTGTGGGGACCGTTCCCTGATTCTGGACCGGAACCGTAAACCTAAAAAAACCAAAACGCAGAAAGGAGAGAGGGCTTTAACGGTGGAGAAGGGCAGCGTGCTGTCATAGACCCATCCTGACGCACGGAGACGGACAGACAGACACACAGTCTGATGCCAACTGTCTCCCCTGTCAATCTCACGGCACCACTCCTCCTCCTGTTGCTATGGGCAACCCACCCTGCCATGGCAACCAACTGGCTGTAAGTATAGTGTGGAAGAGAGGAAGAGAAAGAGAGTTTGTTTGTCATGCTATAACTTTTAAAAGATGGTGACATGTCTCTAAATCTCTCTCAGTTGCTCTGCTCTCTTTCTTTGTCTCCCTCCTGGTGACCTTTTCTCTTTTCTTTCTTTCTGCCATCACCGTGCCCTCCGTGCCGTTTCTGCCGGGTTCTCTCTCTGTTTCTGAACCTCTCAATAATTCTGCCCAGCCGTTACCTCCATCTTTTTGTGCTCCCTTCTTCTCTATCCCCCATCTTCTACTTAATTATGCACCTTCCCCCTTTTTTTTCCTCACAAACCTGCCGTGAATCATCTCGCCGTTTTTCTGTCTCCCATGCAGCTCCCTGGCGAGGCTGCCTCGCTCCAGGCCCGTGTCTGGTGCTGCTCCATGTGCACGACTGAGGGGGCTGACCCCAGGGCAGGTGGGGGTGTGCAGGGCGCGGGGGGAGGTTATGGAGTCAGTACGCAAAGCAGCTGAGATGGTTTTAGAAGAGGTGTGGTGTCTCAGTTTCTCACGGTCGACCCGTCTTTGGTTTATAATGCCCTTGACTCTGCTGCACCTGTAACTGTTTAACTCAGTGCCAGCACCAGTTCAGGAATCGCCGCTGGAATTGTTCCACCACTCCACGTGGCATCAATGTGTTTGGCAGAGTGATGAACCAAGGTAGATCCACAGAGAAGGTCTGCAGTGTCACATACATGTCAGGAATTGGTTGGCAACAGTGCTGTGTGGTTTCAGGCACTCGTGAGGCCTCCTTCGTTCATGCTCTGTCCTCAGCAGCCGTGGCCGTGGCCGTGACTCGAGCCTGCACCCGCGGGGAGCTGGAGAGGTGTGGCTGCGACAGGAAGGTCAGGGGCGTCAGCCCCGAAGGTGAGCTCAGTCGGTGTTCCAGAAAGACACACGACACGTAAATCCGCTCTATCCACCCCTAACCCGCCCCACAGAACATTCAAGCATGTATTGTTCATACGAGCAGAAGGTTCCCAAACTGCTGTCTGAAGAATTTCAGATGATTTGTGATGTTTGCTTATTGGATTTTCTGACCCGCGAGACACAAACTGTTTCTCATCCCTCAAAATTTTAACAGCAGCAGTGCCGCATCATGCGCTCGTCTTTCTGTTCCTTCCCAGGCTTCCAGTGGTCAGGGTGCAGCGACAACCTGTCCTATGGCGTGGCTTTCTCCCAAACATTTGTGGATGAGCCAGAGCGGGCCAAGGGGCTGTCAGCAGGACGCCCACTCATGAACCTCCATAACAACGAGGCTGGTCGAAAGGTTGTCAACATCAGCTCTAACCTTCATTTTTACTAATCCGTGTGGCAGCTCATGGCAAATGACCTGTGTTCCTCTCATTCTCAGGCCATCCTCCACAACATGCAGGTGGAGTGTAAGTGTCATGGTGTCTCTGGCTCCTGTGAGTTGAAAACATGTTGGAAAGTCATGCCTCCATTCAGGCGTGTTGGCGTTGTGCTTAAGGAACGCTTTGATGGAGCCACAGAGGTATTTAAACATGATTTCTGCTTGATTTACCCAGCTTTATAGATTAGAACGTATAAACGTTTGGTTAAACCTTCTAGGTCCGATTGACCCGCATCGGATCCAGGCCTGCCCTTCTTCCCCGTGACCCTCATGTCAAACCCCCTGCAGCCAGAGACCTTGTGTATCTTGCACCCTCCCCAGATTTCTGTCATCTGGACCCTGAAAACGGCATCCCAGGGACCGTCGGGCGAAGATGCAACGGTAAAGTCTGCACTCTTACTCTTGTGTGATCCAATGCATAAAAAACAGCTTTGAAACTGATGTGGCCATCTCTTCAAACCAACCCAGGGACATCTCGGCTGGCACCAGACGGCTGTGAGCTGGTGTGTTGCGGACCAGGGTACAGAGCTGGCCGAGCCGAGGTGGTGCAACGCTGCTCCTGCAAGTTCTCTTGGTGCTGCTCGGTTCGTTGCCAGCAGTGCAAGAACACAGTGACCATCCATACCTGCAGAGTGTAAAGGAAGCGCAGACAAGACCTCAACAAATGAATGGAACAGAGAGCAGATTAGACACAAAAAAAACAACAACTTTGGCTACAAATGGCACCATATGTGATCAAAAACAGTTAGACTTGAATTAATTTCCTCCTTTGATTTGGTGCTTTTGGTGTAAAAAGCTGCTAAATTAACTTTTAGAGACGAAAGGCTGGCATCAACAAAAGTCAAATGCATGCACACGCAAACTGAAACAATGACAAAGCTTTTAAAGCTGAACTTAACCGAAACTAACAGGAACATCGCCACGACTTATCTGTACAAAAACATTTTTACTGCGCCTTAGTCTAGCAGGTCTATGAACAGTTTCTGTATTTATGTTTTCTTTTTTGATTCTGGTTTATTTATTTGTTTATCAGAGTCTTTGCTTTGGCTTGACCTCGAGCGGTGAGAATAACTTTTACTGACATCCGTTGCTCTCGTGTTTCGCCCTCGTGTGGAAGTTGTCTGTTTGCTCCGGCAGGAGAACTTTTAGGTCTGCTTAAGGAATCTAATAAATACATAGTTTCTCTAAAGTATTTTTGGGTTACTTTTGTGTTTTTGTGGGTTCAGATGACTGGTTGGGTATGCACAAGTTGTATGAACACCTATATCTGATCACTGCTTTCTCTATAATCTTCATTATATTGTTCGGTGCAGTTTATCTAGATGAGTTTTTGCCTTTTTGTTTTTTTAAAAGGTGCATCGTGTAAGAGTGGAGGCTGCCATCTTGTGGTCAAATTTGGGTACTGCAGCCCATATTCAAAACACACAAGTGACTTTTGTGCTACCGTTCTGTGAGTTTCGTGGCTGTTTTGAAGATTTTAGATGACGAGCAAAGACAAATCACACACATTTACAAATATACTGAACAAAAAATGTCCATAGGCTCCAATTATACGTTTTTGATGGGAGGTCCCTATTACCGCCATTTTGACCATGTCACATGTCTCTTCATGCCCAGACAATTCAAATATGAGAAAATAAGTGGAGCTGAGGGTGGGGCTTTTACAGTTGGAACAAATGAACCAATGTAGCTACAAGCTAACTTAGCTAACCCAAGAAGCGGCTCCAGGGTAGACGACGTGCACGGCTGCTTGGCTTCGGTGCGAGGCTGTAGTCATGCTGGTTGCCTGTGGAGCTATAAAAAGGAATGTTAAAATACAAGCAGAGCCTCAGACCACTGTGATCAGAGCCGGGCACCTGGCTGCTCACGTGAGGTCACGCTCCGCCTCAGTCGAAGCTCAGCAGGGTCTTCATGCTAACTCAAGCGAACAAACGCTTTTAGATGAGAAACGTGGTATAGCAACTCCATATCAACTCAAAGTGCAGCGGTGTCTCTAATCTCCTTCAGAGAGCCCCACAGGCAAAAAAAGTCTTAAACCATCTGGTCTGATAGGAGACCGACGTCTACTTAGCTTTGGATTTTGGTTCTGTGATTCTCAGGTTCACTTGGGGCATTAGTGTTGTCCAAAAAAAATCATGCAAGTGTTCTGAGGTCCTCCTTACAAGGGGCAAATTTTGCCTTCATTAGTTGCAGCAATTCTCCAAAACAAATGTAAAACCACGACACATTCTTCAGTCACTGTGATGCAGTCATGACACTAGAAGTTTACGAGCATTTGAAAAACTCCTTTCTGAAGCAGACATGTTTCTCCATTTATATTTGGTAAGAGCATTTTATTAAAAATATCAGATGATTACAAACACCCAGAAATTCAGTAGAAAGAGTTCTTAATCTTTATCAAGACTAACATTTATCAAAAATATCACAATTTTATTATACTATCCATCACTGTTGGTCATCAAACAATAAAAAAAAATGGATACAACAAAAAGTACAATCTGGATAGAATAAAAATTCAAGTTTTTTGTAAATCAAAAATGCTAAAAGATTCCCCCAAAACAGCATCACAAAATTCATACAACAGAAAATACAGAAAATCAACTGCACATGTGAGATTTGTGAAAATGCTTTCTAAGTTGTTGGAGGACATTAAACATGTTGTACAGGTATGTTTGGAGTGAATGAATGAATCTTGGGGTTTCAGCAGGAGCAGAAAACAGAGTACCAGTTAACCTGTCCATTTACATCTCCTCTAATCCTCCAACGGCTTTAATCAAACACGGTGAGGCTGAAGACGTTCATAAATAAGCATTCTCTTTAAAAACAGCAGAAAACTGTGATGAGCAGGGCGGAAGGGACACCTGAATATAAAAAAATGGAGAATACAGCAGTTTTCAAAAGCTTTGAAGAAACAGACACTTATTGCATGTTTTAGCCTCTTCGCCTGTTTTTTGTTTGGAAGGCACAATCATTAAACACATGCTCGGGCACATCTCAAACCCTCTGGTTTGGTTTGCTTTTTTAAACTGTTGATCTTTCTGTTGGAACAATTTCACCAGTTTCTTCCACCATCACATCCCCCTTTGTTGGAGATTCTTTTTATAAAAGAACACACTTCCTCTTAGTTTTGGTCTCGGGAGGTTCCAGCGCTGCCAGAATGGCCTCATCAAAAACATTCTTTAGGCCTCTCTGTTCAACGGAGAAAGGATCGGGAGATGAAGACAATAAAAAAAAAGAGAGAAACGATAAAGGCGGTAATTTTTTACTGTTTTATGCAAACCTGGTCCATACCTGCGTGAGAGCTGAGCACTCCACGTATTTAACGGCTCTGAGCTCACGAGCCAGCTTCTCGCCACTCTCTGGGTAGAGGGGGCGCTGTTTGTTCTTGGCCAGCTTCTCAACAGTGTTGCTGTCTTCCCTCAGGTCTACTTGTGTGCCCACCAATAGGAAAGGTGTGCTTGGACAGTGGTGAGAGATCTCAGGAACCCACTGGAAATATGGGAAAAAAGATAGTTGTGGATTTTTCACCAAATCAAATCAATCAAATCAAAGATACTTTATTAATCCCAGAGAGAAATTAGAGTTTCAGTACACACAATTCAGAGATCAGACATACATGGGCAAGAAACATGACAAGAATTGGTGACTGTGGTCATTCGCAATCCTGAGTCGCGCTACCTTAATAAGATAAGATAAGAGGGATACATGAGGACTGGTTCAGGTGGAGGGAAAAAAAGGCTCTTCAAAGTTACCCTCCACCGTGAGGGCAGCTTTGCTCTGCAAAAAAACACCTCAGACAGACAGAAATGCAACAGACTTCAAACATCACAACATAAGTGTCCACTAGGAGGGGTGGTGGGTTGGGACTATCCCAACTTCAGTTCCTGCAGCCACGATGAAGCAGCGCATGTCACCTCAGTGTGGATGGGGGGGGGGGGGGGGGGGGGGGGGCATTGAGGGTTGGAGGGTTGCAGTGACCCTGGACGCTTCGGCAGCCTTCCCGCTGTCCCACCCAGGCTGGGAAAGGAGTCAGAGTTGAGTTGCCATAGCAATGGCACATTCCACATATCTTCTGAGGGGGGAGTTTTCATTGGAGCTTGCAGGCTCAAGGACGCCAGATTCCGATTAGAATTTGTTTTGGGGCCAGACAGAGATAATTTCCTCTCTGTCTCACAGTTTGTTGGTCCTCAACCTCTCAACTCTCAATAATGGACATTAATCTATCCCAATCCATGCTGATTCGTCCACTCTCTCCTTGATGGCATCCATCTTTTGCGCCAAAGAATGAATCTCCGCCAAAGTCCCAAGCTTACGATTCATCTCGACAATTATTTGAGTCTGTGAATTCACATTGCGGTGCAAACCATCTCTGAGCTCAGGGATCAGGCCAATATTCCTCGACAGCTCGTTAATTTTCCGGTAAGCCAGGTAGCCTCCAAGGCCAATGAGCAGGAAACCTGACACCAACACCACGAATATCCACGTCTTCAGAGTCCTCCACAGACAGCTGGGATAAACAAATCAAGTTCCACTGTTTCCAGGAGTCCATCATGTGTCCAACTGGGTCTGTACCGGCAGGACATCCGGGAGCAACCAATTAAATATGGAAGCATCATAAAATCTTTTGTGGGGGTGATCAAGTATTTAATAAACAATGGAAAAACATTTCTCAACATTTTGAAAAGTCAATTAATCATGGTTTTCAATAAATGCAAAAACATGAGCAGCTCTAGCTTCTAAACAAGAGTTAGAAAGACTTTTTGGATAAACAGAGGCCATCTTTGGGGTTTGATTTGCTGGTCCAACAGTAAACGGTCAAAATTAAAACATGTTTAGATAAATAAAGTCTGCTAATTCACACACAGGAAAATTAATCTCTGAATCTCATATTGTTTCTGAAATGAATTAAGCATCGCTGTGGAAAATTTCAGCTTGTCATTTAAATAGTTTCAGGGTTTTAAAAAATACTTCATATAATAGCTTAGCGGCTTGTACAACAGTGTTTTAATTGAAGCACAAAATCTGTATGAACCTTTTTAGAAAGTCGTGAGAAAGTCCAGAAATATTTGAACATGAAAAATACGCACATGCTGGTTAACAGCTAGTGCTGCTAAGGTTCACGATTACGTCGACTACCATCTTTACATCTTTGTTTAGCTTTTCTAATCTGCTGCTGTAGCTTCGCTGCTTCCTTTAGGAGTATTTTATAGAGAAACGTGAAAAAATCTCCAGGGTGGTACCTGCCTCCCACGGCAGTACGATGGTGATGCACGACTCAGCATCTTAAAAGTGGCTGAAAATGAAGCGCGACGGTCTGCTAGCTAGTTAGCTGCTAACAACATCAGCACTGCACTACTTGCCCTGCTTTCTGGTCTTCCCAAAAAGAGCATCTCAGGTTTACAACTTTTACAAAACTCAGCAGCACGTGTCCTGATGAAGACCAGGAAGCGGGAGCACATCACTCCGGTTTTAAAATCACTGCACTGGCTCCCTGTATGTTTCAGGATTGATTTTAAGGTTCTTTTAATGGTTTTTAAGTGTCTTAATGGTCTTGGGCCTTCTTATCTTTCAGAACTGCTTTTACTATATAAACCCTCGCGGTCTCTGCGCTCCTCTGGCAGCCGTCTCCTAGTTATCCCTAAAGTTAAGACTCACACCCACGGCGAGGCGTCCTTCAAGTATTACGGCCCTCGCCTTTGGAACGGGCTGCCGGAGGACCTCAGGTCCGAAGAGAACATCCAGGCTTTTAAAAATAGGCTCAAGACCCACCTTTTTAGCTTAGCTTTTAACTGATCACTATTTATCTATAAATACATATTTATCTATTTTATTATTTTTATCATTCTATCTACATCTTAGTATTTTTACATGATTATGTTTTCTTTTACTATCTTTATAATCACTTTTTATCTTTATTAGCTTTTATTATTTTATATGTTATATATCTTAAATCCTCCAGTGTTTCCTCTGCGGAGCCCTCTGCCTTGGGGCCGGTGGTCAGGGGCGGCGGCGGCCGGGGCGCTCCTCGGGTAGTGCCCGGGCACTGGTGGGGGTTTCTGCCCTACGCCACTGGGCGTCATCGGCCGGTGTCTTGGCTGCTGCCGTGGATCTGTTGCTGCCAGGGCAGATGGCTCCGCTGATGATGTGTCGTTCATTACCTGACCCATCTGAACTCAGCCTATTGTTTCCTCTGGTGTTCACGAGTGTGTGTGTGTGTGTGTGTGTGTGTGTGTGTGTGTGTGTGTGTGTGTGTGTGTGTGTGTGTGTGTGTGTGTGTGTGTGTGTGTGTGTGTGTGTGTGTGTGTGTGTGTGTGTGTGTGTGTGTGTGTGTGTGTGTGTGTGTGTGTATGCGTGCATGGACGAGTGTGCGGGTGATTGTATGTCCACTTTGGAAGTTGTGTGCGGGAGGGGAACTGTAATTTTTAATTGTTTTATACTTGGGGAGGGGGGCTGGGATGGGAATGTGGGATCTATGGGGCCATTTTAATCTGTAAAGCACTTTGAGTTGCATTTTTTGTATGAAAAGTGCTATATAAATAAAGTTGATTTGATTTGATTTGATAGCTGTTACATTAACAGTGACAGGGACTTATTTACCTTCAACACATATTTAATGTGTTTTCTGCAACGTCACAAACACTAATAATTTAGTTTATAACACTATCAGTGTTAAAAAGCTTTGCTGTTCAGTCAACGACTTCACGCGTTTATTTTTTGTTTTCCTAAGCCTAGTGCCGTTTTCCTTTTGTTTTGCTAATTGAAAAGCTAATAAAAAGTTGTTGAATGAGCTTTTATCCTAATTGTTTTTTAGAGAGCACACACTACAAGTTAAAAGGCAATGAAGGTTATATTAGATCAGCTTCATGCTGGTATACTATAAGATACATTTTACAGATAATCAGATTAGGGATGCAACGATATCACTTTTTTCCAAACCGATACGATACCGATACTTGGATCTGAGTACTCGCCGATACCGATACTTCTACCACACACAAAAAATGCTATGAATTGGAATATAGGTTTTATTTTCTTCTCTGCTTTCAACAGGAAAAGACTGAGGTAGACAAAAAGTAAAATATCTGTATAGAAATTATCAAAAAACTAAAATATTAGGTGAACAAAAATGACAAGTTACAGTGAAGCCACTTTCAAGCAACTCCATTGGTATCGGTTAACTTTTACCGATACCGATACTGGTATCTGTATCGGCACCGATGCATCCCTAAATCAGATTAGCCAACTTTTCGCAAAAACGGCTAGCGATTAGTCGACCATCTAAATAATTGTTTGTGGCGGACCTATGCCTAATGAACACACAGAAGTGTGTTTCTGTGTCAGTGCAGCTTCATTAACGCCACCATGAACCCACATTGTGATGCTGCGGTCTGTAGGGTAGACCTGTGCTGATGAGACACGCACTATCCAATGTTCGGAAAAATAATTTACATAAGTGACTCCATAATAAAAGTCTTCCTTGGAATGTAATAATAATAATAGATTTTATTTATAATGCACTGTACATTACAGAAGTAATCTCAAAGCTACTAATCGATCAGCAGCACACTAAAGGACTTGAGTTAACCATTATTTTAAAAAAAATTACAATTTTTTTTTATTTAAACAGATGAGTTGATTGAGAACTCGTTCTCATTTACGACGATGATGTGGCCAAGAGGCGGCAGCAACAGCCAACGTTAGCTTTACACCAAAGAAAACCAGATAAGATAAAAATGATCAACTTTGTGTCGTTTATCATGTTTTCCCAAAGATACAAGAACTGTAGCTCAAGTGATGGACAAAAGATCGGAAATACTACACTCAGGGGCTGGGTTGTTTACAACATGTGTAATTCTGCATTCAACCAGTAGGGGGAGAAGCAGGAAACTTGTTTAGTGTTACTTTAAGAGTTTAAGGGTGTGGTTCACTTGTTTAATCAACACATTTGCAGTGGTCTCTAGTAGGGATGTCCCATTACGATATCGGAAGTAATTTGATATCAGCCCAAAAACACTGTATCGGATGGCATCAAAAATCTCCAATGTCAGAAGTCCGTTAAGGTTTATATTTTTGCAACCAATCATTTTTTTCATACTTACTGTTATTGCCTCTTGTGCTGATATCGTATCGAATTGATATCGGTATCGGTCAATACCGAAGGCTGCCGTATTGGTATCGTATCGGAAGTGAAAATGTTGCATCGGGACATCCCTAGAATGAATGCCTTGTAGGTCAAACTCTGGTGTGCCTGTTTCATGTTTCAGGATCTAGAAGATTGCCAGAGTCTTACTTCCTGACATTTGGATATCTTACCTCTGACTGGCTAACAGCAACAAGGCTCTACCACTGACTGTTTACTTTGCATTGTTACCATTTTATCTACACAAATAACGCAAGTCTGGGGGAGTTTTGCTGTGTGGTGGAGTTGCTAATGCTAACAGTTAGCTTCTACTAGTTGAAACGTTCTCTGCTGTTTCCTGGACGCTAAACCAGCAACAGCATCACGAGTCAAGAATGGTGAGTCCCTGAATCAGTCAGGCCTTTCTAATCCTAGAGTTTCACCGTCGATTTCCTATCAGAAGCTAATGCAGGAGATAGATGTAGGAGACAATTTTCATGTTCAGCCTGCATGAAAAAGTCAAACTGACCGATTATAATTAGAAGTAATCGTTAAAAAAAAGATTTTCTGTGAACCACGCCTTTCAACTTAACAAGGCTGAAAGTTCATTGTAGCAGAGAACTGAAAGTAGCATCAGAGAAGTCAAGGATCAACTACCAATCCAATCCAATTTTATTTATATAGCGCATTTAAAAACAGCATGTCAGCTGACCAAAGCCTTGCATAGAGTCAAACCTAAAAAGCCATTCAAATTCACATACATACAGATTAAACACAGATTAAAACTGTCATAAAATAGAAACACCTAAAATTAAAACAAAAGTTTAAAACAGCCAATTAAAAGAGAAGTCACTAAAAACAGAAGAGAGTTACAGCATAAAAGACCAATCAGTTAGAGCATAAAAGACCAATCATTGACCAAAAGCTAAAATTAAAAAATGTGTCTTCAGGCTGGATTTAAACTGTGCCAGTGAAGAAGCCTGGCGTACCACCAGAGGGAGCGCGTTCCAGAGTCTGGGAGCAGCAAAGGCGAACGCACGCTCGCCACGAGCCTTATACTTCATTGTAGGGACTTTGAGCAATAGATGATCAGCAGACCTTAGTGACGGGGGGGTGGGGGGGGGGGGGGGGTGTTGGGGGTGAGCAACTCTGACAGGTACAAGGGGGCTAAACCATTCAGGGCTTTGCAGGTAAAAGTTAAAACTTTGTGTTGAATTCGAAATTGTACAGGAATCCAGTGTAAATCAGCTAGAATGGGAATGAAGTGACAGCGTTTATTGACATTGGAAAGAAATCTGGCTGCAGCATTTTGGACTTTCTGCAGACGATTTAGGACAGATACATTTACACCAATTAGAACGGAGTTGGAAAAATCGAGTCTGGAAGTGATAAATGCATGTATGATTCTAAGTGTGGCCTCTTAAGAATGGGCTTTAATCGGGTAAGGCGACGAAGCTGGAAGAAGCAGGATCGAACAGTGGCATTAACATGTGCACTCATTGACAAGTCAGCATCCAGTTTAACCCCAAGGCTGGTCACACATGAATTAAGGTTTGGGGGGGGGAGACCAAAAGCAGCAGAAGCATGGAGATTATGTTTTGGTTTGAAAAGAATGGCCTCGGTCTTACTGTCATTGAACTTAAGGAAATTGGAAGCTAGCCAGGTTTTAATTTCTGAGAGACATTCTGAGAGCTGTGTAATGGAACTTGACCGATTTAAAGCCATATAAATTTGACAGTCATCAGCGTAAATGTGATAATGTAGGCCCCGTTTACCAATCAGCAGAAGAATCGTTCCAGACTAAAATCAGACCAATTATTGTGCAATAAGTCAAAATACTACAAGAAAACCCATCAATAAAAGTCCTATGAGCTTACTTATCAGACTCTTTATACATAAAAAAACTCTAACATTTAGAATAAACATATGCCTGAACCCCAAAAAGCTGCAGATCCTGCACCAGAAGAACAAAAAGGAAGGAAATTTACTTTTAACAGCACTGAAATTATTCATCAAGTAACTCAAAGAACTCGACTACAAAACATCCTCAAAGGAAAATTATTAAAAAAATGATGTTTGTTTAATCCAAGGGCCTGCTCACGTGCTTCACAAGGACAGTTATTACTGTGGGTGATGTGCTGACGCTAGGTTATGTTTGATGGAGGAAGAAAATCAAAAAGAAACAGGAGACAATTTGGTAAAAATAAAAATAAAAATAAAAGAGGTTGCAGGCCAGCATCCTTTCTAATAGTTTCTACCAACATTTGAGACAAAACAGGAAGTTCAGATCAATAAGTCAGCGAGAAACCCATCTTTTAAAAAACTGACCTTCTCTTTGACGTTTTCAAACGACGACGGCGAAACGACGGAGAAACATACGAGGAAGACATCTGTTTGAGGGTAGCTGAGGGGACGCAGCCTGTCATAATCCTCCTGACCTGAGGGAATCAACCACCAAACGTTTTATATCAGATTAAACGTGTGTTTTGGGAATAATGACAGGAAAAAAAAAGATTTACCTGCTGTGTCAAAGAGACCCAGCGTGTAAGGCTCTCCGCCGATCATCACAGTTACTGCATAATTGTCAAACACCTTTAAAAGGAAAAAACTGGTAAATCACAAGGTAACGTCTGAACTCTTTGTATTCCAGCTATGAGGAAACACAGAGACGATCTTACTGTTGGCACGTATTCTGAGGGGAACTTGTTGGTCGTGTAGGAGATCAGTAAGCAGGTCTTTCCGACTGCACCGTCCCCAACCACCACACATTTTATTGTCTGCATCTATTAAAACAGATCAAATATCAGCAGCAATCAACACACCAGACAGCCAATCAGACACTGAGGGAGGACAGGAAGTGACACACACTTACAACCACCTCCACAAGCTTAAAAAAGGCCCAACTAATAAAGAGCAAATCAGTACAGATTTACATAAAGCAGCCGTGAACTGTGACAGCCTGACAGACGCGCTGATTAATCTGCAGATTAGTTTATTATTCAACAATTTGCATTTAGTCAAAATGAAAGAACTCCCATACAGTCTTGACTTTTTTAATTTTCTTCGTTTATCTGTCAGACTTTAACACACATTGGTGGTAAAGAAAAGTGATTTTTTTTAAACATCTGTAGAAAAACCAGACTAAAACCAACTATTGTAGCAGTAATAATAATAAAAACACTGGTGTGGAAAAGTGGCTGATCTTTGATTGTAAGAACAAGCATTTTATTCATAAAATGATTTATCATTTTTCATTTTATAATACATCTAGTCACATTTACAGATTAAAACAGTATAAACACAAAGAAATTGATAGTATTAACAGAGTTTTTATTAGAGATTCAGTATTTAAAGTATTTAAAAATACTTAGATATTCAAAATTCAAAATGCTTCATATTATTATTTTAGAAAAAATTAAAATAGAAGATATAATAAAGACTGTGTGGGTTAAAAAGATGAAGAATTTACAGTGAATAGAAAATGTCACTAAGCATTAAAACGCCCAGATAAGGTTATTTTGTTTGAAATCACAAATAAAATTAGATTTCTTAATTAGAAAACAACATGGGATACTTCCACATGATTTTACTATCACTTAAAGATATTTTACTGATTGAATAAAGTCTGAAATAAGAAATATGGAAGGAAACAGTTTCATGATTACTCATAAATAATCCAGAAAAATATGCTACTCATATACAAATTAGGGGAGAGATTAAGGGCTTTTACTTTGCAGATTTCGCTGATACACCTCAACACATTTTTATATATTTTATTAACTTGTAAAAAAATAATAATATTAATATTATTATTAATAATAATATATGACGAATAATCAATTCAATTAATATAAATAATGATCAGATTAGTTATTATATGACTATGTAATAATAAGTATTTACCAAAGTAAAATACTAAAACCTATCACTGGTGACTTTCACTACTTTTTTGTAGATTCCAGAAGGAAATAATAATTTAAAAGTAATTTTTCAGATTTTTCTATTGCTAAATGTGCATTTTGTGGCTTCATAGATAAAAGTAAGTATTGTAAATAAACGTAAATGGTTTATTCTTGTTGCTCCTCGTAGAGAACACCAGTGAGTCCCATCTGTTTGACTAGACTTGTGCGAACACACGTTAATAATGACAGTAAACCACTTCCGCATCGTTTTCATACCAGAGAAGTTTAAAAAAGACAGAAAAGAGAAGGCCTATTAGCCCAATGAGATCTAGAAGCGGATACCGAAAACACTTCCGCTAAATAAGAAGGGCTCGGGAAAAAAAAACGAGACCCGAAACAAAAACCCGAGGCTGTTCAAATGTTGTCAAAGTGGCAAATACACCAACAATAACCTGTAAAAGTTGTAGTTGGGTGTAGATTTCAGGTGATGGAGTCTGAAAAGTCAGTGTTTGTCAGACAGTGAACTGACGTCTTGAGAAACTTTCTGAATTTTCTCCAAACCAAAACGACGACGAGAACATTTTGTGCACCAACAGCGAAGATAACAGGCCAGTCGGGACACGTTCATTAGCCAAATTATTAAAACCCAACTCTAATATTTGCCTCATCTACAGGAAACTTAAAACGCCGCAAACGTTTATAAACCAGGAAACAATATTTTAATCGATATTAACGCCTTATATTAAGAGGGGAAGCTTATTTGTGCGCCTCGGAGTGTCATTAATCATAAAAACGTTTATATAAATCATCTTTTTCTTGATCTACTCACCGTTTGTCTAGCGACAGGTTAGGCGTTGGTTGCATCCGGGTTTCAGCTCCAATTGCCTATTGCGCCTGCGCAAGTTGCACGAGCAGCAGCTCGTGCAGAGGAAAGAAGGTGCTGTCACCTTCTGGACATTTCGGAAAAAACACTGTTATCTATCTATCTATCTATCTATCTATCTATCTATCGTAGCGAAAAAATAGGTAACGAAACCGTTTCTGTTTTAAAAAAGAACGATAGCATGGAATTATCTATCTATCTATCTATATATCTATCTATCTATCTATCTATCTATCTATCTATCTATCTATCTATCTATCTATCTATCTATCTATCTATCTATCTATCTATCTATCTATTTGGTTGTAAATTCATCTTGTTTTTCCACAAACGAATGACTCTCCTTGTTTTTTGCAAAAAAATAATTTTATTGAACAAATTATCATAAATTACTTTTTCGAAATTTTTATGTAAATCAAATTTCTAATTACTAAATTTTATGTCAAGTGTCAAGTTGTTGTTGATCGTTCCATTATAATAATGTTGCATTGTGATTTTTTTTACATTTATATTTGCATTTGCACTCATGATTATTTTACATAATATATATGTTTGTTTGTTTTTTTTCGCCACAATCTCAGTTGTTGAATGAATAATCTAAATGGTTCTACCCTGGCACAAAAACAGATTCACTAGAGTACATCTACACAGCACTGCATTTCCTGACTCGTTTTGTGTAAAGTAACTATATTTTTCTTAACACCATCAAATTCTCACAGCATCCCATTGTCATTGTTGGTATTCCTTTGAGGAACACATGCTTTCTTGATTTTGATCTTTGGGGCATCCAGCGCTGCCAATATGGCCTCATTAAACACGTCATCTACTCCTTTCTGTTTAAAGAAGAGTGAAAAAAACAAAGAGAATACCATTTAGCTGCCTGTTTAACTTGTTGTTGTCATTTTCAGTGAGTTTGGTCCTTACCATTAGGAAAGCAGAGCACTCCATATTTGACAGCTCACGGGCCAGATTCTCACCACTCTTTGGGTTTATGGGGCATTGTTGGTTCTTGGCTAGCTTCTCAACAGTTTTGCAGTATTTTCAAAGATCAATTTGTGTTCCTACTATCAGGAAAGGGGTTCCTGGGTTGTGGTGAGAAATCTCAGGAACCCACTGGGGGGAAAAAAAGGAAAACAAGCGTCTGTGTGATCAGTAAACTATTTTAAAAAATTGTTGATTCATGTCAGTTTAACTGGGCAAAAAACGAATTATAATTGATTTTTATCGACTGAGTATGAACTGAATGTCTTGGAGTTAGTTTTTTTTACTTAAAAATACAACCAGTGATTGTATTAAAGTTCGGTGTGAAACAATAGTTTAAGACCAACCTGTGTTTTAACATTTTCAAATGTCGATGGAGAAACGACAGAGAAACAAACAAGAAAGACATCGGTTTGAGGGTAGATGGAAGAGCGCAGCTTGTCGTAATCAGTTTGACCTGAGGTAAACAAAACAAGCAAAAGTCATTTGAAATATTTAAATTAAAAAAAATAATAAAACAATTAAAATAAATTACCTGTTGTGTCATAGAGAAGAAGTTTAAAGGGCTTTCCTCCTATCACATCCCATCACAGTCGTTGCATAATTGTCAAATACCTTTAAAAACATTCCAGTTAGAGATATTAACAGTAATTACAGTAATCCAATGAATCAAAAATGTGAGTTTAATGTATTTCAGTATTTATTAAATAAATTCTTCTTACTGTTGGCACATACCCCGAGGGCATTTTAGTTGTGTAGGAGAACAATAATTGGGTTTTTTCAGATGCACTGTCCCCTACAAGTACACATTTTATAGCCTGCATCTATAATGAAACACAAAAATTACAAAAAGAAATACTTCAATAAGAAATATACCAAACAACCAAAGTTATGCAGAAACACTAGTATTTAGAATGACATATAGTGACACAAATTTATCCAAATTAAGAATTGTGACAAACATACAAAAACAACTTTATTTTTTGACAGATTTTTTTTAGATTATTTAGTGATTCAAGAAAACGTCATGTTATTCTGTTCAAGGGGGTAATGAGTAGCTGTGACATTAAACTCATTTACAGTAAGCAGAACCAGTAAATTAAATGGAATGGAACTGACTTAAGCCAAATTTAATTAATATTCATGATAAATTAGTTTATTATTGTACGTTCTTCCATTAGATTGTGACCATACGCACCTCTTCTAATTCAAGTAACTTTACTTTTCCCTTTCTGTTCCGTCAAACTGTTCTTCAGCACTTTTCAATGTTTAGTTTCCAGCTGTTTTGCCCAACTTATATCCGGGTTCAAAGGTTGAATAATTTTAGACTGTAAAGATTTATTCGTGTGTTTATTCGCTTAGCAGACGCTTTTTATCCAAAGCGACTTACAATTTATAACCTATAGGGCATGTTGTGATTTATTATTGCTGTTGGCTAGACATAGATCAAGAGGCAGACACATCCCTTTTAAATGTTACTTGTGGTGAAAAATTAGATTTTATTAAACTTTTTTTTAATTTTCATTTAATTACTGAAGGATTCTGTCGTGGCACCTTAGAGCACTTCTGAAGTTTAACCGTATTTTATCAATGTAACAGAATCATCTCCGGAAGTAGTTTATTTTGAAGGGGAAAAAATAACCGGATGTCGTCATTGTCAACTTTGATGCTAACTTGATAGCAGCGGTGTTTTGTGCTTCCCTTTGTTAGCAGACCGACTTCCGTTTTTATGTGTTTTCCAGGTTTCTGGAATTTACTGTCAGCTGTGAGTGAGAGCTGGAGGCGAGCATATTGACAAGCAATAGTTGCGGTTCCCTATTTTCGAACAATAGGTCCAGTATTTCCGCCGGACTTCGGTCTGAGCCTGTTACTCCTTTTCAACGACTGTTTCATTGGTTAGCTGGCTAGCCCAGGCCAGCTTATTTAAATCACCTAGCATGTTTCGCTTCTTGACTGACGCTGACGACGACCCCTATATGATGTAAGTACAGGCATTGATCACATTTTGTTTAGATACTGTGCTTTTTGAGTTGGGGAAAGTCTCATTTAATCGTGTAAACTTGCACATAGTCGCTGTGTCTGGAAGCAGGTAGCTTACCTTTCGGTGGGGGCCTATAGAGCCACCATATTAGATGGACAGTAAACCACAAAAGTAAACCTGTCTGCGCTTTAAAATAGAATACCTGCTCTGGTAACAACCACGTGATGCTGTTTTAGATTTATAGATTATTATTTAGGCTGCTTTTTACTTTAATGTTGTCACATATCAAGCCTTTTCTAGTCGTTTCTTTATTATTATTTACATAAGTGCGCTTGTCCTGTACTACAAATGCATGAAGATTACCATTTGCTTTATAGAAAATTAGTTTTAACCGGAGTTGGTGCAATCAGCGTTTTGTAGCTTTGAACATTTCTTCATCTCATTATCTTAAAAGATAAAACGTGGGGCGATCAGAGCGATGACTTGGTGAACAAGAACTTTTATCTAAATAAAACATTCAAAATTAGTTCGTTAGCATCACAATTTAAAGCGCATTGTCTTATTTATGTCGAAATTCAGTATATAAATACACATGAGATCTTTAGACAAAAATATGGTGATTTTTCTTTTGGTAAAACGTTCCTCTGAATCCAGCAGTCATGTGATTTCATTCCCCAAAACAAGTAAGGTCTCTGAGAAAGTAATGAGCTGTTTACCCGGAGGGTCCATCAGTAGGTGTTGATCAGGTTTAGGCTAAAAACATTAATTGCTTCCAGAAGCAAAATAACCAAAAAATTTTTATCAGAATTTAGGCAAAATTAAGTGAGAAACCTGCTGCTTTCATGAGTGCACCTATATGAAAGTTTACGCCAATATCAATTTTGGATACTAATACTGCTATTGTGGCCGATAATTGATATTCATGTTATGTATATTTCCTAACACGTTCTTTATTGTGTATGAGCAACCACACCGCATGGCCACCCCCTCTCCATACAGAAACGCACGTGCAAATGGGAACCAGGTGATTGTTCACATCAGCCCAGTTGGCTGATACCGAGGCTGATTTAGCATGATTCCCTAATTTTACATAGGCTCAAAAGCTTCAGTTCCAGTGAGGGGTGTGAGACAGGTAGGCGATTTCAGGAGAGCCTTTCAGTTGGGCTCACTTGGCAGACAGGGTTAACGTTAATGCGTACCGTTATGCCAATGTAATGACGCAAATCACTAAAGAGAGCTACTTTTTGTGTTCTCTTGTTGTGTTGATACTCACTCAGGTTGCTGAACACACATAGATGTGGGGAGCCTTAACACCTGTGTGCCTTCCCATTTAGTACTTTTTATTAGGTTTGATTAAATGAATGCTTTTTAAAATGACGATAGTTAAAGGAGCATTATGGAAGTTTGGCAGCCAAAACATGTATAGAAATAATAAATGTCTTCTTCATACATTCTCCTGCAATGCCCTGGTCCTGTAGAATGAGCCCTGGCATTTTTACTGTGATTGCCTGTTTTTCTGTAAAATCACAGAAAAAGAGCTGCTCGGGTTGAGCAGGCTGCTTCATCGCATTCACGCTCAGGCATCGCCCGTAGCATTTGCTATCCGTAGCTTTAGCAGCAGAGAGAGAGGTAGTGCCAACTCAGCGACTTTGTCGCTGTTCCTAATGCTTGGTGATGAACCTAGCTACATTTCTGAGGACCCTTAGCTACTTTCTTCTAGATATTTCCTGCAAATTAGCAACAAAATAGCCATTTACACTACGAATCGTTCTTTGAACGTTGTTTCAGCTGTCATCAAGGATATAAATGTTACAAGTACTAAATACGTCACTGGTGGTTTAGCTCACCTAGTAAGACGCCGGATTCTCGTGCAGAAGACCCGGGTTCGATTCTAGATGTGAACATAGTTCATTTAGGGTTTAGTTTTTACATTAATGGTATATTTTTTTTGTAGTAAGATGCCCAAATTTTTATTTGAGACTCGCTCGGAACGGCATTGAATTCACAGATAAAAAAGATGTGGGTTCAACTTTTATTTTGGAACAATTTTTCAAGCACGGGAAGGGAATGATCTGAGCATGCAGGAGGACTGACCCATCATAAACCTTTGTCGGCTGTGCTGAAGAGAAAGGTACAGAACCAAATTATTTAATTAATTAGCTGCGCGTTCTCCTGTCCTCTGTCCTCCGACACACACACACACACAAGGGACTGTCTCAGCTGTTATTTTTGTTAAGGAGTGTGCACGTACAGCATGCGCGCCTCGTGCACGAGCCTACTATTGAAGCTGCCGTTACGCTTTTGGCCTGAGGGGGCAATCGCGAGCATAAAAATTCAAAACTCCGTAAAGTCCCTTTAACCTCTTTTTTAAGCTCTCCTAATCTAAAACACTGGTTTTACCTAACTGGGCACTAGAGACCTGAGGCTTTAGAAACCCCCTGGGCTAAGAAAACTGGTCATTCATCTGAATCAGAAAATATTTCTTCCTTTTGTTATTTGAAACTTGCTTTGCCACATTTGAACTGAAACAACCAGCCTGTTAATTTGCATAAGAAAACTAAACTAGTCTTCTTCTTTTTTAGGGATCCGTTTGCTGCTCATAGGCACCAAATGAGAAGTATGTTTGGACCATTTGCAATGGATCCATTTGCTCTTGCACCCCAGATACAGCCACATCGTGCAGCACGCAGACCGGTAACTGATTGCTGTGAGAACAGTCCATTTGGTGTCTGAATTTTTATGTTACCTACATTTTTTACTTATCGAGTTATTTTTCTTTTTCTAGGCTGGCCCACTTGCTCCATTTGGCATGATGGGAATGGTGAGTAACTGATTCTTTAATAGCATTTGTGTATCATGTGACTCCCAACAGTTTACAGAGCTTTATGTGGTAAATTCTGTTATAGAAAAGGCTTGAACGGTGTCCTGTTGGGGTGGGAATCTTTAGGTTCCTCGTAATCTGATTTGATTACTCTGTGTGTTGTGTGAGGCTACTAAATGATCAATGATGCATTTTCTACCCGTATATTTGCAGGGTGGAGGCTTCATGGATATGTTTGGCATGATGGAAGAAATGATGGGAAACGTGGTGAGCAGCTTTGAAAACCTGTTTCTACTAACAAAATACTAGTGCACGAGTATTGCTTCCTAACACATAGTGCTTTTTTCCCCCTTCTCTTTTAGGAAAGGATGACCGGAACACCAAACTGCCAAACATTTTCCTCCTCGACAGTGATCTCCTATTCATCTTCAGACGTGGGGGCTCCTAAGGTTTATCAGCAGACAAGTGCAACAAGAACAGGCCCAGGAGGGGTACGGATAACCTCAAGCTTTTAAAATGTTGTGCATTAATAACCTGGAGATTGTGTCATCTGAGAAGGCTCCTTTCATTGCTAACATGGTACACGAGTTTAAAGGTTTGGAACACGGAAAACCATTTTACTGGTTATTTCTGATTATAATCAGCCAATTTGATGCAAGCTGAACATGACAATGGTCTCCTACACAAGCTGCTGATAGAAAATAGACAGAAACAGTTCTACGTCACACTGTCACTTAACATTTATGGACTCACCCGTCCTGACTCACAACGTGGAAGGCTGTTGTTGGCTTAGCGTTTAGAAAACACCAGAGAACGTCTCAGCTAGTAGGAGATAACTGTTAGCATTAGCAACTCCACCACACAGCAGAACTCCTCCAGATGTGTGCTATTTGTGGAGATAAAACATCAACGTTGCAAAACAAGCAGTGGAGGAATCGCATTGCTGTTATCCAATCAGAGGCAAGATGTCAAAATAATCAGGAAGTAAGATACTTGGCTGGAGGAGGAGCTACTTTCCAAGTCCAGCTTACAAATGGGCCATTCCCATCTGTACCGGGTCGGCCCGGGCCGGGTAGCCCCAGTCGGCCCCAGCCTGGCCCGGTTGATTCCACACATCCTTGTCTTAAGCCCATGTGGGCTGATTCTACCCACCAATCAGAGGCTTGCTCTAATGGAAGGTGTGAATTTGCTGTCAGCAGTGGATGTGTTGGCCCTGGTCGGCCTGAAGCAGACCCCCTCGAGAAGAGGGCTGAGAATGGGCCTTGGTTGGCTCGGAAAAATACCAGGCCACCCAGATATGTAAACAACCTACGCTACCCGGCCCGGGCCGACCCGGTACAGATGGGAATGGCCCAAAAGCGTCCATTCCTACTAGAGATCTCTGCAAATGTATTGATTAAACAAGTGCTCTGCACCTAGTTTATTTCAGCATTACTGCGGTCTTTTAGCCTCATCAGCACATTAAATTACCATAAACTGTAATGACTTTCACTCTCGGTATAAATGTCACTTTGTGTCAAACAAACACTGCTGGCTGGGTTGGGTCTGAGTGCAGAAGAGCCATTTTAGTTTAGTTAACTGTCATCTTTCCTCTCAGATCCGTGAAACACGGCAGTCCATGAGGGACAGCGAGAGCGGCTTTGAGCGGCTCGCCATCGGCCATCATATTGGGGATCGTGCACACATAATGGAGCGTTCACGAAATCGCCGCACTGGTGATCGCGAGGAACGGCAAGACTTCATTAACCTCGATGAGAGTGAGTAGTGCTGATGTTCTTCTAACATCGGTTTATCTGTGGATCTTCAGGAAGATGGATGGAGAGCTAATATTGAAGGCAGGCTGGGTTTTAGTTTAAATATCCTGGCTTGTGTTCTTGTTAGCTGATGCTGAAGCGTTTGATGAGGAGTGGAGGAGGGGGGCAGGAAGATACACTTCCCCAAATGCTCGTGGGCTGGAGTACGGTCAGGATCCGCGTGGGGGAGGACAGCAGCTGGCCCTCCCGGCCCCTTCCAACTCAACGCCCCCTCATCGACATGAGTCTCCCAGACACCGTCAGCCCCAAACCCGCCCACGTTACGACTGGTGAGAAGGTAAGGTGGACGTGGACTTCATATGGATGCACCTAAAGTTTGAGTTAAACATTAATCCAAATTCTCAGAAACCACAGCAGCAGATGCTTTCATTCCCTTTAAAACAGACCATGGTTATGTGCTGTAATGGTTGAATCTGTTAATCTGGTTACATGGCTTATTTATTCAGCTTTGGCTTTATAAGATAAAAATAAGAATCCAGATATCTGTTGTTTTCATACCTTTGAAGAAGATTCCTCCAGCTGCAGTTGGAATCCCCAGTCCTGTAAAATATTGGTTTGCAGTTTTGAGATCTAGACCATAAAATCAAAGGGAAAAGTTTAATCAAAATGCGTCATTTTGCTGTTAGTTTGCTGCAGTCATCTCATTTACCAAACAGCTGATTGGTGGAGAACATTTTTTAACAAAAACAGGGAAGCTTTGGTTAGAAATTGTGACTTTCTGCTTGTGTGAAGTGAGAATGTGGCTCTGCTCAGACAGCTGCTGGCTCAACGGGAGCAGCTCGATCATCGTTGCTTCATGTTGTTGACCCCGACTTCAAACTGGAGGCATCAGCGACGCGGAACGGTTTACTCGCTGCGCGCCAAGCCACACCGGGAAAGTCTCAGCCACAAAGCGGCGTCTCCGCCGTCCTCCTCGCTGGATTCGCGACATCACAAAATTCCTCGAGACTTAAAAGGTTACGGTTTGTTTATGCCATCCAACATCAAACCAAAAAGAAGGAGATCGTGTTTGATGTCATATGATGTTGTTTAGCGATGGGTACCGAATTCGGTACTTTTTAAGGTACCGACTGAATTCCATAGCACCGTCTGAGCACAGATTCACGTCTTTTGAAACGGCGCCTCGTTTCGGTACCCGTCCTTCATAACGAGAACTTGCCTAGACAGCTGCGCATGCGCAAGAGCGTTATGTCGGTCGCTGCGAGCGAGTTGTAAACAGAGCAGCATGGTAGAAAGAACGCACGCTAAAGTTTGGCTTCACTTTACTAAATGCGACGGGTGATTGGGTGAAGATGAAACCAGTGACAACGATCTAAGTGTGAGGCATCATCGTTTTAATCTGCTCCAGCAGTTAAATAAACTGTTTAAGATAACGTTAGCTTGATATGTTAGCTTCCATTGCCACCATTGTTATCAGGTAATGTGTAGGAAAAATCAAATGAAAAAGGACGGCAAAAGGAATGAAGATACACAGTAAATTTAGTTCACAGTAAAGATGTTAGCTTCAGTTTAATTATCAGCTTATAAAACTACAAGGACGATGTTAAAATACAAACAGTTGTATGTTGTTTATTGTGATATTTATCAAATATGGTTATATATTGAGAAAAATATATATTTAATTATAAAATAGAATTAAAATATCAAACACTCAAAAGTATCTAAAATTGGTACCGTTAAGTACCGGTATCGATTCCTAGGTACCGGGAATTAGTACCGGATCGATTCAAATGTCAAAGTTACCCATCCCTAAGTTTTTCCTCTCCAATGCCAGGATTAAAGCCATAAAAACACACAATTGCACTTCTCAAAGGATGCTGGGAGTAAATAAGCCGTCGGGTCACATATTGATGTAATCTACATGGATATGAAATTGCATCGCTGCAATAGTCTTTAATTTGAAAATCACCTGGTGTTTTACACTGAAACTGTGATTTCCTGTCTAGCTCCATGTTAACTGTGGAAATCAACGTGTCCCAGAATCGGCTAGTGGCAAAAATCCAATCCTATCTTTAGCGGCATGGCAAACCGCTTCTGAGATGCGCCGGAAAATCTCCACGCCGCGGCCGGTTTGGTTCAACCCTATAGACCCGGAGTATTAAATTCTGGGCCTGGAGGGCCTGTATCCAGCACGTTTTAGTGGTTTCTCTGCCCATGATTCACCTGTGCAGCTACTCACCAGGCTCCGCAGAAGCCTGTTAATCACCTGCTGATTGAAATCAGGTGTGTTGGAACGGAGGTAAAACTAAACGTACTGAACACTGGCTCCCCTGGACCAGGAGTGAGTACCACCGCCATAAACTATAACGGATTCTGTTTGAAGCAGCGCTGTTCTGCGCTGCTGATGCCTCCGGTGTGAAGTCGGGGTTACAGAAACTGTTTGTGCAACTGTTAGCATGTTTTTTAGCTTGCACCTGTTAGCAAGAACCATAAAAGTGTTAATATTATAGAGCTGTTGTGTTTCGGCGTTGATCTAAAAAGCGTTCTGCACATAAAACGATGGCTGGTTTGGTTTAAAAAGCGATTAATCATCGAGAAATCGGAATTCATTATTATTTTTTATTTGATATTTTCTTTTTAGAAAAGCGTTTATAAATTTAAATCTTATCAGCCGAAACATAATTTTCTATTTATTTTTGGTGGAAACGTGATGATTTCCACCATAGATGCTGTAGCTGATGGATTTCCACCTCTCCTGCAGGTGTCCCACTTTTCAAAGCGAGCAGATGGAAGGAGTGGAGGGAGCGCTTCCCTGATGCTGTGAAACAACGCCGAAGATGGAAGTTGATTAATAAAACAACTAGCCGTCGTTAATGTTTGATATGACTGGACTGTCTAAACATAAGCACCATCTTTTACACTCATGCACACAACAGAACATCCCACACTCACTAGTTGCACCTACTGTTACACAGATACAAGATCACCCCTGTGCTAACTTGGGTGGAGCTACACTCACTTTATATAAATATATATAAATATACTCATTCTCCAAACCTGACCTGTGTCTCTACCCGCTGCGCTTAGCGGCTGCAGTAAAACAGTACGTCTGCTGTACAGTCCATTTTATGTTTGTGAGGGCACTTGTGTGTCAGTGAATTGAATTGTATACTGTTAACTAACGAGATAAAATGTCATTAAACATTGTTAGATAATGGAAACTGTGTCTTTTGTGTTCTTTAAGGGTGTGTAGCTATAATTATCAGGTGGTGCTTCAGATGAATTACAGATATCAGAATCAGAGATTTTTAAAAGTGGAAAATGCAAGTTTAGTTACATCCAGGAGATTTATGCGAGTGGAGCCAACGAAGACTCGCAGGCTCGGAGACGACCTCCTGCTGCGTTCTAGGTCTAATGGCATCGTTGCTATTTTTAAGCCCTCCCAGCGGTTTCATCCTGCCACATGTCTTCCTGTCTTCTTTATTCCTAATCATCAGATCTCCATTCTCTTAACAAGACAACCCATCTGTAGCTTTCTTTGCAGAGATTGCTCTCATCTGCTGCCTGCCACCTTAAAAGTACTTTTGATTATTTATTTTCTACAAATTTCTACTTTTACGGAGACAAAAAAAAATACATCCAGGAAATTCAACACGTTTTTTGTTTGCATCCATGCAACTTCAGCTCCATCTTTCTTTTCTCTCCTTGTTTAATTCCCTCCTCTTCTCCCTCCATCTTCCAGTGACTCACTCCCCCTCCCCCACCGTGTCATCCGTTTTCACGTCCTCTTCTCTGCACCGCTCCCTCGTTCGCTCACCTTCAAGCAGGATCAAACGCACGGCAGGTAATGTTAAAAAAGATTGATCTATTTCTTTTTCCAAGCCTCCCCATCCACACCCTCCTCCTCTCCTCTCCTGCTTGCTGTCCTCTCATCTCTCCATTAGTCCTCCTTTCTTAGTCACCAACTGAGACGCCGCAGAAATTGAACTGGCTGCAGGACTGAAAGAGGCTGGCAGGAGATTTTTTAAATGGGATCAAATTATTGGCTTTAGATTTATGTTTGAGTCTCTTGCCTTGTACGAGGGCGTTAGGGGGAGAGCATCTTCCCAGGGAGCCTTGTTTCCACAGCCTTCCATCCATAAGGCTGCGTCACTGTAATCAGAGTTGAGGAGAGGAAGTGAGTGCGAAAGCTCTTGGGTGCAGTGAAATGCCTTTTTCAGTGGTGGTGTTTCTATTTTGAGCAGCATCATCTTCACTTTTCCTTTCGTACCTGTCTTTCTGATCAAACTGAGATGGAAAGGGTTTTTGTTCATGAGCTAATTCAGAATATGCAGGTGAAAGATTTCCTTGTATTTCACAGGATGTCGATAGTGAATATTGTTGCCAGGGAGATCCTGGATTCCAGAGGAAACCCCACAGTGGAGGTGGATCTGCATACGTCCAAAGGTTAAAAGCTGCTACATCCGCCATGACCTTCACCCCCTCTCTCCTCCACCTTTAGCCTTTTACACGTACCGCCTCCTCCCATCTGACCCCTTCCTGTTCCCCAATGCAGGTGTGTTCAGGGCAGCGGTTCCCAGTGGGGCATCAACTGGCATCTACGAAGCTCTGGAGCTCCGGGATGGGGACAAGACTCGCTACAAGGGCAAAGGTGAGCACTTCCCAGGATGAATCACTTCCCTTTATGCTTTATTTTTCTTTTTTCTCCAAGGAAGCCTGCACTGACTCCTCAGTTTTTCCTCTTTTCAAGGTGTGACCAAGGCTGTTGCTCACATTAACGACACCCTTGGGCCTGCTCTCACCGAGTCTGTGCGTAGCAACTGCTAACATGAACAAAAAAAAGGATGAGTTGCATAAACAAATGCTCTGATGGTGACATTTTGCTTTTCCTCCAGGGAGTCAGTGTACTAGAGCAGGAGAAACTGGACAGCATGATGATTGAAATGGACGGCACTGACAACAAATGTGAGGCTTCATGTACATATATGTGCGCTGACATGTCCCTGCACCAGCTGCATCCATGTGTTAAAAAGCTGCTGCCTCTGCGCTCTCCTTCCAGCCAAGTTCGGGGCCAATTCTATTCTTGGAATATCGTTGGCTATATGCAAAGCTGGAGCGGCAGAGAAAGGAGTCCCCTTGTATCGTCACATCGCCGATCTGGCTGGAAACGGAGATCTGGTCCTCCCAGTTCCAGTGAGATTTTCCCTTTTTTCATTTATGTTTAGGGGGAAAATGCAACATTTGACCCTGAAAAAAGGCTAAAAAAAGAAACACCCATTGTCCTATCTTCTTCTTTTTGAGGCTTTTAATGTAATCAATGGGGGCTCTCATGCTGGGAACAGACTGGCTATGCAGGAATTCATGGTCCTCCCAGTGGGCGCAGAGTCTTTCCGTGATGCTCTGCGTGTCGGGGCTGAGCTCTACCAAACCCTGAGAAATGTCATCAAGGAGAAATACGGTCAAGATGCTACTAATGTGGGAGATGAAGGAGGGTTTGCTCCTAATATACAAGAAAACAGTGAAGGTGAGCAAACCTAAAATGTCCCTCTTCTCTTACCTTAGACGTCCTAACAGATTGTCTCTGTCTGTTCTTTCCTGCCAGCTCTGGAGCTGATAAAAACAGCCATAGAGAAAGCGGGCTTCACTGATAAAGTGGTGATAGGGATGGATGTTGCTGCTTCTGAATTTTTCAGTGAGGGGAAATATGACCTGGACTTCAAGTCTCCACCCAATGCTGCCCGCAACATCAGCGCAGAAGAGCTGGCCGACATCTACCAGGGCTTCATTAACAACTACCCAGGTGTGTGTCACGGGGTTTGTGTGTGACTAGTTAATATTTCTATAAGGGTGTGTATTGGAAAGAATCTGATTATCTGATATATATCGGGGAGACGATAAGATATCTATTGCAATACAGGGGAGACAATACGACATATGTATCGCAATGCAGGGGAGATGATACGGTAGGGCTGGGCAATAAGTCGAAAATGTATCGTTATCGAAATGTATGACTCTAATCGTGATAATTTTCCCATGTCAATAAATTTAATAATAAAAAAATGAAAGATGTGTGTAGGTTGGCAGTGTTCATGTCCCTTTAAGAAGCTGTACCACCTTGAGTCACATAAAAATGTGACTCAACTTAATACACGTGACAGCCCCATCTAGTGGACAACTTTTGTTTCTGCACATACCTGTAGTTATCGCCCATTTATCGTTATCGAGGTGAAATCCTCATTATATTGTGATATTGATTTTAGGTCGTATCGCCCAGCCCTATTATACGTTACATATTGCAATATAGAGGATACAACATATATATTGCAATACGGGGGAGATGATGCAATATATATCACAATACAGAGGAGATGATACGATATATATACATATATATATATATATATATATCGCAATGCAGGGGAGATGATACGATATATATCGCAATACTGGGGAGATGATACAACACATATATCTGAAAACAGGGAGACAATAAGAAAAATTTCGCAATACAGGGGACACAATACAACAAAAATATTGCAATGCAAGAGAGATGATACGATATATATCGCAACAGAGGAGAGATGATACGATATATATCACAATACAGGGGAGATGATACGATATATATCGCAATACAGGGAGACGATAAATATATCGCAATGCAAGGGAGACAATACAATAAAAATACTGCAATACAAGGGAGATGATACGATATATATCACAATACAGAGGAGATGATGCGATATGTTTATGTTTATTTATTTGGCAGACGCTTTTATCCAAAGCGACTTACAATTTATAACCTATAGGGCATGTTGTGATCTGTGGGGGGAAACCGGAGAACCCGGAGGAAACCCACGCATGCATAGGGATAACACGCAACTCCACGCAAAAAGGCAGCAGCCGAGTTTTGAACCTGCAACTTTCGTGCGGCGAGGCAACAGTGCTAACAATTGTGCCACCATGCAGCCCGATATATATATCGCAATACTGGGGAGATGATACAACACACATATCTGAATACAGGGAGACGATAAGAAAAATATTGCATTACAGGGGAGACAGTACAACAAAAATACTGCAATACAAGGGAGATGATACGATATATATCGCAATACAGGGGAGGCAATACAACAAATATTTTGCAATACAAGGGAGATGATAAGATATATATCGCAACAGGGGAGATGATACGATATATATTGCAATACTGGGGAGACGATACTTAGGGGAGATTATAAGATTTATATCGCAATAAAGGGTTGACGATACAACACATATATATATATATCACAGTAAAGGGGAGAAGATATGATATGGCAGCATGAATCTTTATCGTGTCTCCTAGAATCTTTGAGCAGACAGGTGTGTAAGCTCAACTGAGGGACGTATAATCACTGCTGGCAGCAATACAGAGCAGGGGTCTCATTTATCAAACATTGCGTAGAATCCTTACTAAAACCATACTTAAGCTCAGCAAAAAATGTACTTACGCCAAGTAGGTTTGTGATCTATCAAACATGGAGTACGCACAGCTGCACGCAATCTCCGCTTCATAAATCGGAGACTAACGAGAATGTTTCTCAGCTGCATTTTAGTCACATCCCGCCCTCACCACGCCCACTTACTGCCATAAATAGTCAATGCAAAGTGCCTCGTGGATCTCATGCATATACATAAGCCGGCTGTTGCAGCGCTCTGCCAATGACATGGCGACCGTAGATCAAGGCAGATCAAGGAAGCGCAATTTCACAGAAGCAGAAATTGAGGTACCTGTGGGTGAGGTGGAGAAATGAAAGGAAGTGCTTTTGCAAAACAAATAAGAGAAAATCCATGGAGTGGCACAGCGTTGCTGAAGCCGTCAATGTTGTGAATTCTTCAGAGAGATCTGTGGCGGATATAAAAGAAATGGTCCAATCGGGATTCAATCCCCAGACTCCCGGGTGAAAGCCACATGTGCTAACCAGTCACCCAAACAGAGATCTTCCTTGTCCAAGTAGCCAGGGCGCATGATCAATCGGGTCACAGTGACAGGACACACACTGTCACAGACGCATGACATTCTGTCACAATCTGTCCCCCTGCTAATATTCTGCATTCCATATTCTGTGCTTCAGGCTGTGTGCGTGCGTGCGTGTGTGTGTGTGTGTGTGTGGGGGGGGGGGGGGGGTCTTGTTCTGTGTGAAAACAAAGCAGTACAAGTGATAACGCTGCATGATTTCATAATTTTATCCTTCTCAGCAGCAGCACTGCAGGTGCTCTCCATGTCCAAAATGTGCGTAAGCAAGGTCCTTAGTCAACTTAAAGTTGTGCACATTTTTCCGCTAAGTTTTCTTTCATAAATCCCAAAGTTTGCGTGGAAAGTTGCTTACATAGTTTTCCGACCCCGTTTTGTGCGTAAGCAAGCTTGATAAATGAGGCCCCAGACCACTTCAGCTATCAGGTTGCTGGAAATTGTCCCGGTGCTCCCAGTCGCTACTCTGCCACTGTATTACAATACATGGGAGAAACGATACAATATCTACGACAATAATTGGAAGGTGATACGATATGTGAAACAAAAAAGGGGAGACAATTCGATATATTGCGACACTAAACGCCAGATGATATTTCCATTTTAAAAACAGAATTTTGTTGGAAGTGTCTGGCCTGAGCTTTCCAAGATACATCCAGTGATGTCACAAAATCTCATCAGAGCGTTAAAATCTGCTGCCACCTAGCAGTCTGAGTTAGAATTGCACCTCACAAATTGAATACAGTAAAGATTTGTAAATTCTCAATAGAAAATGGATACACTGCTTTTAAATAGTGAATAAGTATCACAACATGAAACAATGAGATATTACAGGTATCACTGCCTTCTTGCATAACTAATTCCTATCAAAGAAATCCAGCTCTGAAGAACCTGACAGATGTGTAGCTAATGTGCAAATGGAGTATTAGTCAAACGAGGAGGTTTGTTATCTTATCAGTGATGTATCATCAGTGTTTTAAACCTCGAGGCTTTATTTGACTCATTCACGTGATTTGATCTCTTCTTCCTCTCTTTCTTTAAGTTGTGTCTATTGAAGATCCCTTTGATCAAGACGACTGGCCAGCTTGGTCACAGTTCACATCTTCAGTGGGCATCCAGGTGACGTAATATTCATGGACATACAATAGTCATTATTGTGTATTTTTCAGTCATTTATGATTTGTTGTTTTTGGTCATAAAAAATTAGAGATGTACCCAAAGTATTGGCCAGTGATTAGAATCTGTAAACATTCAGAATGATTGGTTTAATCAATGATCTTCTCATCTGAAACTCAAAAATCTGATTTTTTTTGTTTATAAATGCGCTAATATACTTCAGTCTGTGAACTCATCATTGATAGCTGCTAATTTGCACTAGCAAGAGCATGAGTTCATCAAATTCTTTAATGTATTCTATTAATTACATTTTTTTTTAAGATAAAATGGCTAAAATCTGCTTCAGGAGGTCAGAGCTGTTCAAGAATCCAAAATCAGTATCAGCTCTTATAACCAGACTCTCCAAACATCCCTAAAATAAATCCTGTTACTAGATTACCAAACTTTGGAAAAGGTCACTTCCTTAACAAAAAACCTTTAGATCAAATATAAATCATGGTTGAGTCGCCTTTTAACATTTATCTGTACACCCTCTCCTCCTAGAAATAACAAAAAACTGTTTGGATTTTCCAAACTTTGTTGTGTCCCAGGTGGTCGGAGATGATCTGACTGTGACGAACCCACGCAGGATACAGCGAGCCGTGGAGGACAAGGCCTGCAACTGCCTGTTGCTCAAAGTCAACCAGATTGGATCTGTGACGGAGGCCATCAAAGCGTACGTTGTGTGTTTTAATCCAACCATCCTGCAGAATTTTAAATGGTAAAATATGAGAATTGAGATGGTTTCCCTCTGTTTTTGGTTCTAAGGTGTAAGCTGGCCCAGGAAAACGGCTGGGGGGTGATGGTGAGCCATCGCTCAGGAGAAACAGAGGACACTTTTATAGCTGACCTGGTGGTCGGCCTTTGTACCGGACAGGTAAAACACACAGGTTCCTGCATTTGATCAAATTGTTATCAGTGTAACACAATAAAAACTATACCTGAAATCATGGTGATTCATGTTGAGAGAATGATTTTAGTTTGGTAGCTTCATGTCTTTTTGAAATTATTTGCGTGGACCTTTAACAATAGGTGTCATTTTGGAACATTTTACAGATTATTTAAAGAGCAAGTCACCCCCTACCAAAGTTTTATGGGCTCGACACACGGGAGGTGACATCGCCTCTCCTCCATTAATTTTCAATGAGACATGCGTGACAAAGCGATAATCGCGGGTCACCCTCCTACTAAGCGAAACGCGAAAAACGTGCGTGTGAAATTTTGCGCTCGTGCGCGTGTCGTGCACAGGTGACCCAGCGACGCGATCCAAGAAAGTTGAAACATTTTCAACTTTTCATCGCTGTCGCTCGGACGAGGACTAATCAACGGAGGTTTCATTCACTGACCAATGAGCGGACAGGATGCTCCGTACATCTCCGAGCAAACATGGAGGAGAAGTTGATTATTATTATGTTTTCTATAGTAAAATCACAAGTAAGATTTCACATAACTCTAGCATTGACGGCATTTGGACAGAACCGTACTCCGTTGTGTCCTGGCAACAAGCGCTGCTTCTTGCTACAGTTAACCCTCCCACTGTCCTCATGGGTGACCCCGCGAGGAAGTTGACCATTGAGCAGGATTGATGGTTTATCCCTTGAGGTCCACCCCTGCCACGTGGTCCTCAAGGGATAAACCGTCAACTTTCCTCGCGGGGTCACCCATGAGGACAGTGGGAGGGTTAAAAAAAACGACCTGACATAAAAATAAAGTCTAGTTTCTTCCTTAAATAACTAAATAATAGGGCTGCACAATATATTGTAAATATATCGTTATCGCGATATCAGCATGCACAATATGCATATCGCAAAGAACAGATAAATATCGCAATGAATGGTCAGCTCATATGTTTGCTACACATAATGCATTCTGTCAATCAAACGGAAGCATGATTTTTTTTTTAACAAATCAAATAGAGCTCTTCACCCATTTGGTCAAATGGGTGGGTTCTCATAGGTTAGATGCCCACTCCTGAGGTGGACGGCACTTAATTTTGATGGTTCGCAAACACCTGAGTTAGCTCTTTTTGCTGATTCAGCTTTTCCTGGGATCCACTGATTGCCTTTTCTTGTTCATTTTCTTTTTCCCTATCCTCACATCTTTTGCTTTTCTCATTTTTATGATTTTTTAATTTCTTTGATTTTGATTATTTTTGCTCCTGAGTTAAGTTTTTATTTATCGCAAGTAATATCGTCATCGCAATATTAATCGTTATCGAATATCGCAGGTTTTCCTAATATCGTGCAGCCCTACAAAATAACAACAAAAATATATTATTGGTATTATATTTGCCCCACTTTTGATCAAAACTATTAAAATACTAGCATTTCCCATTCTTTAATGAATTTAAAAAAAGTTTATTTTTCATCAGAACAGTCCTTCGATGCTTTTATTTTGATAGTGGGTAAGCTAATTAGCATTCTGAAGGATGGTGATGAGTAAAGCTCAAATACACACAGCAAAATTTATTTACAATAACAGACAACTTTATATTATTTTATTTATATTTTTAATATAAAACATTACATTTATTAGCTTTCTCCTATGACGTTCGAAGTTTAACGGTTTGCAATGCATTATGAGAAACTGTGCTGTCCCAAGTCCACCGAAGGATGCATTGATGCATCCTCAATACAATGGGCGGAGCATGAGCACATCCGGGAACTCTGAGCGAACTTTCCGTTATGCATACTTAGGACTGGAACAGTCCTTGGGCCGTCGTTGATGCCGTTTTACAAGGACGTGAATACACAAGTTCAAACAAATATGCATATGGAGAAACGGCCACAGGCTCACAATGACATTGTGACATCATAATGTACCAGCTAACATCATAGTGTACCTCTTAGCCAATAGCAATGGCAGATTTAAATTCAAATGCAGTGCAGAGTTTTTACCTGAAGATGGCGCAACACTGACAGTTTGAGGCAGAATATTTATATTTTAACTAAGATGCACTAAAGTATCCAATTATTGACCACAGCATGATTAGACACTCATTTATATAGTTTATCAGAAAGAAAAAGTTTATTTGGGGGTGACTTGCTCTTTAATAAATAGAATACATAAAAAGTAAATGAGAAATTATGTAATCCGTTACTTTTTTATGCCTCATCAGATCAAGACTGGAGCTCCGTGTCGATCTGAGCGTCTAGCTAAATACAATCAGCTCATGAGGTGAGTATTTACAGTGCAAAACACTCGAATATCTTTAAAAATCTGTTTCACTCCCTTTTCCTTCTCTGCTTTCATCCTCACCTCCTCTTCCTCTCAGGATTGAGGAAGAGTTAGGTGAACAGGCACGCTATGCTGGGCACAACTTCCGCAACCCCAGTGTCCTCTGAGTCCCGCCGACCGAAAACATGAAAACAATGTTAAATGTCCCACACAGGTAATTAATTGTGTCAGCGAAGCCCAAAACACACAGAGACACACTTTAAAATACATAAAATGCACATAAAATATTAGATCTGAAGAGGCAAAGTGACACGTCTGGTGTAGGTTTTCTGTGATTCCTCTTGTTGTGGTCTTTTCACTCACTGCCAACATGTTCGAATCTCTTGTGTCCAGCTGCTTTGTCTCATCCCTGGTCCGTTGTTGTTTCTTTGTCAAACTGAATAAAGAGATGAAAAAATGTAACTCAAACCGAAACTCTGCTTTTATTTAACGTAATACAACTCTAACCAGGCGTGACACCGCAGCTCTTGTAGGTTTGATATCTTGTGGACTCTAAGAGGAGGATTTGGGATTAATTCAGAGTTCTTGCAGGTAAAGATGCATTTTTAAAGTTCTCAATCCTCATGATGACAACAGCAAAATAATTATCTTCAGTCAAAATGATTCTATGTAGTGCAGAGCCGTAGTCACATGCTTTATAGTATAGATCTTTATATTTTGCTTAAAAAATGACTTTTCATGTAATTTCATAAAGTGACAGAGAAAAATTATTTTCTTTTTTTACAAGTTTGCTTATTAGGCCACTAAATCTTTACTTGTGAATTATTACAACATCAAATAATAATAATAATAGTATTATTAATTTTGAAAAAACTTAAAATTTCACGTATATCAGCGTTGTGTCTGAACATAACAGGTGTTTTAGTACTCAGTTTTATATTGTAGTCCATGATTGATTTCTAAATTCACCTTTGTAAATTGGTGGTGTTTCTAAATGGAAAATACCATCCCATAATACACTCGTAAACCTCGTGGAAAGCCTTCCCAGAAGAGTTGAAACTTTTAAAGCAGCAAAGATTGAGCCAACTTGGTGTTGGGCTTTATTGGATTATGTTAAAGTTCATGTGCTGTATTAAAAATGCAAATACAGTACAACATAATATTTAAGTAACAAAATATCACTTTGTGCCAAAAATGTGACAATTAACCTCCCAAAATATAAACAATAATTGTAAAATAATAACGTTGCATTTCTGGAGAACTAAGTGCTGTTTTTTCTTATGGGTTTCTGCTAGAGGTTTTTAAAAGATCCACCAATTAGCGTTATATTTTTATTTTGTTAATTTCCTCTGAGTTTTATTATTTTAATAAATGAAAAAATGCTTTAAAAGACAGAAATTCTGGAAGCCTAATCATGACCACTTTAAATTATTCGGAAGTCTTGAGGCGACGCATACAGACTACAGGGAAGCTTTCTGTCTTTTCTAATAATCCTGAGAAGCGTGAAAAGCTCGAACTTTCTTATCTAGATTGTCCATTATATGCGTTTTTGTGTTATAAGCACCTTTTGACGTCGCGTGAACAAAAAGGGGCCTGAGCAGCGCAGCGTTTTTGCAAACCCGCCAGCAGGGGGCGCGCCTTCGAGGCCTCTTGCGCCAGGCCCTGCTGCGTGCTGTCGCCGGTGAAGATGATGATGATGAAGGAAGGTTCGAGGCACGCAGGCGCACTGCGCACAGGCTCCGGACGGGTTGTCATGGTTACCACACAATAGGAGACGGGACAGGGGGCTGCGCGAAGGGGAGCGGAGAGAAGAGGGAGTGAACGGCAGGAGCGAGGAGGAGGTCTGCAGAGCCGCTTGACTGGACACACCGCAGCGAGCTGCTGAACAGACTCCAGAAATGAGAGGAAATTAATGGTTTCCAAGCGAGTTGGAGCCGTCTTTGTTCAGTCAGACAATGGCGATGCTAAAGTTCTCCTAAAAAATCTTCATCCTCATGTGTTTGATGGGTTCAGTGAGCTGTGTGAATCAGACGGGCCTGCTCTGTCGGGTCCTCTGCGGGTTGTTGTTCAGTCTATCAGAGGCTGTTCTTACAGTAAAGGTGACTCTGGACGAGCTAGGGACGGGCCCTCCCTCTGGACCCCCCCCCATGCAAATCACGCCCTCACCACTCTCCCTTTCCCTCACCCGACGTGCGTCCCTCTCGCTCTGGCTCAGCCCTACGCAAAATATTTTGACTGTAGACTTGAGGAGAGGGGTGGTGTAGGGGGAAAATAAAAGTGCAAGTCGTCTTGAAGGAACAAGGGGGAGCAGGTAGGGTGGGGGGTGGGGGGGGGAGAAGGGGGAGGCAAAATAGGAAGGAAAAAAAAGGGGGTGGAGAAGAGGCGAGGGTGTACGCATCAATTTGTACAGTCCTCAGTTGGCACCCCTGTTTTCTCCCTGCGAGAGATTTCTTCTGCGTTATTGTTATGACCGGAGCCCTTTGCAGCATGAACCAGCTCGAGCCCATGTTGTTGACAGACGCCTGGGCTCCGAGGTGTGCGCGTGAGCGTGCAACATAGAGCGACAAAACCCGGGAGAGAAAGGGGAAAGTGGGAGAACGCATCGCTGGATGCTGTAGGTAAGGAAAAGGAAAATGGATTCTTGCACTCCTCCGCTGTGTGTATGTTTTAGAGCCACGTTTGTACGCTTCCTGCCATTTCCCCCCTCTCCTTTGTGCGCTAAATAACCACCAACCCGCGTTATTATTGGACAAATTAACGTTAAAGCGAGCGCACGACGCGCATCCACTTTCCAGCCACTGAAAAAGGGGGGGAAAGAGGAAATCAACCGGCGGTTCCAAATGCCACGATACGCCATTCTGAAACACCTTTCAGGGTTCTTCCCCGTCATTTTATTTTTTACGTGTGCATTGGTCGGGGCCAGCTCTGCGCTGGCATCCACTCGGATCTATAACATACCGTGATGTGTGCTGCGGAACATGGACGTACTGGCAGCTTTCGGTCATCTGCGTGCGCGTGCATCAATAACATTTGCAGGAAGAAAAGAAGAAAGAGTGCAGTGCCCGCTCGCTTGGTGATGCAAGCAGAGCCACTGCATGCCGCTGCTTTGCATCACATGTGGAGGCCAATTTGTTGATGGTGCGTGTGCTGTGGATGGTTGCGTGGAGCGTGCAGAGTGGGACCGTAGAGGTGGTGGTGGTGGTGATGGAGCTGCTGGTGTTTACTGGCCAGACAGGGCCAGTAGCTGCCACCTGTAACTGAGATGCATTGTGCGGCTCTACACCAGTGTCATGAATTAAACGGTGTACATAAAAACTGAGCCCATAAGTCTGAATCTTCCGCTGCAGCATGCACTAATTAATGCATAACCATCAGTGGTGGAGCTTCATGATTTGGCTTCCTTTACATCCACCAACAGTGTTCCTGCACGTCTACAGTGTGCACTATCTTTACCGTTCATTCAATATACATGAGCCGTTTTTTTCATCATGGTGACACATGAATGAATGGATTAGACAAGCCTTATTAGTACCTACTGTTCATTGTCGACTACAACCACACAGAGAAAGAATCTTGACATTGTTCATTTCCCTAATGGCTTGCTGAATAAATGGGCATGTGATTCTTCAGGCCATAACCAGGTCATGTGGGTTAACCACAAGTGGCTGTGGGTTGTAGGGAAGGTGGAGGCAGAGAGGGAGGGCTGTGTGCTGCCATTTTTCCACAGATGTTTGCTGGAGTTCTCTGCACCAGCTTGAACCCCAAAATCCAGATGAAGACGTGCATTTTTTGGAAAACCTCGAGTCTTTTCTGGGCTTTGGCGTTGTGTGAGTGATCTCTGTGTTGTTTTGGAGCTGCAGTGGTGAAAACAGTGGGCAGAGAGGATCGCCAGTACCAATACAGTATGGAGCGTGCAGGAAATGCTGCTACTTTTGCAGTTGTGCACTCGGATGTTTGCAAAGTGTCACCCGCTCCTGAACCCCACTCACAGTGCACAGAACAAACAAGTTAGCATCTAGCATCCTTTAGTGATGCTGAATTCTCAGGAGGGATTTTGTGCCGACTGAAATCTTTCTTTTGCATGTGCTTCTTCGCAGGGTTTGGTAACACTGCATCGCAGCCAAGTCGGTAAACAACTGGATCCAGTTCAGTTCCTGCAATGGCTTGTGTTGTAAAATGGACGTTGTGAAGAAGAAATAATGAAAACAAGGACGCACAAAGAATCGGTACGCTCAAGGCCTGTCTTTGGTTTTTTTCTTTTTTTTTTTTTTTTTTGCTGTGCGGGTTTGTGCCCGATTCATTTCTCTTCATATTATTATAATATTAGATTATTCTTCAAAATAGCCATTTTAACAAAGAAGCAGAGGATTTTATTGGTTGTCCCTGCATGTTTGCGTTTGACTTCGAATTGAATGACTTTCCTTCAAATAAAAATAACTTTATTGTCTCTTTAAAGAGCAAGTCACCCCCAAATAAACATTTTTTTGCTGATAGACTCCTACAAGAAGCGGACTTCACTCCCACTTCATGTTTGAAAAATGCAACAAGTGCCGTTGCCTGGCAGGCCGAGAGGGTGGAGCCACTAACAAATACACACACTCACGACATTGTGACATCATAATGTACCAGTTTACATCATATCATACCTCTTAGCCAATAGCGGTGGCAGATTTAAATTCAAATGCAGTGAAGAGTTTTTACCTGACAATGGCACAACACTGCCAGTTTCAGGCAGAAAATTTAAATTTTAACTAAAATGCACTAAAGTGCAAAACTATTGACTACACGCAGTACGATTAGACACGCATTTATATAGTTTATCAGAAAAAAATAGTTGATTTGGGGGTGACTTGCTCTTTAATGAAGAATTTGACTCTGGCTTCTTTTTGTTTCGACTTCCTTTGTTTCCAATAAACTTTTAACACTTTGCACCACATGCCGTGTTTTTCGCTTGACTCTGCAGATGCCCATGCGCAGTGGGCGACAGAGGGGGGCAAGCGAGGAGCGAAGGGGTAGACGCCCTCACGCCAGCCCGACTCGTCCTGATCGCAGTGACAGACAGACGGTCAGAGCTCGTCTCCTTTGCTGTCCGGGTCTTGATTTTATATTAGCGTCCAAAAGTCATGCATGATCTAAAAAACAAAAATATAGACAACAACGGTGCTTTGAATTCTGTGAGATTTCAGCAGACATACTCTTGCAGCGTGTGTTGTGCAGCGTAGAATGCTGAAAGGATGTGTGTGTGTGTGTGTTTGTGTAAGTGAGTGAGAGGGGAAGGGCATGCGGCTAGGGCTTAGTTCTAAAATCAGACGTAGCTTTCCTGAATGATTCGGATGCATCGTAACACAATTAAAAATCTCTTGTCGTTTTTAGCAAAGAGGAGCTGGTGAGGAACTGGCTGGGAGTCGCTTCAGCTGCAGATCACAAGGGCATGATTCATCCGAGAGTGAGGGGGAGGAACTTGTATCTCCTCCAAAAAGGCAGAAAGTTCAGGTTTGTGTTACATTGTGTTATATAAAAGCCAATTATAATGCTATGATTCAAAGAAGTCACTCAAAGGTGACTGTCTCAGCCACAGATATATTCTTTCCATTCCAGTAAGAAACAGTCGGTATTATCGTTTCTTATCTCAACCAGGAATTGTCCTCTTCTTGGCAGGAGTCAGCTTCTACCCCAAACCCTCCAACGTCAACACATTTGACTGAAAGCTCAACTCCTTCCACGGTCCCACCTCCAACCTCAGTTGCCAGCCAATCCCGCGAAAGTGACAATGAGGACGGCCAATCCCAGGGCAGTAGGAGTTCAGTGGTAGGGAGCCTGGCCAATAGCAGCAGTAGTCTGAGCAGCGGGCGGGATATAGACCAGGACAATCGTTCCTCATCTCCAAGTCTTTCTGCCTCACCTTTGGGTAGCCTGGACTCCGACTCCGACGGTCCTGAATCGCCAAAGCAAGGAGAGCGTGAGAAAGGTAAAGAGGGTGGAGCAGGGAAGGTCACCGGAGAGGATCAGAGAGCGCTGCGAGATGGGAGAGGGGAAGAATCCTGTGGAGACGGAGAAAAGCGAGATGTGGAGACGGCTGAGGACTGTCCGTCTTTGAAGCCCCCTTCCACTCCCATCTCTTCCTCCAGTCTGACTCCCTCTCTCCGTGGAGCTGGAGATTCATCAAATGACAGCAGTAGTGGAAGGAAGTCGTATTTCTCTTTGGACTCCAAACTGATGTGCAAAGTTGAGTACGGTGCACCGACGAGTGTTGAAGGTTCTCTAAGTGGCGGCAGGATGACTTCCAAAGCTAACGCTCAGTGCATCAACAAGACAGCCATCTCTGGGGGAGATTATTCACATAATAGCCCCAATATGCCCCATTCGCTACCCCCTCCACCCGCCCTGAAGCCCTTGGAGATTGGAGGACAAAACTTGCCTGCTGAGGTTAAAACGGAAAAAGAGAAAATGGAAAAAGCAGAGAAACTACTGGACAAAACTCAGTCAATGCCTCCTTCTCTGCTGCCACAACCTGGTCCTCAACCCCAGCCTCAGCCCCAGAACCCACCTCCCAGCCACCCCCACCACTACAGCTCCACCAGTTGGCAGGGTGGCACAGCAACTGGTTGTCAGGGTAGTTGGGGCTACTCCCGTTACTCTGGCAACCACCACCCACAGCACCAGCCCCCTGTTCAGCAGCAGCAACTTCCTTCTGTTTACAACCCTCCTTCCTCTCGCCACTCCTCCTCCCACCCCTCTTACCTCCCCCATCCTCACCCTCACCCCCACAGGGAGTACCTTCCCAGGTACGCTGGAGGGGGAGGCGATAGAGAGAGGGGGGCTGTAGGAGAGAGGGAGAGGGGAGTGAGAGGGGAGTGTGGGGGGAGAGAGATCAGCCGGGAGTTTTCTGCTCCTGTCGGCAACAGCAGCAATGGTAGTGGTGGGGTCAGCAGCAATAATGGCTGTGGAGCGATGGGTGGGCCCAACAGCGTTCCAGGTAGGGAGTACGGCGGTTTGACAGCGGGGCAGAACCGAGATTACCAAGGTTCTGGGAGAGATGGACCCGGCTTAGGTCCAGAGAGAAGAGACTTTGGTCCAGCTTTTAGGGACAGGGAGCGGGAAAGGGATCGTGAGGGAGGAAGGGAATTTAATTTGCCAAATCAAAACCAGAGTAGAGACTTTGGCCCCAGTGGAACTGCAGGGGGGCATCCCAGAGACAAAGATGGCAGCAGATGGGGGGAGTTTGGGGGCCAGACAAGAGACACTTTGAGCAACAGCAACCCCAACAACAACTCAATACCACAAGGAAATCTCCCAAGTTCAGCCAGCGGGTTACCAGTCACCCCCAGCCTCAACCGTGACCCACCTGCATCACCCCAAAGCAATCCTAATCACCTTTCTCATTCGTCACTTCCCTCACATCCTCACTCACACCCCGCAAACTCATCAAACAGAGACTTCCCTCCGCCCATGGACCAGACACAAACGTCCTCCTCTGGAGCAGACCACTTTCACAGAGAATATCCTCCAGCTGGAGCTAAAGACTTTCCTACTGGGGTACCTCCTCCCACTGGCACAAACAGAGAGTACTTGAGCTCTCCTGGGGTGACTCCAAACCTGGGTCGAGAGTATTCAGGGCCTGGAGGACCCCAACACCCTCACCCCCCTCCCTCTCACTACCAGTCCGGGCTCAAAGAAAGAGAAAGGGATGGCAACCTGCGAGACACTGCTCTGTACCAAAGCCGTGGAGGCCCAAATCAGCCTCCTGCCCTCTCTCCCTCTTCGTCTTCAGGTCACCATGCACAATTTCCCCATCCATCTCCGCAGCCACCTCTACCCCCATCTCAAACCTCCCATGCCCAACCATCCCCCTCAGGTATGGGACACGGTGTCCGTCCCCCACACTATCAGTCATCTGCCCAGACTCCTCCAACACCCCTGTCTCCATTACCCAGCCCATCCACTAATCCGATGGGACCCTTCTCATCCTTCCCCCCTGGCACCTCCGCTGCACCTAGTGTACAAGTTCCTGCCACAGGTGTGCCGTCCAGCTGCTCACCTGGATGTCGCCCTTCGTCTTTTCACGGCACTTTGAACAACCACCCTCAGTTCAGTGGAGCCTATCACTCTAATGGGAACAATGGCAGCTCCGTGGTGAACAGTGGTAGCAACAGTAGCACGGCCGGTAGCAGTAACACCAACTCGCAGTCGCTCTCACCCCAGAACGTCCCAAAGGTTCCTCCGCCTCTTAGTAGCTCCAATAACAGCAGCATCTCAACACCTGCCTCAAGTTCCTCGCTCCCCAGTGGAGAGGGACACTCTGAATCAGGCCTGCCTCCCACACCTGTCATCAAAGAAGAACCACCGGAGGAAAGGGAAGAGGGTGACAGCCCGCCGCCGGTGTTGAGAAGTCCTTCACCTGAACCGAAACATGTTGACATTCCGATTCATGCCAGCCAATCAGCGAGGTAAAGTCAAATCAGGATGGTTAGTTAGAGATGAACGAAAATATCGATACATTGAAATATTGCAATATTTTGTGTTATGGTATATTACCTGTATTTGTATAGCACACACTAGGGTTCTACAACCCCCCAAGGCGCTTCACAGCATAATCAGCCTCTCACCTAAGCACGCACACATTCACACGCTGGTGATGATGAGCTACAATGTAGCCACGGCTGGTCTGGGGCGCACTGACGTAAGCAAGGCTGCCGAACAATGGCGCCACCAGTCCCTCCGACCGCCACTAGCAGGCAAGGCGGATTAAGTGTCTTGCCCAATGACACAACAGCAGACGTAACGGACTCGATCCCACAACTTCCTGGTTACGAGATGGGGCCCTTAACTCCTTTGCCACCATCATCCCATAAATACAGACTCAGTATTTAACCCTCCCACTGTCTTTATGGGTGACCCCGTGAGGAAAGTTGACCATTGAGCAGGATTGATGGTTTATCCCTTGAGGTCCACGTGGCAGGGGTGAGGTGGTGCTCACTCCTCAGCCCTGCCACGTGGACCTCAAGGGATAAACCATCAATCCTGCTCAACGGTCAACTTTCCTCACGGGGTCACACCCAGTAGGACAGTGGGAGGGTTAAAAGTAGTTTATTGATTTTTATTGAAAATTTGCATGCAAACATATACTGTCTTTTAAGTGGTGCAATTCAAACTCCGACTGCTAGGTGGCAGTAGTTTTTACTGCCTTCATTCTGACAGAACAAGATCTCGCGATAACACTGGATGTAAGCATCTGGCCTGAGATTTCCATCCAGATTTGTCTTAGAAAATGCAAATATTGTCTCGCTTTAAGTATCGCGATATATCGTAACGTCCTACCTTCATTGTAAATGGTAAATGGCCTGTGTTTGATATAGCGCCTTCTAGAGTCCTGGAACCCCCCAAGGTGCTTTACAACACAATCAGTCATTCACCCATTCACACACACATTCACAAACTGGTGGGGATGAGCTACGATGTAGCCACAGCTGCCCTGGGGCGCACTGACAGAGGCGAGGCTGCCGAGCACTGGTGCCACCGGTCCCTCCGACCACCACCAGCATTCAATGTGGGTTAAGTGTCTTGCCCAAGGACACAACGACAGCGACGGACTGAGCGGGGCTCGAACCTGCAACCTTCCGATTACGGGGGCGAGCACTTAACTCCTGTGCCACCGTCGCCCACATTGTGATAAATATCGTATCGCCAGATTCTTACCAAAACACCTCTAGTCTAAAAGTCCCATTCACTGTTTTATCAGCGTGTTTCTGATGCATTTCAGGTTTCACAAGGTCCTTGACCGTGGCAGCGGGAACTCCTGTGCCCGCAGCGATGTCCTCTTTGTTCCGTTGGATGGCTCCAAGCTGTGGAAGAAGAGAAATGAGATGATTGAAAGAGCTCGCAGGGAAGTCGAGCAGAGAGCAAGAGACCTGAGAGAGAAAGAAAGGGAAAGGGAAAGAGAACGGGAGCGTGAGCGTGAGAGGGAACTGGATCGACATCTACAGGTGTGCACAGTCCACCATGACAATTATGAGCGGTGTCGGCTTTAATGGATTTTGATGTAGATTAAATTGATTTGTTTAATGGGAGGAGAGTAATGTAGGTCAGGAAAACATGATTTACTGTCTTCTCTTGTTTTCTTTTTAGCAGCAGAAAGATGTCAGCGCTGCCGGAGGGGGTCGCCAGGGCTCCTCGCTCTTCTTCCCCCCCTCATCCTCCATCATTCTTGACCCTTCATCTTCTGTTTGTTCCTCCGGCAACCCGGTCCCTCACCCTCCCTCTCATCCCCAGCATCACCCCTCACATCCCCACGCTCACCTTCCTCCAGCACACCATCTCCACCCAAGTCTCTCCCACACCATTCCCCACTCCCTCCTCTTACCGTCCATGGGTGGGGCACCAGCGGTGGTTGGTGGCCCCCAAGGGGCCCTGGGAATAGGTTTGGGAGGTCCTTATTTGGGTCCTGACACACCAGCACTGAGAACTCTGAGTGAATATGCTCGTCCTCATGCAATGTCTCCACTTGGAGCTGCAAGTCGTGCTCAGGCACACCACGCCCAAGTTCACCATGGCCACCCCCACGTCCACCCCTCTTTCTTCCTTCCTCAGTTTCAGAATCACGCTTTAAGCCACCCTCACCTCCCCACTGATGCAGCAACTGCAGCAGCCATCCTGGGCTTTTTGTATGGTGGGAGCCTGGAAGGTGGTCCGGGTGTTCCTGGGCACCCTGGGATGGCAGGAGGCCCGGTACCAGGAGGGATTGGGGGAGCAGGTCTAGGGGGGGTGGGCTTCCCTCATGCAATGGCTGCTCATCGAGAGAGGATAAAGCCTGGGTTTGAGTTTAAGAGCGATGAGCGAGTTTACCCACCAGGTTCCATACCTGATCCTGCAGCCATTGCTCTTGCTCACTCGCATTCACACGCCCATGCTAACTCCCATGCACATGCTCACTCCTTGCTTCTCGAAGGAGGTGCTGCAGGAGTTAATGAGGTGTCACTCTATGGCACTCCTCCAGCACTACCTGGACCCCCACATCTTCAAAACCCAGCTCTTGCACCAATATCTCGACCTCCTAATCCTCCCGCTTCCCAGTCCTTGTCCAATCCACCTTCATCTCTCCTCCCAGCTTCTCTCCCCTCTCACCCTTCATCTGCTCCACTGGCTGCCCCCTCAGCCCCAGCAGCCCCTTCTGCACCGCCGCCAGCGCCTCCTCAGCCTGCTCCGCCAACTTCCAACGTCGCCTCGATTCATCACCCTGTCCCCCATTCTTCTTTTCCAAGCTCTCTGTCCTCTCATTTGCCACCACCTCCTGCCCCAACTGCTCCGTCCGAGACCTACCCGACTCCCACCCGCTCCCCTGCGCCCTTTGAGCGCGACAGGAGTGGAGAAAGAGAACGGGACAGGGAGAGGGAGCGGGAGCGGGATCGAGCAGCTTTGCCGGCTTTTGGCGACAGAGAGAGAGAAAGAGAGAGGGAGCGAGAAAGGGTAGGAAGTGGGGGAGGCGGAGGAGGAGGGAGTGGAGGCGGAACAGGGGGAGGGAGTGGAGGAGGAGGAGGAGAGAACCTAGGACGTCTTCAGATGCTGAATGTGACTCCTCACCATCACCAGCATTCACACATCCACTCCCATCTTCACCTGCACCAGCAAGACACAGGTACCCACTGCTACTAATGACATCATCAGCTCACACAGAATCCTGCTATAGTCAGAAATAAGTTTTACAAAGTTTATTTACTACAAACCTAAAATGGAAAAAAAAACTTGATATTATAAAGATCAAAATGCTTTAGAACGGAATTTCGGAGTTGAAGTATAGCTTTAGTTACACAAAACAACACCTCAATATTAGGATTTCTCCAAATTGATGTAAAAAAAATAATCTCCAGAAAGAAGATGTTTTTAGTTTATGTAGCTTTTTTTTTGTGTTTAGCAAAAGTTATGCTGAACAGTTACCTTGGTTCAATACATATGAACCAGGAGTGTTTCAGTTATGGCCCACAGGCCATTTGCCCCCATAGGAGTGAGTTTGACTGCAACACAAAATAAGTTGTCCCAATTCTCCCTCCTACTGGTTGAAAGTAGAACTACAACTGCTGTGGCCCTCTGTCTAACCTACACAGAGGAGTCTAGAGGTCTTAGAGGCAGAGAGCACAATGAGGGGCGGGACTAGCAAGCTCAAAAATCACCAATCAGTAAACAGGCGGAAATGACGACTGTATAGGGCGGCGCTGTAGTTTTTTAGCTGCAGTCAAAGTTTGGCGTCGGCGCAAACGTCTTTCTTTAGAAGAAAGGCTTTTAGCACTCCTTGTGGTTTTAAAGATGTGTCCATGTCATTTAGAACAGAGGAAAGAGCCACAGCAAACACCTCTTCAGACGCCATCTTCTTTGTTTGTAAGAAACTGAGCGTCGCGGTGTGTGACGGACGCTGCTCAGCGCTGATTGGCTCGGTTAGAATTCTCAGGGGGTGGGGCTATTTGAATAGAAGCGTTACCAGGCCCTTTGCTTCCCATGAGGTGGCATTGGCCTGGCTGGCCAGGCTAGCAGCCTGCTGTAGCTAGCACTAATGAGCTAACGCTAACATGTGCCTACTAATACTAAAATAAACAACAAAGTAAAAAGATCCACACTGTTGGGACAAAAATATTATTACTTACATGTCAAGTAAAAACAAAGCCATGATGGCAACAAAAAAAAATGTTCTGCTTTTTATTGACAACCGGCTAACTGAAAAGGCTAGCCTTTATATTAGCTACAGCCATTGTAAACAGCAGGTAGATAGCACCTCCGAGTAAAGTTTACCTCAAGAATCACTGAAACCACGTTGAAAGCAATAGCTTAAAGCATTAAAAACTCTTTAAATCTGCTTTAAAAGCCACTTTTTCACGATATAAGTTAATAAGGAAATTTCAGGTGGGTTGGGGTAACAGGAAAAATACGCTGGCTCGGTCCTCTCAGCTGTCTCCCCACAAAATCGGCTTTTTCACAACTTTGCTAAGATGTCAGCATATCACGACCATTTTGGCAGTGCCAAAATGCATCCATCAATAATTTTAAAGTTTTTATTTTGTCAAATTACTTAATTTAAAACATTTGGGGCACCGGGAAAGTGGCTGTGTGAAAAAGAGGCTTTCATTGACCAGGAGCTCTGTAGAAGACCACAAAGCAGCATAAATGATGACACTGCTGAGGATTTCTGCCACATTTTTCGACATTAGAAGTTTAGAAAACTGATTTAAAAACAGCATTAATGCTTCTCATTTTCTTTTCTTTCTATTTTGCTCCACCAGCAACGTTTCCATATTTAGAAATGCCAGTTCTTTGGCTAATTCTCGCTGATGTCATTTCCTACGGTGTTACAACCAATCAGTAGCGTGGCAAGCCATCCTATATAGGTAAATATATAGTCTGACCACGGTCCATTGATGGCTCGCAGCCGTAGGGCGGGATCTACAGTTGTCTTTCAAACTGTCTCCGCATGCTATTGGATAACAAACATACTCACTGCAACAGAGTGTTGTGATTGGACCACTATGGATGTCAGTGAACTGGGCAGTCATCCATTTTAAAATGGAATAATAATTTTAAACATACAAAAACTTAAAATAATATGCACTGTGATTGGCCATCTTAAGATGTTAGCCGTTATATAAAATTATTCTTAATAAGAATTCAGATTTGTAATATTTTGAATTTCATGTTAAGGTGTGCATAGCTTTACAAAATCAATGGAACTTTTGTGTTTTCTGGCTTTTTTCAACGTGTTTTGTTTAAAACTAAAGCTAAGACGTCTCATATTAAGAAAAATGATCGTATTAGCAAAAAAACTAATGTTGTAATTTTATCACTATAACATTAAATGCATTTTTCCTGTATTAGCGCAATGCAGCTTGAGTGGCTTTAATGTTGTGAGCAAGATGCTTTGACTCATTTTAAATATTTCCTGTATTTCCTATTACATCACTGGCATCCAGCGGCGGGCGGGGTTCACCCCCTGATGGACCCGTTGGCGTCGGGGTCTCCTCTGGCACGCCTCCCTTACCCAGGAGCCACACTCGGCACTCCCATCCTGGCTCACCCCCTCACTGACAGCGAGGTGCTCCGCCAGCAGCTGTTCGGTGAGGAGAAGGCTCCTCGTCCATGTACTCGTTCAGTTTTCTTCTCTATAAGCTGAAAACTTTATGAAGACACGTTTCAGCCCTCGACAGGGAAGACTGAATCTGGTGTCCCCTCTTTTTTTTGTGAAACCAGGTGCTCCTTTCCGTGACTTGCCCCAGCCGTCCTCCCTCACTGGTCCCATGTCAGCGGCCCACCAGCTCCAGGCCATGCAGCAGGCCCAGAGCGCAGAGCTGCAGATCCAGAGACTGGCCCTGGAACAGCAGTGGATCCACCACCATCACCACCACTCCCTCACCCAGGACGAGTACTACAGGTAGAGAAGCTAAGCTAATGCGTTAAAGCTGTGGTCCGTAGCGTGACGTCGTCAAGAGCAGGAGGAGATTTTGAAATTTGAGCAGCTATTGCTCCTGCTTCTGCACCCCTCCTTCTGGACGGCACTGAAATCCACTCACACAAATAGCCTTGTATCACTAACAGCTTGTTTCTGATATGTTCCTGCTCAGACACACCTTATTCTTATTGCCGAATAAGCTCTAGGGCACTAGGGGGTGCTAAAAGCAAGCCACAACAGCAAAGTTTCCCTTCAAACTATGTACCCCAGCTTTAAAGAGAGCAAACCTTTACCAGGGAAAATGTCTGTGGTGCAAACTTAAAGACCAAGTTCTCTGAGAAAAAATTTTTTACTTGTAATTTTTAAATATGGTCAGTCACTCAGAGTTTAACTCATTCGCTGCCAGCCGTTTCCTGATCGGTAAAGTCCTTCGCTGCCAGCGTTTCTCACCATTTTTACAGTTTTTTCAAGAGTCACAGAACGATGCACGCTAGGATGATGTCGACGCCAAAAAAAACAAAACAAAGCGGAGACTCACCTCTTACATCAGGGAAAATCCGCGCATTTCGAGCGTTATCCGTTCTTTCATAGTCTGTTGTTGAATTGTGATCGGCAGAAGCTTTTCCGGTTAACGCCTCACTTTTTTTTACAGCAGCGGCCCAAAAGGATCTCCTAACTCATGGATTTTCTGCTTCCTGATCACGTGACGTGTGACGTATGCGGATGAAGATCGGCTTTAGAGCTGAGACGTTTGTTCTCAGAGTGCGGAGGCTCGTTCCTACGCCCACACAGTTAAAAAAAAAAAGCAAATGACGACTTTAGTCGTCAATGGCAGTGACTGAGTTAACATGCAGGCTTTGTCTACCCCTATTTCCTGCATTAGCTGCTAATAGAATTTAGGTGGGGAAATGCTCAGATTAGAAAAGCCAGTCAGATACATCACATTGTCAAATTAGCATTCATGGACTCGCCCATCTTGGCTCGCAACGGGGAAAACTGTGTTGGTTTAGCCTCCAGGAGAGAGCAGAGCCCGTCTAAGCTAATGGAAGCTAATCGTTAGCATTAGAACCTCGATAACGTGGCAGTTGTGTCGGGTTTGTGTTATTTGTGGAGATTAAACATCAACGTTGCAAAGCAAATAGAGTAGCATTGCTGTTAGCCAATCAGAGGTGAGATGACCAAATATCAGGAAATAAGACTCCAAATCCTGTCGTGTTCAGCTCACCTCTCATGCTCACTTCTAGTTCCTGAAGCAGAAGTGCCAGAGCTTTTTTCTCACAGAGATGGACTCGTCTATACTAGAGACAACTGGAAATGTGTTAAAAACATGTGAACTTGTTTTTTAACATTAATTTTACACATTTCTACAATATTGATAAATTTCTTTTCGGAACTGTGCTTCCCTGGGTGGCTGCATGTTGGAGTAGCTCTGTTGACTTTATGTAAGTTTTGCCTTTTCTTGGGCATTTTTTCTTCTAGTTCCTCAAGAAAAACTATTTTTTGGACATTTTGCTTTTCTGTTTCTGGTGCTGTGAAGCTTGGAGGATTTTTACTGCTATTTTTTAGCTTTTTTCACTTTTGTAGCATTTGTTATGATGCGTAACCATGGCAACAAGCTGGTTTACAATCGGGAGCAGCCGATTAACATTGGAAAGGCTGAAATAATACCTCAACTGAAGCCACAAATCCCAAATGAGCTAAAACGCAAGAAGCGTGGGTGCAGAGCGGGAGCAAAACGGAGACAGAGAAAGAGGAAATTCAAACCATCTCATCCATCGATCATAATGGGCAGTGTGACATCACTGGCCAACAAGATGGAGGAACTCCAAGCCCTTTCAAGGACTCAGCCAGAGTTTGATTCTCCAGAGAATCAAGAAAATGATGGACAACCCTGAGCATTCTCTTCATAAGACTGTCCGACAACGGAAGAGTGTCTTCAGTCAGAGGCTTCTTCAGTTTGGCTGCAACACTGACCGCTACTGGAGATCCTTCCTGCCAACAGCCATTGTAATATACAACAACTCTTTGATAACTTGATTATTATTATTATTCTGAGCTACTACAGCAATCAATTTCCCTCTGGGATTAATAAAGTATTTTTGAATTGAATTGCATTGAAATGAAATGTATCTGATCTTTTCCTTTTCATTTTAATCCCTTTTTTTGTTTGTTAGATTGTGAATTTTTATCAAGATGTGCAGAAAAATTGGAACATTTATGAACCACCACAGAGATTTTTATTTTATTCTGTAGTAAATAAACAAGCCTGACTTTACAGCAATAAGTTTAACCTTCACATGCTTGTCTGGAACAGCTGATATTTTGTTTCCTCGCTGACACAATTTCTTCTCTTCATCTTTCAGTCACTTGAAGAAGGAAGGTGACAAGACCCTGTGAGGGAGGGGCGTGACAGAGAGCAGCACAGAGACAAACGGAGGGAGAAAATCTGCAAAAATAGAACAAGTAAAGAAAAGCACTGAAGAATAAAGAAGGAACAAAGACTTATCAAGAAAAACTGGACTAATGGATGGGGATTTTACCGAAGGAGACCGGGAGATGTTACTGGAATAACAAAAGAGGAAAAAGGAGGGAACGTGTTGCACGCAGTTCCTGCTAACTGCACCAGACTCCTGCCATTTCCTGCTTTACATTCTCCGGTCTTATTTTATATCGTGTTCTGTACAGAATATTGAACGGGGCGACAATAGTGGCGTACGGTTTGTGTAAAATACTCAATGCCAGAAGGAAATGTGTACATGAGTCCCTTTTATGTCGTTGCATGTAGCTATAGGTGCTTATTCTGAACTGGTGGAACTTTTGGTTCTATTTTTAGTAATCCCCCCCCCCCCCTTTTGTATCAGAGGGGGGCGCTCTATATGCATGAAACCAGCATTTTAGTGTTCTGTTGATAATATCGTATTATCATGATTAATGTTGTCTGTTTGTTGATAATGATATAATTATATATACAACACATATTATTTGTATTATTTTTTTACATTTTCATGGTTATGGCAGTCGGTTTTTATTTTTTATTTTCAATCGTGAAACAAGATGCAAATGAAGGCAAAATAATCTGGAAATAAATTATAATCTCTTTTTTTTGGTAGTTTTTCTCCTGTGTGTGTGTGTGTGTGTGTGTGTGTGTGTGTGTGTGTGTGTGTGTGTGTGTGTGTGTGTGTGTGTGTGTGTATGCATGCCTGCATGCGTGAATGTGTGTGCTTGCATATTTGTGTGTGTGAATTTGTGCGTGAGTAAATGTGTACGTGTGTGTGAATTTGTCTGTGAACGTATGTGTGTGTGACTGTGCATGCGTGTGTTTATGAATGTGTGTGTTTGTGTGTGTGAATATGTTTGTTCATGCATGAATGTGTGTGTGTGTGTGTTTGTGCATGCATGAATGTGTGTGTGTCTGTGTTTGTGCATGCATGATTGTTTATGTGCGTGCATGAATGTGTGTGTGCGTGCATGAATGTGTGTGTGTTTGTGTGTGCGTGCATGAATGTGTGTGTGTTTGTGTGTGCACTTTCCATACATTCACAGTATTTTCCCTTTCTTTGTTTTATACAAGTCACTCTCTCACACAAAGCATATCGAATTCCTCCCACTCCTCCCCCTCCCCCTCTCTCATCTTTCCAGCCTCCCCCTGCTCCTCCATAGTGAGTGTAGCTAATAGGAGACACATGGGATGAGTGTGAGACACGGGAGGTGAGTCGCTCTAGTGAACACCAGCCACCCCATAGAGCAAACATTCCTCACTGCACTGTAAAAACCAGAAGAAAAGAGGAAAATGTAAGGAAGAAAGGAGGGATGAGCTGCGAGGTTGCGATTTACAGATGCTGCTGGAGTCTCAGGGTTCTTCAGCTGGAGGAATTTCCCTCAAACAGATGCAGTTTGGAAAAAGACTCACAGTTGGTTTGCTCATCACTCTATTACAGGTTTTAATGTCCCAAAACCAAAAACACGGATTTTTTAAATGTATAAATGCAGAAACCGGCCTTGTTGCTGCTGTACAGGACTCACTTTATGACTTTTATCGTGTCATTAAAAGTCACCTTGAATAAGTGTGTCAACATAATGTAAAGAATCTTCCAGCAGGACAGATCTAATTTTCACCCCCTCAGGTGACACCATATCTAGGGTAGCACATCACCAGTTCCTGTTCCAGGGTGTGTCAGAGACAGAAATAAGTTTGAACGCAAAAATGGAAAAAATACATAAATTCATATTTTGGAGGTGAAATAACTTAAACTGTCAGCCGTCCCTTTCATTTTACAGGATTTCTTATTCATGTGGCCATATCTTGAAACCAGATACAAACGTTTTACAGCAAAACGTTTACTAATGTCAGAGTTTTGAAATAAAAAATTTACAAAAAAATTTAACATTTTGCTTTTGCATATTAAAAATAAAATAAATCTAGAAAAATTAGCATTTCTTGCAGAAATGCTGTTTGAATGCTGGATAGCTGAAACTGTAAGCTGAAGAAGAAGAAAGTATCATTTCTATAGCGCCTCTCAAGATAAAAATCACGAGGCGCTTCACAAAAGCAAAAAATGTAAAAATATTAAAAAGCATTTAGAAAATGTTTAAAAATATATTTAAAATGAGCAAAAATAGGCAATTGTGATTAAAAAATGTAAAGAAAGAGAGAGAGTGAACAGGAAAGAGGGAAATCAGTGGATCCTGAGGAAGGTGGACTAGGTGGGGAGAGCAGAATAAAGAGAGAGAGGTGAAGAAGGTCATACAAAAGCCAGCTTGAACAAGTGAGTCTTCAGCTGCTTTTTAAAGGAGACCACTGAGTCCACTGATCTCAGGCTCAGGGGGAGAGAGGTCCAGAGTCTGGGGGCCACAGCAGCAAATGATCTGTCACCTTTGGTCTTTAGCCTGGTGCTGCACAACCAGTAGGCTTTGATCACTGGACCTCAAGGACCTGCTGGGGGTGTAGGGACTAAGAAGATCACCAATGTAAGATGGTGCTTGTCCATGTAAGGCCCTATAGACCAGAACCAGGATCTTGAAATGAACCCTGAAGTTGACTGGCAGCCAGTGAAGCTGGAGGAGAAGCGGGGTGATGTGGGTGTGTTTGGAGGACTTGGTCAGAAGCTGAGCACAGGCATTCTGAACCACCTGTAGACGGTTCAGGGAGGTTCTGCTCAGACACGTGAAAAGAGAGTTACAGTAGTCTAAGCGTGAGGAGTTGAAGGTGTGGAGAACTGTCTCAAGTTCAGAGTGAGACAGAATGGGACTCAGCTTAGCTATGTTCCTGAGATGGAAGAAGGAAGAGCGAACAAGAGAACTGACATGAGAATCCAGGGTGAGAGCTGGGTCAAAGGTCACACCAAGATTCCTGACGGAAGGTTTGGTGTGAGAAGCAAGCTAACCAAGAGAGTCTCTGACTTTGGGAACCAGCTTGTCTGGGGCACAGATGAGGATCTCAGTCTTATCTTCATTCAGCTGTAGAAAGCTCCCAGCCATCCAGGTCTTGATAGAGTCTAAGCAGGTGTGTAACAGCTGCAGCTTAGACATCTCATGGGGCTTAAAGGAGATGTACAGTTGGATGTCTTCTGCATAAAGATGGTAGGATATTCCTTTGAAGGAGCTCAGGACGTGCTGAAGAGGAAGCAGATAGAGGAGGAAGAGCAAAGGCCCCAGCACAGAACCTTGTGGGACACCATGGGTAAGAGAGGTGGTGGAGGACCTAAACTTGGAGACAGCCACAGAAAAGGAGCGCTCAGAAAGATAAGAGGAGAACCACTCCAGAGCAGATCCTGATAGACCTACCCAGTCTCTCAGCCTCTCCAGTAGCAGGTGATGGTCAACAGTGTCAAAGGCTGCAGTCAGGTCCAGCAGGACCAGAACAGAACAGTCCCCTGCATCACTGTGAGTCAGAAGTTCATTAGAGACCCTAAGAAGAGCTGTTTCAGTAGAATGAGCTCTACGAAAACCTGACTGGAAGCTATCATAGATGTTATGTTCATCAAGAGCAGCTGTGAGTTGTTTAGCCACAACGTTTTCCAAGATCTTGGAGATGAACGGAAGTTTAGAGATGGGTCTGAAGCTGCTATGGAGAGAGGGGCCAAGACTCGGTTTTTTAAGAAGCGGGTGGATTACAGCGTTCTTAAAGTAAGCAGGGACCTGACCAGAGACCAGAGGAGGGGGCGGTTCCTGCCTTCTGACTGTTAAAATGTCAGCTATGCTGCTAGATTTAAGTGTATAAAGCTCAGACAGATAAGAAACAGCAATATGTTATAGGCTCAATATTAGGCTTTTCACGTTTATTTCAATGTGACTTGTTTGGGGATATCCTTATGCACTTGTGTTACCATGGTAACAGATGACAGAAATCTACTTCAATATATTTATGTTCAATGTGCCATGACCTTTTAAAAATTTAAATAATGTTCATATGTTAAATTACTTTGATACAGTAGCGTATAAAATATATGAAATGTAGTTGTTAAGCTTGTTACCATGGTGACAGATAACGCATTTAAAATTTTATACAAGATTCCTGAGACCAAGCCGGTCGATTTGATGTATCATATGTGTGGGTGCTCGATCCTGCTTGGACAGCAAAATGGTTGAACGTTCTCAGCCAATCAGAGAGCAGCACTTTTCCCGCCTTTCCCCCGCTGTTGGAGACATGCAGCTGTACTCCTGTTAATGAGAGAAGCCTTTAAATCTCTTCTTCAGAAGTGAAATTGGACCTGAAAATAACTGCTGGAATAGCTGTAGCTATATGAGAGGGATTGTTTCCTTCTTTTCTTAGCTCAAACTTATAATCATACGTCATTTTTTAAATGATATTTATGATCATTGTATAATTTCATGATATATATATATTCATAAATATATATATATATATATATATATATATTCATATATATGTATATATATATATATATATATATATATATATATATATGTATATATATGAAGAGTGCTAAATTAAACAATGTACTTACTAGATTAAGGCGTTAAAAAGGACAAATGCAAAGGGGGTTCACTTTTGCTTTGACCACAGATAATTAATAACGGACACTAGGGGGTGCTAAAAGCAAGCAAAATAGCTAAGTGTATCTTTAAATGCTGCTGGTGAGTTTTTTTTTTTGATAGAGTAAAGCTGGATGAAGATTAAATAGGATTAGCTCACAATTCATTCTTAATTTTATCCCTGCATGAAATCTACTTGACATAAATTTAGAATAATAAATGTTTTTGGATTGAACATGTAAATGTGTGCCTGACAGTTTACAACATCTGCATCCTCTCCAGCTGTTTATAGTTAATATTTTTCCACTATGATTCAACTTAAAAGACATGGAAGGTATCAAAAGCACAAACCTCCATATGGCACCACTCCTGGGCTGCGTTTAGTTTGTTTTTGTTTGAATGTTTGCTTTGGTTTTGTTGATGTCTTCAACTTTCTGGCCTTGCTTTCTATTTTTGCCTTCTTTTCTTTTGAGTTGCTGCTTTGGTTAATATAAAACTCGCCAACGTTTGAGCTCACCCGGAAGGATTCTGACTGTTTCTCTCATTTAGCTTTTTACCGTTCTGTTTGGACTCTCTTCTGTCATCTCCTCTTTTACTGTCTCGGCCTCCAGCCAGAGGCCGTATGCGTTTCTCATACCCATCGCAACCTTGAAGTAATATATCGTCATAAAATCTTTAAAGGGGGAGGATTTTTTTTTATTCGGTCAGCAAAACTTCCCCCCATCTTCTCATTAATCTGCAGGAGTTGTATCCGTCTGCAGCTGAGGAACGGCAAATGGAAACAAACGCTGGAGGAAGCCCTCCTCTGACCTCGTACTCACTCAAGCCTGGAGGTCATGATCTCTGCAGGTCGTCTTGAAGTTTTTTTCAAGTGCATAGGTCATCAGAAAAACCAACAAATCACAGCCTTTTCTCACTTTACCACACGTTAGTTTGCAACTAGCAGCAACAAGATTAAGCTGACCCACTCAGGAAGTACCTCGCCTATCATCCAGTGACGGATGGAGATAGGCACCAGCTCACTACAACCCTGAACAGGTGCAAGTAGGTACAGAAGATGGATGGATATTAAAAGCAATAATTTATTAAAATAAAGTGTTTTTGTGCGGCTGGGACTGAAAATATTTGCATATCGGACACGTTTCCCTTCTCGTAACAGCTGTTTGAGTCAGGATGCATTTTAAACCAAAACACTGTTTTAATCATAAATTAAAGATGATGGCTTCTCATTGGATATGTTCTGCTGTAAATAGGCTTATTGATCATGTATATGCAGCTCACATGGCTATTTTCTGTAACACATTTTTAGGTTCAGTTCCATCAACTGGATGGTGATATGTATATTTTACTGGAACGTGCTCTTAAAAGTCAAATTAAACTTGTTTCAAACACATACATCTTTAATTAGTTGTCAGAAATGAACAGTTTTACGGGTAAAGTAACCTGAATTTCAAAATTTTTCAAAACAAAACTGCAAATCACAAAAGTGCAGCCTGAGAGAGTGAGTTTAAGTGTGTGCTGAAGGTTGATGCAAAGAAATATGAATGAAATGTTGCTTCTGCCCCCTGCTGGAGTGCAGCGGGACTCACGCTTTCACGTGCAGCACAAACCACTGAACCGTGATTTTATTCTGAGGGAATAACATGTTTATTATCTTCTGCCAAGTCGAATGAGTTTCATGCACATTTTTTAAATAAATCACAACTACACATAACAATGATTTTTAAAAAATATAATGAAGTTACACATGATGTTATAATCACAGTATAACTAAGCCAATAGATACTGGCTGTGGATCTCAGCTCCTCCCTGCAGGAACTCCTTCAGGCACGCTTTCCTTCTTGTGCACACTCCTCATGTGTCTGCCAAGAGACTCCATCCACTTGAAGGATTTCCCACAGCAGTTACACACAAAGTGTTTCCCCTCTGTGTGGATGGTCTGGTGTCTGTTCAGAGCGCTGGTTGTGATGAAGGTCTTCTTGCATATTTCACACATGTACGGCCTCTCTCCCGTGTGAGTCCTGATGTGAGCTGCCAGGTGGGAGCAGTTGCTGAAGCGCTTCTCACAGATGGAGCAGCTGTAGGTTCTGTCCCCTCTGCTCTCTTCGCAGCTGCTGCTGTTGATAAAAAGCTGGAAGTGGGGGTTATGCTCGTGCAGATTAGTTTTCATGTAGTTAGGAGGCGAGATGAAGTCTTTGATGTCTGATTCCAGATCGTCGAGGTGCTCTGAATCATCGTGGTCCACCCAGAAGTGATTAGGGGCTTCCGGTTTCTCCTCCTGTTTCACACGGGAGGTCTCTGGATGCTCCTGGTCGAGGTTGGTGTCCTCGCCGTCCTCCTCCTCCTCCTCCTCATGGAGCTCGGGCTCAGGTGCCACCGAATGGAGCTGCTGCTGAGCAGGAGGAGGTGGTGAGCGGTGACCAGAGTGATGCAGCTCCTCCTTGGCTTCAAAACATCTGTCCGACTCTGGATGAAAGACAAAATAAGGCACCACAACGAAACAATGTTTAGCTAAAATTAGACATAAAACCGCATTGCAGTTGCGTGAGAAGAGCTAATCGATTCAAACGTACCCGACCTGAGAAGCTTCAGCCGCATCCTGAGACGACTGATTTCCAAATCTTTGGAGCGAAAAATCTCCTGTCGGTACTCGACTATTGTCTTTTCAACCGCGTCAAAAATCTCCTCCGCCACCGCGCTCAGCCTCTGGTTCAGAAACACTCTCAGTGACTGCATTTTCAACTTCCGTCCCCGAAACTAACGACTCCTGGTTGCGCTTTAAAGACGTATTTTTGCGGGTACGTGAACGTCACGCTTCGCTTGTAAATACGGACGTGACTGGGAACCTCGTCAAAGCGCTCCGCGTAATGCGCTAGCGCCCCCTGGCGAACCGGAGGACAGCGGCACAGCAGCTCAGGCTGGTGGAAAAATACTGGGAAGCACAATGAAGGAAAATCAAATATAATTTAATGTAGTTAAAGGATTTAAAGGAAACGTGAGGCAAATCATTTGTTTATGTTATAGGAAAAATAAGTTAGAATGTTAAATATGAACTCAAAACTAACTTAATTCTCAAAGCTGTGAATGTCCCACATTGGTGTTGTAACCACAATTAACTTTTGACATAAATTTACGTAAAATGCTAATAATTTGTGAAAAAACACATTTTTGATCCTATTATTAGATATTATTGGCAATTCAAATAAAGTGCTCTAATTAATTCAATTCAATTAAAGTTTATTTATATAGCACCAAATCACGGCAAGGGTCGTCTCAAGGCACTTCACATAGTAATCTTTCCAATACAGGTTAGTTCATTAAGCCAATCAGAAAAAAATTTCCTATATATGGAACCCAGCAAATTGCATCAAGTCAGCAATCCTCATACTAAGCAAGCATTTAGCGACAGTGGAGAGGAAAACTCCACTTAAACAGGAAGAAACCTCCAGAGAATCCTGGCTCAGTATAAGCAGCCATCCGCCACGACTCACTGGGGATCGAGAAGACTGAGCACACACACACACACACAACACCAAAATAAATATGTTTGTACCAATACCTAAAAATATTTGTACTAATTACATTTTTGGTAATTCAATACGTTCTCAATCCACATTTTTCTTTTTCTGACCTGCACCTTTGGATCAAACATACCAACTATAGGTTGTAGCAACTGAAATGTCTCAGGTTGTACTTTTTGACCAAATTTAAGACATATTATACTGTTTTTGTCTGTACCTTATCATGCATTTATCAGTATCCTTTAGAGATTTCAACATGCAGATATTCTAAAACTAATACAGATATGGAAGAAAAGCAAACATTTACTCAAAACTTGGTTTAGTGCAAACTAGAGGAAACATTTAACCTTTAACACATTTCCTCAGAGAGAGAGACACGCCGTCTCGCACTGAAAGGATCTAAACAGCGTTTCTGCTTTAAATTGGCTCTGATGAGGCCATCTTTAGTTGCGCAGAGCAGATAAAAATAGCAACGAAGATCTCCCCGGCATTGTCCCTGCAGGAATAAGACACCATGCTGACAGGATCACTACACTGCATGAACCCTCAGCTGTTTGAGCAGTGAAATTAATCTGCGTCTTTAAAGCATCTGATCAATTTGGGACAAAAACTCTCACACTGAAACAGTCTCTAAACTCTTTATTATAATATTTCCTCAAAACCGTTCCACTTCGTTTACATTTCGGCTGTGACACAGAAAGGTTAACGCGACAGGTACGATCCTCTCGGCAACACGAGAAGCACATCGTGCACATCTACGGGGAGGTCAAAGTAACAGATCCACAAAAATAAACAGACAACGGTACAAAGGCGAGTAAACGTGATCGACAAGAGCGGTGACCCTGTTCGCACAAATAAAGGTTGTAAACGTTTCAAGTGAAGGCGTGGACAGTCGGTCCACCTCTAGGTGTCAGCCTTTAGCTTGAGCACTTGGTGTGGGAGTTCGTTCGGCCGTTCTCAGTAGAATCATCAGTGCAGAATGGTGAACGTGTCAGCCTGTCCCTTTTTTTTTTAATATTAAAACTAAAGAAAAAAGGAGGAATGACAACATTACACGAATACTTTTAATAAAGACAAGGAAGAAGTACTGGAGGTTAAGGGGCGAGGGGACCAGATCATCTGAATGGAAGTGACGCTGCTGGGATTTTACGCCTTGGCGTTGATGATCTCAATAAACTCAGGCTTGAGGGAAGCTCCGCCCACAAGGAAACCATCAACGTCCTTCTGGGAGGCGAGTTCCTTACAGGTGGCACCAGTGACAGAGCCTGAGGGGCAGCGGCGGTTAATGAGACGGCATTAACGCAGGAAGAATGCGGGACGTTTGTCCGTTTACTCACCTCCGTAAATGATCCTGACAGAGTTAGCTACAGCCTCAGAGACGTTGGTCTTCAGCCACGCCCTCAGCTTCTCATGAACTTCCTGGGCCTGAGAAATCACACAGGAAACTTGTTAAACACTGCCGCCCTGGTGGTCCTCAAGCAGGAGTATTTAGTTGTTCTCCCACGCCTACCTGTTGCGGGGAGGCGGTCTTGCCTGTACCAATGGCCCACACGGGCTCATAAGCAAGCACCACCTTGCTCCAGTCCTTTACATTGTCTGCCAAACAGATAAGACCACAGATTTAGCAACTTCTCCAGATTAAGGGAAAACGTATTGCTCCATTTGGGCTTTTTCCTCCCGTGCACACGAGTTTATATAAAAGAAGCTGCATACCTGCAATGACTTTGGTCTGAGCAAACACCACCTTCTCCGTGATGCCTCCTTCCCTCTCATCCAGCTTCTCACCGATGCAGGCGATCACGCCGAGACCGTTCTCCAGAGCGTGAGCCGTCTTCTGACCAATAAGCTAACGTTGCACAGGAGGACATTCAATAAACACGCCGTTTAATCCTCTGTGAGATTTAAACTGTTAAATCTTACCTCATCGCTCTCTCCAAAGACGTGGCGCCTCTCAGAGTGTCCCAGGATCACCCAGTTCACACCACAGTCCTTGATCATCGCAGGGCTGGAGGCAGAGAACGGATAAGACTCACCGCAAACCGCTAGATCCACAGAAAAAGGCTGGACAGGTTTCTACGGCACTACCTGATCTCCCCAGTGAAGGCACCCTTGGGAACCTTGTAGCAGTTCTGAGCTGCCACACCAAACTTGGCATCCAGCTTGGACCTGGTGAAGTCCAGGTAGATGGATGGAGCGCCACACACCACCTCTATTTATGTAGAAGGTTACATAGTCAACAATAAAGGCTTTTTATTAGCTTTAGGACTAATTCCTATAAATATTGAAATAATCTACGATTTTTGTTTTAGAACAAAACACATTCAAATAATCCTTAAACATGGTCCCCCTGTGTGAATACAAGACTTTGACACAAGTACAGTGAAGTCCAGACACTGACATTCACATTGTAACTGTATCTTTGGGGTTACGAGGAGCTAAATTCAGTTTGGTAAAGGTCATTTGTCCCGAGCCAGAGTCAACAGCAGTAAAGGTCTGAGTTCAGTTTCTAAAAAGGTCAACTAAAGGCTTGCATTCTGCAGAGGACGAGACATGGCTTAAACCTGGGTTCAAAAGGTCAAATGACCAACATGATGGACATTAGGACAACAAGGCAAAGCCTGTCTGGCACTGCAAGGGAGGTGGACTCGTTTAGGGGGCAAGGTCCAAGGACAGTATGAGCAGTTGCTCCTGGACAAGCGTGGAGCAGGTAGATACAACGTTAGGGTTGCATAATAATGCTGAACCGCAACAGGTTTGGTTTTGACACAGTCAAAGTCTGCGGACCCTGCAGTGAAGGGGGGAAACAGCTGCGGCTGTTTTTTCTGGTTTGCAGAAGCAGATAGTGCAGACGATGCGTTCAGGTAACGATAGGGAAAAATAAAAAAACACAGACTCAGACATTCACGCATGAGCAAAAGGTAAACATGCACATTGATTTTAAACGTATATAAATTGTATTTCTGTTTTAATTAAAACCTCTGATCTTTTACTAGCTTTGTTCTGTATATTTAGCCAGCAGGCTTTGGGAAGCATCAGTGACCAGTGGTTGATCTTGAATGCATCCCGGGAGCTAGCGTGACTACGTGCAGCTGCAAACGCACACCCACCTCCGACATCACCGAAAAGCTTCTCTGCTCGCCCTTCACCTGTACCCCTTCATACTTTTCTGTCTATTTTAGGTTAATTAAACTCGATTCAACACGACAATATAACGACTGTTTCTTTTTAAGGGCTTTTAAAATCATTGAGGAGGAGATTTGTGATGCTAAAGGTGTCCTTGTTTCATGACTGAACGAGCCATTTTGAAAATATATCAAAAATCGTTTTGAAAGAGAAAAAATTGACGGAACACAACGGGGTTAGGCTGAAAGATTCAACGAAAGTTTTAACTCGGTTGTTAAAATCCACACATACCGACATTAGCGTCCACCTTTCCTCCGTTCAGGGTCTCGATGAGCTCCCCGAGGCTTTTCTTGTCTCCATTCATCTTCCAGTTTCCACCGACAAAGAATTTCCTGCTCATGCTTGCGGGTTTTTGTTAGGATTTACTAGAGAATTAAACTGGACAGTACCACGACGGGGACCTTCTCTTTCGGGGCAGAGAGCAAGCGTTTGATGGCTGCTTTACCTATTTATACGGAGGGAATTTAACACCGCCTCTTTGTCAGTATACCGACACACCATTGGCGTATCACGGAACGCCGATGAACGCATCACCGCAGCAGGGGAAGAGGAAGAGCGAAATGTCATGCTGCGTTCAAGTGCTGTTTGAAAAGTTATTTACACAAAGATAAACCACAAAAAATACATGTTTTAATTGAATGAAAAAGATACGTAGTTGTTTAAATAACTAAAAACAGTTCGAAAAAACTAAATAGCAAAAATTTAGCTCACTTATGCATAAAAATCATAACTTGATGAACTGAATGTATTGTGATATCACCTAAAACGTGTTTACATCTTCAGATACTATCTGTGATAACATTTCCACATTATTTTGTGATTTGATAGCTGAGATAAAAGTACTACATTACGAATTACAAACTAAACTGTTAAAAGCACAACGAAAAAGAGTATTCTACACCTGAAAGAACTGTTTCTCAACTACTGAACACATCACATAATTTGTATAAATATTGGATATGTTGGATATGTAATTATTTTATTTTACGTACGAAAGTAAAACAAATGTATTTGAATCATGTGCAAAAGTGTTTCCATTTGAGCATTTATTTAACGCTTTCACTTTGAATGACACAGTAATGCGCTTTTGGATTGGTCATGACTAGTGACCCACCTAGCCCCGCCTACCTTTAATGACAACTGAAGAACAGATGATCTGGTTGGACAGATCACGGAACTTGTCTTTTACATTTTACTTACCCAACATGCATTGCGGTTAATCTCAAATATTATACTTGTAAAACACATATAAAACACGTTTGAAAGTAACTTTTTGTATTAAATGTTGTATTAATTTACTTTTTATAATGTACTTTACTATCAGCTACTCTAACTGTATTTTGTCAAACCGTAACAAGAATGTATGTGTCCCTTTTATTAGTATGGTTGCGGAGCCGTTTCAGGTTCAGGATAATTTGCTCTTTAATATTTCTCTAGCAGGTTTCTCATAATGAGAAGCCCCCTTTCATTGTGAGAAGCAACCTACCTGACTGGTATTGTAGATAACGACTTAACAAAACAGTTTCTGTCTCTAAATAATGTGGGTGCACATGTGCATACTTGCGCAGTATAAGCTTGTTAGTCTGTCTATTAAATGTCTCTGTTTATTTCAATAAATTAAAAAAAAATTAAAAATTCTCAACATCATCATACCTTTAAGATATTTTATTTTTCAAATGGATCTTTTTCGTTAAAATCCGGTGAAAAACTAGCCTTGAGAACTAGACCAATTTCTTGCTTTGCAAAGTCTGGCTTGCCAGGCTAGTGAAAAACAGATTGCCTCACCTTTACCCGTGTTACTGTAGGGCACAAACAAGCCCCTCCCACTTTCCTCAGGCTATCCCAGTAGCCAATCACAATGCAGTTACTCTTATTCACATCTCGGGGCCTTGCATTTTCGGCTTTTATTTATTACCAGTCACTCAAGCGCACAACGAGTTTCTTACTTGTTATGGTTCACAGAAGGAGTTTTTGTGAAGTTAAATAACGCATGATACGAATAATTATGGGCCAGTCATTTTAATATTTCTTCTAAATTGTCATTGATCAATCACATTTGTTATTCCATGTATGACCACACGGGAGCAGGCTTATACCATGATTGTGTAATCTCTGACTGCTTTCATTTATAAACAGTTTTCTGTCTCGTAGGCAGATCAGAAACTCTAGGCTGTGGGCTTCAACCGGCTTCAGCACGATATTTTTAATTTAAGAAGATTTAATAAATTTTGAGACACCTGAATCGCCAGACTTGTCGTGGGCGGGGCTAACGTGACAGTTAAATGAGTAGGAGCCGCGCCGGCCACGGGACCCAGCCTTTAAAAAAGCGGAGCCACGAAAGTTCAGCGAACCGTTGTGAAGACACGTTTCCGCCCACAAGAAAGATGGCGGCTCCCTTGCTGGAGAAACTGTCCGAGTCTTTGGGTTCCCCGGAGCCAGCGGTTCGACTCCTTTTATCCATATTAATCGGTGAGTTTCGCCTCTGAAATGATTTATTATATTAGCTGGAAGAGCTGAGCGGGAATTTAGGCCGTTTCCTTTGCTCTGAGTGCAACTGTCAGCCAACTTAACGCTCATTCAGGCACCACACCGCAACACTACACATTGTATTTGTGCATATTTTCCTTTATAGTCTTTATTGTATTCATTATTTGGATACGGGCTGCTTCTAAACGTCACATTCAAAATGTTTCCTGCCAAAAACTCACCAACAAAGCCAAAAAAAGAGCTGCTCACTGAGATGAATTTGTGTCCTAATTTGTTGCACAGTTTGTTAAAGTGTGTAGCTCACAGGCATACATGAACACACGCTTGGGATAAGCTATGAGTGAGGCTACAGGCTTAGCATTAATGTATGGCACAGGGGTTGGTGGTGAAAACGTGTCACTGGGGGAGGGAGAAGCTTTGACAAGTGGGAATGTGCACAGGCTGCCAAAATCTGCCCCCCAACCCATCTACTCCCCCACAGAGGGTAGACACACACTGAGATGCATTAATGGTTATTATTGTTATTATTATTATTTAAGGGCACAAGTTGGTGTCACACTCAGAGCTAATGAAGTATTACTGGGTTTAACATGTTGTGCTCAAGGATTATAAGCGGCTAGATCAGCTGTACTTAGGTATGGCTATTTCTGTTAGCACCAGTGTTAATTTTACCCTCCTGTCATCCCTCATACCCTCACACACCTTGAGGCTATTGGGTCTGGTTTCAGGTTTCAAATAAAGTTAGAAAATAGTCTGAGTTGGGAGACGTCAAAAAAGATGCGGATCAAAACTGTGCGAACCTTTAGGCTGTCATGTCATCGCTGAACTTTGCTCCAACACAAGGACGCATCTTCCTCTGGACTCCCAGCAGCAGCACATCAGAGTGAAAATGGCCATTCAGATTAGACTTTGGTTGCATTAACCCATTGAGTCAGCCTCCTGCACGCTCTTTGGCACAGTGGGTTTATTCTTTCTCTTATGAGTTGCCTAATGTGTTGTTGCACAAGGCGCTTGCTGTATAGGTCCTGCTTCACACTGCTAACCTAGTTTTGCCTGTATTAAGTTAGATTTCTTTGTTTTTGAGCTCTGTTTTGGATTTGGCAACCCCTTTAGAGGAGCAGCAGGAACATGAAACATGGCACGTGGCTGCCACACTTTCAAAGGAAACAGAAACTGGCAGCTTTTGACGGTTTTTATTTCAGTTTCCTGTGGTTTTGTGTTTCACCAGAAGGTAGAACCTAAGACTGGACCTGTTCTGATGTTATAATGTTCTCAACTCCATTGTGGAAACGACACCCTAATCTGTCATGGCTTTGGATGCATTTTGAAGTTTTGTTCTTCGTCTTGAGCTGCAGATTTGTAGATGGCTAGATATTCACTAAGGACATCAATTGTTATCTTTGGGATGGTGCAGCGCGCGACACACAGGCTGACCGGTGGGACTTGTTTTGTGTGTGTGTGTGTGTGTGTGTGTGTGTGTGTGTGTGTGTGTGTGTGTGTGTGTGTGTGTGTGTGTGTGTGTGTGTGTGTGTGTGTGTGTGTGTGTGTGTGTGTGTGTCTTGTTGTGCAGGTCAGAGCTGTTGCTGCCAGGATGCATGACCTGTGGCTCACTTGGCTGAAATAAATGTCCATTTGTGTCTCCTCTGCAGGGTATCCTTTTGCTCTAGTGTACCGGTGGTTCCTCTTCTACCAGCCTGCCCCAGTTATCCACCTGTTCCACATTTTCTCAGGATTGGCTCTAGCAGCATTTAACTTTGGTGAGACCCAACAGGAAAGGCGAACCTTTCAGTTATCTTTAATTATTGATTATTTACATCCACGTTTACATGCCGAGTCATTTCTGTTTTCTCTGCTTTTGGATTCATGTTTATTTAGGCAGTTGAGATAAAAAAAAAAACAATCTTTGAAGCTTTTCTGGTCTTTTAGACATCAGAGAGGATGACCTTATCGATCAGAAGGCTACAGGCTTTAAAACCTTTAAGTTCAAAGTAAAAACGTTGTTATTGTCTCAGTTTTCAGGTGAGTCAGGAAGGAATCTGTTTTTTTAATAAATAAAATCAATTCTAATGTTTTTATTGCACTGCATTCATCATAAATTCAAATAGAGGTGCTGAAAAAAATCGATTCAAGTCTGACTCGGGATTCTTATAAAGATTCAGAATCGATTCCAAGAACTCAAATATTTGGCACGTTACAGGTTTGAGACTCACTTTTTTGATCTTTGTTAGGAGAGTCAGTACTCCGTTTACTTTTGTGCTCCCATAAACTGAGATGATTTATGTTTGAATCTGCTGATTAGAGGGCACTTGAATGTCATTTTTTCCATACTCAGAAATTTGAGATATTCTCATATTTATTTTCTAAGTTGATAAATGAGTACTCAGGATTACTCATGTAACTTGTTTCTACACATACTGAAAGTATTTGACCGTATTACTTTCAAAGCTACTGTTAGGTAACTACAGATTTGTTATATTTTACAAGGTAAGCAAAAATAAATGTTGCCTTTTGGTCAAAAGATTGCTTCTGTTTACAGTTTTAGAATCGCTTTATTTTTCATTGTAAATTAGCATTTTTGGAGCACGACCAGTTTAAAGTCAAATAAAAATGTCCCATAGCTTTAACTAACTTGTACAACAAAGTAGTTCATCCTGGAGCTGACACTCTTTGTTAATACTGATTGTGAATCGATTAAAATTGAGAATCGAGAATCGATTCTGAATCGAATCGGAATCGAATCAAATCGTGAGTTGCTCTGATTCACATCCCTAAATTCAAAAGCAATTAATGTTGATTTTAGCGAATTAAAAACTCTAAGGTTAGTGACTTATTCATCATCATCATCATTTATCATTTCAAACATCATTTATTTATTTATTTCTAACATGCCAATAACATCACAATTAACAACAAGATATAAATCAATAATAAACCTCACAAGATGAATCAATAATAAATCTAGTTGACATTGTTAATTTAATCTTTACTAGTAAATGCACGCAGGTTCTTAGAGCTACAGTGACTTTATTTTTTAAGCTACAAACGGTCATTTTAGTGCTAAATTATTCATTTAAATTCTCTTTTTTTAAAACGGCTTCAGTTAAACTTGTGTTTTATTCCAAGAGTTTTGTAAACAACCAGCGGTAGTTCTAGTACTGTTGAAGCAAACCGAGCCAGACTCTTCTAGTTCATCGATGCCTTTGGGGATGGCTGATCTTGTCTGTGTATTTGCACATGGAGCTGATTTTGCATATAGATGAATCAGCTTTCATTGAGTAATTTCTGAGGAAGTACGTGTGGTTTTCAGTGACTTTGCCAGCAGGTGTGACCACTAGAAATGTTATTGTTGTGCATGAGGCTTGAAGCTGTCCTCGTGTGTTCAGTACGGGGTGTTTTCTGCTCAGATTTACTGTTTCAATCTTCTATTGCTTCTGTCTCCTTTTTTTTTCTCTTTCAGACCTAAAAAGTGATTTCAGATGATAATATTTCATAAGCTATTTTTAGGTTTAAAATAATTTTTAATGGTCAACAGTCATTTCATGAAAGGATGTAAGACGGATCCTCTTCATGTTTTGAATGGGATTTAATTGCATTTTTCTCCTTTCTTCACTCTTTTGCGGCTTCACTCGGATTTTACAGCAGGTCTGTTTTTCCTCTTTTCCCAAAAAGCTAATTTAAAGTAGTTTCTTTGTCTCGGCCGATGCTAAACCATGTAGGAGAAATGCTGTTGACACATTCAGTCCAACAGGTCACACTCCACTGCCCTCACCTTCTCTCCCCCCCCCACCCCCTCCATCTGTCTCCAGGCCCGCAGCTCTATCACTCCGTAATATGCGTTTTCGTCCAATTTTTGATGTTGAGGCTCATGGGAAGGACGGTAACGGCTGTCCTGAGCAGTTTTACCTTTCAGATGGTGAGCTCTTTTTCCTCTAATTTGATTTGAATGTGTTCTGTGGTGCAGAAAATTCAGTTTAACTCCAGGAAATGAGAAAATACAGGGAGTGCAGAATTATTAGGCAAGTTGTATTTTTGAGGAATCATTTTATTATTGAACAACAACCATGTTCTCAATGAACCCAAAAACTCAATATCAAAGCTGAATGTTTTTGGAAGTAGTTTTTAGTTTTAACTATTTTAGGGGGATATCTGTGTGTGCAGGTGACTATTACTGTGCATAATTATTAGGCAACTTAACAAAAAACAAATATATACCCATTTCAATTATTTATTTTTACCAGTGAAACCAATATAACATCTCCACATTCCCAAATATACATTTCTGACATTCAAAAACAATACAAAAACAAATCAGTGGCCATTATAGCCGCTTTTCTTTGCAAGGACACTCAAAAGCCTGCCATCCATGGCTTCTGTCAGTGTTTTGATCTGTTCACCATCAACATTGCGTGCAGCAGCAACCACAGCCTCCCAGACACTGTTCAGAGAGGTGTACTGTTTTCCCTCCTTGTAAATCTCACATTTGATGATGGACCACAGGTTCTCAATGGGGTTCAGATCAGGTGAACAAGGAGGCCATGTCATTAGTTTTTCTTCTTTTATACCCTTTCTTGCCAGCCACGCTGTGGAGTAGTTGGACGCGTGTGATGGAGCATTGTCCTGCATGAAAATCATGTTTTTCTTGAAGGATGCAGACGTCTTCCTGTACCACTGCTTGAAGAAGGTGTCTTCCAGAAACTGGCAGTAGGACTGGGAGTTGAGTTTGACTCCATCCTCAACCCGAAAAGGCCCCACAAGCTCATCTTTGATGATACCAGCCCATACCAGTACTCCACCTCCACCTTGCTGGCGTCTGAGTCGGACTGGAGCTCTCTGCCCTTTACCAATCCAGCCACGGGCCCATCCATCTGGCCCATCAAGACTCACTCTCATTTCACCAGTCCATAAAACCTTAGAAATATGTCTTGAGATATTTCTTGGCCCAGTCTTGACGTTTCAGCTTGTGTGTCTTGTTAGTGGTGGTCGTCTTTCAGCCTTTCTTACCTTGGCCATGTCTCTGAGTATTGCACACCTTGTGCTTTTGGGCACTCCAGTGATGTTGCAGCTCTGAAATACGGCCAAACTGGTGGCAAGTGGCATCTTGGCAGCTGCACGCTTGAATTTTCTCAGTTCATGGGCAGTTATTTTGCGCCTTGGTTTGTCCACACGCTTCTTGCGACCCTGTTTACTATTTTGAATGAAACGCTTGATTGTTCGATGATCACGCTTCAGAAGCTTTGCAATTTTAAGACTGCTGCATCCCTCTGCAAGATATCTCACTATTTTTGACTTTTCTGAGCCGGTCAAGTCCTTCTTTTGACCCATTTTGCCAGAGGAAAGGAAGTTCTCTAATAATTATGCACACCTGATATAGGGTGTTGATGTCATTAGACCACACCCCTTCTCATTGCAGAGATGCACATCACCTAATATGCTTAATTGGTAGTAGGCTTTCGAGCCTATACAGCTTGGAGTAAGACAACATGCACGAAGAGGATGATGTGGACAAAATACTCATTTGCCTAATAGTTCTGCACTCCCTGTATCTAGAAAAAAAGACTAGTGCATGCATATTATTTAGATTTTATTTCCAGCCATAGAAGACGGGATGCAGAAATGTAGTTTTTGAGTCACCCGTAACATCAATGGTGCAAGAACATTTCTATACACTGAAATATTGCAAGAGTTATGATACTGAATTGATATGAGAAAATTGTGTGAAAATAAGTCCAGGACTACAAATGAGCATCATGAAAGTGATGTCATCGAACCAGACACGGAGAAAACTGAAGGAAAATGGCTGTAAGTTCAGTGAACTTCCCACAGGACGAAAGAACCAGCATAAATCTGGTCATGTGGTAAGTAGCAGCTACGCTAGGGGAGAGGAGATTATGTGGTGACGTCACATATGCGACGTGCCGATTTCTAGTTTTTAGTCATGCTAATTACGAACTTTTACAAGCTAATGAGTCTCAAAGTACGTGACTGGCATGGTCGAAACACCCATCATTAATTTTCATTTAAATTGCAGTACAGCATATGTGATCCAGAGCGTAAGGCAAAGCGGATTAGAAAATGGCGTTTTTAGCCCCGTTGACCTGCATTCATTTTTTCGTTCTTCTAAGGACCCATGAGCCGACCGGAAAGGGAGAAGAATTAGGCTCCCTATTGGGCACTGGAGAGCGTAACAATTTTGCCACCATATTGGGTGGGTTCCGCACTCTCCAAACCCAACTGGAGTCTATGCAGAGTTGGCAGCTATGCCTGTTATTTGTGCATCTTATGGTGCAACAACCAGCGTACTTTTGAAAACAGATCACTTGGGATTTCTCTTGACTTTTCTGGTGAACATGTTGGGATTTTGTTTTAATTTATTTTGTTTAACGATATTTTAATTATGATTCCATATATGTCTAATTTAGTGAAAAAGCATAATAAAGTTTGTGTATGTGTTTTTTTTTTTAGTTGAGTAAGTGCCTTCCTCAGTAAAAATTAATGCACTGGTGGCAAATATACCCATCCAAGATGGCAGCCGGCCACTACGGCAGCTCCAATAGGCAGCGCCAGTCCACGGGGCGTCTATGTATATATCTGTGGCCATAACACTGGACATGTCTTGGAAGTGTCTGGCCAGAGTTTTCCAGTTAAATTCAGTCTTAATATTTGTAAATATCGTCTTTTAGAATCAAAATGAATCGTGTCACCACCGCTGTGATTTAATATATCAAATATCCAAATTCTTGCCAATACACATCTCTGTTTAACCTACAAAATCAGCTGGCAAAAAGACTCGAATCCCCATATACGTTCAGTTTTCTTTTACCGTTACTTGTTCCAAGTCGTGTTATTTGTCGCATTAGAAAGCTGCAACATTGTCAACTGCAGCTCATTTTCTAGAGAAATAACTTTTCCTTCGGGGAACTGCAGCAGACACGTAACAAACCGACATTCCACTTAGAGGAAAAAGTACGCTGGTGCCAAGTGAATGTTGCAAGGTCAGGTTTAGTCATTTATAATGAGAAACTGTTTCAGAATTGGTGAGTAAGAAAAAGCTTTTATTCTACACCAGGTGGATACTGGCAGTCATTTTATAATTCATTACTTGGAAATATATTAAATATAATTTTGAGTCTATTGTGAGATGAACAGTCAGTCAAATGTACTCTTTGATTCTTTTTTTTTTTTTTTGAAAATAATAAATTGGTCTTTAATTGGTTCTAAAATCAGGTAAACAGAAGTTTAGAAACGAAATGCACTAGAATATTCATTTAGTGTTTTTAAAGAGTAATAACTGTGCCAAAAACAGAATAATCACCATTATAAACTAACTATACCATTACTGCTTCTATTGAAATCACGATTATAAATGGTGGCCAAAGGTCTAATGTGTTTAGGCATCTGAATAAAACTAAACGTTTAGCCAGTTTACACAATTTTAAAATGTTAAACGTCTTTTGCCTTTTTTCACAAGTAAATAAGCTTAGAAGTTTATATTATGTATGAATGCTAATGGGGAGTCGTTGTTAATTGCTGTCCCGTTGTTGTGGCTAAATGTTACCAAGCTTGTTCATCTGTTTACTGATCACAAATGGGGACAGCAGTAGCTCAGGAGGTAGAGCGGGTTGTCCAGTAATTGTAAGGTTGCAGGTTTGATTCCGGCTCCGACTAGAGAATGCTGCTGTAGTGTTCTTGGGCAAGACTCTTAACCCATGTTGCCTGCTGGTGGTGGTCGGAGGGACCGGTGCTGCCAGCGCTCTGTAACCTCGCCTCTGTCTGTGCGCCCCAGGGCAGCTGTACATCGTAGCTCATCCCCACCAGGGTGTGAATGGGTGAATGACCCTATAACCGAGTCGTGGAGTCGACTTTTCCACAATGCAAATGCATTATTTATAAATAATTGTTCATTAAGGTTGTGTATATATATATATATATATATATATATATATATATATATATATATATATATATATATATATTGTAGGATGTGACTCGCCATGTTTTGTAAGAAAAGTACATTTTCTCTCCACTGCTCTGGATACTGATTGAAAGCTTATTTTATCTGTTTTCTGACTGATTTTTGTTTCTTCTCTAGGTATACCTGCTGTTGGGGTCTGCTCTGGATACTGATTGAAAGCTTATTTTATCTGTTTTCTGACTGATTTTTGTTTCTTCTCTAGGTATACCTGCTGTTGGGGTATTATTATACAGCTACGGAGGAGTATGACATCAAGTGGACGATGCCTCATTGTGTCCTCACCCTTAAACTAATTGGTGAGTTTATTACAGCTCATCTAGTTTGAATAAAAACTTGTTTCATTAACTTTGTTTTTCTGATTTTCAGGTTTATCATTTGATTTCTATGATGGAGGGAAGGAAGCGGTAAGTTGGTTGGCGTATTTAGCTTCTAGATGTGTCTCTGTGACTTTTTCGTTGGGTCACGTGCATTCTTCTGATCTCGTCTTGGTTTCCTTCCTCCTTCAAAAACGGGGAAGAAAGAGCTTAAAGGAGTTGGTTTGTCCTCGGTGTAACCACAGAAACTGAAGATGACCCAGATTAGAAGCGATATTTGCACAATAGCTGGGTCACGCAACAAAAACATCGGTAATGTCAACTTGTTTTTAAACGAAAAATTATTAAAGGATTTTTATTCTGTCTTGTAATGATATAAACTTAAACATGTGCATACCAGTGGCTGTATGGACAAACCCTCCGTGACGTCACCCGTTGGTTTCTAATCTAAAGAGCGGAAATGAAGCCCAGTGGGCGGCTCCCACCACTGCCATCCTGGGTGTGTCGCACGTCTCGTCACTCCAAGAAAATACAAAAATGGAGCTGAGAGCGGGGCTGTGATGGTCGCGGCAGATTGACACCCAACAAACTCGATGTAGCTATGAGCTAACGGAGGATGGCGGGCGCTTTTAGCCCGAAAACTACAGTTGAGCAACGCTGCTACCCTCTGCCTTCTAGGCTTTAAACGCTTCTAACGTTGGGCCAAAGCTGAGGCCTTTCGTAGCACTAATGGGCCATCTGCTACCTGTCAATAAAAAGGACACGCCCCCAAAACATCATTTAAAACTTTAGCTACGTCTAATTGGATGAGTTGCAAAACAAATTCACTCTTCGGAGTTGTCATGATAGTAGACCTATTATATCTTCTATCTCTCCATCTCACTTTCTATTTCTCTCACTTTCTATTTCTCTCGCTTTCTATTTCTCTCGCTTTCTCTGTCTCTCGCTTTCTCTGTCTCTCGCTTTCTCTGTCTCTCGCTTTCTCTGTCTCTCTCGCTCTCTATTTCTCTCTCTCTTTTGCTCTATCTTTATCAATCTATCTCTCGCTCTCTCTCTCTCGCTCTCTATCTCTCTTGCTCTGTCTCTCTCTCTCTATTTCTCTCTTTTGCTCTCTATCAATCTCTATCTATCCCTCACTTTCTATCTATCCCTCACTTTCTATCTCTCTCGCTTTCTATCTCTCTCGCTTTCTATCTCTCTCGCTTTCTATCTCTCTCGCTTTCTATCTCTCTTGCTTTCTATCTCTCGCTCTGTCGCGCTCTATTTCTCTCTCCATTTCTCTCTCTCTATTTCTCTATCTTTATCAGTCTATCTTTCTCTTGCTCTCTATCTAAACAAAGGTTAAAATAAAAATTTGGTTGGCTAGAAATATTAAATCTAGCAAAATAATCTAGATAGAGAGATATCTATATCAATTGGAACTGGCTCCTTTCTGGAGCCAGCCCCTAGTGGATGAGGGGGGAACTGCAATTTTTGTCACTTCCAGGTTGGCCTCATTCTTGGCAGGAGTTTCCTCTGTGATACAGTCAGGTTCATGCATGATAACGTGGTTCTCACAGGCAAGTTGATCAAAAGATCTAGAAGATGTCTGAGGGTCACAGAAGTAGCTAAAAACTGGACTTCCTGCAATCCGAAAGATCCAAACAAAAGTTATTTTACGTGAAAACTTTCTGTCTCTTTACCCAGATCTGGTTTAGCTACGTGTATCAGAATAAAGGAAACAAAACAAATTCTTTCTCCGTGTTCCCGACTTCACTTTAGTCATTCATTTAGATGAATCTCAATAAAAATGCATTTTTCTTCTAAACAGATTAAACTATCATTTGTTAGCAGCAGCAGTTACTTTTTGTTTAGTGTGAAATGAACAGATTAGTAACTAATTTAAATGTCTCTCTGCAGCTTTCTCTCATTTGCATTCTAATTAAAAGATTTGCTGAGCTATTTTCTTCAGAGTATTAATGTTCACTGGGATGTCAAAGGTCACTGTAGTTTGTAGTCCTTCTGCACGTTCTCTTTACATTTTTCAGCTTTTTTTAAAAGGATTTTTTTTTAAATTTCTTTGCACTTCCTCTTCTACCTTGTGTGTCTGTTTTCCTCTACTCCTCACATCCAGCCCCAGCTCAGCGAGGAGCAGAAGAAGAGCGCCCTGACCTCAGTGCCTTCGTTGCTGGAGGTTTTCGGCTTCTCCTACTTCTACGGTGGCTTCCTGGTGGGACCCCAGTTCACGCTGCGTAGCTACCAGAGCCTGGTGGCGAGGGAGCTCACCGACTGCCCTGGAAAACCTCCCAGCAGGTGAGAGCGAGCAAATCGTGAGTGATAAAGAGAAAGAAACGTGTTCAGACACAATCTTAATTAGATCTCTGTTTCAAGAAGACAAAACGACTCTCTGGTGTCGCAGCTCCTTCGGTTAACATTTCCCGTCTCATTATCTTTTCATTTCTGTTCCAGTGTTATTCCTGCTCTGAAGAGGTTTGCTCTGGGTTTTCTCTGCCTGGTGATATATGCAATATTTAGTCCGTCATACCCAGATAGTTACTACTTAACAGATGAGTATGAGGTGCGAAGTAAAACACAAAATACCTAAAATTTCAATAAAGAGGAAATCATTTTAACTTCTTTATTTCTTTTTGTTTTTCTGCAGGCTCAGCCTTTCTGGTATCGCTGTGTTTTTATTCTGCTTTGGGGAAAAGTCATTTTATATAAATACGTCAGCTGTTGGGTCATAGCAGTAAGTTGCCCCTTTTTTGGTGCAGAATATACAAGTATGTCTGTGGAGGTTCTCAGTCATCCAGGTCATTGTAGTCTAATGAGCTTTGAAAGAAAAGCATCTGGACTTCTTTGAGTTGCTTGAAGACGGTTCACCTCTCTTCCGAGAGGCTTCTTCCGGACCTTAGAACTGAAGAAGCCTCTCGGATGAGAGGTGAACCGTCTTCAAGCAACTCAAAGAAGTCCAGATGCTTTTCTTTCAAAGCTCATTAGACAATATACAAGTATGTATCAAAACACCAAGACGAGACCAAAGAGCAGCAGTCTGAGGGTTTTACAGTTGAAATCCCCCCCCCCCCCAGTGAAACACAGTAGAGGAACAATCGTGATATGTGGACGCTTCACTACTTCAAAGAAGTTTTTAAGTGAAATGTGTGGTTTGGTTCGAGTCATGATTTTAAGAATTTGTCAAACCTAAAAACAAAGTTAAAAGGGGCCATTTTAAATCAGGAAATGACAACTTTTAACGTTCAGCTGATTGAAAAGTTCAGAGGATGTTTGTGTTGAAACAGGTTCTGCAACCAAATTATATTTGCTTGCATCACATTTTCTAATATAAAGCAATATTTAAACTTATTTGACATTTACACTTAGAATAAAAGAAAAATCAAGAATCTGTTTGCTGTATTTATCTGTAGACACTCACAGATTCCTGGTTTTAAGTTAACCGAAAACCCATTTTTTAATGATTCTTTCTGATTATAATTGGTCACTCTGAGTTTTTCGTGCAGGCTCAGTGTGAAAATGGCCTCCTACACTTCTCCTCCATTAGTATCTGATATGTAATGGATTGAAAAACGCTTGGTTCAGAAAAGCCTGACAGATCTATGTCACATTGTCACTTAGCACTCATGAACTCGTGACGGGGACATAGCTAGTGACGGGAAAGGTTGTTGTTGTTTGTTTAGAATCCAGGAAACAGCAGGTCACCTAGTGGCTAGTTAAAGCTAACCATTAGCATTAGCAACTCCACCACACGACAGAACTCCTTCAGGCCCATCTTGGCTTGCGACGGGGAAAGTATTTGTTGGTTTATTGTCCAGGAAATTGCAGAGTGCATCTCGGCTAGCAGAAACTAACCATTAGCAATAGCAACTCCACCACACAGCAGGAGCTCCTCCAGGCTTGTGTTATTTGTAGAGATAAAACATCACCATTGGAAAGAAAACCGACTCATTGCTACTAAAATGAGTTATATAGACCTTTTTTAATGTAAAAATGAACCATTTTAATTTAGGAAAGGATGACTTTTGACTTCCAGCCCACTGAAACGTTAAGCTAGATGGATGAAAGGTTCAGGGGATGTTTTTGTTGAAACGGATTCTGCAACCAAAATACTATCTTGCAAAGAAATATAATATAATATAAAACATTATTTAACCCTATTTGATGTTTACACATTCAATCCTGTTTATTTTTTATTCTATTTCTTGTGTATTTGCTGAATTTTTCTGCAGAGATGCTCACTAATTCTTGATTTGAACTTATTAATTTAACTAACAACTTATTTTTCTCGTGTTTTCTGATTCCAGGAGGGCGTTTGCATTTTGTCTGGGCTCGGGTACAACGGCGTAGTGGATGGTAAGCACCAGTGGGACGCTTGCGCCAATATGAAAGTGTGGCTGTTCGAGACAACTCCACTTTTCGGAGGAACAATCGCATCTTTCAACATCAACACCAACGCCTGGGCTGCCCGGTCAGTCTCTGTGCCGCTCCTGAGTTTTTATCCAAAGGCGTGTTGTAAAAGTTACAAATTTACTGATATGATCATTAAATGGAGGGAGAAAGTTCAATCATTCATCCATAAACTGGAATCTTTCCCAACAGAGGCTCTGGGTTTTCACTTTAAGAGGGATCACAAAGAGGAAGTGGAATATTTAAAAGTAATTGTTAACCGTTTTCCACCTAAAACGTCACGCATGAAGTCATTTTAGAACAACTGTTTGATGAAGACCACAGCGAACAAAGCAATTTATTTATTGAGCGTACAGTTTATTACATGGTCCATTTCCATTGAATGCATTAAAGATTTCTGCTTACTTTCACTTTTCCTCTTTCCAAACTGCTTCAGAGGCAGAAAGCAGAGGGGGAGGTTTCTGAAATGTAATTGAAATGGTCAAATATCACTAAACTGATGGTGGGGGGTTTACTGTGTCATTTTCAGGCTCTTAGTAAATGTAACGCAGACCTGAAACACAAATGATCTGATTATCCCACCTACAAAGGATTGCCTACTAATAGTTTGGCGATTTTTGAGGTTTCAAGCTCCTTTTCATTCAACCAGATGAGGATGGAGGTCTAATTTATTGTCTCGTTGTAGAATAAAACGTGTAATTATGTTTCAAACTAACACAAAGTATTGTGTTAGTATAAGCACATTAAAAATGTCTAAACTGCACACATGCATGCAGGAAACCAAAAATCAGCTTAAGACATTTATAGATATTGTCCATTAAAAACGTTTGATCTCTAATCAGTATGCATGATTGTTGCACGTTTAAACTTGGTTTATTAGATGTTTCGACTCTAAAATAGATTTTTAAGGTGTTGAAATGTGATTCGCGAGACCATCTGCAACCTTTTCCTATTTTTAAGACACGTGTTCAAGCGGTTGAAGTTTCTGGGCAACAAGACGACGTCCCACGTGGCCACGCTGTTTTTCCTCACCATTTGGCATGGCCTGCACTCTGGGTACATCCTGTGCTTCACCATGGAGTTCCTCATCATCACAGTGGAGCGACAGGTAGGATTCTGCAACGCAATAAAACACATTTGTACACATCGCCTTTTTTTTTTATAAGGGATTCAGTTGATCAAATTCATCTTACTTGTGGTTTTCATTGTGGTTTAAAGGTGTGGAACACTGAAAAACATTTTTTTAATGATTATTTCTGATTATAATCAGTCACTATGAATTTTTCATGCAGGCTGAACATGAAGGTAGTCTCCTACACCTATCTCCTGCATTAGCTTCTGATAGAAAATAGACGGTGAAGCTCTAGGATTAGAAAATCCCGACAGATCCACTGTCACTTAGCATTCATGGACTCGCCCATCTTGACTCAAGACGGGGGAAGGCTGTTTGTTTAACGTCCAGGAAATGGCAGAGAATGCCTCGACTAGCAGAAGCTAACCGTTAACATTAGCAACTCCACCACACAGCAGAACTCCTTCAGGCTTGTGTTATTTGTGGAGATAAAACATCAACGTCACGGAGCAAACAGAGTCAGTAGAAGAGTCACGTTGCTGTTAGCCAATCAGAGGTGAGATGTCCGAATATCAGGAAATTTTCTGATGTGACTCTCTTCTAGTTCCTGAAACGGGCGCGCCGGAGTTTTGTTTCCCCAGATTACGACTTACGAGGCCTTCATTCCTGCTAGAGAACACTGCAAATGTACTGTTTAAACAAGTAGATCCCATCTTTAGTCGAATGCATGTAAAGCCGCCATCCCTGTTTTGTGTGTTTGTGCGACAGGCCCAGGCTTTGGTGCGGGACAGTCCGATGCTGACCAAAATGGTCAACAGCCATCTTTATCCCATCATCTATGTAGTCCAACAGTTTATCCACTGGCTCTTCATGGGGTATCCTCTCGTGCCGTTCTGCCTCTTCACCTATGACAAATGGCTCAAGGTAAACTCCGATCTCCTGAAGCTGAAGCGGTCCAATGACCCTCTAATGCAATAGCACATCTGTAGGTGTATGCTTATGAAAAATAATCACAGAAGTCCCAAGTTCGATGTCATCTTTTTTGAGGAAAAATTTGTTTTAATTTGTTTTTGAGGTTAGAAAAGTGTTTAATTTAGTGGATATGCATTTTATTCTGAAAATGCATATCCATGTCTTACTGTTGTAAGAAGCAAATGTATTAACAGAAAAATAAGACAAATATGAGAAGCAAATGATTACATGAATTAAAGGGACATTATGGAAGTTTGACAGCCAAAACATGTAAAGAAATAATAAATGTCTTCTTCATACATTCTCCTGCAATGCCCTGGTCCTGTAGAATGAGCCCTGGCATTTTTACTGTGATTTCCTGTTTTTCTGTAAAATCACAGAAAAAGAGAGATGCTCGGGTCGAGCAGGCTGCTTCATGCGCGTTCACGCTCAGGCATCGCCCGTAGCATTTGCTATCCGTAGCTTTAGCAGCAGAGAGAGAGGTAGTGCCACTTTGTCGCTGTTCCTAACGCCTAGTGACAAAGCTAGCTACATTTCTGAGGACCCTTAGCTACTTTCTGTAGAACTTTCTTCTAGATATTTCCTGCAAATTAGCAACAAAATAGCCATTTTCGCTCCGAACCGTTCTTTGGTTTGACGTTGTTTCAGCTGTCATCAAGGATATGAATGTTACTAGAGTGTAGCTCACCTTGTAAGATGTCTGACTCCCATGCAGAAGACCTGGGTTTGATTCTGGATGTGAACAGAGTTTATTTAGAGTTTCTTTTTTACATTAATGGTATATTTTTTTTTGCAGTAAGATGCCCAAATATTTGAGACTCGCCGAACGGCATTGAATTCATAGATAAAAAAGATGTGGGTTCAACTTTCATTTTGGAACAATTTTTCAAGCAAGGGAAGGGAATGATCTGAGCATGCAGGAGGACTGACCCATCATACACCTTTGTTGGCTGTGCTGAAGAGAAAGGTACAGAACCAAATTATTTAATTAATTATCTGCACGTTCTCCTGTACTCTTGTCCTCCGGGCCGGACACACACACACACACACACACACACACACACACACACACACACATACACATACACATACACATACACATACACATACACATTCACACACACACACAAGAGACTGTCTCAGCTGTTATTTTCGTTAAGGAGTGTGCACGTACAGCATGCGCGCCTCGTGCACGAGCATACTATTTAAGCTGCCATTACGCTTTTGGCCTGAGGGGGCAATCACGAGCATAAAAATTCAAAAGTCTGTAAAGTCCCTTTAAAAGTAAAGTAACAGAGGAAGTCATATTTTAGTTTAGTAAATTTGTCTTAAATCGAAAATTGAAAAAGTGGGACTTTCAAACATTGACCCCGACTTTCCACTGGCTGAGAAAGAGGTCGCGTAATGTAATGGTGACATTCTACCCGCGAGCTCGTCACCAACCGGGAGCGATTCTGACGCAAAACGGGAGCGAAAGCGTTCCTGATCCCATGACCTCATGTAACCACAGGAGAATTGCTACACCACACGTGATTCCAGACGTCCACACATAATGACAAACAAGAAGAAAGATGGCTGCATGCAAGAAAAAATGTCTGTGGGTTATTTTCTGTTCTGTTTACATCAGTTACAGAAGCTCACAGGGAATGACGTACTGCACGCGACATTTATTTTGAAAGTTTCTGGATGTTCTACACTGCTTTTGTGTTTAACTTCCTGTCTGGCTGGATCTAAACTGCAGAATTTCACGTGTTTTGGAAGTGTAGAGCGTCACAAATGGACTCGAAGCGTAATGATGGCATGCCCTCGCTTCTGGGGCGCGTCAAACTTCACTCTTCGCTGCCCGGGGAAAGGAACTCCTCCACTCTAATGGCGGCTAGTTGCTGCGTAGGTCGTTTCATGGGTGTTTTGCTTTGACGTGCAGTGGAAAGAAGGGGTGAGATTTAGATTTTCATGTCAAAATAGGAAAATCCCAAATTTTTATTTAGCATGCTTCTAATATGATGTGGCTTTTGGTGTCAAATACTGAGAATAAGAACATAAAGTCCAGCTTGGAGGAGCCTGTAGTAAAGTTTTTGTTCCAGTCTTGCTGAACTCTGCATGCTGCAGTAGCGCGTTAGTTTTCTTTTACCTTTTTTTTGTATTTTCCCCATTTTTACTATATTTTGAACTGATGCACACAGAGTTTTGTTATCTTCCTTTTCTGCTTTTCTCACTCTGAAAATCTGAAGCAAAGTTAGTTTTAGGTATTTTTAAAAGTTTAAAGGGACTTTACAGACTTTGAATTTTTATGCTCGCGATTGCCCCCTCAGGCCAAAAGCATAACGACAGCTTCAATAGTAGGCTCGTGCACGAGGCGCGCATGCTGTACGTGCACACTCCTTAACAAAAATAACAGCTGAGACAGTCCCGTGTGTGTGTGTGTGTGTGGGGGGGGGGGGTGCAGACAGAGGACAGGAGAACGCGCAGCTAATTAAATAATTTGGTTCTGTACCTTTCTCTTCAGCACAGCCAACAAAGGTTTATGATGGGTCAGTCCTCCTGCATGCTCAGATCATTCCCTTCCCTTGCTTGAAAAATTGTTCCAAAATGAAAGTTGAACCCACATCTTTTTTATCTGTGAATTCAATGCCGTTCGGCGAGTCTCAAATAAAAATTTGGGCATCTTAATGTAAAAAAAATATACCATTAATGTAAAAAAGAAACTCTAAATAAACTATGTTCACATCCAGAATCAAACTTCTGCACGATAGTCCGAAGTTTTACTAGGTGAGCTAAAGCTGAGCCGATCTGTCGTGGTGAAGAGGGAGCTGAGCCAGAAAGCCAGGCTCTCGATTTACCGGTCGATCTACGTCCCAATCCTCACCTATGGTCATGAGCTTTGGGTAATGACCGAAAGAACGAGATCGCGGATACAAGCGGCCGAAATGAGTTTCCTCCGTAGGGTGGCCGGGCTCAGCCTTAGAGATAGGGTGAGGAGCTCGGACATTCGGGAGGGACTCGGAGTAGAACCGCTGCTCCTCCGGATCGAAAGGAGCCAGTTGAGGTGGTTTGGGCATCTGGTCAGGATGCCTCCTGGACGCCTCCCCGGGGAGGTGTTTCGGGCATGTCCTGCCGGCAGAAGGCCCCCGGGTCGACCCAGGACACGTTGGAGAGGTTACATCTCCAATCTGGTCCGGGAACGCCTTGGGGTCCTGCCGGAGGAGCTGGTGGACAAGGCCGGGGAGAGGACGGCCTGGAGCTCCCTAGTTGGGATGCTGCCCCCGCGACCCGGACCCGGATAAGCGGAGGAAGACGAGAGACGAGAGAGAGCTAAAGCGCCAGTGACGTCCTTTGTATCTGTAACATTTATATCCTTGATGACAGCTGAAACAACGTTCAAAGAACGGTTCGGAGCGAAAATGGCTATTTTGCTACTAATTTGCAGGAAATATCTAGAAGAAAGTAGCTAAGGGTCCTCAGAAATGTAGCTAGCTTTGTCACTAGGCGTTAGGAACAGCGACAAAGTGGCACTGCCTCTCTCTCTGCTGCTAAAGCTACGGATAGCAAATGCTACGGGCTATGCCTGAGCGTGAATGCGCATGAAGCAGCCTGCTCGACCCGAGCATCTCTCTTTTTCTGTGATTTTACAGAAAAACAGGCAATCACAGTAAAAATGCCAGGGCTCATTCTACAGGACCAGGACATTGCAGGAGAACGTATGAAGAAGACATTTATTATTTCTATACATGTTTTAGCTGTCAAAATTCCATAATGCCCCTTTAAAATGTTGCCAAAACACCGTCCTGGGGCTTTCTTCGCCATCAGAAGCTTCTACATTTAAGTATTGTTCGTAATCTGTGTACAGGAATTAGATAAGACTGGGCTTAGCTTTTCTTTCATTGTTTTGCTGCAATAATTAAGCAAATCTGAACGATATTTGCCAGAGGACGCTGCATGTGTTTCTGAATCTGAACTCCTGCTGTGCAAATAAAGTGGTCCACTGAAAATGAAGGCTGCTGCTGCATGAAGAGCTGTTGGTTTCTAGAGCTTCAAATGTAGCAGAAAGAAGAAAAGCTCCTGGATAATAAAATGTTTTAATGCTTTTAGTCGCTGAAAGGTAAACGTGACCCTTTTTCTTTCTGCAGGTGTATTCTTCCGTCTATTTCTGTGGACATTTGTTCTTCCTGGTGGCGTATTTAGTCATGCCCTTCCTCCGTAAGGCTCTGGTGCCTAAGAAGGAACGGAGTGAGAAAAAGCAGCACTAAACCGGTTCAGAGTCCTTCCACGGTACGTAGGCACACGTCAGAGCCCTTTTCTTCCCACTGCCGACGTCCATCCGGTGGAAAGCGACCGCTTCAACACTCTGTTTCCTTCCAGGTGCGTCTAAAGGCTGAACATCTATGAAGGGAACTGTGCCGTTCATGGAGAAGAGCACAAATTGTTTTAAGGCCTTTTAGTAATATATAAATATTTGAATATATGTTCATGTAAAAAAAATCTATATATTTTTGTGTTTTTTAAGCTAAAGGGGAGGTTTTATAAACATTTGAACGTATGTTTACAGGAAGTTGCCGTCGTGCCACACGGGTTGATTGTGGGACGATTTCCTGCTTGTTGTTTTTGTTTTAATTGAAGACACGTGGGACTCGAGGAACTTGAGAGACTTACTTGCTGTCGACACAGGATTGCACTTATGAGTCACAGGTTTGGAGTCTGTTTTTGGCTCCAGTGTGTTATTTTTTTTGTTGCTTCTTTGTTCCGACTCCCACATCCAGCAGCAGCACCAAGCCTGGAACAAGAGGTTTTGCGCACAGCGCCAGCAAACAAGACACTTCCTGACGCCATCATACTACATGCATATGATTCATCTGTATTATTGTTTCCTGCCGAGCCGTTTGGAGGATCACCAGGAGCTTGATTTCTTTAAAAATGGCTGCTATGTTTATACGTGCACCATAGAATCACACACTAACACCCAACTCAATGGCCTTGAATCCATGAATGTTTTTTACTGTTCGCGTGGTCTGGATTTCTTGTGATTTAAAGAAATAAGTCAGAAAAAGGGTTTTAGAGTTTTTATGAATAAGAACATGCTGTAGTTTGTCCTCCAACTGTGCCACTCTCATCTGTCTGTCTCCGTTTCAAATTTGAAAGTGAATTGCTTTTCTTCTTCCTCCATTTTTCTTTTAGATCCGTCTTTGGGGCCCGTAGGCGGATTTTTATTCCCTATAGATTAATTTGATCTTTAAAAGTGAAGTATTTGCATCGTGTGAATACTTTATGATTTGTGTATTTTGGGGGGATTTGCATGAAATTCCCGACCTTTACCCCCCTGGAGAAAGGCCTCGGCTCTGCTGCTGCCAATGTCCTTCCACACACTTGTGAGCAGGACAAACCTCACTGTAGCAATGCTCCAGACTTCAGTTATATTTATACACAAGGTGATCATTATTAATTGATGAGTTGCTATTTCCAGAGATGACTTTATTGCCTTATCCTTAAATGTACAAATGGAAGTATGGGATGTGGGGATGATTTTTTTTATTGTTCATTAAAATGCTGGATTTCAAATAAATGCCTATTTGTTGTGTTTTGCGTTAAGTATCTTGATATGGGCAAAACAGGGGGATATGACGTCATCTTGCAGTGTGGACCGAGCCGAGTTGGAAATGGGGGGATTAGGGTAAAACCCACGAACACGTGAGGTGGAGGTGGTCATTACAGATGTTGACAGCTGAGCGTGATGAGATGAGTTGCGGTGCGGTGCGGGTGTCTGAGTCACGGTGGTGGATGTGCAGAAAAGAGCCAGAGCAGCAGTCTGCTGGTGGGGGCCCGACAGGAGCCGGAGAGGTGGGAAGGACGCAGTGTGGGCGGGTCAAGAAGCGCCGAGAGGGAGGGGACGACCGCGTCATATCCACATCGCCTTTTCTGCTCCTGGGAGAAAAAAAAGCAAGGACGTCCGTCGGATCCTCTTCCTCCTCCACGCATCTCCTCCCTCCTGAACACCTCCCCCCGTGGCTGCGCGTTGGTTTTTCGGGCTCCAGGAGCAGATCCATCCCTCTCCTCCACCTGGAGGCTTTTTCCCCCCGCTGTTGCTCCCAGCCTGCCGGGGTTTGCCGAGCCGAGCGGCAGGGACGCGAGAGGCGGATGCTGCGAGCGTAGAGGAGGCAGGGTACCAGCCAGGAGCATCACCGCACTCACCACGGTAATCTGCTGCTCAAAACCCGCAATTCTGTCACGTTTCCGCTCCGGACCGAACCAGCGCGTCCGAATCGGTCGTCACGTAGCTCGAAATGTGTGTCAGCTCCAGCGTGCGGGGATAATTGTCGCATAGCATGCGTGTTTTCTCCCGGACAAACTACACGGATGGAGTCTCAGGTTGTGTGTTTGTTGTCTTTGACCTGCTTATATAACCTCGAGTCTAAGACTGAAGATGTGTGGATTTGTGTCACCAGTGGCAGATTTAAAACCCTCCCAGGAGTCATCAGCTGTTTTTGTACATTACCTAACACACCTCATGGAAGTGAAACGTTACACACACACACACGCACACACACACACACTCACGGTGCTCCACAGGCTATTCAGGATCTATTCATGTCAGTCAGAGCAGCGTTATGCTTCTGGATTACTGCTTCAGTCGTGCAACTGAGGCTCCATCCATGATGAACATCCCGAGTGCAGCATCTTCTTACTATACTGTCAGTTTTGATGCATGAATTGTACCCCCCTCTCTTTCCTTACCCCACCCTGTTACCCCATCTCTCCCCCCTTTTCCCTTTCCTTTCCTCTCTCAGATGGACAGAATGATTTTTCTCTCCCTCCTCCTTTGCTTGACTTCAGTTGCCAATGGCAACAAAGGTCAGTTCCTCATCCTTTTTTAAATTGGTAATTGTGAAGTATTGAGATGATGGTTTACATTGCCATAGAAACGGACAGCGCTGTCTGGGTTTTCAGGTGCAGCTGTGGCTGTTCTGCCCACAAATGAACCCTGGGACTTCGTTGTTATTCTTGCATCACATGAAACTTGAAGTCTTCGTGCATGAATGTCTGCTCCTAAAATCCTGCATGCAGTGTGACTTTTTCATGCTCCAGTGGAGACGATAGGTTTATTGTAATGATTCAGCATCATAGTTCCAGTGGTTACGCTGAGGGGAGGCGAGCGAGTGTTTGAGGAGGAGAGGGTGATGCAAGATTGAAGTGGAAGGGAGGAGAGGGAGTAAGTGGAGAAGGAGCTGTGACAGAAAAAAACCCCAGGATGATGAGGAAAGAGAGGTTCGGTGCATGAGATCAGGTGACACGAGGGAGAAGAGCAGAAGACGTGTGAGACAGACGCTGGGAGTTTTGTGTGTATACAGTATGTGTGTGTTGGTGTGCAGGGGCCAAGCGAGGAGAAAAGGAGGGGTGGGTGTTGTGGAGCGACAGAGAGCGGAGCAGTGCCAAGAGGAACAGACACAGAGATGGAACGAGATGCCTCTCAATCTGTAATCCCAAATGTAATCCACAGGCCTGATGCTCAGATTAATACATGGCAGTGTGGAGGGAGGGGAAGAGATCAGTGTTTGGGTGGTGTGTGTGTGTGTGTGTGTGTGTGTGTGTGTGGGGGGGGGGGGGGGGTAAATAACTAAATAACAAACTAACACAGGAGACTGTGGTGGTGTCAGCCAAAAAAGGATGGATGTCTGTGATTACAGCAGGGTGTTGAACCTCTAATTCTGGGTGCCTGATCATGCAAATAAAATGAAAATGTTTAAAACAGAACGGCATTGACAAACTGGATGCATTTACTTGGATTCACTTTATAAATTTTGATAAAAATGCTTTCAGAAGACACACAACCCCACATTTTTATAGCAAATTTTAGTAAATATTGTATTGATATGTTTATTAGGGCTGGGGCTCTATTGAAAATGAATCTAATTAATTAGAGGCTTTGTAATTAATTAATCTTGATTAATTGTGATTTAATCGTTCAAGACAAGTTGCTTATAAGCAATTTTTATATAAAAAATAATGATGCACAGATGACACAGCAACACTTTAATGAGTTGAAAGTTTAAAGAGCATCTTGAATTTTGATCTTTGGATATTAACAGTCCCAGGTATGCGACTTCCTGTTTAACAGAAATATTACAGACAGTATTTGCAGGGCAGTCTTTAATTGCTAGCAACTCACACTTTTTTAGATGTAGGCATAAACCAGAGGCCTCAGAGAAGTCACTAGTCACAGAGCTAGAGGGATTTGGTTTGCATTTTTTAAGAAGAGTGTGGTGTTAGGCTCCCTATAAGTGGATGCTTGGGCTCAAAGGAGTAGGTTTTCAACGTTTTTTTTTTTCAAATAAATTAATTATAATTTAAATTCCCACCCCTAATATTCATCAAAGTTAGAAAAATATGAAAAATACCCATCATGGAATCCTACATCCATTTCCTGTCTATCTTTTCAAAATCCAAAACAAAAGAAGAAATTAGTCCATTCTTAAGAAAATGGTAAAATTTTGTCAAACAACACAGATAAAGGTTTTTATGGCACATCTGGATCAAATCAGGCAGCAAATCAAAATAATTTGTCTGCAGATTTCTTTTTTCCCCTCGGGTTAGTCATTATTTTAGCTCTGAAGCAACAATATGTTCATTTCTAAAGATCCAGTTAAAGGTCAAAGCTCTGTTTAAGCACACAAACGTGTGTCTGTTTTCATAAGTGACACGTCTTCTGATGAGGAAAAATAAAGATGCTCTCCCATCTTCTCGAGGAGAAGATGGGAGAGCATCAGTCAAATGCAGCAGCCTTTATGATCATAACATTTAAAAAAGCATATTTAAATTCGGTGGAAAGCTGTGATGCTTTAAGCAAAGAAAACTTAAAAAGAAACCAGCTCTGTGTTTGAAGGGAAAGAAGTTTGATCAGATTTACATCCAGCAGTGGGCTTTTTTCCCTCTTCCTCTCAAAGATGAGACGGCAAAATTAGTTCCACTCAGATTCAAATACACCATGGCAACAACAAAGCGATTGGCAAACAAAAAGTCTTCTGTCTGATTTCGAACTCCGCAGCTTCTTGAGATTGGGGACACTTGAGGGAGGGAGAGCCTTTTTTGTTTTTGCTCATTGCTGGAGCGTAAAACCGTCATCCTTCTGGCTCATTAGCTTGGCCTTTGATCACTCGGCACTGAACATTCAACACAAGGACAAATAATTATTTTTGCAATCGGAGGTTAAATTCAGAGGGAACCTCAGGTGTTTGACTCTAACTTTGCTGGGGCTGACGGATGGTCACTGTGGTTTTCTGTTTGTGTCTGTGATTAAAGAGAAACCAGGAGGACTTTGATTACGCTGAAGGAAAAGGGTGTTAGGGGACAGTGGTCAGTGTGGAGGAGCAGGGAGGGCTAGGAATATGATCAGAGTGTGGTTTATTTTTTACCACTTACACACACACACACACGCTTACAAGTGCATATACACACATTTACACATACTCATACACATGTGCATGTACACACACATATTCACACACATGCATACAAACACATGCGCATGTATACACTCACATGCATATACACACATTTACACATGCACACACATATGCATGTACACACACATGCATATGCACACACATGCATACAAACACACATATGCATGTACACACATGCATACAAACACACATGTGCATGTACGCACTCGCATGCATACAAACACACATATGCATGTACACACACATGCATACAAACACACATGTGCATGTACGCACTCACATGCATACAAACACACATATGCATGTACACACACATGCATACAAACACACATGTGCATGTACGCACTCACATGCATATACACATTTACACATGCACACAAACACACATATGCATGTACACACACATGCATACAAACACACATGTGCATGTATGCACTCACATGCATATACACATTTACACATGCACACACATGTGCATGCACACACACATGCATACGCACACACATGCATACAAACACACATGTGCATGTACACACAAATATGCGCACAAAAAGGTACAGAACCAAATTATTTAATTAATTATCTGCACGTTCTCCTGTACTCTTGTCCTCCGGGCCTGACACACACACACACACACACACACACACACACACACACACACACACACACACACACACACACACACACACTTGTATTTCTATACTTGTGAGGACCCTTTATTGACTCCCATTTATTTTAGTGACTGCAATCTACCCAACCCATACCTTAACTGTAACCTTAAATAAAATGCTATCTGCAGCACGCCTCAAACCAAGTATTAGAGTTTGTTGCACCATGGGGACTTCCTAAATGTCCCCATGTCACAGGTTAGAAGTCAAAAATGGCGTCCACAAAGTATTATATAAAAACATACACACACACACACACACACCCTGTTTAAAAATAGCTGCTTTGGTTTCCTTCTAATTGCTCCATTTAACCCAAAGCCTCTTCGGTCTCCTCTCTGCCTCGTTCAGCCAATAAGCACAAGCCATGGATCGAGACGGAGTACCAGGGGATTGTCATGGAGAACGACAACACCGTCCTGCTCAACCCCCCTCTCTTTGCTCTGGACAAAGATGCTCCACTTCACTACGCTGGTAACTGCAGCAAACATAACGGGCCATAAAATCAAACATATTTACGCATATTTGCAGTGTTTGTAATAGAAAATGAAATGGGTCAAATCTTTTCCACATGTAGCCAAAAACTAAATCGTCACTGCAGGTCATTTAAATTTTATTTTGCAGATAAATTGATGCTAAAATTGCCCAGTCGTAAATGATGCCCTCGTTTTGTGTTTTGTTTTTCTGCTATAATTTTACTGCCTGTTTAAGAAATATTTCCCCAAAGACTCCCTAAATGTTCGGTCACAGAGAGCACTATTTTTAGACCATCGTAGTGTTATTCAAGCTCTCTGTGCAGGAGCAACCAGCAGCTCTCTGCCTGTGCAGCCTGATGAAATAAGGTGATCGTGTTTGTACTCAGTGTCGTGGAAATAACCGTGTTCAGGCAAATTACTCAAAAAAAAATCTACTTCAATTACTCTAAGGCTTCCTGATATATATTGAGTCCGTGTCAAGAGGGAAGAGGAAATTACCTGTTCGAGCCCGGGCCTTTGACTTATGTCAGCCGATAAAGATCAGCTGCTATTCTGAGGATTTTTATATTCCGTCGCTGCTGCAGCACATTTTATTCTGCTCTGATGATAACAGGCTGCTGGGGAGATATCGTACATCCGTTCTGAATATCGACTTTACGACAAGTTCATACAGTTTTAAAATCACGGCTATGATGCAAACTATTTCAAATGTACAGAATTTCATTTTATTTCACTTAAATTTATCGGCTATAATTTATCGGCTATAATTTAAAGAGCAAATCACCCCAAATCAACTTATTTTTGCTGATAAACTATATAAATGAGCGTCTAAATTAGACGGTCTAATCATGCTGTAGACACGTGTAGTCAATAATTTGATACTTTAACGCATCTTAGTTCAAATTTCAATTTTCTGCCTAAAACTGTCAGTGTTGTGCTGTCATCAGGTAAAAATTCTGCACTACATTTGAATTTAAATCTGCCATCACTATTGGCTAAAAAGTACACAATGATGTTAGTTGGTACATTATGATGTCACAATGCTGTTGTGAGCCGGTGTGTGTGTATTTGTTTGCAGCTCCGCCCTCTCGGTCTGCTAGGCAACAGCATTTGTTGCATTTTTCAAACATGAAGTGAGAGTGGAGTAAGACTCTGGTAGGGGGTGACTTGCACTTTAAGTTTTATTTGACCCAAACACGTTTGCGTGATGCGAACAGTAAACATGTCAGTCATTTGCAGACAAGTTAGAGTCTGTTTGATAAAAAATTAACGTTTCAAAAGCTGTAACTGAAATGATTTTTAAAAATTGGACAAAAATTAGGAAATTTTGGTTTTCCTGTCAGTAATGTATTAAAAATAGTGTTAAGAGGCATTTAGGAGATAGAAAGGTCTAGTCAGATTTAATCAGGTCAGTAAAATCAGTTAAAAACGGGGTTAATCTGAAATAATCCAGTAAATTCAGAAACACTTCTCAAAGCAAAATTGCAGCAAATGAGGGATTTTCATCATCATTTTATCAATTATGTGAACTTTCTCGGCAATTATAATAAATGATAACAATCGCAGGTGAGCAGTGTGTCAAAACGACCTCAGAAACGCCTTCTTTAAATAATTCCTGCTGATAGACAGAAAAATCTGCATGAAAATGGGAATTAATCCCAGAAACTCAACAACTCATTCATGACCGACCAAGAAAAAGCTGAAAGCTGACCTTTGGTCTAATGAGTCCTAATTTGAAATTATTTTGGGAAACCCAAGATGCTGCGTCCTTCAGGCAGAACAGGATGAGGACCATCTGGGCTGTTATCAGTGTTATAAAACCAGAATCCGGGTTGGTATCGGGGTCATCGGTGCACATGTTATGGACAGCTTGGACAACTTTGGAGATACCATCGCTGATCAGTGTATTCTGGTCAGGGAGCAAATGGTGCTGCCATGAAAACAACACAATTTAAAGAGAGTAAGTACTTTTTTCTGTAAGACACTAGGAAAGAAAATTCTGTAGATGTTACACAAACGTGGCTCTGACAGTTCCAGATGAGATATTGTCCTGCCTGCAGTCCGGATGGTAGATCATTAAATGAAACATCCATAAAATTTAATACTTAAAAAAATTTAACTTTAAAGAGGACACATTTTGCCTTTTCTTCTTAAGTTATAATAGTTCTATGGTCAGTAAAAATCATGTTTATGAAGTTATGCCAGAATGAGCCGCTTCAGGGCTCTGTCACTTTAAGAAAACAAACTGGTGCTGGTCAAGCCCACCCATCCCCTGACTGGCTGCTATAAGCTGAGAAGCTCTAACATCAAGGAGTAGCTCTGAGTAGAGTCGCCGCTCCTCCAGCAGCAGCTCTCTCTCTTGAACATCAGAGGCGGTTCTATGGTAATAATATCCATGTTTGTGACATCACAATCAGGGACTTTTTGAAATAGCTTGTTTTAGGTGCACAGTTCCTAAAACCAAACACTAACAGAAAACAAATTGATGATTTTTCCACATTTGGTGTGTTACTAGAGGCAGTAGAGGCCCATGTGGCAGCACAAAATGATGCAAAAAGTCTATTTAGCATTTAATGTCCCTTTAAATGCAACTTCATTAGAGTTCTGCTGAAATTATTCCTAATTTAGAAAACATTTTTGTAATAATGAAAAAGTGAGCAATCAGAATAGCTTTTATGAATTAAAACTGTTATGTAAAAATAGGACAAAAAGCCCAATATTTGAAGAATTGGTTGCACCGATGTTTTAGGGGACAGCACTGATGTAGGACGATGGATTTAAACAGTGAAGATGTTTCAAGGCCTCTTTCAGTTTCTATTTTCTGGATTTCCAACAGCGTATGGAAATTCACTAAATATTTTTGCACAAAATATCTGATTGCGTGATTGATGCAGCTCACGGGGAGTTTTAAAAGGCACGAAAAACAACAGCGATTAATCAGAAGGAGGCCAGTTTGTAGCTGTTAAATGAGCACTTAAGTCTGTGGCAGGTAGGTGTTACAGTAATCAGGACAAAGGGAAAAGAAACAATCCCTGGATTTTTTTGTTTCCATGTCTAAAAATCACTTTAAAAGTCCATGTGTTCGTGTACGTGTGGCAAATGTCTCACTCAACATTTTTCTCGCCTGCTCAGGTGAAATCTGCGGGTTTCGGGTTCATAATGGTCCCCTGGGGTCAGGTTCAGTCCAGTTTGAAGCTGTGGTTCTGGACCGCTCCACCGGTGAAGGTCTGGTCCGGTCCAAGGAGCCGCTGGACTGTGAGAGCCAGCGGGAGCACAGCTTCACCATCCAGGCCTACGACTGTGGGGAGGGACCTGATGGAGTCAACAGCAAGAAATCCCACAAGTCAGACCAGATTTTCAAAATTACAAATGACCTTTTTATTGTTTTCAACCTTCATTAGAGTCAGGACTAGTTGCCGCAAACGCTAGTCAGCATCCTGTTGTCTCTCCTCTCCTACTCCCTCCCTCAGGGCCACAGTGCACGTCCGTGTAAACGACGTCAACGAGTTCTCCCCCGTGTTTGTGGAACGTCGCTATGAGGCTTCGGTCCCAGAGGGCCGTCTGTTCGACCGAATCGTACGCGTGGAGGCTCTGGATGCCGACTGCTCCCCGCAGTACAGCCAGATCTGTTTCTATGACATCATCACTCCCAATGTCCCCTTTGCTATTGACAACGACGGTGAGCCGATTCTTCTCTCGCGGACCGAAAAGCATGAACACATTTAGACTTTTGTCAGTAAAATCCTCATTTCGTGTTGTGATGACATGGAAACACTCACCACAAAGTTTCACAGCCCTGGCGCCACTTCCAGGCAAACCAAAAGGTGTTAAAATTGATTTTGTGGGGGGCCGACTTTCGTTCTGCTTTTATAAAATCTCCGCTGCAGCTGCTGGGTTCAGTATAATATATTTTTGTTCCCTGCTGAAGTCATCTGATTATTCTCTGGAAAAGGAAAAGGACGTTTCATTCTTCGGCATCAGTGGACAGCTTGGTGGGAGATCAGTTGCGGCCTTGTAATGTGACACAGCGGCTTTAGTATGACTCTGCAGAAATTTGCGGGACTCTAAGGGGTCTCTGCCGTAGATGAGAGGCTTCTTTCTGCTTTCAGACAGCAGCACAGAGACCTTTTGTTTCTGCCTCGCTCAGACGCCACCTGCTTCTTTATTTCTGTTTATTTTGTAGTTTCTTCTTCTGTTTCCAGCACTCGCTTTGTTTCCCGTCTCATCACGTCAAAGCATCTTCACTTCCTACCTGCTGCTTATCAGCCGGCACCCTGAGCGCTGTCAGCCTTTCACAGATACTCACTGTTTGTTCACCTTTATCTGTAAAAACAGGAAAAGCGTGTCGTTTTTCACCTGTTTCGTGTTCGTTATCTGCCCGCGTTAACGCATACCTGCGGCTTTTGCTGTAAACCGCGTTTTCAGTCACACAAGCTCGTGGCTGGTGACTAACCCACAATTTCTATTTCTATTTGTCTCATTATGTCATGCTCTCGGTTTCTTTTGTCGCTCCATCTCCTAGGTAACATTAAGAGCACCGAGCCGTTGGATTCAAAGCGGCAGCGCGTTCACACCTTCTGGGTGACCGCCTTCGACTGTGGAAAGAATCGTGCTCAGGCTGACGCCCAGGTCGTCGTCACGGTCAAACCGTCCTGCAAACCCGGCTGGATTGGTAATCTAGCTGCTTTTCTGCCCAGATTTTATTGCCTAGTATGACTCAGGAGAGGCTTTATTGGAGTTGTGTGGTGATTTTTGGATCATTTGTATTCCACTGAGTGAGGGGGTCTGAAAATGTTCTCCACAATGGAAATTTTTCACAATAGTCATAAATTTGAGGATTTAAAAATGTATTTTAAATTACAATAAGGTATTAGAAATGGCTAATATATGGTTTATAGATATTAAGTGATCGGTAACGCTGCATAAGTTTTTATAATGCATTTAGTTTGTATTTTTGCAAGAAATTGGTTCATTTTCTATTGTTTTGACCCTTATTTATTGCATAATAAACACATTTGAATGATTTATAAAGAGTTACAGATTCATAAATAACGTGTCTCTAAACTATTTATTAGCACTTTATAGGGCAAGCCTTATAAATCTGTAGCTATTCCTCATTATAAATAAAAGGAAGGTATTTCACTTTTATCCAAGGAGATTTTCCAACAATGCAGGCAAACGCCCCTTTCTCCTTTATTTTTTGATCACAAACCTGAACTTGTGGATCATTATCAAACACTTTAAAGACCAAGTTCACAGAGAAGCGGTTCATTTAATTGTTATTTTTGAAATATGGTCACTCTGAGTTTGGCATGCAAGCTAAAAGTGAAAATCTCAGATTTGAAAAGCTAGTCAGATCTCTGTCACTCTGAAAATTAGCATTCATGGACTCACCCATCTTGGCTCACGACGGGGAAGGCTGTTGTTGGCTTAGCATCCAGGAGAGAGCAGAGCACATCTTGGCTATTGAAGCTAACTGTTAGCATTAGCAACTCCACAACCTGGCAGAATTCCTCCATGCTTGAGTTATTTGTGGAGATAAAACATCAACTTTGCAAAGCAAACAAAGTCAGTGGTAGAGTTGCGTTGCTGTTAGCAAATCAGAGCCAAGCTGTCCAAATATAAGGAAACAAGACTCTAAAACCAACCATCTTTTCCTTGCATCTGCACTGGCTTACTTCTACTTCCTGAAACAGGAGCACCAGAGGTTTTGTTCCTTCAGAGATCAATTTACAAGGCATTTATTTATACTATAGACCACTGCAAATGTGTTGAAAAAAAAAAAACTAGTGAACTTGATCTTTAGGAAATAGATACAGAAATTATGTTCCCTTTGTTCAGACATTTTGGATTGTATCCTTGAACCAGTTAGTCTCTTTCATTGTGGCTCCGAAACTCAGAAGAAGAGATATTTGGGAATAAACACTTTAGATCACAAGCTTAACAATAAAAAGGTTGATGCTAAAGTCAAGAACGTCCTTCCTGGAAATGAGAAATCCTAGTTATTATAGTAATTCATGCTACCACAAGGCCATGCTATTATAGACATAAAACAAAGTTTAACAAAGTCATATTAAGAAGGATTTATGAACGTCCTCTCGCAAAGTTTCCATTCGAGGTTGAGTAGAAGGCTTGGAAATGCGTCACAGGAGAAGCTTGTTGTCCTCCAACAGTTTAAGTCCATCTTCTGTGACCGAGTTGGCAACAAATCAATCTCACGACAGGAAGCTCGCGTACATCTGTGACAGAACCGTGAATATTAAACAATAAAAATGGGTTAAAGAAAGGTGATGCAACAGGTGGCAATGATCAATGTTCAAAATGAGCAAACATTTTTTATCTTTTGATCTATTTGAACTGTTTTTAAATTCATGTCTGTCTTGCATTTAAATATCACATAAAAATAATAATCCTGTGGTGTTTTATTTTTTTCAGGATGGACAAAGCGTGTAGAGTACACACCTGGGTCAGGGAGCATTCCTCTGTTCCCCGGCCTGCATTTGGAGACCTGTGAAGAGACCGTGTGGAACATCCAGGCCACCGTAGAGCTCCAGACCGGCCACATTGGGAAGGGTTGCGACAGGGACAGCTACTCCGACCGATCAGTGCGACGACTGTGTGGTAAGTTTAATGCAACACCTAAAAACTCGATCAACTTTAAACCAAAGTCTTTTTTTAAATGAAGGTATTTTCATATTTCCCCAGGTGCCGTCAGAGGTGAAGTAGACCTCCTCCCACCTCCGTCGCCTGCAGCCAACTGGACCGCAGCTCTGCCCACTCTCCCTTCTTCGGATTCATCTCTGGTTTTCTCGTTCAACGGGTCCAATCATGTTGCTGTGGTGCCTGACTTGATTGTGTCCGCGTTGTCAGGCGACCACTTTACCCTTCAGCTGTGGATGCGTCGGGGCGGGGCTAACCTCCAGCCCTCAACCACTCAATCCAGAGGAAATCGCAAGGAGGAGGAGACTATTGTGTGCAGCACTGTCAAGAATGGTCAGTTGCACTCAATAGACATTAACGATACTTTGCTAAAGTTTGAAGGCTTTCAATGCAAATTATTTGACATGTTTTGTTTTGATCATGGTCATCATCTCGAATTCTAAACTGAGAGTAAAAACAGCCCTAAAATAAGAAGCTGATGATCAAGACATGCAATCAAGGTGTTCTTGTAAGCAGAACTCAGCTTCCAGCTGGTAGATTTGTCCAACTGAGCAAGCCTCGTCTCTCGTCTTCCTCCGCTTATCCGGGTCCGGGTCGCGGGGGCAGCATCCCAACTAGGGAGCTCCAGGCCGTCCTCTCCCCGGCCTTGTCCACCAGCTCCTCCGGCAGGACCCCAAGGCGTTCCCGGACCAGATTGGAGATGTAACCTCTCCAACGTGTCCTGGGTCGACCCGGGGGCCTTCTGCCGGCAGGACATGCCCGAAACACCTCCCCGGGGAGGCGTCCAGGAGGCATCCTGACCAGATGCCCAAACCACCTCAACTGGCTCCTTTCGATCCGGAGGAGCAGCGGTTCTACTCCGAGTCCCTCCCGAATGTCCGAGCTCCTCACCCTATCTCTAAGGCTGAGCCCGGCCACCCTACGGAGGAAACTCATTTCAGCCGCTTGTATCCGCGATCTCGTTCTTTCGGTCATTACCCAAAGCTCATGACCATAGGTGAGGATTGGGACGTAGATCGACCGGTAAATCGAGAGCCTGGCTTTCTGGCTCAGCTCCCTCTTCCCCACGACAAATCGGCTCAGCGTCCGCATCACTGCAGACGCCGAATCAATCCGCCTGTCGATCTCCCGATCCCTCCTACCCTCACTCGTGAACAAGACCCCGAGATACTTAAACTCCTCCACTTGAGGTAGGACCTCTCCCCCGACCCGGAGGTGGCAAGCCACCCTTTTCCGGTCGAGAACCATGGTCTCAGATTTGGAGGTGCTGATCCTCATCCCAGCCGCTTCACATTCGGCCGCGAACCTACCCAGCAAGAGCTGAAGGTCAGAGCTGGATGAAGCTAGGAGGACCACATCATCCGCAAAAAGCAGAGACGAGATTCTCCTGCCACCAAACTCGACACACTCCACACCACGGCTGCGTCTAGAAATTCTGTCCATAAAAGTGATGAACAGAACCGGTGACAAAGGGCAGCCCTTGCGGAGTCCAACCCTCACTGGGAACAGGTCCGACTTACTACCGGCTATGCGGACCAAACTCACGCTCCTCTGGTAAAGGGACTGAATGGCCCTTAACAGAAAGCCACCCACCCCATACTCCTGGAGCATCCCCCACAGGGTGCCCCTGGGGACACGGTCATAAGCCTTCTCCAAATCCACAAAGCACATGTGGATTGGTTGGGCAAACTCACATGCCCCCTCCATCACCCTTGCAAGGGTATAGAGCTGGTCCACAGTTCCACGGCCAGGACGAAAACCACATTGCTCCTCCTCTATCTGAGATTCAACTATCGATCGGACCCTCCTCTCCAGTACCTTGGAGTAGACCTTTCCAGGGAGGCTGAGGAGTGTGATCCCCCTATAGTTGGAACACACCCTCAGGTCACCCTTCTTAAAGATGGGGACCACCACCCCGGTCTGCCACTCCCTAGGAACTGCCCCCGATGACCACGCAATGTTGTAGAGACGTGTCAACCATGACAGCCCTACAACATCCATTGCCTTGAGATACCCAGGACGAACCTCATCCGCCCCCGGGGCTCCGCCGCTGTGTAGTTGTTTGACTACCTCAGCAACTTCTGCCCCCGAGATCGGACAGTCCATCCCCAGGCCTCCCAGCTCTGGTTCCTCCTCGGAATGCGCATTGGTGGGATTGAGGAGCTCCTCAAAGTATTCCTTCCACCGTCCGACTATAGCCTCAGTTGACGTCAGCAGCTCCCCATCCCCACTGTAAACAGTGTGAGCGAGTTGCTGCCTTCCTCTCCTGAGGCGCCGGACAGTTTGCCAGAACCTCTTTGGAGCCGATCGATAGTCTTTCTCCATGGCCTCACCAAACTCCTCCCACGCCCGAGATTTTGCCTCGGCAACTGCCACTGCTGCACCCCGCTTGGCTATCCGGTACCTGTCTGCTGCCTCCGGAGACCCACAGACCAGCCACGCCCTGTAGGCCTCCTTCTTCAGCCTGACGGCTCCCCGAACCTCTGGTGTCCACCAGCGGGTACGGGGGTTGCCACCACGACTGGCACCGGCCACCTTACGACCACAGCTAGCAACAGCCGCCTCGACAATCGCAGAGTGGAACAAGGTCCACTCGGACTCAATGTCCCCCACTGCTCTCGGGACGTGGTCAAAGCTCTGCCGGAGGTGGGAGTTGAAGACCGTCTTGACAGGTTCTTCTGCCAGGCGTTCCCAGCAGACCCTCACTATGCGTTTGGGTCTGCCAGGTCTACGGGGCATGTTCCCTTGCCATCTGATCCAACTCACCACCAGGTGGTGATCAGTTGACAGCTCCGCCCCTCTCTTCACTCGGGTGTCCAAAACATACGGCCGCAGGTCAGATGATACGACTACAAAATCTATCATCGACCTGTGACCTAGGCTGCCCTGGTACCAAGTGTACCGGTGGGCATCCTTATGTTCGAACATGGTGTTCGTTATGGCCAAACTGCGGCTTGCACAGAAGTCCAATAACAAAACACCGCTCGAGTTCAGATTAGGTGGGCCGTTCCTCCCAATCACACCCCTCCAGGTCAAGCTGTCATTGCCCACGTGAGCATTGAAGTCCCCCAGCAGGACAATGGAGTCCCCTGATGGAGCACTATCTAGCACTCGTCCCAGGGACTCCAAAAAGGGTGGGTACTCTGAACTGATATTTGGCCCATAAGCACAAACAACAGTCAGGACCCGTTCCCCGACCCGAAGGCGCAAGGAAGCTACCCTCTTGTCCCCCGGGGTAAACCCCAACACACAGGCAGAGAGTCTCGGGGCTAACAAAAAGCCAACCCCAGCCCTCCGCCTCTCACCCGGAGCAACTCCAGCAAAGTAGAGTGTCCAACCCCTCTCCAGGTCTCGGGTTCCAGAGCCAATGCAATGTGTCGAGGTGAGTCCGACTATATCTAGCCGGTACCGCTCAACCTCTGCCACAAGCTCCGGCTCCTTCCCCGCCAGCGAGGTGACGTTCCATGTCCCAAAAACTAGTTTTCTTGTCCGGGGATTGGACCGCCAAGGCTCCCGCCTTGGTCTGCCACCCGATTCGCATTGCACCGGACCCTTCATGTTCCTCCTGCGGGTGGTGGACGAGCCCATGTATCCGGTTCGGGCTGGGCCCGGCCGGGCCCCATGGGCGAAAGCCCGGCCACCAGGCGCTCGCTCACGGGCCCCAACCCCAGGCCTGGCTCCAGGGTGGGACCCGGTAACCCTCCGGGCCGGGTACTCCGACTCTTCGTTTTAACCGCCATGAAAGATCCTTCGAACCGTTCTTTGTCTCACCCTTCACCTAAGACCAATTTGTCATGGGAGACCCTACCAGGGGCACTAAGTGCCCCAGACAACATAGCTCCTAGGATCATTAGGGCACTCAAACTCCTCCACCACGATAAGGTGACGGTTCAAGGAGCAAGCTTGAGAAAAACTGTAAAATGCTGAAATTGTGTCCGAAAATATCATGTGTGACCATGGACGTGATTTTCAATTTAGAAGTAGGGGGAAACGGGGGGTGGGGGTTGATCTTTACAGTATGCTCTAATGGGAAGCAGGCTTCAACATAAACGGTTGTTTTCTGCTTGGTCCTAGAGCTCAACCAGTGTCAATTTAATATAGCGTAATATTGTTTTCGGATGGTAAAAAGTGCAGGGGTCAAAACTTGACTTCGGAAAAAGTGGTGGTGGGGGGGCATGTCCCCCCTGTCTCCCCCCCAAAATTACGTCCATGTGTGTGACTCATGCAAAGTGTAAGCTTGGCAAGCCATCCTAGCAAAATCATTTTTGCTTTCACTACTGTCCATCTAGATGTCTAGGCTAAACTTTCTCTTGCAAAGGTGTTCAAAAGTCACGATCACGTAAAAGTGCACATTTTTATTCATGCATTTATTCCCTAAAGACAAAGATCCTCCAATTATGGTTTTACTCCTTTGTTCTTCTGCTCCACAGAGGACTCCTACTCTCATTACTCCCTCTCTGTCCACGGCTGCCGCCTCTCCCTCTTTTACTGGCCGGATGTCTCGGCTGCACGGCCCGTCAAGTTCTTGTGGAAACTAGAGCAGGTACAGGAAAAAAAAAATACCATTTTCATGTTGTTTTTCAATTTCAGTCATAAAATTAAGCTGAAATTTAGGGGATTTTGTCATTCATTTAATTTCTGTGCCATGCTTCAAGTATGGATGTTCTTATAACATGTTAAAAAGACACAAATGAACCTTAAAGGTGCAGTATGTAAGAATATAGTGAGAATTTTACAGTGAGAAAACCCCAAAAGAGTCTAATGTTTCAGTCATTTTTAAGGAAGGTTATACTGAAACATATTTCATATCCAGCTGGCTGCGGGGATTGTCAGTTTTCCCCCTTTCAAACGAAAGGAAGGAGGGATGTAACTGCTGTTTACCATCAGTGAGTGTGGGGGGTTGCTGTGTCTCCTGCGAGCTAATACTGAAGTGTCAACAATTGTAATTTGACGACGGCCGGCAAAAAGCTTCAGAGTTGTTTGAAGTGGTTGCAGTAACCACATTTTACCACAGGATGTCCTTTTTATTTTATTTCTACATAATGCACCTTTAATATTTTTTTCTGCAGTGGATAAATTTCCCTTTTATTTTCAATGCTTTCCTTGGATTACGGGCTAATTTAATTGTTTCAGGCTAAGTGCATCATCCATCTTCAGAAAATGCTGTCCTACTCAAGTACTGCACAGTTTGTTACCTGTAAAAAGATAGTAAAAGCAAGCTGGAAATTCGTTTTTGCATCGATTACAGACTGTACAGAACATTTCTCTTCCACCTTCAACATGAATTCTTATTCTTATGTTTAATTCCTTTAAATATTAGCTGTTTTTAAACAAACGCTGAGAGATGTTTACAGAACCTCTAATGAACATTCCCTCTTGACCTTGTATGAGATGATACGTCACCATGACAACACGAGTAAGCCTCGTCAGCATCTAGAAGTCTTCATTTGACTTCTTTTCATAACTGAAAATACTTCAAAAAGACACAAAACTTATGATACATGATATGGTATGGTACATTTTAAAACAATATGGCACGATTGAGTATGATTTGATACACTACATTGCGGTGTGACACAGTATGATGTAATCTATTACTCACTGCAGTTTTGAACAGCATGGCACTTAACAATATTATTATTTTGATTTAAAAAAGCAGTATACGAAGGATATAATACTAAGATACAACATAATACAACACAACACAATATGAGACGATATGACACAATGAAATATTATTCAGTACACAATTCAATGTAATACGTGATGTGATAAGTTTTTTACAAAACAATATGATCCAGTCGATTCAATATATGATATAATCTTCAATAAGAAGTGATGCAATACAATACGATACAACATGAAAGTAAAGAAAACAATACGTTACAATACGAAGAAGAATATGATATGATATGATATGATCGCTCTTATGTGATGAGATGCAACACAAAACAATACGATAAGATAGATCCAATGTGTTGTGAAGTGAAGATATACCATACATGTGATTCGAAACAACATGATTAAAGATGTGATGTGATATGAAACTAAACAATCTGATCCATTACTGTCAGATTTCATATATGATACGATAAGCTTCAATACGCAACGATATGCTACGATACAATACGCTAAGTTACAATACGATACGATACGATGCAATGCGATACGGTATGAAATGAAGAAAAAAAAGGTCCATTCTGATGATGGTGATGTTATTTGATATGATATTAAAAAAATACGATACGATACAAAATGATTCTGTCTGACCTGTTCCGTTCCAAGCTGATGAGATGGGATATAATGTAATGTGTGATACGTATGATACGTGCTCCAGTCTCGTGGATATTTTGGACACATTATCTACCTGTGAAAGGTTCAGTATTTAGAACATCATACAGAAAATATGTTGCAATGACAGTGTTTTCCTCAGACACTATCAAGGAGGTATGTGTGTGTACCTATATATATATATATATATATATATATATATATATATATATGTGTGTGTGTGTGTGTGTGTGTGTGTGTGTGTGTGTGTGTGTGTGTGTGTGTGCTCTTTTAGTCACTGTTTCAAGTGGATATTTTTTCTCTCCTTCATATAAATCAGCTAAAAATAGTATAAGGACAAGAAAAAAACTCGAGATGTCACTGTAATCAGCACACAAACACTTGCTAGGAGTATTTGCTATGTTGTTCTCACACTGCCTCAGCTGAACATTTTAGTTTATAGTTAAGACTTTGCAAGGTTAAGTCTACATATAGCTGTGTGCATCTGGTTTATGGCCTCTGTGAAGTAGCTTTAAAAATATTTAATGCACATTTAGAGAGTTGTGCTTCAGACGTACATAAAAATAAAAATCTCAGTAAAGTCCTTGTTTCAGTGAGTTTGGATGGTTCGGTTTGTGTCGGAGGAAAGAGGTTTGTTTTGACTGAATCCACCGGTCTCCGACAGATTGAAGTCTCTTGGATTAAAAGAAGATGAGCTGATCTGTAAAATCCTTCTGTCTAAGCCACGTTATCTTGTTAGTCCTGTTTTTACTCTCGACCCCATCTTTGTAATTTCCGTCTCATTTTTTATTGCTTTAGCTTTTATATTTGCTCTATAAAATATTCACCAAAGCATGTGAAATGTATATTTTAGTAAATATATTATTTTTGGTTAGCCTCGCTTCAGCTTCCAACACATTCTCACACCCAAGGCGTCAAAATGTGACACGTGTGACCAAATTTACCTGCGGGTACTAATAAAGTTACCTTGAACCTTGAAGCCTCAATATATGACGAATTGGGACGCCCCAGCGCATCAGGAGATAACGATCTGGGACACGCTGGGTCACGTGGCTCCGCTGGCGTCACTGTTTGACGTGCGCGGTCACACTGACATTATGCGACTATTTAACCTTCCCCTCACCCTAATCCTATAAACTGTGACCTTAAGGTTAGGATTGGGGTGAGGGGAAGGTTAAGTAGTTCACAAGTAGTTCTAATGTCCGTCTCACCACCGGCGTCGGATACCGATGCTCTGGGACGCTACGTCAGCTGCCTGTCCCTGATCGTCGTCTCCTGACGCTCTGGGGCGTCCCGATTCATCATATACTGAGAATTGGTCACATATTTTGACGCCTTGGGTGTGAGAATGTGTCCAGCTTCATTTGCCCCATGTACAAATAGCTTTTTTTTCCCTTTTAAAGAACATTTATGTCACTAAAATTGATGGAAAGTCTCTAATAGATAGAAACTGCTAAAACAGCCTGATTAAATAAAATGATTGTGACTAGGGATGTCCGATTAAGATTTAATATCGGAAATGACTGGTAACCATTATTGCTCTTACACAACTTTTACATACCATGCACATATTATGTATACATATTATGAGTAGTACTCAACTAGGTGGGGCGTGGCCCCCCAAGGGGACGCAGGGGAGGGTCAGGTGGGGCGCGAGAGTCTGCGTGCAAAGGGGGGTACAAAATATAAAATGAAATAATTTAGAAACACAATCATACATTAAACTCTTCAGCTATTTTTCATCTCCTTCAAAATGTCAAAATATAACAGACCCAATGTATACTTTTTGAGATATTTTTGCTGTCATGGGCAAAACTGGCCTAACTTGAATTGAAATAATTAATACCCTCGGAAAAGGGTAGAATGCCTTCTCCGGGTCAGGGATGAGGTCCTGCCCCAAGTGGAGGAGTTTAAGTATCTCGGGGTCTTGTTCACGAGTGAGGGAAAACTGGAGCGTGAGATCGATAGGCGGATTGGTGCTGCATCTGCAGTGATGTGGGCGTTGTACCGGTCTGTCGTGGTGAAGAGAGAGCTGAGTCAGAAGGCGAAGCTCTCGATTTACCAGTCGATCTACGTTCCTACCCTCACCTATGGTCATGAGCTTTGGGTAATGACCGAAAGAACGAGATCGCGGATACAAGCGGCCGAAATGAGTTTTCTCCGCAGAATGGCTGGGCTCTCCTTTAGAGATAGGGTGAGAAGCTCTGTCATCCGGGAGGGGCTCGGAGTAGACCCGCTGCTCCTCCACATTGAGAGGAGCCAGTTGAGGTGGCTCGGGCATCTGGTCAGGATGGCTCCTGGACACCTCCCTGGTGAGGTTTTCCGGGCACGTCCAACCGGGAGGAGACCTAAAGGAAGACCCAGGACACGTTGGAGGGACTATGTCTCTCACCTGGCCAGGGAACGCCTCGGGATTCCCCCGGAGGAGCTGGCCCAAGTGGCTGGGGAGAGGGAAGTCTGGGCCTCTCGACTTAGGCAACTGCCCCCGCGACCCGACTCCGGATAAGCGGATGGATGGATGGATGTTACATTTTTAAAGTATAGGTATGCACATATATTGGTATCAGTCTATATCAGTATCAGCATTAGACTCCATCAGTATATCGGTAAAAAAACGGTATCGAACATACCTATTTGCGACTGTTTGTTTTGTCCATAATTAAAGATGCACAAGTTAACTAATTGTCTCGTCGCTGTGATATTTATATCATAAAAACCTGCACATACTGCAATAAATCATGAACTATTATGCTCCAAGTGCCATGCATTTGTAATCTACTGTATTGGACCAGTCAGATGGACTATTGCAGGGATACAAATACAACCTAGTTAATGAATATCATGCAGCAGTTAACTCCATTAATGATCTCCTGACCTCTCAGAATTATCCTGTGACACTTTGAAAGGATTTGACCTCTTTAGATGGTCAGCCTCTAGCTTTAAAAAAAGAACGGCTCCTAATCCTTCCTTCACCCACAACATTCATCAGTTTCATATTGACACCACGTCATCTCTGCCCTGCAGGTGTGCGACAGCGAGTGGCATCATCTCTCGCTCAGTGTCCACTACCCGTCAGTGACACTCTATGTGGATGGTGTGACCTTTGACCCCGCTATCATCCACGACAACGGAGCCATCCCCAATCCCGCTCCCCATCAGAGGATGCTCATTGGAGCCTGCTGGGGTAAGACTGTGAAAGTTTTATGCTCACTAGAATACATTTTCCCCCAGCCTAACGACGCGTTTAATGACCTGCATAAAACATCTGATCGGCCAATGTGCAGTTTGCTTCCTCTTTTACGCTTCTCCGCTTCCAAAAAGTCATTTAGATTGAATATCGGCACTGAACATAACGGGCTGAATTCGCCTGGCCTATAGTCGCCGGCTCTCGCGAGGCGTCTGGAGACGAGCGGCTGAGACATTTAGCATCGCTCTCCTTTTCTCTCACTCATTTAACTCAGTTCGGTGGCTGCGTTTAGTCTTTAAGGTCTAATAATATAAATGACTTATCAATTATTTAGAGCAGCAGAACAACACGGGGGGCAGACAGCTGTGAGACACACCCAAACTGCTCGTTAAAACAGGAAACGGGCTGCCAATTACCAGTGAACACACACACACACACACACACACATTAGGTTTTTCATCTATGCTGTCTGCTGCCTGTGCAGCAGCAGCTGCTGCTAGATAATGAGGAGAGGTTGCATTTTTGAAGATCCTTTCAGTTTTCTCACTTCTGCATGTGCGTGCTATTTATTCTGTCCATCTTTGCACCTTCAGATTTACTCCTCCTGTCTTTTTCCATACGTCATGCTCTCCTCCGGTTTTCCCTGCAGAGCCTGAAGAGAAGCAGAAGGCGATAGTAAACAACACCATCCCAGAAGGAAAAGACTCAGGTGACCTTCGTGTTTCACAATGTCGTCAGCTGCCTTTTTTGCATGTCGGCGTTTGTATATTAAATTCTAATGGATAATGTTGTGTGCATTTACCCTTTAGTGAAGTATGTGGGTGGTTACCACGGCTTGTTGTCGGGGGTGACGGTGCGTCCGGGCAGCGTGGAGCCCCACAGCGTGGTGGAGTGTCTGTACGCCTGTAGGGAGGGACTGGACTTTGGAGACCTGGAGACTCTGGGGTCTGGAATGAAGGTGATGCCACGTTACATCAAAAGCAGAACTGTTAAATAATGATTACAAAGATTTAAGTCAGATTTCATTTTAAAATTAAGACTTGTGTCAGGTACAGGAGCTAATATGACTTCAAAAGAATACAAATTTGTTCAGAAGAAGAAACACTTGTGAATGATACGCTGTAGTCTTGTAAAGCACTTTGGAGTTCTCTGACTCTGAAAGGCGCTATACAAGTGCAGTTCATTTATCATTTATCATTTATGAATGTTAAGCAGTGGTATTTTGTGTTTTAGCTAATCCGTAATAATGACTTGGCTATCCTATAACAATGAGATCTCATTATCGTGACTTAGCCGTGTTGTAATAATGAATTAGCTTATAACAATGAGAAATTATATTATGATTTTGCTGTTTCATGATTATGAATTAGTTATTTAATAAATATGACTTAGCTATGCCACAATATTGACATAGCTATCCCGTAACAATGATATTTTATCTCATTATCATGACTTGGCTTTGTTGTAATAATGAATTAGTTGTCTTATAACAATGAGATATTTCATAATTATGAATCTTTTATATCTCATTAATGTCTTAGCTATCTCGTAATTATGACATGGCTACCTCGTAATGACTTAGCTTTCTTGAAATAACGATGTATTATTCCATTATTATGCAACATTATCTCTTTATTATAAGATAGCTACAGTGGTGTGAAAAACTATTTGCCCCCTTCCTGATTTCTTATTCTTTTGCATGTTTGTCACACAAAATGTTTCTGATCAAACACATTTAACCGTTAGTCAAAGATAACACAAGTAAACACAAAATGCAGTTTTGAAATGACGTTTTTTATTATTTAGGAAGAGAACAAAATCCAAACCTACATTGCCCTGTGTGAAAAAGTAATTGCCCCTGAACCTAATAACTGGCTGGGCCTCCCTTAGCAGCAATAACTGCAATCAAGCGTTTGCGATAACTTGCTACGAGTCTTTTACAGCGCTCTGGAGGAATTTTGGCCCACTCATCTTTGCAGAATTGTTGTAATTCAGCTTTATTTGAGGGTTTTCTAGCATGAACCGCCTTTTTAAGGTCATGCCATATTATCTCAATCTCAGGTCAGGGCTTTGACTAGGCCACTCCAGAGTCTTCATTTTGTTGTTCTTCAGCCATTCAGAGGTGGATTGGCTGGTGTGTTTTGGGTCATTGTCCTGCTGCAGCACCCAAGATCGCTTCAGCTTTAGTTGACCAACAGATGGCCGGACGTTCTCCTTCAGGTTGTTTTGGTAGACAGTAGAATTCATGGTTCCACTTATCACAGCAAGCCTTCCAGTTCCTGAAGCAGCAAAACAACCCCAGACCATCACACTACCACCACCATGTTTTACTGTTGGTATGATGTTCTTTGTCTGAAATGCTGTGTTACTTCTACGCCAGATGGAACGGGACATTTGTCTTCCAAAAAGTTCTACTTTTGTCTCATCAGTCCACAAGGTCTTTTCCCAAAAGTCTTGGCCATCATTGAGATGTTTCTTAGCAAAATTGAGTCGAGCCCTGATGTTCTTTTTGCTTAACAGTGGAATGGAAACCTGCCATGCAGGCCATTTTTGCCCAGTCTCTTTCTTATGGTGGAGTCGTGAACACTGACCTTAATTGAGGCAAGTGAGGCCTGTAGTTCTTTAGAAGTTGTCCTGGGGTCTTTTGTGACCTCTCGGATGAGTTGTCTCTGCGCTCTTGGGGTAATTTTGGTCGGCCGCCCACTCCTGGGAAGGTTCACCGCTGTTCCATGTTGTTGCCATTTGTGGATAAGGGCTCTCACTGTGGTTCGCTGGAGTCCCAAAGCTTTAGAAATGGCTTTATAACCTTTACCAGACTGATAGATCTCCATTACTTTTGTTCTCATCTGCTCTTGAATTTCTTTGGATCTTGGCATGATGTCTAGCTTTTGAGGTGCTTTTGGTCTACTTCTCTGTGTCAGGCAGCTCATATTTAAGTGATTTCTTGATTGAAACAGGTGTGGCAGTAATCAGGCTTGGGGGTGGCTACAGAAATTGAACTCAGGTGTGAAACACTACAGCTGGGTTATTTTTTAACAAGGGGGGCAATTACTTTTTCACACAGGGCAATGTAGGTTTGGATTTTGTTCTCTCCCTAAATAATAAAAACCGTCATTTCAAAACTGCATTTTGTGTTTACTTGTGTTATCTTTGACTAACGGTTAAATGTGTTTGATGATCAGAAACATTTTGTGTGACAAACATGCAAAAGAATAAGAAATCAGGAAGGGGGCAAATAGTTTTTCACACCACTGTAAGTTATAATTATGAGATGACTAAGTCACAATAATGAGATGCAAGAATTTTGTTTTTAATCAGAGTAGCAGAAATGGGCTTCCATAAATTATGCAGAGTTGTTTTTTTTATGCATGATCATTTGAAGATACCATCTTCTATGGAAGTGTTGCACTCCAAATATTTTGCTGAATTAACCAGTCATGTATGAGAAGTTGTTTCCCTCCTGGTCGCCCGAACTTTTGCTCTCCTTCACATCGAGGGACTTTGTCCTAAATCTGTACGGCGTATTGATTTAAGTGTGAACTTCCAGGTGCACGTGAACCCGAGCCAGTCCGTGTTGGTGCTGGAGGGAGACGACATAGAGAGCTTTAACCGAGCAGTGCAGCAGGTCACCTACAGGAACTCGCTTCGATTTGCCACCCCTGGAGTCCGTCCACTAAAGCTCACTACCTCTCTTAGGTACAAAAACACACAGGTGGATTAAAACTCTCACTGCTGTGCAAATGGTGTTTAATTTCACACAAACAAGCAATATTATCGTGCAAATTCTCTGCAAAACTATTCTTTCCACATACTCAACATGTTCTTTGCCTGAAAAAAGAAAACTTTTTCCTTAAAAGCAGCCAAACATATTTTTCTTTAAGCTGGAAGCTTAAGACAAGAGGATAAAGCATCAAAAATAAACGATCACACTGAGATGCTTCCAGGATATCAAACAGTACATCCGACATTTGCTAACAGATGAGCGTCTGAGATAGAATTTGTGCTTCTCTGCTGTGGTTCACTCCTCCTTCGGCACCGAACTCATCAAAGGTGGACCTTGGATCAGCTGAGATAACGACCGGTGTGCCACGAAAACTCGTTACAGCTAAAGATAAAAAAAAGGAATATCTTATCTTTTTGTTCACTGAGCTGTCCAGTAACTTTTTCTTTGAGAGCTGAAGCTGCAGGTACCGGGTCCTTTTTCCGTGATAGCTTGAAGTTGTTGCAGGTTTTAGTTTAAAGCAGTGTGTGAATGTGAGAGTGTGTGAAAGCGTCGTTGGGTGTCTAGAAAAGCGCTATATAAGTTCAATGCATTATTATTATTATTAAAGCAAAGTTTCACTGATTGCTTTTTGCAGCAGCCTTCTCTAGAACAATCTGCAAAAGTGTCTCCATAAAACAGTAAAAGAATCAAACTGCCCTTCATTTCTGCGCAGCTATCTAGCACACAATCTCAGAGAACTGGTTCATGCGTCACCTTGAACTGGCTAACAGTTAACAAACCCAGTTCACTGCCTGTGTGTGGTATGTTGTGTATTTGCACTCAAACGTCATTTATTAAAATATTTTGAGGATTAAGACGATTGCCGGGCCTCGCGTCAAGCCAAAAGAAACTCTATTTTTCCTTTACTGGTTTCTTTTAGAAATCCCAAGATTTCAAGGGCATGAACTGATTCCCCCCCCCCCCCCCCCCCCTGGGTTTCTGCTCAAAGATAATTTTTTTTCTCGTCGGTGGTGTGTTTATTGCGTGTGTGAAGGTTTGACTGATTTGAGCCCAGGAGTTACCCAGATGGCCGAACAGCAGGCCCTTCTGGAGAGGCTGATAAAAGCAGCTGCTCACTCTGAAAGTGGAAAATCAGCAACACACACACACACACACACACACACACACACACACACACACACACACACACACACACACACACACACACATACACACACACACACACACACACACACACACACACACACACACACACCACTTAATCAGCTTAATGCCCTTTCACATATGATGCTGAACTTTAGAGCAAATGAGTGACTATGGTAGCGCTTTACCATCAGTGTGATTTTCTCTCCCTTTCTAGCAGGGAACTTACATTTGTTAACAGCGGAGGTGTGGTTGGACATTTGTCATTTTCTCAGTCACATCAAATCAACTTTGATTGTTTATTATTATGTTGTTTATGTTTATTCATTTAGCAGACGCTTTTATCCAAAACGACTTACAATTTATAACCTATAGGGCATGTTGTGATCTGTGGGGGGAACCGGAGGAAACCCACGCATGCATGGGGAGAACACGCAACTCCACGCAGAAAGGCCGCAGCCGAGTTTCGAACCTGCAGCCTCCTTGCGGCGAGGCAACAGTGCTAACCACTGCGCCACCATGCAGCCCATTGTCATCGTGTTTTTTGAGGGAACTGGATTAAGAACAGGACTTTTTCATGCATGTGCATGAAAAGTGATAAGGTTGCTAACATAAATTACCGCAGCTGCTTTCAGTCAGATACCCTGCACATTTATGAAAGCAAAATTAAAAAGTGCACGTTTTACATGTCAAAGGTTGTTTAGAGATGCTGGAGAATGCAAATGCAATACAATGTCTGCTAATAGCCCGGAGTCATGTTCAGCGTAGGTTTGATCTTGCTCTCATAAGCCTGCGGGCTTTTTAAAAATTAAACTCACAGAATCATTCCTAAATGTAGTCTCTATTGCTGCCCTTCAGTTGCAAACCAGTGAGGATAAGCACAGGGCTTACAGATGTCCCCAGACCACGGGGGACACGGGAGCTACGAAAAATAAATAAAACTGTGTGAGTAAATTATAGAAGGAATCTGTGCAACAGCCATTTAGCAATCACTGCTCAGAAGATCTGAAATGCATCATTTTCAAAACAGTAGAAATTTTGCAAACCCTGACCCTTAAAGTGTGATTCTCTGAAAAACCATTTTTTAACAATTATTTCTGATTATAATCGTTCACTTTGAGTTTTTCATGCAAGCTGAACATGAAAATAGTCTCCTACACCTATCTCCTGCATTAGCTTCTGATAGAAAACAGACGGTGAAACTCTAGGATTAGAAAAGCCTGACAGATCTACGTCACCCTGTCACTTAACATTCATGGACTCATTCATCTTGACATCGGGGAAGGCTGTTGCTGGTTTAGCATCCTGGAAACAGCAGAGAACGTCTCGACTAGTAGAAGCTAACTGTTAGCATTAGCAATTGCACCACACAGCAGAACTCCTACAGACTTGTGTTATTTGTGGAGATAAAACGTCAATTTTTCAGAGCAAACGGAGTCAGTGGTAGAGTTGCGTTGCTGTTAGCCAATCAGAAGCAAGATGTCCTAATATCAGGAAATACAACTCTAAATCTTGTCATCTAAAGTTGTGTTCACATCCAGCTGAATTCTTCATGCTGGTACAGGCGCCTCGGGGGTTTAGTTGCAGACCACTGCAAATGTAAACACCTTTAAATCAACATGGTGGTCTAAGGCATTCTGCAGCAGTGTCATCTGTTTTAAATGAAAAGAACTTTAAACATTTTCTCACTTCTCCCTCCTACTGGTTAGAAGCAGATTTACAACAAAACGATGCCAACAAAAAAGCTAAATCTTCTTCTTCATCATCATCGTCATCTTCTTCTTTTTCTTCCTCTTCTTCATCATCTTCCTCTTCTTTATCTTCATCATCATCATCTTCATTATCGTCATCTTCTTTGTCTTCCTCTTCTTCATCATCTTCCTCTTCTTTATCTTCATCATCATCATCATCATCATCATCATCATCTTCATTATCGTCATCTTCTTTTTCTTCCTCTTCATCATCATCATTTTCTCATTCTCATTATCATTTTCCTTGTCGTCTTCTTCATCATCTTCCTCTTCTTTATCTTCTTCTTCTTCATCATCATCATCATCATCTTATTGTTATTTTTTTCTTCTTCTTCATCATATTCTTCATCATCTTCACCTTCTTCTTCTTCTTCATTGTCTTTATCATCTTATTCTTCATCATCGCCATCTTCTTTTTCTTCCTCTTCTTCATCATCATCATCATTTTCTTCCTCATCCTCATCTTCTTCTTTTTCATCTTCATTATCTTCCTCTACTTTATCTTCTTCTTCTTCATCATCATCATCTTCATTATCATCATCTTCTTCTTTTTCTTCCTCTTCTTCATTATCATCATCTTCATCAGCTTCATTATCGTCATTATCATCATAATCTTCTTATTCTTCATCATCATCATCATCTTATTAATATAATAATTATTATTACTTTAATTATTATTGACTGTCGGCTAACTATAAAAGCTAACTGCTAACTTTCATATGAGCTACCAGCTGTTGCCAGGAAGCAGGTGGAGACCTCCGACTAGTGTTCCCACCTGAACCGTGGTTTCTGGTCAGCAGAGGGCGACAGAGTGCTGTCCAGTGTGGAGTTGGTAAAGTTTCTACCTCAAGAATCACTGAAACCAGTTTAAAAGCAGTATCTTAGAGTGTTAAAAACTCTTTAGTGTTGGTTTAATGTTTTCTATGTGATTACAAGAATGGAAGTTAGAACATGATGCGCTTTAAATGTGCCTTTCTCAGCATCCTGAGCTGTATTTATAATTAAAGGTGCTGGTGGTTGATTTGTTGGGATGGCACACCTCAACTCAAACATCTGAAGTTTTATCTTGCTGCTGTCATTAATAGGCTTTTTGAAGAATACTGCTTTGTGGGAGTTGGGGAATTTCTTGTTTTTTAAAGTAACTCGCTATAGGCGCAAACTGAAATTGTAAACAGCATTTATAAGAATTCTTGTTTCCCTGAAATATCAGCAGGACAAATGTGATTAGTTGTGGAGTTGTACAGGCGTCTAAACCCTTCTTAATTTAGTTTCAGTGAATACAAAAATACGAGAGCTATGAAACACCTTTGAGAGCACTTAGTGAGCTGTGAAGCAAAGTTATTTAGAGGTAATTAAAGCTCAACAGCTCCTCAAAAATGTGAAAAGAAATTGCAAACAGAATTGCACAAGAACATTTGTTTTACTTATTCACAACAAGTGCCATAAATGCTGATTTGGTGTAATTCCAAAAGACAGAAATCAGTATTTTCTCACAATTTGTTTCTGCAACATGGGTAATTAAACAATTTCTAATGAAGAGAATAAACCCTGCAAAAAGCTCAAAAGTTTCCTCAAGAAATGAATGCAGCATGTGAATTTATAAATATGGTGGTGGAAGTTTATTTATTCTGCATAAAAAAACATTTTTTTGTTTTTAATTTCTTTAATTCTCTACCAGATGTTTCAATGAAGAGAGCTGCCTTTCCCTCAAGCAGCTGGAAGGCTATCTGGTGGTTCTGCAGCCGGACGCCCCTCAGATCTCTCTGTCTGGGGTAGGCCCACATCTGGCCCGTCCAGCCCCCGAGTTCGAAAGCCCCAGCGGGGTTCCCCTCTTCCCAGAACTCCGGATCGTTTGTTCACTCTCTCACGCCATCAACACAGCTGCACAGGGGATGGAGGGTGGAGGTGAGTCAGTGTCGGATTTATTTAGAGTACTTCTTCGTGGTTTGACGTAAAAGCGAGTGGTTCATTTATTTATTTAATTTTATTATTTTGCAGCTCTGATGTCGGATGCCGTCGCCCACACTTTAGATGGTTGTGAGGTGCAGCCACTGGGGGAGGAGCTAAACCTGGAGAAGGAGGAGCTTCTGGTGGACATGGACCTCGTTCGAGAGCGAGGGTTGGAGATCATCAATACGACAGCTTACATTGCCATTACAGGTACCGCTGCTCTGTGGAAGTGTTGCAGAGGATCTTGGGGAAATAACCTATTTAAAGACATGTAAACATTAAATATTTTACTAAATCTGAGGACTCCATATCTTCCTTTTTATCCTGCTCCTGTTTTGTGTCTCCTGCAGGAGCTGAATCCATCTCCGTGTATGAGGACGTCCTTCGCTCTGTCCGATACCGTCTGGCCAAAGGCTCGGCTCGTTTTGAGAGGAGGTTCCGCCTGTCCTGCTCCGAGATGAATGGCAGATACACGAGCAACGAGTTGACTCTGGAGGTAAAGAGAGACTCACTCAGAAAACACCTCTGAAAATCCTTCAGCTGTGTGCCTCGTCCTTTTGGGAAAACTGTTTGTATAAAAGCTGGAATGCTTTCATGATTTAGTTATGAGGGATGTTTCCTGTGCTGAAATTGTCTGTTGTGTGAAATGATTTTACTTCATAAGAATTTAGATGAACGCTATCGTTTTTTTTCCCTTCTCTAAATAAGCAGTTTTACAGATAAACACCGTTAGCAAATTTACAAATAAATTAGGTAATAATAATTATACTCAAATATTCCCTAAATTCTCCCTAGCAACCAAATGTGATTGGCTGTTTAGCTGCAGTTCAGGGGCGCATTTGCCAGTGCTCCAGGAGTGATATTTGTGAGTCTATTGGAGGAAATTCACTGTTTAAAGGGATATTATGGAAGTTTGACAGCCAAAACATGTATAGAAATAATACATTTCTTCTTCATGCATTCTCCTGCAATGCCCTGGTCCTGTAAAATGAGCCCTGGCATTTTTACTGTGATTGCCTGTTTTTCTGTAAAATCACAGAAAAAGAGAGATGCTCGGGTCGAGCAGGCTGCTTCATGCGCGTTCACGCTCAGACATAGCCCGTAGCGTTTGCTATCTGTAGCTTTAGCAGCAGAGAGAGAGGCAGTGCCACTTTGTTGCCTATAGTGACAAAGCTAGCTACATTTCTGAGGACCCTTAGCTACTTTCTGTGGAACTTTCTTCTAGATATTTCCTGCAAATTAGCATGCGCGCCTCTTGTACGAGCCTACTATTGAAGCTGCCATTACGCTTTTGGCCTGAGGGGGCAATCGCGAGCATAAAAATTCAAAACTCCACAAAGTCCCTTTAATGAGAGTCAGCTGGTGAAAATAATGTGCATATAAATCAGATTGCATGTAGGCACACACAATTAAACAAATCTCCCACATTTATAACGAATCTAAGTATATGACTGTAGGTTTTTTTTTCTCCTTTCACGTCATGGTGGCTCCCTAGCGCCCCCCCTTCTGACGAGCCACATTGTGTCTTGGTAACTCTTTTTATTCCCTTTAGGTGAACTTCCTCCACTCCTTGGACAGCCTCTACCACCCGTCCCACCTGCTGGCTTCACAGCAGCAGTTTCTCCATCCATCCCACCATTCTGGAGAGCTGAGTGGACACACTTTGCCCAATCCACACCGGAACTCAGGTGGCATTCCCCTCTGCTCTGACAAAGTCAAATTTGAGTTGAAATTTCTGGACTAGCAACAATCTCAGAAATTATAGTTTTTATTTTAGGGGAATAAGCCTCAAACAGAAATGATGTAATATTGTTAAGAAGCCGTGGATTTTGATGCAGCAAAGTTCGGATTGTCTGAGCAGGAAGCCAAAAATGAAAGCTTAACAGACATTCATTTAGGTCTTGTCAGCGAGTAGAGTTGGGCAGGTGTGTTGGTGAATGTCTGAGCATCACTGATGCACTGACAGCTGATTCAGCATCCAAATACTAGAGACCCAACACACACACACACATGCACACACACACAGCCATCCTCAAAAAATATTAAACAAGACTAGCCCGTTGTTGCTTAGAGCCGACTAGTTTAACAATGTGAAACGCCAAGGATAGAACATTCATCCTGTGTTTGCAGGTGAGAGCAGCAGAAAAACAAGAGGGGATTTTCACGGCGAAGGCAAAAAATCACACAATGACAAAACTCAATGAAAGTTATCGCATCATTCTTGTTGTAACAAAGCTTGTTTGCAGAAAAATTGCACAAACTGGCAAATAAGAAATCTAAAAATTACTTTTCAGAAAATAAATTTGTAAAATGTGTTATTTTAACTTATATCCTGTTCTTTTTTCCCCCAATTTTTTTCTGCTTCTGTGTTTTAGAATTGCCATTTTCAGATAATAAAATGTTTTATTCTGAAACAAGAAACTGAAAAAGATAATTAAGGTGAGGAAAACAAGCTCTTTGAAAAGGACTACGAAACAGTCAGCCGAACAGAAAAATGCTCAGATTTTATCAGATTTAATATACGTAACCCATTGAAACATCACGTGTGGTCTGATGAAAACAAAAACACAAGCACATGCTACATCTCCATAAAGTAGGGCTATCAGATAATCCTTATTTTTTATTTATCTAGAAAAGCAACTTAATGCTAACCAGTGCTGAACAAAACATGGCCTTATTCAATAAAACCTACATGAGCAAAGACCAAAACAGAACAGTCACAATTAAGTCGCAATCCAAACAGGATGTAATAAATGCAGGAATGACTGTTTCCAGGTCTTATCTAAAAAAAAGGCTTCATTAGACAAACATCAAAGACAGCTGATGACATCACCCCATTTACATGGCCATCAAAACTAAATCCGTTATGAATCTAACCCTAAGGCTGACTGACCACTTAACTAGTCTGATAGAGAGTTGGTTCACCAAAATCAACAGTGGATACATGAGTGCAGCAAATTTAAGGAAGTTATTTACCGTCTAAGCCCTTAATGTCTGTCAAACAGTCAAGAACCTTTTCAATTAAGTGATCCTCGTATTTGTAAATGGTAAGTAAAGTTGACAATCATCAGCATAACAATGGAAAGAAATTCCAAATGTCTACAACACGTATGTCACCTAAAGACAGAATATAAAAAGCGAACAACAGAGGCTCTAGAATCGATCCCTGCGGGCCTCCCCATAGACGTGTAGTCCTGGATGAGAATGAGGCCAGCCCCACACACACACACTGGTTTAGGATATCATCTAAACCAGGGGTGTCAAACTCAAACTCACACGGGGCCGAAATGAAACTCTGGGACGGAGTCGAGGGCCAAACTTAATATTTTTTGAAAAAGTGACGGCAAATTTGCACATTTTCTTTATCAACATATATGCAATTTTGAACCTTTAAATTTGGAAACAAACTTATTTCTGCATTAACACTGAATGTGGAATAACCAAATTACACACGAGCAAGTCAGTTTTAAATAAAAGGCATCAGTGGTATTCATTACTTGTGGTATAATCAGCATTTTTAAAATCTATTCAGGATTTATGTTTTCTTGTTGTTTATTCGTTTTTCTTATTTTTTATTTTCCTTTTTCTCCTGTAATATGTGTCATCGCTGCTGTGACGTCTAGCTTTCCCCACTGAGGAACAATAAAGGGATTTTCTATTCTATTCATCTATCTGCAGCCTTTCCACTTCCTGTTTACTGTAGGTTAAATCTTTTCTCACGGGCCAACAACAAAATAAAAATGTAATTTTATCTTAAATGAAAATGCAACATCTCACCTGTTAACTTTCATGTTTTGGAGCAGAAAAAGAGCATAAAACCAACAAATTTAAAGCTCAGTTTATTCCACTGGTTTACTGTGATGCTCACCTGTTCCAGCCAGATACCTGCATCATGGGGTTGACCTGAGCTGAGGAGGAGACTCCTGTTGTTTTGTTCATCTTCATCATAATAATGACAACATTAGATGACAACAGGTGCTCACATAGGTTTGTGCTGATGAACATGTCTGAGCAACTTGACCACGTTGTTGTGTGTCGGGGAGGAAACACGACCAGTCGTGCTGGTTTGAGCGTGTCGCTGTTCGCTGGAGTTATATCAGTTCTGTCTGGACGTTAGTTTGAAAACTTTCTCTTTAAGTCGTGAACACATTACTGAGCGGCTAGAAACTCCATTGCTGGGCTTCAACGTCAGAAAACAGCTGAGTGAACTCGGCGCTGAGTGAGAGGAGTGTAGTTTGTCCGAGACAGCGGAGCTGCAGACACCCAACTACCCCTGACCTGACTGCCTCGGGCTGGAAAAAACACAAAGGAGGGGGCGCGTCGCCTCCGCGCTGACGCCACAAAGCATCATGGGAGTTGAAGTCTTTGCGGTAAAATCGGCCAGCGGGCCAGTTTTAATATATTTTTGATATTTATCTCGCGGGCCACATAAAAATGCTCCGCGGGCCGCATCTGGCCCGCGGGCCTTGTGTCTGACATATGTGATCTAAACCAATACAGAATGATATTTTATAATCTTCTACTGTTTGGGTCAACAAATCTTCAACATTTATGCAAAAAGAAAAAATAAATCTATAAATCACCTTAATAATTAGGAATCTGAAGAGTGAAATTGACAAAAATAGAAGTCTTCCTGTTTGTATTTTTATGTCTCTACAGGTGCTGGCCAGTAAATTAGAATATCATCAAAAGGTTGAAAATATTTCAGTAATTCCATTCAAAACGTGAAACTTGTACATTATATTCATGCAATGCACACAGACCAATGTATTTCCGATGTTTATTACGTTTAATTTTGATATTTATAGGTGACAACCAATGAAAACATCAAATCTGGTATCTCAGAAAATTAGAATATTCTAAAGGCCAATGAAAAAATGTTTGTTTCTCTAATGTTGGCCAACTGAAAAGAATGAACATGAAAAGAATGTGCATGTATAGCACTCAATACTTAGTCGGGGCTCCTTTTGCCTCAATAACTGCAGTAATGCGGCGTGGCATGGACTCGATCAGTCTGTGGCACTGCTCAGGTGTTATGAGAGCCCAGGTTGCTCTGATAGTCGTCTTCAGCTCCTCTGCATTGTTGGGTCTAGCGTATTGCATCCTCCGCTTCACAATACCCCATAGATTTTCTATGGGGTTAAGGTCAGGCGAGTTTGCTGGCCAATCAAGGACAGGGATACCATGGTCCTTGAACCAGGTGCTGGTGGTTTTGGCACTGTGTGCAGGTGCCAAGTCCTGTTGAAAGGTGAAGTCTGCATCCCCATAAAGTTGGTCAGCAGCAGGAAGCATGAAGTGCTCTAAAACTTCCTGGTAGACGGCTGCATTGACCCTGGACCTCAGGAAACAGAGTGGGCCAACACCGGCAGATGACATGGCACCCCACACCATCACTGACGGTGGAAACTTTACACTGGACCTCATGCAACGTGGATTCTGTGCTTCTCCGCTCTTCCTCCAGACTCTGGGTCCTTGATTTCCAAAGGAAATGCAGAACTTGCTTTCATCAGAAAACATAACTTTGGACCACTCAGCATCAGTCCAGTCCTTTTTGTCCTTGGCCCAGGCGAGACGCTTCTTGCGCTGTTTCTTGTTCAAGAGTGGCTTGACACACGGAATGCGACACCTGAATCCCATGTCTTTCATGAGTCTCCTCGTGGTGGTTCTTGAAGCGCTGACTCCAGCTGCAGTCCACTCTTTGTGGATCTCCCCCACATTTTTGAATGGGTTTGTCGTCACAATTCTCTGCAGGGTGCGGTTATCCCTAGAGCTTGTACACTTTTTTCTACCACATTTTTTCCGTCCCTTCGCCTGTCTGTTAATGTGCTTGGACACAGAGCTCTGCGAACAGCCAGCTTCTTTAGCAATCACCTTTTGTGTCTTGCCCTCCTTGTGCAAGGTGTCAATGATTGTCTTTTGGACAGCTGTTAAGTCAGAAGTCTTCCCCATGATTGTGGTGCCTTCAAAACAAGACTGAGGGACCTTTTAAAGGCCTTTGCAGGTGTTTTGAGTAAATCAGCTGATTAGAGTGGCAGCAGGTGTCTTCTATATTCAGCCTTTTCAGAATATTCTAATTTTTTGAGATACCAAATTTGGAGTTTTCATTAGTTGTCACCTATAAATATCAAATTTAAATGTAATGAACATTGGAAATACATTGGTCTGTGTGCATTGCATGAATATAATGTACAAGTTTCACGTTTTGAATGGAATTACTGAAATATTTTCAACCTTTTGATGATATTCTAATTTACTGGCCAGCACCTGTAAAGCCAATGTTAATTTGTTTCTGTTGACATCTTGACAAAAGGACTCTGTGGGTTTTACCAGCATAAATTAGACAAGTATTGGATTTTTAAGTAGCTATTTAGTCCAACAATGAAAGTGGCTGAGTAAATGCAGCAACCTTTGTTTATTGTTATGAAGATTTGATTTGACCGTTTCAGTAAAGTGGCACATTGAGGCGTTTTTAATATGCTTTTGAGAACAGTGGAGCTGCATCAGGTTTTAGATCAACTCAGATGTTTGTTTCTGCTCATTTTGGTAGTTTCGTGTGATTAAATGAAAACATTTTTATTGAAACTGTTCCTTTGAACGTGGTCTGTGCTTTTTTTACAGTGGTTCCAGGAGCAGCCACCGTCATCATCATGGTGTGTGTGGGTTTCCTGGTTGTCATGGTAATCCTAGGTGTCTTCCGAATTCGTTCCATCCATCGCCGAGGCGACAGTGCAAGGGGAGGGGCAAAGGAAGGAAGCAGCCAATGGGATGACTCAGCACTCACCATCATCGTCAACCCAATGGAGGTAGCACCACTGCTTTTCATTGGGAATAAAATCATAATAAATGAATAAAAAATTATTTATTGACATGTAGTTTCATCAGCGTGTGCTCCCACAGACCTACGAATCTCCTATGGGCATCTCTGCCGACACGGAGGGGGAGGGGGAGGAAGACGAGGAGGCAGCAGAGTCACCCGACGATGCGAGCGACGACCAGCGAATCATCATCAAGAAGGAGGGCAAAGATGGAAACGCCCGTCGCTACTGAGCCACATGTATCTCTGCACGAGTTCTCATGGAAACCACAAGATCAGCGCTCCTCACACACACACACACACACACACACACACACACACACACACAAACACACACACACTTTTAACATCAACTGCTGACACCACATGTATAAGGAATGTATGCTTACAAACACAACGCACAATCACTGTAACACTCAACGCCATATGTGACCTATAGCCAACAACCGGCTGTCGTTCTCCACCTAAATGTTCAATGGCACAATGTAAACAGTCAATGTAATTAAATCGCCTAACTAAGCCCCACCAAAATTATATGTGGTCGAAATCACAACACGGTGTCTGTGAAGTGCAAGGCTGGTTGAAAGGGACTGTTTTGTTTAAATAACTGATTGTATTCTTCCTTTCTTAATGAAAAAAGTCAAATCTTCAAACCTGAAGTACGGTTTCTGGGCAAAGACGGAATCCTTGATGTTCACATGTTTGAACTTGTTTAATGAACTGACTCAAAAGGTCTTTGCACAAGCCCTTTTCTCCCTATTTCTATCATCTCCTGAAATATCTCTTCTCCACCACATTGTGAAGGCAATGCGCTCACCTATTGTGTTTATAAAACCTCAAATCAGATCTCCTCACATGCTTTTTTATAGCAAGATTGGTCTCCTACATCCATTCTTTGCTGTATTTTGTTTACCCCCCCCCCCCCCCCCCCAACAACATCGGAGCACGCACCAACCTCAGACCTCAACCTTCATACAGGCGCTACTTCTGCAACACTCCATAAATACAAAAGCCTTCAAAAAAACATGAAATACTTTCTAATTCAACTTGTTTTCAGCTTCAAACTGGAGTCTTTGCAAAGTTCCAGCTCGTGCATTAGGATGACAAAAGCAGCGCCTGACCTCTGACCCCCTGCCTGCCCATCCATGTCGCCCTCTGCACCATTTCTCTCACTGTACACTCCTCAACTGAATGTCACACGCAAACACACAAGAACACAGCATCTACACCGCCACCTTAGTTTTTTCCAGAATGTCCGCTCAGCTTGGGCAGTTTTGATTGTAATGAATTTTCTGTACATACAAAATATTGTTATATCTATTATTATTATTATTATTTTGTGTTCACTCTTTCTCTTTCCAGCACATTTTAAGAGGGAGGCAAATTGTGATTTTCTTTCTTTTTTCCATTTAAGGAATCACCTTTCCAGCATCAGAAAATACTATAATGATAATAATGATAATAAGAATACTATTAATATTAGTAGTGATAAGGATGATCATCTCCGGCTTGATGAGTGTCTCTTTAGTTGTGTGTAATATTGTTGTAATTTAAGCATATGTTCATATAAATGAAAAGTAAAAAGGAGGGCACATTGTTGTGATGCTTCAATACGTCTCACTCATTCATGCATTAGACTGCAGGGTCATTTTTCTTTCTTCCCATTTAAAGATAAAATGCTTTTTATTATTATCATTATTCCAAATCTTATTCAAATGTCATTTTCAGTCCTCTGAATGTACAACTGTGTGCTTCTCCTCACCTTTCCCTCCTTCCACCTTCCTGCCCCCCCCCCCCCACCTCTCCCTCCGTGTCTCTTGCTGTCTGTCTGTGTAGCCTATTAATGTGCAGTGCGAAGGCTGTCAGTACATAAAGCCTGTTGTTTTTGAGTGTGACGTTAAGAAGGATTAAACATTGCATTGAATAATAACTTATATTATTACTATGTTCAGACTTTATCTGTAATAATTATAAAATGCCAACATGGATTATGCTAAGTAATTAACTGTGGGAAAACGTTACAAAATTCATAATAAAAACACTATATGACATCTCCATGAGATGGTTTCTTTATTAATGTGGTGGTTCTGCATACTGGAGGGCATTTTTATCAAGAAATCTCATTTTTGAAAACAAATAAGTAAAATTCACTTTAAAATAGATTAATTTTGCTGTTCGAAAGCTTCTCAATTATGTATCCGTCACGTATAATTTTCTTAATTGTAATTATTGATTGAAATATTTCCTACTTAATAGAAAAATTACATTTTCCTCAAACCAATCAGGTAGGTAATTAGGCTTTACTTACAAATACATCTACCTACACAATATATTATCAATGATTTTCTCAAAGTAAGTAGAACTTCACGTAACCCCGTCCCGTGTCGAGTCTACATATTTTGATTCAGGATTCTTCCGAGTTTGGAAAACTCCAAATCTCGCGAGAATTCATCTTACAGCGCAAGTTCAGTTCAGGTTTGCTTTTAGCACCCCCTAGTGTCAGGTTAGTGAAACCAAAAGTGAAACTTCTTTTCTTGCTGTGCGTCCGTCTTAATCTAACTGCTGAAATGTCTCAAATTTCTACAAGAGCGGCTCATCACCAAATCTAACAAATTAGATGTGTTTTAATCTAAAACATGCAGGAAACGTGCTGGAAGCAGACTCCAGCGCCAGGTATTTCAGCTCCACTATAAGTCCAACAGGGAGCAGCCCGCCACTCTGACAATGCAAGTGCGGCATTCTTGCCACAGAGGGCAGTGAGGAACTGAGTAACATTTCATTAACCCTGTAAAGGTTCATTTTAGCCCATACTGGCTCAAGAAAATGATTTAAAAAATATGAAAAAGTTATGGCTTTAATGGGGAAACAAAGATTTGTGATGTTGTTTCAATGCAAATGTATTAAATATTGAATTATTTTGCACCAATCAGGGCTTTCCAAATAAATTCCACCTTGATACAGTAAATGGTACCTTTAAAATAATTAAATTGTTCAAACAATTTAGTGTCCCCAACTAGAGAAAGCAACTGAAAACTTTCTGCTTTGTATTTCTACACATTTACAACAACAATATTTTTTATTTAAAGGTACAGTAAGTAATCATTTTACAGTGAAATAATCAAAAAATAATCTAACGGCTCAATCATGCTGGAGGAAGGTTACATTGAAACAGATTTCTTTCTCAACAGAGTGGGGGGTTGTCCGTTTTTATCCTTTCGAGGCTGGTGCCAGTCAATGCAACATTTGTAATTTGACACCAGCCAGCAAAAAGCTCCAGAAGTGTGTCAGCAAGCAACAGGAGCGACCCAGGAACTATTTCTTGACCCCTAAGAAGCAAAGACATCCTTGTGTTTTACTCTAATATCGTGTGAGGAAGGCTAGATGCTAACATCGAGCTAACAGTGCTAACCATGAATTAGAAAAACATAGCTGGCTCTACAAAAATCTCAATCTACTTTTTCAACTCAATATTAGATGAAAATGTAGGCTACGTATCCACTTATGAACACAATGTGTATGACTCGTCTTCGCTTATCATCTAGAATCTTCTGGAGATCCCTAACTGGTAACAGCCATGAAACAGAGTGGGAGAGGGTCACTTGTGTGTTTTGAAAATGGGCTGCAATACCCAAATTTGAACACAAGATGTCATCCATCCATCATCTGAACCCGCTTGTCCATGCAGGGTCACATGGACTGGTGCCTATCTCCAGTAGTCAATGGGCAAACGGGCAGAGTACAGCCTGGACAGGTTGCCAGTCCATTGCAAGGCAACACAAAAGCACACAGAACAAACAACCATGCACACACACTCAAAAAAACCTGGTTTAGATCCCAATGATTTCAATAACCTCCGTCCCATTTCCCATCTTCCCTTCATTTCCAAAGTCCTTGAGAAAACTGTTGCATCTCAGCTCCATTCCCATCTCACCCGCAATAACCTTTATGAACAGTTTCAGTCTGGCTTCCGTCCCCACCACAGCACAGAAACAGCTCTCATCAAGATCACTAATGACCTACTCATTGCTGCTGATTCTGGTTTAATCTCTATTCTTATTCTCCTCGATCTGAGTGCGGCCTTTGACACCATTTCTCATCCCATCCTCCTCAATAGACTCTCTTCCTTAGGCATCACTCACACCCCCCTCAGCTGGTTTCAATCTTACCTTACTGGCCGCACTCAGTTCATCCAGTTAAAATCCTTTACCTCAGAACCCTCCCCAGTCAAGTCAGGTGTGCCCCAGGGCTCTGTCCTGGGGCCCCTCCTCTTCATAGTATATCTCCTCCTTATCGGCAAAATCTTCCGCAAATTCAATATCCAGTTTCATTGCTTTGCAGATGACACCCAGCTCTACATTTCCAGTAAGCCCAACTCAACTCTCCCACCATCCTCCCTTACACTCTGCCTCTCTGAAATCAAATCATGGTTCACCTCTAATTTCCTCAAACTCAACGGCAATAAAACTGAACTTCTTCTTGTTGGCACTAACTCCACCCTCTCAACATCTGACAGCTTTTCTTTAACTATTGACAGCGCCACAGTCTCCCCCTCACCTCACGTCAAGAGTCTGGGTGTCATTCTCGACAGCTCACTTTCTTTTCAGGCTCACATTAATAACTTAATTCGGTCAGCATACTTCCATCTACGTTCCATAAACCGTCTCCGTCCCTCACTGACCCCTCACACTGCCGCCATTCTCGTCCACAGCCTCGTCACCTCCTGTATCGACTATTGCAATTCACTTCTTTATGGTCTTCCCAAACAAACTCCTTCATAAACTGCAACTGGTCCAGAATTCAGCAGCCCGTATTATCACCAGAACCCCTTCCTTTCACCACATCACGCCGGTTCTCCAGCAGCTTTACTGGCTCCCAGTTAAATTCAGGTCCATCTTCAAAATTCTCCTCCATACCTTCAAAGCTATCCACAACCTCTCTCCTCCATATATCTCAGACCTTATAAGTATTCACACCCCGTCCCGTTCACTCAGATCTTCTTCTTCCATCCATCTTGCGGTTCCTTCTGCCCGTCTCGCTACCATGGGGAGCAGAGCTTTCAGCCGCTCTGCTCCTCGACTCTGGAACTCACTTCCCCCAGACATCAGGAACGTCGACAGTTTTACCCTTTTCAAAACAAAACTCAAAACACACATGTTTAAATCTGCCTACAACCTCTGATTTTATTGAAATGTTTCTCTCTGTTTTTTCTTCTTTGGGTTTTATTATTGTTTTATTGTATTTTATTACGTGTTTTGTGTAAAGTGACCTTGGGTGTCCTGAAAGGTGCTTTTAAATAAAATGTATTATTATTATTACTCACACCTAAGAACAATTTAGACAGACCAATTAACCAAGAGAACCCATGTGTGCACAGGAAGAACACGCAAACTATTTGAGGCCAGGATGTGAACCCAAGACCTTGTAGCTGCAAGGCAATGGTGGTAGCCACTGCACCATTTGTCATTCTTACATATTGGACCTTTAATAATAATAATAATGGTGTTTTCATTCAAAAATCCACAGATATTTTGCATTTTTTAATAATATGAGAGTATTTTCCAGTTTAGTGCATGCTTCTGTTAGATTTAGGAGCTAGAATTTGTTAAATCAGGCTGTTGAACTGCAGGTTTCTTGTTTACAAAAGTATGAATGAGCAAAATTATTATTACCTAATGAGAACTTTGACGGTTGTTCTTTTTTGTATACAGAGCTCAGTATCTCTTTTATTTGTCCAGAACAACCAAAAATGTGAACTCATCTGACCACAGAACATATCCACTGTTTTTTTGTCCATCTGAGATGAGTTAGTGTCCCAAGACCTCATCATTGTTTCTACACAGTGTTGATTTATTGCTTCCTCTTTGCACAGCAATTTTACATTCCTGGGTGTAGTCATGGCTTTTGTGCAGTGGTAATGGTTTTCCAAGGGCCCCCCAAGAACACTTGGCTGATCTGATCACTGTAACATGAAGAGTCTTCGTGCTCAAAAGCCTGAGGACTTGAAAACCGTAAATACCTGAATGATGGTTTGCAGGTTTGACCTTTATACTTTGAGACTTTCCCAAACTATCCTTTTCCCCAAATGTTGAAAGACTTGGGTTCTTTGGTCAGCTGCACTGAGGATTTTTATTTTTTTCCACCTGAATATTTCTGACTCCACCCAAGCTGCAAAGACAACCTGTGAGGCTTTTCTTTATATTGGCTGACTAATTAGTCAGTAAATTATTAGTTAAACTAAAAACACAAGATAGGTTTTCCTAAAATAAAAGACTACACAGAAGGGAACATCTCTTGCTTTTGTTGGACTTTAGTCTCTTGCACATATTTTTACGTAAACGTACGTGCTCTTTTGCCTTTAGAAGCCCGACTTCCACGTTCGTAAATATTTGAAGAATACAACTACGTAGAGTACGTAGAATTACGAGCCTCTTGCAGCTCGGTGAAAGGTTTTGTGGGTCATGGAGGAGGAAGGTAAATAGAAAAGAGGCGCTACTACGAACACACAGCGGAGGCTGTGAGGCGGTGCTGGAGGATTTGTTCTGACCCAGCTTTAGCCCAGAAAGGATCCGGCGGGGACGGAAAACAGAGCGGCGCGGAGCGACTGTGCGGCCAGAGCAGGAGGAGCTGTCGGCGGTGAGATGAACATCACGCTACCCCGTAAACACACTCCTCCTCCGGGTGGAGACCTGTGCACTGGCCCTGGGTTGCTAGTTTGCCAACTAACACTTAGCACATCTATTTTAAAAGCTAAATTGTTGCTAATTGTTTTCATCTTCTTTTTAATGTGCTGTTTATTGAGCCCACACGAGGCTACAAGAGATAACAAAGCTAATGTTGTTGCTGGGTCTTTAGCTAGTTAGCGCGTGGGCCATTAGATATCTGAACGCTGACTGACAGGTGTGCACAATTCAAAAACATCATTTTTATGATTTCAGTTTTTTTCCACAAAAGTGGGCCATCTGTATTAAAACTACAGCATGTCTCTTGAGTAGATGTGTTGTGTACAAACATGTGTCACAGTGGCCTATCAGTGATAATGTCTGTATTAATATCTTTGTCTAAGCCTCTTACTTTGACCCTAATCATAATGCAGCAGCTGTGTGATTCAGTAGGAAAACTCACGTCCACATTCTGCATGAGAGCAGCGACTCCGTCCACCTGCATGGACGGGGTTGTGTAATGCTGTACTTGGTGGTTTAGATACAAAATAAGAGCTGAGTGGAATTAAAAATCTGTTCCACGCATTTCATTATGGAAATTGTTTCACATCCCTCCAGGGAGAGTTGGAGATTTTGAGTAGGCTAAATGTACCCTTTTGTCAGCTGTTCATTCTTGGGCATGGAGATCAGTGATCAACAGTAGTTCTATTGTTTGTATATATGTTTAAATTGTGCTGTTACTCTTATTTTGGCAGATCAGGTGAGTGACACAAATGATTTACTTATACCAAATAATTCCTATAAAATAACTGTAATCTGTTATTTTTATTTTGCAAATATTGTTGCCCTTTCCTCTCATCGACAATGTTGCTGCTAAAATGAGCCGAACTTACTGGAAGCACGGAGCAGATGATATTTGTGTGCCTCCTAGGCCATTGCTTTCTCATTAGTAACGGTTCGAAAAAGCCAGGAAGTGATGTAAAAAATGACAGATGGGAGTTTAAACTCGTCGATGCAACGTGAAGCCACTTGTGCAGCTTCCAGGTTTCTCTTTTCTGACCCATTCACTGTAAAATCAAAGCAAAAATTATTTGAGTTGTCCTTCGGACGTTTAAAAACAAATCTGCAGTAAAAATAAACCTCCTTTTCATTGTGCTTTGTTCAGAACGTGTCTGTTAAGGTACCACTTGGGGATTTACTATGCGTAGGTACAGAAGCATCTGCAGTCCAGACAACCTAGCCAGCTGCTGTGGAAAATATGTTTTTGATTCACACTGGCCAATGATTTAGTTCAAGCTTGTTTAAAATATTTGAAAGAAATCTGCTTAAGCAGATAAGAGGACGAAAGCGTCACCAAGCATTTGTAACGGTGTTAGATCTCCTGTTATTATTAACCAGCTGTGCTGCACTAACAGCAATGGGGGTGTTACTGTTATATTGAGAAGGTTTAAAACAAACGCAGCAGTAGAAAATTTCCTTCTGTTCGTAGTCCTAGGTGGTGTGGTTGGCTTTGCCTCATCCTTGTGTTGCCATGGCGATGCGGGAGTTGGTGGAGGCGGAATGTGGGGGGGCCAATCCCCTCATGAAGTTGACCAGTCACATGACCAAAGAAGAAGGAGCATGGCGGCACCGCTTGACACCCACAGTGAGTTGTGTTTCTTTTTTTTATTTTATTTTAATTTTTTTTTGTTTAGCTGCATCATTTATTTATTTATTTGAACTTTTTTCAGATTCCCCCCACACCCATTGAAATTGCAACAGAGGAAGAGGTCGGTGATGTTTTTCGTCAGGCATTAGAATATTATTCTTACCACGTTTCTGATTTCTGGATGTAATCTCTCAAATAGCCACTTTTAGCCTTTTTTTGTGTTTTTATGTTTTAGTTGGTAAATGAATTCCTTCAGGCGCCTCCGCGACCCCCACACACGTTTGACATGGGTCAGTTGTTGGAAGAAATGCAGCAAATTGATCAGCAGAGCTACAGACAAGCTCCACAGAGAGGTATTTCATGTGTATAATCTTTTATCTTATCTGCTTTATGTCCCAGTTTTAAGAAGTTCCCGTGTGTTAATAATGCAAAAACAGTTTTAAGAAGCATTTCCTGGTCTTAGCTCCAGATGTAGCAGCACTGGCCCTCTCGGGTGACTGGGCGGCCGAGTTCCTCTCGGGTCCCGACTCTGCTGCCACACAGGGGCTGAATGCTCTCGGCGAGGCGGCAGATGCTGATTGGACCAAAGAATTTATCGCTGAGGCTGCAGGTAATTTGAGTCTGTGTTTCACTCCGTGCACTCGTTCTCTCTGTTTTATAATGAAATCCATGACAAATCCGTCTTTTTTTGCTCACTGTTTTTCCTTCTCCTGCTGCAGATCCTGGACGCTGGGCAGAAGAGTATCTGGAGCAGTCTGAGGAGAAACTGTGGCTGGGGGACCTTGGAGACAAGGAGACTGAATGGTGAGAGCAGAGCTTGAATCGCTTTATGAGTGTCGGTAAAGCCTGAGCGCAGGAAAGACACTTGTGGGGGAGTAAAAGCAGAGAGGAGCACGGGACAAAACAAAAGATGGCCGATCTGAATGCAGAACTAAACCTTGAGAATGTTGTTGACGTCGTGTTAAGCGGATGTGTCGGGATAGATTTTAATTTCTCCTTAACTTTTTCTCTCTTCTACTTTTTTTGTAATTATACTGAGCTTATTGTGAGAAAAGCTCTCACTGAAGCATTTGATCAGAACGAATGCTCATGTAATGATTATCGGCCTTGGACTTCTCTTCACTGGCAACTATTTCAAAGTGCTGCTTTCAGCCTGAAATCATTTATTCCAGCCTGCAGAACCACGAGTAAACAGAGCTCTTACTGCAGCGTGATGTTGGTATTTTTGATCTGACAGGACAAAGGAGTATCAGGCTGAGGATGAGCTGAGACAAACGGCCAATGAGCTTGTCTCAAAGGTCGACGACCCCAAACTGCAAAACACCGAGGTGAGCAGCGTTTCTTCCACCCATCGGGGATCCTCTTTATGCTGCACATCATTCGTTTTTACACATCTGTCACCATAATCTTCCTCTTCTGTAACATTTTCAGAGTAGATTTGTTTTTGTGAGACTGTTGTTTTGGTGTCGCAATCAATGAGCTGCTAATTTGCGAGACCTGACGGGTTAGTAATGGTAAATATTTTTTTGTTGTTGTGTAGTTCCTGCGATTCATTAGGCAGATTGGCGAGGGCAGTGTGACAGTGGAGAGCAGAACAGACAAACAGCTGACAGATAAAGTTCAGGCCGAGGAGGCTCAGAACTGGGCCTCCAACCTCAACCAGGTATGAGTCACAGCCCACTGAGGAGGGGGTGGTTTCAACTGGGAACACGTTAGAGTTCGGGTAGCGAATTGGCTCTTTTTTATTTTTTTGCACAGCAAAGGCTCTGTCTCGTGACTCATCCCCTCAGTATCTGTACAAATTTTCCACAAAAGTAACCAAATGAAGCCACGTTCTCCCTGTAATATGAATCTCAAGCCTGTAGAGAAGATGTGTTCTGCAAAGAGGACGGCTTCTCCTCGTGTGAGGGTAGCTCTTTGTTCCTGTGTCGACTCCGGCCACGGCTTTCTCAGAGCTGCAGCGAAATTTCCGAAATTCTGGTGCCAGATTTTATTTTTCAGCTAAGCGTGGAAGACCGTATCTGCCAAGAAACAAAGAAATACTAAATAAACAACAAACAGTAACTAGTTTATTGAAAAAGAAAACATAGAAGCTTGCCAAACTGGAAAAGAATAAAGGAGAATTGAAATGGCGAGTGGCATGAATGAAGATCAGGAGCTTTCCTTTACTTCAGCTTTTAAAAATTTAAAAGTTGACTTTAAAATATCAACTTTACATTTATTATTCAGGATATTTGGTCTAGTAATTAAAAGAAAACTTACAAGTAGTTTTTCTCCTTGTTTAAAGTAACACAGAGCACGTTCCTGCTCCTCCGCCCTACTGGCTGAAAGTGGAATTACAACTGTCGTAAACAACCCTGCTGCAGCCTGCTGTAGCTAGCGCTAACAACGAGCTAACACTAACACGAGACAACTAATACTAAAATAAACCATGAAGTAAAAAGATTCACACTGTTGGACAAAAATATTACTTACAAGTCCCGTAGCAACAAGGCCAGGTCACCATCAGTCCGTGGCGTTTGTAGCCTCCTTCAGCTCCCTCAAATTTGTGTAGGCCACGCCGATGTTCACTCTGGTTTTAGCTCTTTGCTTCACCTCCAAAGACATTACTCTCTTACTTTTACTTCCAGGCTCCGCCATGACACCAGCCTTCTTGTGCTTTTTATTTGACGATCTGCATTCTGAAAATGCTAACCGCTAGCATTACAGCTAACAGCCATAAAACAGGTTAAGACCACCCTCTACAGGGCACCTACCCGCTCCACAAAATGATCAAGTGTGGTTTTTGGCCAGCAGAGGGCTGCAGAGTGGTGTCAAAGATTAAACTGATCAAGTTTCTAACTCAATAATCACTGAGATCAATATTAAAGCTCCAGCTTAAAGAATCTATCTGTTGTTACTTTAACCCTTCAAAGTGTAAAAGGCCGAAACGCCCATCAGTTTCTTGCTCCAACACACCTGATTCATTGGATCAATCACCTGTTCACCAGGCTCTGCAAAGGCCTGTTAATCACCTGCTCATTGAATACAGGTGTGTTGAAGCAGGGAAACTACTAAAACATCCAGGATACCGGCCATCCAGGACCAGGATTAGGCACCCCTGAATGCTCTTTTTTTTTCTTTCTTGCAGACTTTTATAATTTACTTCTTTTAATTTGTTTATTTAGAATTTAAAAGTGTTTACTGTTTTCCCCTTAGCGCTATCGCATTGGTCCATCATGGCTTTATGTTGCATTTGAAATGGTTTAAGCCCAAATTCTCTGTCCTAATTTGTTGCTTTTATCCCTTTATTTAATGCTCTCTTTTTCGTCCTTTTCTTGGTGAAAATGGGTTTAGACTCTTAATCCTGCTTTGCTTGGACTGTTTATATTCTTTCATATCCTTTGACTTTGACACATACTGTTCCCATTTTTGACCAGCCTTCAAACTCTTGGCTTGGCATTCCCTCAACAACAAAAAACTGCTTTCATTTCTTACGATTGTGTTTAAAACGATGCTTATTCCACCCACCCTTCCAAAACCAAACCTCCCCACCAACTGCTTCCTTCCCCTCAAAAACGATGTCCCCGCTTGTCACCGCCACCCCTCCTCGCCTCCCATCGTAGTTCCTGACGGAGACGGGGGGAGGGAGTCTTCCCTTGGAACCTCCAGAGACGAATCACCAGATTGACAAAGTTAAAGCTAAACAAGCAGAGCAATGGGCCAAAGTCGTCAGGCAGGTAGGCCCTTTGGGGTCGTGGCAGCAGAAGGTGTTTATTTTTTGTGTTAGAAGTTAATTTTTGTCTATTTTATTCCTACGTGAACGTTTGAGATGCAAGTAGCGTCTGATGCTGCTAGAAGTAGAATTAGGAAGAAGTAAAAGCAGGTTGTACCTAGTCTCTGCTTTCATCTCTGCTTCCTTTATGTTCTGGCTTCATCTCGCCTGTTTTTAAACGTCCCCATCCTTCGTTCTCGTAGGAGTTGGCGTGGCCAGTGAGAACAGACTCGTAGCAACCGTTGTCATTTCTCTTCAGGTTTCAGAGGAGTCGGCTGAAGCCTGGGTGGACGAGTTCGCTGCATCTGGGCCAGATTTTCAACAAGCTAAAGCGGCGGTGGAGGTAAATGTGAGAAAACCTCTAACCCAAATGTGGGGTATAGGGTCGTCACGGTGTGAAAATTTAACCTCACGGTTATTGTGACCAAAATTATCACGGTTTTCGGTATTATCGCGGTATTTTTTTAAACGTGTTAAATTTTCAGACCACTAAATAAACCCTGCTATATGTCAGGAAAAGATTGTCCGCAGTTTGTGTCTAAATTTTGTAGGGCTGCAGCTATCGAATATTTTTGTAATCGAGTACTCTAATAAATTACTCTTTTGCGTTTTGTAAACCCTTGTATCAAATAGCATGTTATAAAATATGAAAGACCTCTTGAAATGAGCAAGCAATTGCCAGTTATTCTTCAAGTTTTATTCAAATTTAGTTTTCAAAACTTCAGCACTTCAACTTTACTTCACAGTAAACAAATTCAAGCGGCTGCAGCCCAAACAGAACCAGAACCGCTCACGGCGCATGCGCAAACATGGCTCGCCAGCTGTTTCCCTATTAACACACGTCCGTTTTAATTTCTACACTTTTTTTCTCACACTAACAAGGATTGTCGAAAGCATGTTTACCTTGGTTATGTCAAATTATACTGATCACAAAACATTTATTTACTTCCTTTCGTTTTCCTCCGCCGCTCATAAATACCGGTGTCCTCCTGCAGCAATCCTGAGGGAAAACAGACATCAATAACAACACAGTGAAAAGTCCGACGTGTTGTAAAAACTGCTATTTTTAGCACATTTTAAGTCCAACGTGTCCCTCCACCGTGTCCTGGGTCTTCCTTTAGGTCTCCTCCCGGTTGGACGTGCCCGGAAAACCTCACCAGGGAGGCGTCCAGGCGGCATCCCGACCAGATGCCCGAGCCACCTCAACTGGCTCTTCTCGATGTGGAGGAGCAGCGGGTCTACTCCGAGCCCTTCCTGAATGACTGAGCTTCTCACCCTATCTCTAAGGGAGAGCCCAGCCACTCTTCAGAGAAAACTCATTTCGGCCGCTTGTATCCGCGATCTCGTTCTTTCGGTCACTACCCAAAGCTCATGACCATAGGTGAGGGTAGGAACGTAGATCGACCGGTAAATCGAGAGCTTCGCCTTCTGACTCAGCTCTCTCTTCACCACGACAGGCCGGTACAACGCCCGCATCACTGCAGATGCAGCACCAATCCGCCTATCGATCTCACGCTCCAGTTTTCCCTCACTCGTGAACAAGACCCCGAGATACTTAAACTCCTCCACTTGGGGCTGTAGTGTAATTGTTTATGGTCTCACTCTGTGGGTGAAAGTTCTGCGCGCCCCAGCTTTGACCCAGCCGGGCCAAGTACAACCTTTGGCACAGAAAACCCATATTTCCTCACGTTACAGGGCAGAACCTCATCCCTGATGATAAACGTATTATTATTATTAAAGGTCAAACCTGTCTGTGATACAGAAGGATGTAATGAGGGGTAAAGTGATATTTGTATCTTTCATTTTGTCAGAGTGATGTGGACTTCTGGGAAAAGCTGCAGCAGGAGTGGGAGGAGATGGCCAAGAGAGACGCAGAGAGCCATCCCTGGCTGTCTGACTATGATCAGCTGCTCAGCTCATCTTACGACAAGGTAGCTGATCAGAGCAGTCGGGTTTGTGATGTTAGATGTTCTGACCTCGCTAATCTCCTCTTCTTCCGTGTGTCTCCTGTAGGGGTATCAGTTTGAAGAGGACAACCCCTGCTTGTCCCATCCAGACCCCTTCTCAGAAGGATTGAAGAGGTTGGAGGCGGGGGACATCCCTGGAGCGGTCCGATTCTTTGAAAGCGCCGTACAGAAGGAACCAGAAAACCAGCTGGTGGGACTTCCACGCTCTCGTGTTTTGCTGGTGTATTTTCTCTCGTCCTAAGCCTGATTCATGCTTCTCCGTCAGCTGCAACAGGGAGAGACGCGCACGCACGGACGGAGACATTTTGCTCTCATACTTCTCCGTCTCCTGGAGAGTGTTGCAGAGCAATTCCCCGCCAGGACAACAGAGGGCGTAGCGCTGTTCTGTGGTATCCTGTCATGTATCGGTCCAAGATACAGTGATCCCTCGTTCATCGCGGTAGATGCGTTCCAGACCTGGCCGCGATAGGTGAAAATCCGCAAAGTAGGGACACCATATTTACAGTATTTATTTAACAGGAGAGGGAGCGCAGCTGATCCTCATCAGCCTGATCAGCGGGACGGCTTTAAAAGGAGGGCGGTTATCCAGATACGACGCCGGATGATTAACTACTGCCTGACTCGCTTCTCCTCCGGATTCGCTCCCGTCTTGGAGACTTCTGGATATTCACCGGTTCGCTGCCTGGATACCAACTCCGCTCTGCCGTCCCGCTCTCCACCGTGCTCACGCTCCCTCTCCGTTTCCTCGTCCTCCTCATCCGTTTACCCTGCCACCTGGAAATCTACAATTCGCCTCTGGATATCACCCTGAACTTCCGCATTTTGCCGCTTCCTGGTTTACCCTCCGCTGGATCACCAGTGCGCCCTCAGTTCTCCTCATCATTAAAGAAATAAAATTATTGTTTATCTTTTACCTCGACTCGAGTCTGATTCTGTATGTCTTGGGTTAGACACTTACCCCAAAACATGACAGAAAAATACCGCAAATCGGCAAATTTCCCTTGAATAAGGCTCCAAAGAAAAAATCTGCGAAGTCGTGAATCCGCGATAAACGAATTGCGAAGTAGCGAGTGATCACTGTAGTGTGTTTATATTGGGTTTTTTTTTGTATATAAGAGACTTTTTAACGCGGACAAAATAGTCTCTCATCCTCCTCCACCTCTTCATGCACTCGCCAACTCTAAACCCACGTTTCCTGTCATTTCTGCCCACAAATAAAACGCTTGCTGTGCATCTTTTCACTCCTCCAGTCACGGGGAATTGAACGTTCATATTTTTAGAGTTTTTTTCATGAGGTATTCTTCAAGCTTCTCCGTGTCTGCCGCTAGTTATCCTCGGCTCTCTTTATGTTTTTGAGGGCGCAATGACGGCACTGTAAACAACAGCGGCGCCCTGACCAATCACAAGCTTGCGTTCTCCTTCTTGACGGACGGATGTTAAGAAAAGAGAGCTCGACTCCGTACGTCCTTGCGGGGCTCTCCAGCAGGCCCGCAAGGACGTATAATGGCGTTGCGTGTCCGCACTGACGCAGAAGCATGACTCAGGCTTTAGTGTAGAAATATGAATTCATTTTGTTTCCACTGAATTGCAGGCTTGGCAATATCTGGGAACCTGTCAGGCAGAAAATGAGCAAGAATTTGCTGCAATCAGCGCCCTCCGCAGGTCAGAATCAATCATTACAAAAAGCCATTCAGCTGTTTTATGATGTTTGTAGGAGGCAAAAGTGATTGACTGATTAATGAGATTGCTAGAGAAATTGTTTACTCTTCCATATAAGTGCACTGCAGCCTTCCAGTTTAGCATTTTGTGTCTGTAGTCGTCGTATTTTTCAGTTTTGTTTCTTCCTGTAAATTCTGATAAAGAACAGCTTAAGGGTTGTTGGTAAAAAAAAAAAAAAAAAAAAAAAGCTAAATGTTGCAGGTGCTTGACGGATCCTGTCTCCTTCTCATTAGGTGTATAGATCTGAAGAAGGACAACCTGACTGCCCTGATGGCGTTGGCTGTCAGTTTTACTAACGAATCGCTGCACAGGCAGGCCTGTGAGACCCTACGCGATTGGCTGAAGCACAACCCAAAATACCGATCTGTGTGGGAGCAGCACGAGCGGGAACGCCAAAAGGAGACTGCCACAGACGGCGAGAAAGCGAAGGAGAGGTTTGGGTCGTTGTTGCCAGAGTGAGTTTGATGCTCAGAGATTTTAAATGCAGAAAGATTCAGACGAAGGCCCTGGTGATACGAAACGACTCTTTCTGCTTGGTGCAGGTCTTTGTTCAATGATGTCCAGAACCTGTTCCTGCGTGCAGCCAACTCCGACCCGACCCAGGTTGACCCCCAGCTGCAGTGTGGTCTGGGAGTCCTCTTCAACCTGAGCGGAGAGTACGACAAGGCCGTGGACTGCTTCAGTGCTGCTCTGTCTGTCACTCCGCAGGTTTGTGCAAAAGAGGAAAGTATTTTCACCGCAGTACCAACATCTGCTTCTATTTGTTTTCCACTGATTTCCCTCTTTCCTATTCACTCTCTCTCTCAACATTTTTTCTTTTAAATCCCAATTGCCTATTTTTGCTCATTCGAAATATATTTTTAAACATTTTCTAAATGCTTTTTTATATTTTAACTTTTTATTTTTTGTTTTTGTGAAGCGCCTCGTGATTTTTATCTTGAGAGGCGCTATAGAAATGATATTTTTTTCTTCTTCTTCTTCTTCTTGTCCTCTGATTTAAAAAGGACTACCTGCTGTGGAACAAGTTGGGCGCCACCCTCGCCAACGGGAGCCGCTCAGAAGAAGCAGTGGCCGCCTACAGGAGAGCTCTGGAACTGCAGCCAGGTTTTGTTCGCAGTCGCTACAACTTGGGAATTAGCTGCGTGAACTTAGGTGCACACAGGTGAGGAAGCGGATTGTTTTGGGATATAAATGATTCATTTAAATCTGTAATTGTTGAAATAACAGCTTAAACTGGCTGTTTTTTTTTTTGTTTCTGCATTCTATACCGAAGATGGAATTATTAAAAAGAAATATTTTTAAGAAGTTTCAGCGACAAAAACAGTCATAAATTATTAACAGGACGTATTAAATGGTATAAAATGTGGCGTCACTTTTCTAAAAAAAAAAAAAAAAAAGATTTACACATTTATAAGTTGCTGATTTTTAAAAACTCCTTGTATTTACAGTGGTGTGAAAAACATTTTGCCCCCTTCCTGATTTCTTATTCTTTTGCATGTTTGTCACACAAAATGTTTCTGATCATCAAACACATTTAACCGTTAATCAAAGATAACACAAGTAAACACAAAATGCAGTTTTGAAATGACGGTTTTTATGATTTAGGGAGAGAACAAAATCCAAACCTACATTGCCCTGTGTGAAAAAGTAATTGCCCCCCTTGTTAAAAAATAACCCAACTGTAGTGTTTCACACCTGAGTTCAATTTCTGTAGCCACCCCCAAGCCTGATTACTGCCACACCTGTTTCAATCAAGAAATCACTTAAATATGAGCTGCCTGACACAGAGAAGTAGACCAAAAGCACCTCAAAAGCTAGACATCATGCCACGTTCCAAAGAAATTCAAGAACAGATGAGAACAAAAGTAATTTAGAATTAAAGCTGCAAGCAGCGTCGTTCGGCCCTCGCAGCTCCGCGCCGCTCCGGTCTGGACGGCAGCCCGGGGCACCAGTGCACGTCTGACAGAACAGAAACGTCAACCACCCCGACACCAGAAACCGCGAATGGCCTCCTAGTCCGCACCTCACCCTGACTCAGCATCCCCTCTGAGCTCACCATTAAATTGAATATTAAGATTACGGCGTTACGCCAGAATTCGCCATGGCATCAAAGCCCCTCCCTTTCTGGAAAGCTATCAGATCTGAATGGTCAATACAGCATCATGAAGACAGTGCATGACCTTTGTTTCATGTTGACTAAATTAGAGGGGACAAATATGGGCAGTTCACCATAAAACAATAGGCTTCCTGTAGTCAGGGGGCGGGGCTTAGGTGATGTCAGCTGTCCACATTGTCATTGTTTACAGATATGGTCAATGATCACACAGACAAAGTTCGAAAAAAATCTGATCATGCACATGGGAGTTATTAAGTCAAGTAAAGTAATGGCGAAAGGTCAAAGTTTGAGGCTTAGCCACGCCCACATCTTTCAACTTTTGAAAAATCCGACGGTTGAATTTTTTCCCCTATGTCTTAAGAGTATATAGCAGAAGTTTGAAGGCGATTGGTGAAAAGGGCGACGGAGCATCACTCTCCAAACAACGTGTGCGAAAACCACTAAATCGCGTACTTGGACCAAAATGGCCGACTTCCTGTGCAATGTTGTGCTTGGCTCCAAGAGACTTTTTTGTAGGTCCTGAGACACCACATTAGTGTACCAAATTTCGTAATCCTCAGTCAAAGCATGGCTTGGGGCTGATAGTTTAAATGGTCCTAGAGGCGCTATTTAAGACAATAGGCCACGCCCACAAACTTCAGCTATGGATATCTCTTGGGGCTCAGGCTAGGATCACTTACAAGAAGTTTCGTAGCGCTATCACAATAACTGAAGAAATGAGAGGCAAACGTATTTCCATGGCGTGATGGCGATTTTCGCCATGCTGCCAAAGCCCCGCCTTTACTCGAAACCTGCCAGTACTGGATACCAAGTGACCTCAAGTTGTCTACTGCTATTTGCCAGAGATTATGGGTGATTGGGTAAAAGGAGTCCAATAGGAAGCTGTGGAAAAAAAGAGTGGCGTGGCGAAAGGTCAAAGTTTGAGGCTTAGCCACGCCCACACCTTTCAACTTTTGAAAAATCCGACAGTTGAATTTTTTCCCCTACGTCTTAAGAGTACATGGCAGAAGTTTGAAGGCGATTGGTGAAAAGGGCGACGGAGCATCACTCTCCAAACAACGTGTGCGAAAACCACTAATTCGAGTACTTGGACCAAAATGGCCGACTTCCTGTGCGACTTTGTTCTTGGCTCCAAGAGACTTTTTTGTAGGTCCTGAGACACCACATTAGTGTACCAAATTTCGTAATCCTCAGTCAAAGCATGGCTTGGGGCTGACAGTTTTAATGGCTCTAGGGGGCGCTATTTAAGAAAATAGGCCACGCCCACAAACTTCAGCTGTCTATTTTTCTTGGGGCTCAGACTAGGATCACTCACCAGAAGTTTCGTAGCGATATCACGAAAACTGAAGAAATGAGAGGCAAACGTATTTCCTTGGCGTGATGGCGATTTTCGCCATGCTCCCAAAGCCCCGCCTTTTTTCGAAACCTAACTGTACTGGATACCAAGTGACCTCAACTTGTCTACTGCTATTTGCCAGAGATTCCTATTGATTGGGTAAAAGGAGTCCAATAGGGAGATGTGAAAAAAAGAGTGGCGTGGCGAAAGGTCAAAGTTTGAGGCTTAGCCACGCCCACACCTTTCAACTTTTGAAAAATCCGACGGTTGAATTTTTTCCCCTTCGTCTTAAGAGTATATAGCAGAAGTGTGAAAGTGATTGGTGAAAAGAGCAACGGAGCATCACTCTCCAAACAACGTGTGCGAAAACCACAAATTTGCGTACTTGGACCAAAATGGCCGACTTCCTGTGCGACTTTGCGCTTGGCTCCAAGAGACTTTTTTGTAGGTCCTGAGACACCACATTAGTGTACCAAATTTCGTAATCCTCAGTCAAAGCATAGCTTGGGGCTATTAGTTTAAATGGTCCTAGGGGGCGCTATTTAAGAAAATAGGCCACGCCCACAAATTTCAGATGTCTATGCCGCTTGGGGGTCAGACTAGGATCACGCACCAGAAGTTTCGTAGCGATATCACGATAACTGAAGAAATGAGAGGCAAACATACTTCCATGGCGTGATGGCGATTTTCGCCATGCTCCTGAAGCCCCGCCTTTTTTTGAAACCTGCCAGTACTGGATACCAAGTGACCTCAAGTTGTCTACTGCTGTTTGCCAGAGATTCCTGCTGATTGGGTAAAAGGAGTCCAGTAGGGAGCTGTGAAAAAATGAGTGGCGTGGCGACAGGTCAAAGTTTGAGGCTTAGCCACGCCCACACCGTTAAACTTTTGAAAAATCCGACGGTTGAATTTTTTCCTCTTTGTCTTAAGAGTATATAGCAGACGTTTCAAGGAGATTGGTGAAAAGGGCGACGGAGCATCACTCTCCAAACAAGGTGTGCGAAAACCAGTAAATCGCGTACTTGGACCAAAATGGCCGACTTCCTGTGCGACTTTGCACTTGGGTCCAAGAGACTTTTGTGTAGGTCCTGAGACACCACATTAGTGTACCAAATTTCGTAATCCTCAGTCAAAGCATGGCTTGGGGCTGACAGTTTTAATGGTCCTAGGGGGCGCTATTTCAGAAAATAGGCCACGCCCACCGGATGTTCACATCAGATCTTTTGGGGGGCCAGACTAGGATCACTCACAAGAAGTTTCGTGATGATATCTTTAGAAATGACGAAATGGGAGGCAAACGTAAGGCCACGGCGGTACGCCTGAATTCGCCGCGCCGCCACAGCCCCGCCCTCTGCCGAAAACTCACATAATGTGACGCCAAGCAACCCCCACTTGTCTTGAGTTACCAGCTACAAATTTGTGGTGATTTAGTGAAATGGGGCAATTTGGGACCTTTCACAGTAAAACTTAACCTTTTTGGTCCTGAGGGGGCGGGGCTTGTGTGATGTCATCATGCGACCATTCAATTTACTTTTTGAGGTGATGACGAATGACCACAGAAAGTTTGGTAACTCTATTCCATTCAGTTATGAAGTTATAGCAATTTAAAAAATTTTGGCGAGTAGTCAAACTTCGAGGCCTGGCCCCGCCCCTTCAGTATTTACGAAAAGTCAATTTATCGTCTCATTTTGTTCGCCCATCTCTTCTGAGCAATTTTACACAATTTTTGAGATGATCGTGCAAAAAATGATCGAGCAATCCAATCAGAAACGGACCCTAAAAACGGCCAAAACTGCAAAAAATCGCCATTTCAACCCAAAATGGCCGACTTCCTGTTTGATATTGACCATGCTTGCAAGAGACTTTTCTGTGCGGACTATTGAGTACTATAAGTGTACCAAATTTCATAACGGTACGATAAACTAAGCTTTATGGAGAGGGTTTTTTTTCATTTTCTAGGGGGCGCTGTTCAGCCATTTTCTTTGCGATTTTTTTGGGACCTTTAAAATATCAAATTTTTCACCAGGCCTGACAAGTGTGCAAAATATTGTGAGTTTTGGGGTATGTTAAGATCCCCAAAAAGCCATTCAAAGCGGCACCGGAATAATAAATAAAAAAAATAATAATAAACGGAGCAAAAACAAGAGGCCTTCGCAGCGCTTTCGCTGCTCGGGCCTAACTATCAGTCTGGTAAAGGTTATAAAGCCATTTCTAAAGCTTTGGGACTCCAGCGAACCACAGTGAGAGCCATTATCCACAAATGGCACCAACATGGAAGTTGTTCCACATTTTTTCGTGTTCAAAAGTCTCTGAAATGCATTGAAACGATGTAAACACAATAGTAAATACACTATCGTGGAATGGATACGCGACTGTGGTGGTGGCAGGATACTTCAGAATAGCGCTACGCCCTCTTGTCCTGGTGGGGAATTGTTTTTGCAACAGTCCCCAGGAGAAGTCTGCAAGCAAAGAGTTTCTGTGACTGCATGTACGTCTCTCCATCGCAGAGCTAACATAGAAGTATAAATTAGGCTTTAGGGTCAGCGCTTTCTCAAAAAAAAACCTGTAGTGTCCTGTAGGTGTCTTGTGCCCCCTGGTGGAGGATCTGCAGATGGCACATACCAATTAAAATATTTTAATGCCATTATTTTGTTATGTCGACTCGTCACATAACATAATAAAACTGATTATTTTTGTCATATTAGCATTGTCCAATAATAGTTCTGAAATAATTTTTTTAACATTTCAGGCTTTAAATAGCAGGATTTTTAAAGTGGTACTTAACTGAAAAACTGTTTTTTTAATTATAATCAGTCACTCTGAGTTTTTCATGCAGGCTGAACATGAAAATAGTCTCCTGCACCTACTTCATGCATTAGTTTCCTGTAGAAAATAGATGGTGAAACTCTAGGATTAGAAAATCCTGACCGATCTACATCACACTGTCACTTAAAATTCACAAACTCACCCATCTTGACTCACAACAGGGAAGGCGGTTGGACTAGCGTACAGGAAACAGAACGTCTCATCTAGTAGGAGCTAATTGTTAGCATTAGCAACTCCACCACAAAGCATAAGTCCTCCAGGGTTGTGTTATTTGCAGAGATAAAACGTCAACGTTGCAGAGCAAACCAAGTCAGTGGTAGAATTGTGTTGCCGTTAGCCAATCAGAGGCAAGATGTCCAAATATTAGGAAATAAGATTTAAAATCTTGCCGTGTTCAGCTCACCTCTGACCAGGCTCGCTTCTAGTTCCTGATACAAGCGCACAGGTGTTTGTTTCCACAGATTACGACTTACAAGGCGTTCATTCTTCCTAGAAATTACTGCAAAGGTATTCCAAAAATGAGTAAAGTACCACTTTAATGTTGTTTAATCTTGCGTTCTGCAATGTGTGCCATGGTATGCTGAACTAAACAAATATTCTTGTTTTTGTTTTATAAAAACTTATATTTTGTTGTCAAAGGTGGAATTTTACTGCTTTATAGTTCTACCCTGTTTGCATCAAGCGTTTATATTTATATTAAACTGGTCTGATCACTAATAGGATGCAGCTTATTTGAATAATTGCCGTTTTTTGTTAACCTACAAGGTTCAGATGTGAATGTGGGCCACATGATAGTTTGATTTTCACCAACATAGTCCAGAAAAAAATGTTACATTTCATCAGTTGAAGATAAAATTATCATTTAATTTACTTGTAGTAATCCTAATTGGGGGCTGCACAGTGACGCAGTGGTTAGAGCTGTTGCCTTGCAGCGAGAAGGTCCTGGGATCGCTTCCCGGCCTGGGATCTTTCTGCATGGAGTTTGCATGTTCTCCCTGTGCATGCGTGGGTTCTCTCCGGGTACTCCGGCTTCCTCCCACAGTCCAAAAACATGACTGTTAGGTTGATTGGTCTGTCTAAATTGTCCTTAGGTGTGAGTGTGTGTGTGTTGCCCTGTGATGGACTGGCTCTCTGTCCAGGGTGTACCCTGCCTGATTGCCCGTTGACCGCTGGAGATAGGCACCAGCCCCCCCCCCCCCCGTGACCTTGCATGGACAAAGCGGGTTCAGAAAATGGATGGATGGATGGATAATCCTAATTGTCTGCATGCGTCAAAGTATTGCAACTGTAATTTTAACAGAAATAAAACTGTTTTTCCATAGAGAGGCAGTGGAGCACTTCCTCGAAGCTCTGTCCCTCCAGCGGCAGGCTGCAGGTGATGGAGCGAAAGCTGCAAGAGGGCCTGGTGGTGCAGCAGCCACGGTGATGTCTGACAACATCTGGTCCACCCTGCGCATGGCTCTAAGCATGATGGGAGAGAGCTCTTTGTACGCCGCAGCTGATCAGCGAGACTTGGACACACTGCTGGCTCATTTCAGCCAGAGGGAGGTGGAAGGTGGAGCTGAATGAGGGCCGGCCAGGAGAGAGTCGATTGAGTGTGAATGTGCTCTGCACGGACGTAGATGTTTGGGAGACTGAAATGTGTTGACAGAGGAAGACACTGTGATATCAGACATGAGAGGTCATTTCCATCATGTGGTTCTTAGTGTTTAAGTTAATACGGAGCAGATAATGCAGTATTAGTCTCCACCAGGAGACCAGAACTAGCCGTAAACGTGACGGCATTCACATTTCCCTCTTTCCTGGTCCGGAGGACTGGATGGATGTCACTCGGGTACTTGAAGTTTGCTTTGAGAAGGGAGGAAAACAAGAAAAGGCATGTAAATTCTTTCTGTCTACAATAGCCATCGATGTTACGTCAGTTTGTGTTAACACTCAGTACTCTCTCTGGATTTTATTTTAATAAAGATACAGCATTTCTGCTGATTTTCACCCTGAAGTGCTCTGAAGAGAAACGGCTTGTGCAGCTGCAGAGTGTAAACAAATCAAATGTGCTGCAGTTCTGTTTTTATAAACTTTATTTAATTGTTTATCTGCCAGAACAGTGACCTGACGCCCAGCAGGACTGTCTCTGAGTGTTGGGATTACTTGGGACTCATTAATCGGAGGGTAAAAATCTTATATCATTTAGTTGAGGATGATTTTGTGGGCTCCTATTTGTGTCTCTTTTTCGTATTGCTCTTGTAAAATAAAGATTAGCTTTGTTTTAAATTAGTTATACACCAATTTGTGTATTGTTGCATAATTGATGCACTACAGTTGTTTTCAGGAAACCTATACCCTGACTGCAATGTTTAAGATGATTTTCAGCAATAAAGCTTTGATTCCAGACTTGTTATCGACATTGGTGAGTTTATTTTCAAGCTGTATTTATAATGACATGGCTTTCACCGCAAAATGTCAGAAAATCAAAAGCAAAAAGAAACAAAAATGTCACCAAAAATGAACATCCAAATATTAATAAACGAATAAAAGTTGTATTTGTTGAAGACAAAAAAAGCAGATCATTTTAAATGGTAAACTATTTAAGCTTTAAAGTAATTTAATTTTTTCAAATAAATCACTAAAAGTAGGTCATTAATACTACGAAACATCAGTAAATGTGAAAGCTAAAACTCGCCTTTCGTCAAATGAATTTTGTTATTTTGAAAGCAGATTCGGGTATTTTTTTAGTTCTCACTCCACATTTTTACCTCTGAAATAATCGGTTTTATACTTAATATAGTACAGCTGCTATAAAATACGAACTATTTTAATTTTTAAAAATGATTTTTGTTATTTAGATTACGTATGCGAGGGGAATTATCAGTAAACACCGCGTGCACTCATTTTCAACGTTCGAGCGAGTTATCATAACACCACGCCCAGTTTCAGAATGCTGTTCTGTTAACCAATCAGAACTGAGGATGCGTAGCGAAAGCTCGTGTTAATTGGTTGATTTTGAAACAAGCCGCTCCAAACACCACCATTTAAATGTTTTAAAAGTCGGACGTGTTCTTGTTTGTCATAAGAGTAGCAATAAGTGAAAGGCTAAAGCAGAGCGACTGATTGATTGCTTGTGTCTCGTTGAAGCTACATAAAGAAACACGGTAAGTTTGTTTGATTAAAGTCTGGAACTTACTTCTGTCTAAAATCACAAATTCTTTCACTTTATCAAATCACGAAACTGTGAAATTTGAAGCGAACTGCCACGAACTTCACGAGGATTTTAGCTTATTTTTTGTTTTAGCTTAGTAGCTATTCAGAATGCTAACATGCGTTAGCTATATTTATTGAAAAATGGATAGATGGCTTTGGTGGTAGCACCTCTTGGTTAATTATTTAAAAGTTGCACTTTCATCGCAACTTTTCAACATTCCATCCTGGACAGATGCATTCACAGTCTTGGATTTCCTGCCAGGGGTTAAACTGTTGTTTTGCCATCCATTTATTCCCATTTTCATGACAGCTTTGTAACAGGTGTCAATGTATTTTTCTGTTCTCTTCAGCTGTGTTCCAGGTCGACATTTTTCATAAAGATCATGGGATCAAGTGAGAGCAAATTGGCTGTGTCTGCAGCAGCTAAACCAGAACTGGTTCTCAAAAGAACTCATGTCAGCCATCTGATAGACCCACGCTCTCCCTCAGCTGGGATTGATCGAACACCCATTCAGGTTTGACTTTTGAGTGTGTTTTACACAATATTTGTAAAAATTTTGGAAGAAATTTCACTGTTTTTGTTAGGTTGGCGATCTGGAGTCCAAAACTTTGCCTGCTGTGAAAAGCGAGTGTCTTCTTGCCATCAGCGATCCACGTTCACCCTCACTTGGCATTTCCCGCACCCCTATGAGAGAAGTCATGAGAGGTAAATGTGTAGGGAAGAAGTTTGGGCATTTTTGTAACACGTTTTAAATCCGTTTTTTGTTTCATCAGCAACAGTCGGATCCTTTGCGCGTCGTCTGGGAATGTTGTTCCACAGTGAGGCTGAAAGCAAAAACCCTCCAAAACGCTTCAGTGATCGTGTGGAAGAGGTCCTTGGGGATGAAGAGCTGACGTCTGCCGAGCCCCTCCTTAATGCTCGGTTTACCTCGTTAGCTGAGCATGCTGACCTCTTGGCCACCCCTGTTCGATCTCCTCTGCAGGCCATGGGTGACTTTAGCCCCTTTGTGCTTGTTGAGCCTCAGGTGGAAGTTGAAATAGAAACCGAAGCAGATATTAGCCTGGAAGAAGCCGAAGAAGCAAGAGAGACTCCTCTGCACAAGAGATTAAGCATGAGCCTGATAACCTGCCACAACGGAGCTCCCTCATCTGAAATCTTTGAGGTTCACCATGACCGTGCCCATTTCCCAGGATCTTCAGTAAAGGTGGATCACACTTATGCCCTTCCTTCTGTCACAGTGGAACCAGAGGCCTGTGGGCCTCCTCTCTCCACTAATGTGGAGAATTCTCCAGTTCAGGAATCTTCTGCACATCTGAAGGAAGCAGGAAAACTTAAGATCTCTGAGGAAACTAAAGCACCGAATGAAGAGTCTTCCTCAGAGCAGGAAGACGTGTGCACAGGCATCCGCTGCCCCTCTTTTGACACGAAGAGTCCGAGTCAACTGGAGTTCAAACCACAGTGGCTGGGAAAAGGCTTTGGTGCCACAGGGCTGAGAGCCAGAGGAGTGCAGGGGAACATCGGAAAGGGAGGCTCTTCTCCTCTCGCTGTCCGTGTGGCGGTTAAAAATGCAAACAACGAAAATAGAGGACAGACTGGAAAACTGAAGCAGAAAGGTGGGCAAAACTCTGTGATATGATCAAATGTAGATGTCTAAAGTTTTCTCACTGTTTTTGTTTTTTCTTTTCCCTGGCTAGACGCAGAGTGCCGATCACCTCTGCAGGTCCTTAAGGAGACCAACTCTCCCCGCAATCGGCGTTCTCCGGTAGTTGGTGTTGAAATGTCATTTAAAATCTGACTTTTTCAGAATTGGTGATTTTAGATTTTTGTCTTCACGTTCCAGATGAAGCTGAAAGGGTCTAATCAGGACAAACCGAGGCTTGGACAGATGGACCGCCGAGTTCTGGCAGTGGCTCTGGATAAGGAGAACAGATGAAGGCCAACGGTTACCTGTGCAGAAGTTCCCTCGCTTTACATTTTCTAATGAGATTTTATGTGCGTAGTTGTTGTAAATGTATGTTTTTATGCGTGTGTGTGCGACTTTGCAACCATGTGGTGCAGTTTCCTGCTGTTTGTCATGTTGTAAATATACAATCTGACCTTTTTAACCTAATAGTCACTTTGCTGTCTACATCCTTGTGCTTAATGTCTGTACTTTTTGTTCAATCCAAATGTATAAATTGTAATAATAGAATTAAAGTTTGACTCTAAATCTTCAACTTGACCTTCTCCCCAGTCTGTACACCTCTCTGAATGTTTACATTCCTACGTAAAACGGGTATTTAAGGTAAAAAAAGAAATGATGCGTGCAAAGCAGAAATCCATGTTTATTTGATTTTATTTAGTACACTGAGGTTTCAGAAAACATGCAGCTCAAATTAAAATTTTCTATGTACACAAAATTCAAGTTCAGCTGTTTTGCAGAAGAAAAAGGAAGAATCCTTTTAAACGTGCCACTCATGCACACGGTAATCTATGTAGAAGACCTGTCCTGGGACAGGTTTTAGTAAGTGCTCAGTGGTCCTGTTCATCATCCCATCTGTCTGTCCGCTGCAGCTCTAACTACTGAGGGTTTAGGCCCAATTGTGATCCTAAATCCTGCTTTAAAAAAGTCCATCAGTCACAAAACAAACACTAATGCAGATGCATGCAAACTAAAACTTTCAAATGTCTAAAAGGGTGAAAAGATCTAAGGAAGCTACAAGAACAAGCAAATAAGTCATACTCTGAAATATTAATGTGAGTTCTCACATGATGCATCTTGTGATTTTATCTAGAACAAAACAGTTGTGTCTAAACCGACTGTCTTATCGTTTTACCATTTCTATTTGGCAACTGTTGGGTGATTTTTGAATTGCTGCAATGAAACTGCATCTTTCATCTGTGCAAACCACAGAATTACTAATGATACATAGATTTTTTCTGAGATTCCCACTCCTTTGTTCTACCCCGAATTGCCCCATGACGTGAGAAGAAAGGTGAGCGTGCAAGATAACAGGGAGAAGAGAAAATCTTACACTCCTTCTCCAGCCTTAGACTGGACTTGGCACAGCAAAGATACCATCTTCTCATCGTAACGTTTTAAAAAGAAATCTTCACTTTTTTCTGAGCGGTTGCTAGCTGTTCTTTTATGTTTCTGCTCGCAACGGAGGAACGGCTTCAGTTCCATATCTTGAGGAAGCTGTCCCAGGATCCTGTGCAACACGCCATGCCGTCTGCAGACACACCGATGCAGCTCACTCTGTTATCGTGACCGGCCAGAACTCCTGAAAAACATGCAAAAAACAAACAACAAAAAACCACGATGAACCAGTGGTCGAGCTGGAAAATGTATGGGGTGGCAGAAGAAGAGCAACAATAGGTGGTGTAACGGAATGAAATGACTGTTTCCCCCTCCTCTGCACAGGACTAGTCTGCATGAGATAGATAGAGATAGTCCCAAGGTCTCATGCATTCGCTCTAACCTGCTTATTTTCAGCTAAACAGAAGAATGAAGAATGAACTCTTTTCTTTTAATTAATCAAAGAACTCTATTTTAATAAAGCTAATCCAACCAAGTGTTAGTCAACAAATAAGATGTGACCGATCTGTGAACTTAAAATATTAATTACTTTATTATGATCCTATAGAATATAAAGGTACTGTGACATTAAATGTTCCAACAGGACTCATTTCACGTAGAGTTAAGACATGACACATTACTTTCACTGATCCGGTCAGAATCTGCCAGATCTGACGGAGGCGTGGTTTTGATGGTGTTTGGTAACTCTGTCAACTTTTCATTCGACCATAAACCAAAACATCCAAAGTATAAAACTGTGCCCACGTGATCTCTAACGCCAGTTCAAAGCGTTCTAGAGAAGTTGTCGGAGTGGCCAATCCGTAACTTTCCTCTTCAACTGAAAGAACAACGACAAGCTGTAAAATTTGTTTTTGTTCCAACTGCTGCAACGGTTCCATTCAGAATAAAAGCTGAACCATCAAGACAGGCTCGGGTCTCACCAGACGCCAAAAAATTGTCGCGACCCGGAAGTATCTCACAGACTGGACTGATCGGAACCGCTGCTTTTCCTACCGGCTCGATTCCAGAGAAGGTCAAGCTGGACCTTGACATTCCTGATCTAAAGGGGACTTCTTGAAGGGTAGGTAGACCGGCAAATGGCGTCAAATTATGAATCTCCTAACAAAAGCTTAACGCGAAGACATCACCTTCAGTTCCCATCAGAACGAATCGCAGCTTCGGATTTGCTGGTTCTGATCAACATCACACGTCATCCCATTCACCGTCTCATCCACTTTAGTTACACCATACATTTAGTGCTTAAAGTCAGTCTATTTTAATTTGTTAGTAATAAACTTCTTAACTTTTAAACTTGACTCTCTCTCTTCTGTTGTCTCTGAGTGAATACGAAGCGGTTATCTAATCCCTGCATTAAAAAGATCCAATCTTCTGGTTTATATAACCTCACAGATCCGTAAGGTGGATTTCATATTTCCTATGGAATCCTACGCCTTATGGCTTATTAAATAACATGTAATTTAAATCATTACAGAGGCCAAAATGACACACATGCTTTCCCTGTTTGTTCAGTATTTACAAAGCTGTACATTTGTTTTGGGTCATCATTTTATCAGCTTAAAGCCCGTTTCACACCGAATGCGGTCAGTTTCCTTACACACTGGTGTTCATACCAACTGCGGTTTGTGTGTTGGACTTCTCCAGAAATCTGCTCCCACAAGAGCACCAAATGAAATTTGATACAAAAATATACGAGTAAAAATAATGCAAACTATCATACGCTGTAAACTGATAGCCCCGTCATTAACTCATTCGCTGCCAGCCGTTTCCTGATCGGTAAAGAAAGCCCTTCGCTGCCAGCGTTTCTAACCGTTTTTACTGTTTTTTTAAGTGTCATAGAAAGTTGCGCGCTAGGATTATGTCAACACCAAAACTACCAAAACAAAGCGTAGACTCACCTCTTACATCAGGAAGAATCCGCGCGTTTCGAGCGCTATCCGTTCTTTCATAATCCGTTGTTGAATTGTGATCGGCAGAAGCTTTTCCGGTTCGAGTCTCACTTTTTTTTTACAGCAGCGGCCCAAAACGATCTCCTAACACATGGATTTTCTGCTTCCTGATCATGTGACGTGTGACGTACGTGGATGAAGATCGGCTTTAAAGCTGAGATGTTTGTTCTCACGGTGCCGGGGTCTCGTTCCGACGCCCACACAGTAAAAACATGCAAATGCTTTAGTCGTCGTTTGCACTGAATGAGTTAATAATAAAACAAAAGCCGGCAAAAATAATGTGAGGCAGGTTTTATTTTGAAATATACTGGATGCCATTGGCTGAACCTTCCTGTCTGGCTAATGTAATTAATACAACTTCATGACAATCCGCATTCAGAAAAAATAGACTCCAACTTTCTGGAGCTCTGCATCTGGATCCGCACTGCGTTTGGTGTAAATGATCTGATTGGACTCAGTGAGTTTAGACTTATGCAAAAACCGCATGGAAACCGAACCCGTTTCCGTTCTGTATTCATTGTGAAAGAAGCTTAATGTAACTGGATATGCAATGTTCACGTTCATATTGTCCAATTTGTTACAACTACTTCTTGAATTTATTGCTGCCAGCTGGGGTGGCAGTAGGAATAGCAAGGGCTTTCATTTAGGGCAGCAGTTGCCACCATATGCCACCCCAGTTGATCCGCCCCTGCAAACTGAGCTTCTCTGGTTTCCTTGTACTTACCCACTCTCTCAGCTTTAAGTGTGTCCCAGATGTTTACATTGAAGTCATCGTAGCCGGCCAGTATCAGCCGCCCAGAGAGGGAAGGGGCCAGGGAGGTCACCCCGCACATGATGCTGGAGTCCTGGTAGGTGATAAGCTCCTGGTCGGCTCGCAGGTCAAAGAGTTTACAGGTTGCATCATCAGATCCGGTTATCACTGCGTTACCGTTAGGGAAAAACTAAAATACAAAAGATGAATGGTTGGACACCAGAGTTTATTTAAAACACGCTCTGTCAGAGTCCTGCTTCCTCATCCTCACCCCAATGGCGTTGACGTCACTCTCGTGGCCGGAGAAGGTCTGTCTGCACGTGCCCTCCCTGATGTCCCACAGCTTAGCTGTGTAGTCACACGCCCCTGAGATGAAAAACTTAAAGTCTGGGGAAACGCCCAGGGACATGCAGTCTCCTTGGTGTCCAGCATAAGCAGTCTTTTGGGTCCCCGTCTCAATGTCCCACAGTATGCTGGAGGGAGAGGCAGTTACAGATAAATATTCGTGTTTCATTCACAGAGCAGCCGTGTTCTTACCAAGTGCAGTCGCCTGAGCTGGTGATGATCTCAGTGTCGCTGATGAAACGACAGCAGGACAGGTAACCTAGTTAACCAAACACAAAGAAAATGAGCTGCTTTAAAAAAATACAAATAAAACGAATGCAGTCACCTGTGGTGTTGTACCTGTGTGTGCCGCCAGCTCACGCATCACCTTGACGTTCCCGTCTTTGCCCTTGAGGTTGTAGATGGAACACATGTTGTCCAGCCCGCCGCACGCCACAAGGTTTCCTGAAGGTGCGTAAGCACACGTCATCACCCAAGATGACTTCAGGGGGATGGCGTTCACCTGGGAACACACAGAGAACAGGTGTGCTCGTCTTTAAAACCTCTGAAGCTAAATTTGCAAGGCAAATAAAATAGTTTTTCTCTCAGTTTTGTGAGTTTATCAGTGGGAAGTCTTACATGGACACAATTTCAATTAAATTATTTTATCATAAACAGATAATATTTAAGTGAATTTTAGATTTAAAACATTTTGCTTGACCTGCCTCCCCCTTCTCTGTTTATCTATACCTAAAGGTTGAACCTTTAGATATAGGTATCACCAACTTGTGATGCAGGTTTAAAAAATTTAAAGAGATTTTTTTCCTTGTTTTGCTAGTTTAAAACTATTAAAGGTGTGGGAAACTAATTGAATCGACACATTTGCAGTGGTCTCTGGTGGGAACGAATGCCTTGCATGATGTTCTGGGGGCAAAAAAAGCCCAGAAGAGTGCCACAACACGTTGAACCTTGAGACAGACAGGCTACAACAGCAGAAGACCACACTGGGTGTCTCTCCTGTCAGCTAAGAACAGGAAACTTTCACACAGGTTCACCAAAATTGGACGATAGAAGATTGGAAAAATGTTGCTGGTTAGATGATTCTCGATTTCTGCTGCAACATTCGGATGGTAGAATCAGAATTTGGCGTCAACAACGTGAAAGCATGGATCCATCCTGCCCTGTATCAATGGTTCAGGCTGCTGGTGGTGGGTGACATTTTCTTGGCACAGTTTGAGCCCCTTAGTACTAATTGATCATCGCTGCAATGCCACAGCCTACCTGAGTATTGTTGCTGACCATGTCCATCCCTTTATGACCACAGTGTGCCCATCTTCTGATGGCTACTTCCAGAAGGATAATGCACCATGCCATAAACCTCAAATCATCTCAAATGGGGTTTTTGAACATGACATTGAGTTTACTGTACTCAAATGGTCTCCACATTCACTAGATCTCAATCTAATAGAGCACCTTTGGGATGTGGTGGAACGCGAGATTTGCATCTAAATGTGCAGCTGACAAATCTGCAACAACGGCGTGATGCTATCATGTCAATATGGACCAAAATCTCTGAGGAATGTTTCCAGTTCCTTGTTGAATCTATGTCACGGAGGATTAAGATAGTTCTGAAAGCAAAATGGGGTCTGACCCGGTCCTAGCAACGTGTCCCAAATGAAGTGTGTGTGTGTCTGTGTGTCTGTCTGTCTGTCTGTCTATCTATCTATCTATCTATCTATCTATCTATCTATCTATCTATCTATCTATCTATCTATCTATCTATCTATCTATCTATCTATCTATCTATCTATCTATCTATCTATCTATCTATCTATCTATCTATCTATCTATCTATCTATCTATCTATCTATCTATCTATCTATCTATCTATCTATCTATCTATCTATCTATCTATCTATCTATCTATCTATCTATCTATCTATCTATCTATCTATCTATCTATCTATCTATCTATCTATCTATATATATATCACTTTTTCGTACCTTGTTTGTTGTCACGCTGTCCCATACTATGAGCTTTCCATCCTGTGAGGCACTGACACACAACCTGATGAAGGAATGAAGAGAGGAAGAGAAAGACCTCAAAAATAAATCAGATATAAGCCCAAGCTGCGTTGAAACAATCGGGTTTTCCAAATTTTACCTCTACAAGTTTATTTTGCACACGTTAACTTGGAATAATCTAAACTCACTCATCAGATCTAGACTGACATGAAAAACGCGTGGTGTCCTTTCTGTTTGTGCATGAGGATTTAAGTGTTTACTTTGAGTCTGTGGCCCAGTGCATGGCGTAGATCTTAGCGAGATGACCCCGAAGGGTTTTTCTGGTCTTCATCTGGACTCGCCCCACCACAGAGACGCTAGCTGCAGCCTCCTGCAGAGTGGTGTCCTGCACAGCCTTGCGAGCTGCCTTGAGAGCACAAAAAACACAAAACAAACAGGTGAGATCCTTTTTAAGAAGAAGTCACAAAACAGAGGTGACTGGTGTGCATTTTTATTATTTTAGATGGTTTAAAATGTGCATCATGTAAGAATGAAGAAATAATGACATCCTGTGGTCAAATGTGGTTACTGCAGCCCATTTTCCAAACACATGAGTGACTTTTTCTGTTCTACTCCACGAGTTTCATGGCTGTTGCTAGCTACGCCTCTCAGCACCAGAAGATTCCAGATGACGAACAAAGTAGAGTCATACACTGTATGTTGATATCGTAAGCAGATAAATAAATGTCACTGTAATATGAAGTTGTTGGTATTTGAAAAAGTAGCTTCTAGTCGCTTCTAATTCAACGGTAGCATTAGCTCAACGTTAGCCTCTAGCCTTCTTCCTCCCAGATTGTAGTAAAGCAAAAAAAGATGTTGTGGCTTCTTAGGGGTACAGGAAATAACTTCTGGGTCGCTCCTGTTACTGGCTTAGCTGCTGCATTTTGCTGGCTGGTGTTGATTTACAGTGTTAGCTGGCACAAGCTCGGCAACCCCACAGACTTACAGATTGTAAACAAAGACTATGTCCATCTTTAGCTTTTTCGAAAGGAGAAAAACCCCAAACTGGCTGAGAATGAAATCGGTTTCAATGTAACCTTCCTCCCAACATGATTCAGAAAGACTGTTTTGTGTTTATTTTACTAGAAGTAAATAGTAAATGGTAAATGGCCTGTATTTGATATAGCGCCTTCTAGGGTCCTGGAACCCTCCAAGGCGCTTTACAACACAATCAGTCATTCACCCATTCACACCCATTCACACACTGGTGGTGATGAGCTACGATGTAGCCACAGCTGCCCTGGGGCGCACTGACAGAGGCAAGGCTGCCGAGCGCTGGCGCCACCGGTCCCCCCGACCACCACCAGCAGGCAACCTGGGTTAAGTGTCTTGCCCAAGGACACAGCGACAGACTGAGCGGGGCTCAAACCTGCAACCTTCCGATTACGGGGCGAGCACTTAACTCCTGTGCCACCTGTGAAGTGTCTTACATGTTGCACCTTTAAAAAATCATTACTCACTCACAGAATAAAGTCACAAATAGAAATACATCTACTCACGTTGATCTGATCTTTGAGGCTCTCTGCCTCCTTTCTCAGTTGCTCCATTTCACCCATGGTGATGGTTGTTAGAAGACGTCACCAGTGGACCAGGGGATGTGTTGGCAAAACGTGTAATCCTGAAAATGAAGAAGAAAGGTTAGGACGAAAACTCATAAAAATAAAAATTCTGACTAACACCTTCATCTTTTAGTTTTTCTTCTCCAGTTTCATGTTTAAAAACAACCCTGGCCTACCCGCACTTATTATCTTTCCTAGCTTCAGAAGTCAAGTAGGTGCTGCTTTGCAAGTCAAACGAGCCCTCATCTACTTTGCAAACTTTAGAAAATGCGCAGGAACTTGCAGGAAAACCAACATGACACACCTTCAGCTTCACACGCACGCACACACACACACACACTGTACGAAGAGTCAAACATGACATTAAGAAAGCTTGTTCTCCGGATGGTGTGTCCTCTCAAGTACACATCCTCACCCTGAATGTACACACAAGCCCGTACCAGCAGAGTATCAGTATTTATCTATCAGCCCACATCACCTTGTGCCATTGAAACTCCGCTGAGCGCTCATTACTGTTGATGGCTATTAAATTTGGTAAAATCATGATTAAAATGGACAAGTAAACCAATCACCTAATGGTCAGACTCATACAGCGTGGCAAATGTAATCAACACACAGTCAGAGACACACGTCAGAGTTCAAAAAGGACAAAAATACTCCCTTTCACCTAACGGTGATAAGAAAATACAACAAATCCACACTATTTCTCCAATCTTACCCTCAGATCTGATGAGAAGTTACGTTTGGTTTTATGGTGCGTCCCTGCAACAATCTCTCACCAGCTCTTTTGCTATTTGAATGAGTCTGTGCCATAACACCGGACCAAGTAGATTTGCTTCTAATTTGTTTAAAGAAAAAAAGGAGTGGACAAGAGCGGAGAGGGAGCTCCGAGAGAAAGATCTGATTTATGTGGTTGCTGTTGGAAATGTCAGAGATCGATACGTGGTCTGAAAAGAAAAAGACAAAATATTTATACTAAATGTGTTCCTCAACGGTTTTGTTCCAGGGATGCAAGTGTGTGTTTTTGCTAACACCTGCCTGGGGTTTCTGGATGGAAGAGAGTGTTAGGAGAGGAAGAGGAGGCCGAGGGAGGCGAGGCAGAGTTAAAGAGGTGGAGGATATGAGGCGAGACAGGAGAGCGAGTTTTTAAATCCAACTGGCTGAGATTTTAAGGGAAGCCTTTTGAATCAAATCTGCTCTCATCCGATTATTGACTGCTCTTTACATCTGGATAAGAGATGGAGAAAGGGATGGGGGAGCAGAGAGTGGGATGAGACGGAGGGGCAGATGGAGGAGGTGGAGTGGGACCGGCAGAGGGATGTGGGAAATAGTCCAACATCTAACTTTACTTTTTCCCAAATATTAAATTTATAATTATCACTAAGCTTCTCTGAGTATTTGATGCATAAAAAAGTATAAAAACGAACAAAAAAGTGAAATTTCTGTTTCCGTTATAGTTTGAGTTCTGCTTTTACGTCAGATTAATGCATCAGAAACAACCTGATGCTGTTTTTCTTCTTCCGGCTCTTGGAGAGTACAGATGCTTTTTTCCTCCTCTCCCTCCCTCCTCATCCCAAGGCTGTCCTGTCTTTGTGTGCACGGCACTTTCTGTGAACTGGAAATTATTAGAAATGGATCTGGTCAGTTGGTCTCTCAACGCGATTGACAAAACGTTTTCAACGATGAGAACGGGAGAAGGGGCTCCCGGATGCCCCTCTGGGACAGAGCCAGCTGGGCATGTCATGGACTCCTGGAAACCGTGGAACCTGATCTGCCTCTCTCAACTGTCTGTAGAGGATTCTGAAGATGTTTGGATATTCGTGTTTTGGTGTCAGGATTCCTGCTCTTTGGCCTCTGCGGTTACCTGGCTTACCGGAAAATTAACGAGGTTTTGAGGAATATTGGCTCAATCCCGGAGCTCAGGGATGGTAAAATGGTAAATGACCTGTATTTGATATAGCGCCTTCTAGAGGCCTGGAACCCCCCAAGGCGCTTTACAACACAATCAGCCATTCACCCATTCACACACTGGTGGGGATGAACTACAATGTAGCCACAGCTGCCCTGGGGCGCACTGACAGAGGCAAGGCTGCCGAGCACTGGCGCCACCGGTCCCTCCGACCACCACCAGCAGGCAACGTGGGTTAAGTGTCTTGCCCAAGGACACAACAACAGCTTGATTGAGCGGGGCTCGAACCTGCAACCTTCCGATTACGGGCGAGCACTTAACTCCTGTGCCACCGTCGCCCCGATGGAATGCATCGCGCTGTGAACGCACAAACTCATATAATTGTCGAGATGAGTCGTGAGCTTGGAACTTTGGCTGAGATTCAGACTCTGGCACAAAAGGTGGATTCCGTCAAGGAGCGAGTGGACGGATCAGCACGGATTGGGATAGATTAATTATGCCACTATTGGATCTAGAGGGGTCGTAGACCAACAGAACACTAAGGCAGAGAGGAAATGATCTCTGTCTGTCCCCAAAACATATCTTATCTGAATCTGGTGCCCTTGGAGCCTGTGAGGCTGAAGTGAAAACTCCCCCCTCAGAAGAAATGTGGAATGCTGCCGTCGCTATGGAAACTCTTTCTCCCTATCCCGCCTGGGTGGGACTGTGACCGGTGAAGGCCGTGAAACTGTATCTAGGAGTCAATGTGCCCTCTAACCCATTATCTCCCTCCCCTGTCCAAACAGAGGTGAAACGCGCTGCCCCATGTGGCTGCACGCACTGAAGTGAGGAGAGTCCCCCCCCCCCCCCCCCCCCCCCCCCCCCGGTGGACACTCATGTTGTGTAATGTCTGAAGTCTGTGTGCATTTCTGTCTGAGGTGTGTTTTTGCATAGCAAAGCTGCCCTCCCTGTGGAGGGTAACTCTGAAGTAACAATTCCTGTCATGTGTCTATGTATGTATGTCTGATCTCAGAATTGTGTGTACTGAAACTATAATTTCCCTCTGGGATTAATAAAGTATATTTGAATTTGAATTTTATTATGGTGGGTGTCTGGTAGTACTGAAGAGCATCACAATAAAGGGAATTTGCTTTTAACTCAGATTATGAGTCCATAAGATAATACCAGCATGCTGCTCTCATGTAAATCCCCTTGTAGCAAAATCCATAAATGTACGGAAAGAGTCCGTATCTGCATTAACTTTGTGTCGACATGTTTTCAGCATCATCATAAAAATTCAACGTGACATCAAAAGCATCAAGATTAGAGTTTATAATCTGTGAAGAATCAACTTTTCCACTCAAGAAGAAGCTCAAAGTAAAAGTAATTCATGCATCCTTCAAGGTTTTGGCCGAGTTGAATAATTTAGTGTTAAAAACAGATTTTTGGCCTCGACCTTGTGTGTTTTTTCTGGTCTTTAGGTAAAAAGAAACTTACAGAAAAGAGCAACACAAGAGCATCCACTCACCGATCCAAACTTTCCTCCGAGGGTGGATCAGTGATGGTTTTTCCTCCAGCGATCCTCCTCAGGTCGTTTTCATAAGTTTAACCAGTGTTTAGCACACTTCCCCCCTCCGCTCATTCACTTTCGGTGTCAAACACACCCGACTGAATATTTCTCCGCCGCTAACTCTGCCCGCTGCTCCTATGAAGAACAGATGAGGATTGGAGGGATGAAGGGAGATCAGCGATGAGGAGATAAAACCTGGGATGGACAGAGGAGAGGGCTGGTGGGGTGGGGGGGGGCAGTGGAGGTAAAAGAGGCAGAAATGAAGGCAGAAGAGACGACGGGGGTAACCAAACATGGCTGTGGGGGTCACAAGGCCCGAGCCGGGGTGAATTAGAGTCGGAATCATAACAGGACCTGGGAACATGGCTATTTATGGTGCTGGGGTGGTTTTCCAGAGGATCTGAGAGGCAGGAGCTTCTGTTTTGTAAACCTGAGATGAAGTTAATATTAGAAAGTTGATGAGCAGGGCTCAGGCTGAGAATGGAAATGTGAGCATCTACTGTAGCGCTCAGAGAAAGTGATCTGTGGTTTATAATTACTGATCAAGCAGAACAACCCAGCAGGCACAAATAAACCATCCAATGCATGTTCTATCCTCTCAGAAAGCCGAAAACAACATTTTCTTTCCTTTCCTGCTCATTTCTGGTGTGAAAACCAGCCGAGGGCCGCAGCAGGAGTCCTCTGTCTGGATTTTTAAAACATTTTCCAGTTCTTATTAAACATCGGAGCAAGACAAACCATCAAAATGTGATGTCTGCTGGTAACTGTGTCCCTGATCTGTTGGCCAGAGTGCACTCCACAGCTGCTGCACATTATCTAACCAAGCAAATCACCTATATTAGTTATGAAACAGCTCGGCTCACATCAGGAAATACCACTTTCAGGAAAAAGGCAGTGAGAGCAGGAACAGCATTTCATCCAGACGGTGTAGGAATAAACTCCTGAATCAATCATGTTTGATCTGATCGTCATCATCGGCTACTTAAAGGGGATATGTTATGACTTTTTGTATTAAGTTATGATAGCTCTATGGTCGATACAAAACATATTCATGAAGTTCTTTGCACAAATCCCTCTCACGTGAAGCAATTTCAGGAGTTTTAATTTGACATTTTCAGTACCTTCCAAAATGAGTCGTTTCAGGGCTCTGTCACTTTAAGAAAATGAGCTGGCCACGCTCATCCAGCCCCATTCGGGCTGCTATTAGCTGAGAAGCTCTGATATCTGGGAGGTGCTTGGAGTTGAGCCACTGCTCTCCAACAACAGCAACAGCAGGTAAGAAGTGATTCTGTTCTAATTTCCCCATTTGTGACATCACAAATGATGACTTTTGAAATTTAATGAATGTGGAAATAATTTCACTTTTTTAAAATGTGCATTTCAACCAAAATATTTACATTTATAGGTAGTTTTGAGAGGTTTGTTGCTTTAATGAGAGAAAATTATTCTACTTTTGAACCATGAAGTGCTTTTAAATAATGTATATTTCAATATTATAATAATAATTTATGGGCAAACCTTAATTGGAAGCTTTTTCTGGAGCTTGCACGTATTTTTGGAACATTTCAGTGTTTTTCTTTTTCTGATAATCTAAAAACACACATTTTAGCTTTATTGGTGATTTTAAACAAAGCGAAAGTCCGCATATCCATATCTGGAGCAGGAAGAAAAAAAAGAGCTCTTATGTGTGTTAATGTGTGTGCTGCCTACTTTCTGGGGTTTATAGAATGATGCAGTGAGCATAAAATAAGCTGTGGGGTTTAAAAGTGTTGACCTCTGCTCAGCGGAGCGCCGTGACGACAGCAGCGCTGACCCCGGATTTGGAGGAATGGCGTTTGGGGGAGGCGGGCTGTGAGATGGAGAGCAGAAGAGAGGACCAAAAACAGGAAAAAAGGATTTGTTAGCAGACGCACACACACACACACACACACCCTCGCCAGGATAAAAACACACTGTGAAGTCAATAATAAGTTATGATCTATGCACCAAACACACATTGTTCTGCAGAAACGTTTTACTTTTGGCTTTTTAAAAGTGAAAATGACCTTTAACTTTCATCTGTTAGTATTAAAGCATAGCAGATGTTTGAGCGACAGAGCCTAAATTCAGTTCAATTCAATTCAATTCAAAAATACTTTATTAATCCCTGAGGGAAATTGATTGCTGTAGTAGCTCAGAATAATAATAATAATCAAGTCATCAAAGAGTTGTTGTATGTTACAATGGCTGTTGGCAGGAAGGATCTCCAGTAGCGGTCAGTGTTGCAGCCAAACTGAAGAAGCCTCTGACTGAAGACACTCTTCCGTTGTCGGACAGTCTTGTGAAGAGAATGCTCAGGGTTGTCCATCATTTTCTTGATTCTCTGGAGAATCCTTCTTTGCATTATCTCCTCCATTGGTTCCACAGTCGTCCCCAGAACAGAACCAGCCTTTTTTATTAGGCTGTTGAGCCTTTTCAGGTCCCTGCTTCTGATGCTGCTACCCCAACAGACGATGGCTGAAGAGATTACACTCTCAACAACAGACTTGTAGAAGATCTGCAGCATCTTGCTACACACATTGAAGGACCTAAGTGTCCTCAAGAAGTGCAGTCTGCTGTGTCCCTTCTTGTAAACGGCTTTGCTGTTCTTTCTCCAGTCCAGTCTGTTGTCCAGGTGAACTCCAAGGTATTTGTATTCCTCAACCATCTCCACTTCTTCTCCCATGATGGAAACAGTGTTTGACTCCACCCTGTTTCTTCTGAAGTCTAAAATCATCTCCTTTGTCTTGTTCACGTTCAAGGTCAGATGATTGTTTCCACACCATGCCAAAAAGCGCTCCACCAGCTCTCTGTACTCAGCTTCCTGTCCATCTCTGATACACCCGACAACTGCAGAGTCATCTGAGTATTTCTGTAGATGACAGGTCTCTGATTTGTACTGCAAGTCTGAGGTGTACAGGGTGAAAAGGAATGGTGAGAGTACAGTCCCCTGTGGTGCTCCAATGTTACTGATCGCCTGGTTTGATGTGCAGTTCTTCAGCCTCACAAACTGTGGTCTGTTTGTCAGGTAGTCTTTAATCCAGGCGATAGTTGAGGCCCTCACCAGTGTCTTCTGGAGTTTCAGGCAAAGTACATCAGGCTGGATTGTGTTAAATGCACTGGAGAAATCAAAGAACATGACCCTGACAGTGCTGCCCTTCTTAGTCCAGATGACAGTGGATTGGTTGAAGCAGCTGGATGATGGCATCTTCATCTTCTAAAGATGAATTTATTTGGTTTGCTGCCTGTTTTAAACCGACATAAATAGAAAGGATGTTTGCAGAGACTGTAGATATATTGAGTTTAGGTTTGTTGACTCACATATTCTAGTTGGCTGCATGTAAATTAAACATTTAAACACAACTTTAAAAAATAATCCATGAAAACTTTTAAATTGTTTTAGTTTAGAAAACAGTATTTATGTCGCTTCACTGTAAAAATTTCATAGCTCTCTGGTCAAATTAATTATTGAAAACTAGCTCAATGTTTTGCTGTTCTTAACTGATTTTAAATAACAGGGTATCTGCAGGTTTAAGGGAGCCAGATTTAAGACTTTTTAAGACCTTTTTTAAGGCCACTTTGACAAAATTTAAGCTATTTTTTAAAAGTAAATTTAAGCTATAATTTCCAGCTATTGCCTGGAACCAGTGCTAACCACGTCTCGAACATGGGATTAACCATCCAGCCACCATTAAACTTGCCCTTCTCCATGGCGCAAGCTCCCGCTAGCTTAACCAGCTAATGTGCTCATCTAAAAATAGCCCCCTTTCACAACCAACTAAATGTGTATGTGTACGGTTCCGCTTACACCAACATCGTACACCAGAAATGCTGCACTAACTAGAAATTCATGAAAATTTTATAGTAATAAAAGAATCTTGTTTATTGGGTCTTTGGTAATTTAAGACCTTTGGAAACTGTATTTAAGGATTATTTGTCATTTTTAAGGATTTTTAAGGCCTTAAATATGGAAAATCAAATTTAAGACTTTTTAAGGACCCTCGGATACCCTGAATAAACTAAAATAAAACTATATATAAAGCAAAGATTTTTTTCCACGTTTACTAATTTAAATAAATCATTCATGTTTGATTCAACAAGATCAACACTGGAAACACAATGATTGTTAATTTTCAAACATCTGACTCAGTTAGGGTGAATTCAGACTGTCATTAAAAAACAAATAAAATTAGTTAGGAGAATAAATAATTTATTCTTAAATATAGATTGCTGGAGCAGAGTGGCAGAACACGGCAGGATCTGAAGTCTAATTTCCTGATATTTTGACATCTCAGCTCTGATTGGATAAGAGCAACACAACTCTACCACTGACTCTTTGCTTTGTACGTGGTTATGTTATCTCCACAAATAACACAAGCCTGAAGGGGTTCCGCTGTGTGGTGGAGTTGATAATGCTAACGGTTAGCTTCTACTAGCCGAGACGTTCCCTGCTGTTTGCTGGACGCTAAACCAACAACAGCCTTCCCCGTCATGAACCAAGACGGCTGAGTTTATGAATGTTAAGTGACAGTGTGACGTAGATCTGTCAGGCTTTTCTAATCCTAGTTTCACCATATCAGAAGCTAATGCAGGAGATAGATGTAGGAGACTATTTTCATGTTGAGCCTGCATGAAAAACTTAAAAAATAATGAGTAAATAATGTTTTTTCAGTTATCCACACCTTTAAAACGTTATATTGACCCAATTTAATTATTCAACTATCTGATATAAATCTGTCAGATTGATAATTTGAAATTTTTTCATTCACATTCTGTTTTTTTGAGTGCAGGTGAAGTTGAACCTGCCACACAGTTAAAACACAATAACGCAGAAATGTTTATAAACTCTGGTTTTAGTGTAATTAGAGCACCAGACAGTTGGACTGATTCATGTTTGGATATTAGAAACGAAAGATCCACTTAAAAGAAGATTAACTCAGACTTTTTGGGGACTGTGTCTGCGAGGAGGTGAAAAGGTTCACATCGAGGCTCCATTAAACGGGCCTCCCGACCCACATCTGAGCGGGATTATACCACAGGAGGGAGTGAGAGTGTTAATATGGAGCCGTAAAACAGCACTTGACTGTATAACGTAAAAGCCAAAGGGGGAGTGAGAGGGGAGACTGGTTTTTATGGAGATAAGATGGAAGGAGGAGGGTTGGTGTCACACCACTGGATGTGTATGATTAAATGCTTTCTCCCTGGATTACTATTCCATATTCTAAATGGAAGATTTTTTAAGCTTCATAAACAAATGCTCTCATTTACGAGGGATTAACGGTAATCTCTCTATTTCTATCCTTTTTCCCCGTGCACCTCCCTCTCTCTGCTGGTCCTCTTCTCCCACTTTGTTCTTAAAACCATTGTTTGCGACGCTCACATCTCCTCTAAAACGCCGCGGTTAAATCTCACATCTTACCACGTTACTCAAACTCTGCAGGCCGTCGCGGAGCGTGTGAGGTGATCGCCGACAGATCACGCCGCCTCGCTGCACTTTTCTGCCCCTTTCTGACCCGACTCTTGGTCCTAATCCTCTCTCTGCTCCACCACTTGCATGCATTTGCCGTGCCGCACTCACGCTCCTCTGAAACAGTCGCATTTAATACGTTTGACACTGTTTTTTATTTTTAAAGTCGTTGACACGGGAACAAAAACTACAGACTGACATTATGAAGATAAAACCATTACTCATCACTTAAATAAAGCGCTCGCACATAAAACGCGTTATAACCTGCAAAAAATGTCCATGTAAAGAGTGTTTGAGGAGAAACTGCAAAGTGTTGTACAACGATGAATGACGTTCCTGAAGAATTCATTCAGGCTATTTCTGGCTCTCACAGTTCATCTTTTCCTTCCGTCACCCTGCCTCTTCCTCTCTTTTCTTTAGGCGCATGGCTCCGAGCGTTACGGCTGGCAGCGGCGCTGCCATCCGTCTCCTCTTCGTCCTTTTTCAACACTTCCTGTCCATTTGCTGCCCACAGGGCCTCTGCCTCTTCTCGCTCCTGCAGCAAAGATGCAAAATAGGTGACAAACCAGTAATGTGCAAAAAAGCATTAAACTACGGCTGATTTATGTTTCAAGGGAGCAGGCTTGTTTAGAATACTTTGAAGTAGTCTTGATCTTTGGTCTCTCAACATTTTTCTTTTAAACAGCTTTTTTTCCACTCCTTGTACTTGTCTGTGGCAGTTGATTGTGCAATGTGTTGTAAAATATGAGGGGGAAAAAGTGTCAGGTGAATATAATCTGAAACTTTTTCAGTAACAAAACTCAGCAAAGACCTGAGAGATGGATCATTGTTCAGGTAATTATCTTTTGTAAGACAGGTTTTCAGCTATTACATCTGTCCATCCATTTCAGCCTCTTATCCGGGGTTGGGTCGCAGGGGCAGTGGCCTAAGCAGGGAGGCCCAGACTTCCCTCTCCACAGCCACTTGGGCCAGCTCCTCCGGGGAATACCAAGGCGTTCCCTGACCAGCCGTGAGACATAGTCTCTCCACCGTGTCCTGGGTCTACCTTTAGGTCTCCTCCCGGTTGGACGTGCCCAGAAAACCTCACCAGGGAGGCATCCAGGAGGCATCCTCCAGATGCCCGAGCCACCTCAACTGGCTCCGCTCGATGTAGAGGAGCAGCGGGTCTACTCCGAGCCCCTCCCGAATGACAGAGCTTCTCACCCTATATCCAAGGGAGAGCCCAGCCACTCTTGGGAGAAAACTCATTTTGGCCGCTTGTATCCGCAATCTCGTTCTTTCGGTCACTACCCAAAGCTCATGACCATAGGTGAGGGTAGGAACGTAGATCGACCGGTAAATCGAGAGCTTCGCCTTCTGACTCAGCTCTCTCTTCACCGCGACAGACAGGTACAACGCCCGCATCACTGCAGATGCAGCACCAATCCGCCTATCGATCTCACGCTCCACTTTTCCCTCACTAGTGAGCAAAACCTCAAGATACTTAAACTCCTCCACTTGGGGCAGGACCTCATCCCTGACCCGGAGAAGGCATTCTACCCTTTTCCGAATCAAGCTGAGAGGCTTAAATAAATAAAAACGTGACTCTGAAAATGGTCAGAGTAAAAGGCCTTTTCTAAATCACCTACCTTTCTTTTGACTGATTTTGCATGAAATAATAAAAAAAGATGAGTTTCTGGAAAATGTATAAAATTAGAGTTATCTGTTGTTTCAAATGAACTCATCTTTTTTTTAATTGGTCTATTTCTCAATTTATAACTAAAGATTGTCAAATTATCTGTTTTCTGTATTAAAATGGCAATATAATTGTTTCCCGGTGAAACATAGGACATACCTGAAGGACCGTGACATGGCAGGTCCACAGAACACACTGGGTCAATGAGCACAAGCATGCAAACATCCCACAGATTTGCATTGTGCTCCAGCTGGACTTAACTCCGGTGTCACGACATCAACAAACACGACTGCGCCCAACAATCCTAACCTTCGGGGAAAAAGGTCACTACTAAGGCTCACCATGTCCCTGTAGATCTTCTCTTTAGTGAACCACAGGGCCAGAGCGCACCGCCGTCCTCTGGTGACGGCTCTAACACCGTGAGGATTTACTGGACCTGACGAAAAGCCCAGTAGACGACCACAGCTGGGCTTAACTTGAGCCTGTAGACGAGGACAGGGGCAGAAAAGACCCAACATTTAACAGGCCTGACACGGAAAATAGCATTTACAACACACGACAGGCACTCGGCAGCAACGTGACTCACTGTTACTGTCTTGGCATCTCTTTTAGTGAAGAAGGCCTCTCCCCCATCAAAGTTGTCATTCAGGTAGAGAATGGCACTGTGAGACAAAGATTTTACTTTTTCAGCCATGAAATAAATAATTGAAGCACGTGCTAAATACCATGAAGTGCTTTACTGCAAAAATATATATATAAGTGTATACGTAAAAACAACATCCTTACAGCCTAAAACTAGTTAAAAGCCTGCCTAAATAATTGAGTCTTCCCGCGAAACAAAATGTTACAATAGTGTAAATGAGATTTGGACGGCAGAGCTTGAAGTTTGGAGATATTTCTCAGCCTCTAAATACATTTAATAAGAATGTATAGTCATCTCAAAGGAGCAGTAGCGCTGAATAGCATCAGCATATAAATGATAAGACACACTGGGGAAATTGCCTAAAAGTTAGGTCTAAAGCAAAAATGTATAAGAGAAAGGGGATAGGTGCCAAGGACTGAACCCTGTGGAACCCCTCGTGGGGTCCTGCTGTGATCTGGTTAGCAAAAACAGTAAAAGTCGAGTCTACAGCCAGACCAGATGTACTGACTACATCCTGGAGCCTGTTTATCAGAATATTATAATCAACGGTATTGAAGGTAGATGTTGGATCCAGCAGAAACATTCATGTGATGTCCCTGGAGTCAGCTGCATGATATCATGATGTCACTAAAAAGGTTTCTGAGGAGCGATGCTTATAGAGCTGGTTTTCTCTCATTGGCAGCTCTAGGGGCAGGGTCACAGGGGTATTGGCCCTTGTTGAAATCTGATTGGCCCATTGAAATGTCTCTGTCTTTTCACACATCTGTTCTTTCCAGGATGATCAAGTTATAGGTGGTGGAATTCCAAGTCCCACCACTAGTGGTGCTAATGAGCCAAACAGTAAACTTCATAGTGAAACATAAAAATTTACTTAACCAAGTTTGTCACCTGGTTGTTTAAATGTAAAGAGCAATATATGTTTAGTTTTAACTCATTCGCTGCCAGCGTTTCTCACAGTTTTTACTGTTTTTTCAAGAGTCACAGAACGTTGCGCGCTAGGATGATGTCAACGCCAAAACAACCAAAACAAAGCGGAGACTCACCTCTTACATCAGGAACAATCTGCGCGTTTCGAGCGTTATCCGTTCTTTCGTAATCTGTTGTTGAATTGTGATCGGCAGAAGCTTTTCCGGTTTGCGCCTCACTTTTTTTTTTTACAGCAGCGGCCCAAAACGATCTCCTAACACATGGATGTTCTGCTTCCTGATCACGTGACGTGTGACGTACGTGGATGAGGGGCAGCAGCTCAGGTGGTAGAGCGGGTTGCCTCATGATCGGAGGGTCATGGGTTCGATTCCAGCTCCCGCCAGGGGTATCCTGCTGTTGTGTCCTTGGGCAAGACACTTCACCCAACTTGCCTGTGTTAGTGGTGGTCAGAGGGGCCGACGGCGCAAAATGGCAGCCTCGCCTCTGTCAGACCTCCCCAGGGCGGCTGTGGCTACAAGTAGCTTACCATCACTAGCAGTGTGTGAATGTGAGTGTGTGTGAAAGCGTCTTTGGGTGTCTAGAAAAGCGCTATATAAGTTCAATGCATCAATATTATTATTATGAAGATCGGCATCAGAGCTGAGATGTTTGTTCTAACGGTGCGGGGGCTCGTTCCGATACCCACACAGTAAAAAAATGCAAATGACGACTTCAGTTGTCATTGGCAGTGAATGAGTTAAAATAGCAACATATAAAATATGTAATATGTAAAAAAAACTAGGTTTTATGGAACCAGTTGACAAGACTTGGTTGAGTAAATTCAACATTTCATTTTTAAAAGTATAATATTTGGCCCCTCTATAAATATTGTGGCCCCCGATGGCCCCGTACTCAGAAAAATCTTAGATCCGCCGCTGATTTCATTGCCACTGCTTTACCCTTTAAAGGTGAAGTAGTGTAGAAAACGTGCACTTGTGCAGTTGTTCGTTTACAGGGTATCGGCAGGTTTAAGGGAGCCAAATTTAACACTTTTTAAGACTTTTTTTAAGGCCACTTTGACCAAATTTAAGCTATTTTTTTAAAGTAAATTTAAGCTATAATTTCCAGCTATTGCCTGGAACCGGTGCTAACCACGTCTCGAACGTGGGATTAACCATCCAGCCACCATTAAATTTGCCCTTCCCCATGGCGCAAGCTCCCGCTAGCTTAACCAGCTAATGTGCTCATCTAAAAATAGCCCCCTTTCACAACCAACTGCATGGGTACGGTTCCGCTTATGTTAATATCATACACCAGAAATGCTGAACACTAACTAGAAATTCACAAAAATTTTACAGAAATAAAAGAAGCTTGTTTATTGGGTCTTTGGTAATTTAAGACCTTTGGAAACTGTTTTTAAGGATTATTTGTAATTTTTAAGGATCTTTAAGGCCTTAAATTTGGAAAAGCAGATTTAAGATTTTTTAAGACTTTTTAAGGACCTGCGGATCCCCTGTTTTAGGTCCCTCAGTCCAACCCCTAAACAGATTTGTATTTAATGGTTGAGATTATTTTTATTTACCTGAGATCTCTGTGTGTAAACGCAGGCGGTTCCCTCCAACACTGTTTGGTCTCAGGCTCAAGAAGACAGTTGTCAACATGAACTGGGTGAGACAGGTCCAGTCTGCCCTCCTGGTCTCCTGAAGGGGTTCAGACCTTGTCTAATGAAAATCCTGCTAATGTTTCATCATCATTGCATCAAGTCAGAGATTAAATCTGCGTTTTAGGACGTTTGGCTTTAATAAGGATGTTGGTTCTACCTGTGACAGCACTGCGACAAACCAGGTGTGTGAAAGAGATGAAAAGCCCTGAAGGGCTCCTGAAGTAGGAGTGCAGCAGTGTTTTCACTCTTTCACCCAGTTCATGAAGCAACCTGGCATCCGACTGGTTGACCAGACCCTCCTGAGACAGCTGTGGAGGAAACAGGCATAAAATAAATAAAAAAACCTTCTAAAAAAACAGACACACTGTTGTTTGCATCTCCTCCTTTCCTCCCACCTTGACAGCCCTGAGGACAGTCAGACCTTCAAACGTCTCATGAGGCGTGTGCGGAGATCGTCGCCCTCGGTAACCGTCTCCAACCGACGCAGCAACCTTGAAGAGATGACGTAAAGTGAGGGGTTGATGTGGTTTGGGGAGAGTAAAGGTGTATTTGTGTTAACTTACAGATGCTAACTGCAGTATGCTGCCACACTCCGCCTCCGTCATGACTCCATCCAGAACAACTCGATTGGTCCCATTCAGAGCCTCGTCATCCATGGTTAGGGTGACCCCCACCTGAGGAACTGCACCTCCTGTTGAAGAGCATTTAAGGATGAGACAGGATCAGGTAAAGTCACGAGACAGGAGAAGATCGACCTCACCTGCAAAAAACCCACTGTCATCCACTTCCTCCAGCTGATTCCCATCTTCTATTTTCTCACTTAATTTCTCTTTTTCAGCTCTGATGTAAAAAGAAAATAGCGAAGATGTTTCATTTTTTTTAACTCAACTAGTTATTGAGTGAATTAATCTCCATTTGACTCACCTCCAGGCGTCCCTTATCGATTCTGGTACAACATCTTCTGGAGTCCAGAGATCCTGCAGAGCAGATGATTGATGAACTCAGAGATAAATGCTTCTGTGCGTTTACGACCAGTGCTTACAGGGTCGGTGAAGCTGAAGTCAAGGTTCTCCACTCCAAAGTAAAGAAGCTTCTTCTCCTCCAACGACTCACTGATGTATCTGACAATCTCCTGTTTTGGGGGAAATTAAGATTTAAAAAAACTTTTTGAATATGTAGGAATAAACTGATTATCAGTGAAAATAAAACAATATTTAAATTTATGAGCAAACTGTGGAGCTACCTGAGCAGGCTGAGTGTCGTGTGAGTCTTTGTCGCCCCCTAGTGTCTCTAGGTAGAGCTGCAGGTTGTCTAAGGAGTCCTTGTCAGAGGGGTAAAACAGGAGAAAGGAGCGCAGCGTCTGCACTGCTCCAGTAAAATCACCCGCTGTTAGAAAACAAAAACCCATCAGAAAGTAGATAATACTAAATGAAGAATCTTTAGTTTTCTATGCAAACCCAGACCTTTAAACTGTGCTATGTGCAGATGCTCCAGCTGTGTTGGCAGGAAGTCCTCCTGAGCAGAAATCCTTCCAGGTCGCGTGGCGACCTCTGTCACACAGAACTGCCGACACGAGAGCAGGGACAAAGAGAGAGCTGGACGCAAAAGGAAAAGGATTTAAGTCGATTTAAACTTTTAAAGTTTCACTTCGTTCACATAGTCGCTAATGCGTGTGGATTTTCCCACTGCCGGTTCATCCTAAACTGACTTTTCTACCTGCAGCCTTTTCAAAGACACCGTCAACACTGTCGACCCCCCTGTCCACAGGTAGCCGCTGGGCGGCGACCTCACACTGCAACCGGCACTCGTCTGTCTGCAGCAGTGTTTGGTTCACGCAAGCTTTCCATTTCTCTGCTGCTCTCAACCAATCAGAGGAGGCCTCGTGATGGACAGCTGCATCGTACAAGACCTGAGACGTAAAGAGAAAAAGTAATATTAAAGCAGGAGATGCTGCAACAGTTATGTCTAAAGGAAAAGGAAATGGTGCGGAAACAGGTAAAAAGGTTTGTGTTCAAACACGAAGTGAGGGAATTGTTCGTTTCAGCCATGTTTCTTGTACTTTTTCAATGAATTGTATGAATTTACAGCTTAAGTCAAAACTTTCTGAGAGAAATTTCAAAAAAGCATATTTTTGTCAGTGGACAAGCTGTTTTATTTGTGTCTCATAAAGGTTGGCAATGTCATTTTTGCAGTCGTCACACGAAAGCAGAAGCTTTTTGGTCAATTCTAAATATTTGAAGGTGCAATATGTAATTGTCATGATGTAAGCCAGGAGGAGGTTACCCAAGATGCAGAACCAACATGACACAAGGCAGGAGTAGTAGAAAAATGTAAAATCCTTTATTAGGAATAATTGTCCAAATGTAAATCCAAAAGGGCAGGTAGCCAAAAACCGAAATCCAAAAATCCTAGTGCGCAAACCTAGAGACCTAAGCCCCCTTCAGACAGGCCATGAAAAACGTAAATGTTCAGGACTCTGTCCGTAAGACCTCATCCACTGGGGGCTGGTGTCAGAAGCGAGCAAATCCTCATTGACTCCCATGTTAAAAATACCAATTTCACAGCAGAAATAAACATGTTTACAGCCTGGTTCCAAAACATGTTTTTTGTTTAAATGATCTAGTTTACACTCATGGCAACTCTGAGGGGGGTGAATTTTTTTCTCACTCTTCTGTTTAAGTGTATTAAAAGCCTAAAATTCTGTATAATTAATGAGCATCAGACCCACGTGACCACAAAGCTAGCTCCATGGAAAGGCCTCAGTAGAGCCTTGGTCTGGCTTGGAAACTGTTCCGGGATTTTGAGTCTCTGTGTTTGTGTATTCTTGTTTGGATATTTTTTGCGCAATTGTTGGACAAAATGACTTGCTGTGGCATTAATTGCACTAATAGAGCATCCAAGGATTTTCCACTTTATTGTTTTCGGTAAGTAAAATTATATTTATGTATTTTAGGTCACTGCCGAGCTGAGCTTAGATTTTAACATGTACTGTTTAACCATGAAATTTAAATGTAATAGGGCAAACCCCAGTGCATTTAACATAATGCTGCATTTAAGAAAATGGGTTGAAATATAACATGTTGGTGGAGCCGACTATCGGCTTGTGGAGCTCTCGGGAGACCAATGTTTTCCACCCGGTTCTCCCCTCCCCGCAGCTTGGCGCATCTTTGTCTGATCGCAGCTTCTGTGTGCTGCGCGGGCTGCCGGCTGGTGGAGCTCTGGGATGGAAACCTTTCCACCCGGTTCTCCCCAGCGGCAGCTCTGCGCATCTCAGATCGCGGTGGCGCTTGTCTGCTGTGCGGCTGCCAGCTTGTGGAGGTCTCGGAGACCTCTGTGTTCCACCCGGTTTTACCCAGCGGTCAGCCCGGCGTATCTCTGACTCAGAAGCTCTGGTGTTGTGCACAGTTAACTCCGGTTGTAGCTAGGTTTCTACCTCCGTTAGCTTAGCTCCCACCTCCGCATTAGCTTTGGGTTAGCCAGGGTTAACTTCAGGTTAGCTTGTAGCTAGTTCGACCGGGTGTCGTCAGTTGATTCCAGCCTTACAGCCCCACCCTCAGCTCCTCCTCTCTTCCCTTTTTTGGAATTGTCTGGGCTTGACGGTGTCGGTACAAGATCTGCTCGGGTGCAAGATCGACTCGGGTCCGTCGACTGCCGATGACGTCTAAGTAGTTGATTGGCTGAACATGACCTTACGGAATTACGTAATCACGTAACGTTGTTATCACGTGACGTTGGTCCAGGCAAATGTTTTTCTATTGGAAAGATGGACAACTTTTACAAAGAAATCCATCATTACCTCTTTGAAAATACACTTTTAGCATAGAGCTGCAAGTATAATAGGGCTGAACGATTAACTGCATGTGCAATGAAATTGCGATGTGACAAAAGAAGATTTTCTAATGGCAAAGGCTGCAATTTGGCAGCGAGTGGTTAGCGCAATGCTAATATACATGGAAAAACCCATAGGAATGCTAATGCTAATATCGCAGATTACATTATTACAAATTATGAATTAGAAACGTGCCAAATAATTACATTTGGAGTCTAATAGAAAGTAAAAATACCATCAATCAAATAAGTACAGACAGGTATTTTAGTAAAGCCAGGAGATTTTCTAATCTCAAAGGCTGCAATTTGGCAGCGAGTGGTTAGCGCAATGCTAATATACATGGAAAAACCCATAGGAATGCTAATGCTAATATCGCCGATTACATTATTGCAAATAATGAATTACAAACGTGCCAAATGATTACATTTGGAGTCTAATAGAAAGTAAAAAATACCATCAATCAAATAAGTACAGACAGTTTTTTTAGTAAAGCCAGAAAACTTTTAACTCCAGAGTTTTGGCTAGCAGCTACAGTCTATGACAAGATGTCAAAAACTCTAAACACAAAATACTTAAATAAACGGGACACACTTCTTTCCTGCAAATTTCACAGGTGTTGCTAATACCTATGATTCTTCAAGGGATGTGCTCAAAGAGGAGTTCAACATTATGAATAAGATATAGTGTTTTATTTTACAAATACCATTATAAACACAAACTTACATCTTAAGAAACGTTATTTTAATAACGAAAGTGCTAAATTCTTTCCAACAGTATAGACGTGTAGTGTATTTTGTCCGAGTCGGTTTGCCGTACTTTGACGTCATCGGCAGTCGAAGGACCCCGAGCCGATCTTGCACCCGAGCAGATACTGTACCGACAACGGAACCTGTGACACGGTCAAAATGGCGGTGGTGGCCACCTCCCATTTGGTCTCAAAAACGTGATATTGGAGCCTATGGAAAGGAGATGTCCAGTATATTTATGTTGATGGTCTGAATACAAACATCCGGATAACGTTTTCCATAATTAAACCAGACGACGCTCCTAGTAACAGGTCCGGACTTGTCACGGACAAGGTGGCTGCTTCAGACTGGTGAGGTCGAGTTCCGGACAGGGAGGAGGGGACCGGGGGACGCTGTGCGCATCTAGATAGCTCGCTCCTGTAGCATGCGGCGAACCATGGCAGCTCGCCTCCTACGGTACCGTCTAGACGCGCGACAGAGCGCTTCACACCTCTTCCGTGATTCCTTTAACCATTGAGCTTCATCATCCAGGTCTCTTATGCGTCTTCGTGTGCGCAGAATTATGCTTAACATAAGTCCGATTCCCCCCCAGACATCTGGAACTTTTCCCTGCTGTGTGAAGGCAGCCGAAAGGACAAGTTCCGGTACAAAAGTGGTGTGTCTGAAAACACAGTTCTGGTTAAAAACCGGACTGAATTGTCCACACATATTCCAGAATGTCAATCTGAAAAGGGTACAAGAGACGAAGAGCTCCTTTAAAGAGCAACACCTAGAAACATCCAAATACCTAGAGACCAAGAGACCAGGAGAGGGAAACGAGACAACGCTGACACAAACAATGAACTGACAACACACTGAGATGCAGACAGGGTTATATACACAGAGGGAAACAGGTGACAGGTGTGTGGGGAGTGAGATCAGAAGGGATCAGGTGAGACTAATTAACTAAGTGGGGAAAACTGACTAGGCAAAATTAATCTACAGAGAACTAAAGATAAGTGAACTCCTAAACCTGAAAACTAGGCACCAGAAGAAAAACACTAACAGGGATGGGATAACTAAATCTGAAATCACTAAGGGGGAACCTGAGGGAAACATGAAGGGAGCTGGAGAAGACAAGGAGGCACATGAGGAACACAAGGAGACACATAAGAGGAACCTAGAGAGGGCTGGAGAACACAAGAAGACAAATGAGGGGACGCATGACGCAGAACATGACATGTAATATTAAAGTGACAGTGTGTATTTTTTCCTGGGAATAGGGGGCAGTATATACCTAAATCGTTGCAAGCAAACTGCATTTTTGTGTTGGAGTAGACCTTACCAACGGATGCCCATTAGGATCAAAAAGCCCCGGAGGGAGGGCAAACTTCAGAAAAATTACAAACACATCAGACTTCCTTTCATCAGTAGCAATGACTAAAGAGATAAATGTGTAAATCAACAACATTTATGAATGGTAAAAGTTTAGTAACCGTTTGTTACAAATCAGTAAATGCATTTTGTCTTAAGGGCTCCCGTAGTTGGAACCATGGCATCTAATGTGGCATCACCCAGAGACTTAGACCCGCTCCCATGTATTTTAGACCAGATTTTTATGGTTATGTCTTAAGAAGCCGGCAATGTTTTTCAACAGCTGGGCATCATTGTACTCATTTTCAAAAACATTTTGATGGATATTTCCAGAGATTAACGATAAAAACTACACATTGTCCCTTTAAGTACGAATGACATCCAGTGGTCAAATGTGGTTACTGCAATCCCATTCTCACTGCCTTTCCATGAGTTTCATGGCTGTTACTAGTTACGGATTAGCACCAGTAGATTCTAGATGACAAGCAAAGACGAGTCATAAACAGTAAGTTGATAAGATAAGATAAGATAAGATAAGATAAGATAAGATTGTCAGGGTGCGCTGGTGAGTGGAGCAGAGGTGAGGATCCAAATGCAGGGGAGAAAGCAGGCAGGCAGACAAACTGGACAACTGAAAGGGTTTTAATGATTCACGCACGCAGGACATGGAAACAATGAAGCAACAAGAGACAAAGGACTGGAGAGGTTTAAATACAGGAGGGCTGGGAGCTTGGGTGATTGGGAAACACGAGGCAGGTGGGAGCAATCAACAGGGACACAGGCTGAACCAAATGGAGAGACAGGACAGGGTGTGACAGTACCCCCCCCCCTCAAAGGGCGGCTTCCAGAAGCCCACAGGAACACAGAACAGGGCCGGAGGAGGGGAACCCGGATGGAGGGCCGAGAGGGACAGAGGGCCCGATGATCAGGAGGCAATGACGACGACGGGCTCTTGGGGGCCTGCGCCTGGGGCAGAGGAGGAGGCGACGACGGGCTCTTGGGGGCCTGCGCCTGGGGCAGAGGAGGAGGCGACGACGGGCTCTTGGGGGCCTGCGCCTGGGGCAGAGGAGGAGGCGACGACGGGCTCTTGGGGGCCTGCGCCTGGGGTAGAGGAGGAGGCGACGACGGGCTCCTGGGGGCCGGCGTCTATGGCAGAGGAGCTCTGTAGACTGGGCCGGGGACAGAGTCTCATCAGGCTGGGCCGGGGACAAAGCCCCTTGGACGGGCTGGACCGGAGACTCGTAGAAGAGCTGGACCGGATACGGTATGACCTCCAGAACCACCGTTGGCACTGGAGACGGTGGAGACGTCGGACTAGAGGGAGCGCCGACCTCTGGACAGGAGAGAGCGCCGACCTCTGGACAGGAGAGAGCGTCGACCTCTGGACAGGAGAGAGCGTCGACCTCTGGACAGGAGAGAGCGTCGACCTCTGGACAGGAGAGAGCGTCGACCTCTGGACAGGAGAGAGCGTCGACCTCTGGACAGGAGAGAGCGTCGACCTCTGGACTGGAGAGAGCGTCGACCTCTGGACTGGAGAGAGCGTCGACCTCTGGACTGGAGAGAGCATCCTCAGACGAGGCAACTGCAGACGAGCCAACTTCAGAGGAGGAGGTGACGTTATCGGACGAGCCGACTTCAGAGGTGATGTCGTCGGACGAGCCGACTTCAGAGGCGGCGACTTCAGAGGCGACGTCGTCGGACAAGCCGACTTCAGAGGCGGCGACTTCAGAGGCGACGTCGTCAGACGAGCCAACTTCAGAGGCGGCGACTTCAGAGGCGACGTCGTCAGACGAGCCGACTTCAGACGAGCCGACTTGGGAGGCGACGTCGTCGGATGAGCCGACTTCAGACGAGCCGACTTGGGAGGCGACGTCGTCGGACGAGCCGACTTCAGACGAGCCGACTTGGGAGGCGACGTCGTCGGACGAGCAGACTTGGGAGGCGACGTCGTCGGACGAGCAGACTTGGGAGGCGACGTCGTCGGACGAGCAGACTTGGGAGGCGGCGACGTCATCAGACGAGCCGACTTCAGGATTGGAGGCAACGTCATCAGGACAGGAACGGGCGTCGACTTCAGGACAGGCACGGGCGTCGACTTCTGGACAGGCACGGGCGTCGACTTCTGGACAGGAACGGGCGTCGACTTCTGGACAGGAACGGGCGTCGACTTCTGGACAGGAACGGGCGTCGACTTCTGGACAGGAACGGGCGTCGACTTCTGGACAGGAACGGGCATCGACTTCAGGACAGGAACGAGCGTCGACTTCCATCGACTTCAGGTCCGGGGGCGTCGATTCCTGGTCTGGAGGCGTCGACTTCTGGTCCATCGACTTCCGAACCGTCAACCCCTGGACCGTTGACCCCTGGACCGTCAACCTCTGGTCCGGAACCGGAACCATCTGCTTCGGGGTCAGAACCGTCTGCTTCTGGGCCGGAACCAGAACCGTCTGCTTCTGGGCCAGAACCGGAACCTTCTGCTTCTGGGCCCGAACCTTCTGCTTCTGGGCCGGGACCGCCTGCTTCCGGACCGGTATCATCAGCTTCTGGGCTGGAGGCAGAGCTGCTGCAGGAGGAGCTGCTGGCCAGGCTGGACCAGATGCGGTGCGACCTCCGGGACCACCGCTGGAGCTGGCTGCGACAGACCAGGTGGTGCTGAGAACTGTGAAAGCAGGGAGGACAGACCGTCCAGCTGACGCTCCTTAAGGCTGAGGGTCCAATGGAGCTGGGCCAGCTTAGCCCGGAGATCGGTGAGCTCCGCTGGGTGAACACCGGGCTCGCTCGTCTGGTCCTGAGATGAGGAGGATAGAGCGCCCAGGCGGGATTCCTGGAAGCTGATGAGCTGGCGGAACCGGCCAAGCTCCGCCTGGAGACTGACGAGCTCAGTCAGCTGGGCTGCGGCCAACGCTCCTCCCTCAGCAGATGACGGAGGCGCCGATTGGGTCGGAGCCGGAACTGCTGGTCTGGCCGGGGGCTTGTCCAAACTGCTGCGCAGAGCAGGGGCAGCGGCGGGCACACAACTCCATCCCGGTACACCGGACTGCGGGGCAGCCCGGCGTCTCTCCCCACGCCGTGGACCAACGCCGGGGGAGCACACAGCCAGACGGGTGCCCACGTAACTGGAGTGATCCGAACGCGTCTCTCGATCCGGTCTCTCATCAGGCGCTGGGAGGGTGGAGAGGAAGGCTGAGGGTGCACGCTGACGCCGTCGTCCGCGGCGAGGCGGAGATGGAGCTGGAGCTGGAGAAGCCGGGTGGTGGCTTGGAGCGAGCCACTGGAGCAGGTACTCCCTCGGGAGAATCTCCCCGCTGGGTCCTTCAACTGGGGGTTGCTTCATTCTGTCAGGGTGCGCTGGTGAGTGGAGCAGAGGTGAGGATCCAAATGCAGGGGAGAAAGCAGGCAGGCAGACAAACTGGACAACTGAAAGGGTTTTAATGATTCACGCACGCAGGACATGGAAACAATGAAGCAACAAGAGACAAAGGACTGGAGGGGTTTAAATACAGGAGGGCTGGGAGCTTGGGTGATTGGGAAACAAGAGGCAGGTGGGAGCAATCAACAGGGACACAGGCTGAACCAAATGGAGAGACAGGACAGGGTGTGACAAATATAAGACAAAACTTTATTGTCCATATATATGAAAAATTATCTTGCTGTACTGTATCCACAGTAGAAGAAACATTAACATTAAAAATAAAACCATGGGGTGTAAAAAAACACATTTTTACACCTGGTGTTAGCACTCTTGGATGTTTTACATTATGGAGCACTTATTACACATATTACGGTAATATTTCTCTGGCATCATTAGAGGAAGTGTGGTTGTTTGCTGTCTTGCTGTTAGCTTGCTGTTATAGTTCTGTACAACCCAAAGGAAGTAAAACACCACAAATGACTCGTTAATAACTTCACACTCACATTTCACTGTAATATTGACCTTTTGGTAATTGAAAAAGTAGCTTGAGATTTTTTAGAGCGGACTATTTGTTTCTAATTCACCGTTAGCATTGTTAGCTAAATGTTAGCCTCTAGCCTTCTTTACCCGATATTAAAGTAAAACAAAAAGATTCCATGGCTTCTTAGGGGTCAAAGAAATAATGTCTGGGTCACTCCTATTTACTGGCCTCAGTTCTTTAAACAACTCTGGAGCTTTTTGCCTGCTGGTGCAAGGGCACCCCCAAGGGGTGGCCAGTGGTGGCTGTGGCCACCCCTAGGAAACTGCTGCCCCCCCCCCCCCCCCCCCAGGAAAATCCAGTGTTAATAAATCATATTAATGTTCAGTCAAACCATATATTGATCTTGTTTATTCAACACATAATTGTAAAACAAAATAAAAATAATACAATTAATGAGTAAAGAAATAATCATAATTTTAAAAAACACACGTTTCTGCTGCTCACCTTTTTAAAAAAGTTTTTATCTCCATAGTTTTTTGTGAGCACAGCAACATAGGTGAATTAACCTAAAAAAATACATTTTGAAACAAAATTTGGGATAACATTTTAAATAACTGAAATGTATTTTTCTGAAATGTTTGTGTTTGTAAAATTCAAGTTAAATGTTTTGATATGTACTGTTTTTTTTTTAAATAAAAATGAATAAAGGAGCAATGTAATACATCGCCACAGGCTAAACTCTCCGAGATTTACCACAAGGACCAATTTGGTGTGCCACCCCAAAAATGTATTTGGCCCCATCTGGCCACCCCTATCAAAATTTTCTGGAGGCGCCCCTGTGCTGGTGTCGAATTGCAAATGCCGGTGTCGGTCCAGGATCGGCTCGGGGTCCTTCGACTGCCGATGACGTCACATTACTGCAAATCTACTCGGCTTTCTCACATACGTTTTGGAAAGACATCAGCAGTTTTGTTAAAAAATTCTTGTTTGTTAACACCTAAATGTTTTCTTTATAATTGTAATTTGTTAATGAAACACCAAATTATCTTTGTTTTGTAAAGAATAAGAAACTGCATAAAACCAACATCGGACTGACAAAAAATAGAACAGTTCTTATATGTGAAGCCATATCTGTTTGTATTAATGTGGAGTTCGTCTGTATATTTCCTTATTTGTTATCTAAATACATTCTTTGACTCAAAGTATTGCTTGGTGTCTTTCAATAAAGTTCTTATATTTTATTTTGCCCCAATTCATCAACATCAAGAGCTTTTGAGGGTCACCGTTTATCATTTGCTTATATTTTACATTTACTTTAGAAATTCAAACATATTTTCTCCAAAAAGTGTTGATTTTTGGACTACAGGACTACAATCGCTAAGACTACGACTGCAAATTTGTTCTGACCAATCTAAATCATAACGTGATAACGTCACTTCCGTAAGCTTCATGTTCAGCCAATCAACTACTTTGACGTCATCGGCAGTCGAAGGACCCCGAGCCGATCCTGCACCCGAGCCGATCCTGTACCGACACCGGCGCAGCAGTTAGCTCGCCAGAGACACGGCAACCTCACAAACTCACTGATTGTAAACAGTAGCTACGTCCCTCTTTTATGTTTTTGAAAGGAGAAAAACTGACCACCAGCTGGCTGAGAAGGGAATCGAATGTAACCTTCCTTCCAACACGATTGAGAAATTAAACTGATTTGTGATTATTTCACTGTAGAATTCTTACATATTGCTTCCTTAAATGCACCAGAAACACTGTTAGATAATTAAATTTTGCATTTGTTTTCACAGCAAAAGTGGTTTTTGGGTGTACCAGATGTAGCGTAAAGCCACAGCTCACCCGACTCACCCAATGTTTCTCCTTTTCTATCTCTCTGTCCTGGAAGTCCTCCTCGCTCACTCCTTCCATCCGTCTGTACTTCTCAATGTTGTTTCTCATCTCCAGGTGACTCGGGTTAGCCACAAAGTAGGTATGAGCCGCTGATGCTGCCTTTTTTACCTTTTCTAACTAGCTTGGAAAAAAGAAAAAAGGCAGTGAAGACAAATGGTGGAATATTATACCTCAGATCTTTTAGTTTGCTGAAAGGATAGCTAATAGTGATGTACCGATGTGACATTTTTGGGCAGATACCGATATTAAGATCACTGTTATAGCCGATAACCGATATTTGCCGATACCGATATTCTGACATTAATGCTTCTAAAATCAGCAATTTTGCATAAAATGAAAATAATTCAAGCCGAATTTACATTATTATGTACACACACCACACACATTTACGCTTCTGAGATTATTGCATTCACTGTTCACATGACTAATCAAATACACATCACCCCCTCACTCTCTGAAACAGGCAAACAAGTGGAGACAAGATGGAAAAAATATCGGTTGTTAATATCGGCCCGGTTTTATTTATCGGACCGATACAGATATGTTAAAAAATTACTAACATGGGCCGATCCCGATATTGATGCAGATATATTGTGCATCCCTTATAGCTAACCTTGTAGTAGGTGACCTGGAGGAAGTTGTAGGGGTTGCGAGTGTCAAACTCGTATTCTATGTCTGTAGAAACAGGGAGCTGTCCCGTAGGACTGACAGATTGTCCGATACAGAACCTCAAACACTCAGCCCTTTGCTGAATCCAGTCCAAAGCCCACTGGTCCCAGGTGTTCCCCTCCTCAGAGTCTAAAAAGCATAAAACATAGCTGAGCACTAATTTTGCAAAGTGTTCCTGATCTGGTGCAGTGGTTTACACCACATAATTACGTGTTTTTTATTGCAGCACTGCAGGAGAACCTCGAAACCACAATCATAGCACGGTGGTTTTCACTGTTTTACCAAATAGTTTAAATGTTTTGTTATTTCCATAGTTAACAAATTGGAACTTGCATTACTTACATTTAGGATTCAAATTAATCACAAATCACTGCATTCATGTTTAGCATTACATGCCTGGTTTATAAATAAAGCTTCACTGTACAAAATGAAAAATGCAATTGTTTGAATATTCTGAATCACTTGTTTAATAACTCTATGTTAACACTTTATTTAAAGCACAATTTCACTATTATCACTATAATTAATGATAGACGAGAATTTAACTTAAAGGGGGCATATTGGGCAAAACTTTTGCATCTTTTGTGATGGCAAGTCTCTGAGCACTTCAAACATGATTTATAGGCCTAAAGCAAGCCATTTCAAAAAGTCCCCATTTGTGATGTCACAAACAGAGAAATAAGAATAAAACTAATTCTCATGTGCAAATGAGCAGTCGTGGCCGTTGGAACAGCGACTCTACTCTAAGCCTCTCAGTTAACAGAGCTTCTCAGCTTATAGCAGCTCGAGCAGAGGGTGGACGTGGCCAGGTCCATCTTGTTTTCTTAAAGTGACAGAGCCCTGAAATTACTCAATTTGGAAGGTACTGAAACTGGCGATAATATAACTGTTGAGATTGCTTCATGTGAGTGGGATTTAGTGGAAATAACATGTTTTTGCATCTACCATAGATTGATTATTACAAAAAAATAATTACTGTCCCATTTCAAGCACATAAAATAACGGAATACTCTAATAAATGTACTAAATACATGAGTCAGATTGAGCACACAGGTGAATGAAACACAATTTATTTTGAAATTCCCTTTATTTAGTTTAACTAAAAGCAAAACAATAGCTGAATGGTACGCTTTAAAACTTTTTTTTTTTTTTTTTTTTTTTTTAGAAAAACGAAGTTAAAGTTTGTTTCTTGAGTTTACTGGAGTGTATAAATGTTGTTTGGACATTAAAATAATCCAACTAAAGTGAACAGTTTAAATTAAACTTAACTGATGCAAAATCTTTTGAGATAACATTCTGTAGCCTGATAACTTACCTAGTTTACTGAGAGCTGCAGTCCCAGATGCTGCACAGTCATCATAACACTGTCTGCGGACCTTCAGCAGCGTCTCTTTGGTGGTGATGGACTTCTCCAGCAGCTCTGCAGCCTTTGCCCACTCCCCTCCATAATACGCCCGAACCCCGCTGTAATACAGAAAATCATAGGGCTGCAAAAGCGACAAAACATTAGAGCTGCCGCTAAGCGACGCACCCACGGTTATGTTTATTAGAGCTAAAATAAGATAATAACGCGCCACGTATGCAGTGAGATGTTGCGCGTGCAGCGCCATGGTCCGAGGAGCAGACGGGAGTCAGAGGAAGAGGAGGAGTGAGAGAGACGTGAAGAAGAGCTCAAATCAGAAAGACACGATCACAGATCAAGGACCTCGTCGCACATTTAGTGTCGATTTTCAACTTTTTAAAATAAAATTGTTCTAGTCTAACTAAAAGTGCAGTTTTAAAACTGATTTAAACTTGTTAGAAGTAGTTTTAAAGCTGCAGTGTTTTACCGCCACTAGAGGGCGCTGTTTTTGTGTTCAACCGTAATTACCGTAATTCGGCAAATAAGGTATCTTGAACGAAAGGCAATAGTTAACCACTGATAAGATGATTCATTAAATGAGTTTAGCAATTTGTGGATTTTTGATGCATGTATAAAGTTTTAATCAGTTGTGTAGTGCTGTCAGATGTCCACGTAGTGTGAATTTTTAGAATAACAATATGTCTGGGTGCTCTTGTTTTGTAGATTACGGTAATGGTTTGAAACTGTTTGCAGGTCGTGGCAGCATATATTCAAACAACAATTTTGTCTTCTGTTTTGATACCAAAATATGCATGTCTGTCAAAGTGTTTTCTTACAAGTAAGGTTTGACAGCTAAGATAAATCACGTTGTGGTCAAATAAAGTCTGTTCAACTGAGACTGAACAATTAGGATGATTAAAATCTCTCAAATCCCTGATGACTACATGTGACCATTTACGTGCTTATTTGGTAATTCGTAACATGTTTTTGTAAAAATCAAGATTAAAAATTATTTTTTAACAACATGTTTCTGAGAGCAGTAGCAGTGTTTTATCTTTTCCACAACCTAGATCATATTTTTTTGAGTCAAACATCTTAAACATCCAAAGAGGACTCATGGCAGTATTTTTGACTGAGGTAGCATTATGGTTAATATAAATGTTATTTTGACGAGATTTCTTTAGAAAACTATATGGATTTAAGTGGCTTTAGGACTGTTATATGAAAGTTTGGCTTTCCTTAAAGGTCTCGTGCTCGGCCTTCCTCCAACACAAGGCAGCCTCTCATGATTCATTCAGGCAAACAGACAGTAGCAGGCAGGCTAAACAACGGACGGGTAATCTAAAAGCTGGGTGGCCAAACCTAGAAGAACAAGGCTCCTCATTGAATAACACAATTAGATAATTCACCATGACGGATGTTGGTGAGGTTTTGATGTCGGTTTTGTCCACAATTCGTGTTCCGAAGCCGGGGGACCGTGTTCACAAAGATGAATGCGCCCTGTCATTTGCTTCGCCGGTGAGCCGTTTCTTTTATAAATCACACTAATAACTCACCGGAAGAGCAGAGCTATTTTCTCATTGTATTCGTCTCATGAAATTTAGTCTGACCTACAATTTTTTTACTCCTCTTTAACGAACTGCTTTACTACATGTTCTCTCAGCTAACTGGCAAGCTAGCGTCAAGCTAAGCTAATAATGCATTGTAATGGAAACGTAGCTTTTAGCTATCTCTGCTGGTTTAACTGTCAAACCAGAAAGCAAGATAACAAATGTTATGTGGCTACAACTATAGCCGAATTTTTGGAGAAGTTGTCATAAAAATGATCTTAGTGCTATAAACCTTTGGTGTTATACTTGTGAACATAGAAATCAATAAATTAACGTTAGTTACCTTGTTCTACAATGCTAACTAAGCTAACTAAGTTGCCCAGGTTACATCCACTGATGCTTTGTCACTGAGATGCACTGATTGGTTCCAACTTTTTTGTGTTGTGGACAGGTGGTGAGAGATCTAGGAGGTTGTGCAACAGTAAACATTAGTTTCTGTTTTTCAGGAGAGTGATGGAGGCCTGTACGTGTGCATGAACAGCTTTCTGGGCTTTGGTAGTCAGTACGTTGACAGACACCATGCTCGGACTGGCCATAGGGCTTACCTGCACATAACCCGGACTCGTAAGGCCAAGGTAGACCCTTGAAACCGTATGAATAATGTAAAAAATTTGAAAAATGTTCCATTTTTAAAATCATGTTCTATCATTATGCTTACAGAAGGAAGATGACAACAACTCTGGCTCGGGACACCCACCTAAGAAAAAGCCCACTAGGCTGGCAATAGGTAAGACGTCATGCTAAATTATTTGAATCGGCTTTAAAGTAAACCTGTGATTGCTGTGATAGTTTAAAAAAAAACTCAAATTTTGTTTTTCTTGTAGTTTTTTGGATATCAAATCAATCAATCCTCTTTTTGTCATTTATCTTTTATATGCAGAATATTTTATGTTTTTTTTAATCATTCTTGTTTGTGCAAAACATAGGTCCCACTTTAATTCACTACAATTTCATCATTGGGATTTTTTAATAGTAAAATGTACTGAAGGCATTTTACGGTCATCGTTACATGTCTTCTGTCTTTGCTGTTTTTCTTCTGCCCTAGGGATTGAAGGAGGCTTTGATGTTGAACAAGATCAGTATGAGGAGGATGTAAAGGTGGTCATTTTACCAGACAGACAGGAAGTGACTTCAGAGGATCTTGCTACAATGACTGATGTTGTCAGAGAGCGGGTGAGTCATCAAAAAATTTATTTTGTATCAAATAAAATCATGGGATGTTTAAATAAAATGAAACAAATCCCTCTAATTGCAATCTGGCTGATTCATTCCTTAAAACATTAAATTTTGTGCTGCACTATCAATAATTTTTTAATAAGAAATTAGTTTAAATAAAGGAGTTCTCATGGCTTGCATGGTGGCGCAGTGGTTAGCACTGTTGCCTCGCAGCACGAAGGTTGCAGGTTCGAAACTCGGCTGCAGCCTTTCTGCGTGGAGTTGCGTGTTCTCCCCATGCATGCGTGGGTTTCCTCCAGGTTCTCCGGTTTCCCCCACAGATCACAACATGCCCTATAGGTTATAAACTGTAAGTCGCTTTGGATAAAAGCGTCTGCCAAATAAATAAACATAAACATGTCTTGTTGTGTAAATCTAGGTGTCTCTGTCAATGACGGGTATCATGACCGCCGACTCCGTGTCTCATGCCTTACAAGTCCAGCAGTGGGACGGAGAAGTGAGACACGAGTCGAAGCATGCCGCCGACCTTAAACAGCTGGACAATGGACTCAAGATCCCTCCCAGGTGAAGTCAAAGCTGTCTGGATCTTGTTCTCAGTTGCTTTTCATCAGACGATGGATCACCATCCAGAACGTGAAAAGAAAAAGTGAAATGTATATTTTAGAACCCATGCATCTGAAGGTTTTGCTTTTCTTTGTAGCGGCTGGCGTTGTGAAGTCTGTGACCTTCAGGAAAATCTGTGGATGAACCTGACGGATGGGAAAGTCCTTTGCGGTCGCAGGTATTTTGACGGCTCTGGGGGCAACAACCACGCTCTTCTCCACTACCAGGAGACCGGTTACCCCCTCGCTGTCAAACTTGGTACCATCACTCCAGATGGTGCTGGTGAGCAGAAACCTTTTTAAGCTGTAATTTGAGTATTTTTGGTGTTTTTTGCTGAATTGATCGAGTTTATGTTTTCATCCGTCCACTGCTGGTTTTCATCTGCTGCCTGTTTTCTTATGTCCAGATGTGTATTCCTATGATGAGGATGACATGGTGCTGGATTCCAAGTTACCGGAGCACCTAAGTCACTTTGGCATTGACATGATGACTATGGAGAAGGTGAGACTTGTGTTAAAATGTATTTTATTTAGAAAAACCGACACCGCTGCGAAGCTGCAGAGCGCTACTCTCAGGAGTGAAGGGAAACTAGAGACGACAGTTCGAAGTAGAGGGAGAGAAAAGGTACCTGACGCCGGGGACACACCGGTCGCCGAAGCGCCGGGAGGCGAAGCGCTCACGAAATTCGGCCACTGCTCCTCAGTTCAGACCTGACGCTTCTTTCTCTGCTCCTCTGCTCCGGTCGAGGCACGCCTCGTAGTTTTTCTTTTAACCACTTGGTGTCCTCCATTTCCTCTCTGCCTTTTCTCTGCTCTTTTCCTCTACACCCCCCTCCCCCTTGCTGTTTGTGTGTGTATGTGTGTGTGAACCTATGGTGTGAACCAGTTGTTAATAGCTGTCCTACGACTTTCTGCCTCTCTGTCCTGTTTGCTCCATCCGGTTGAAAGACACCCAAAACCACACCCCCTTCACGTGGTCAAACACACAAGTTCGCTGTGTGTGTGTGTGTGTGTGTGTGTGTGGTTTTTATGCAGTGTCTGTTTACGAACACATTTGACTATCGTGGAATTGTATTTTGAAATGCTTTATTTTGTTAAATTTACCGGCCTGCCTCTTATGTCTAGGTTTGACTTCCTGCCAGAATTGACGCGGTTCACCCGCGGCTCGCGAAAAAAATAGAGCAGACGCCGAAACGATCGCTGCACGGCACGAGCTAGAGCACCGGTGCGTGGCGCTTCGGCGGCCCATGTGGTCTATAGAATAGGATAACAAGGGCGCCGAATGAAGGCGGCCCCAATTTCGCGGCGCTTCGGCGGCTGGTGTGTCCCCGGTGTAAGGAAGGTTAAGTTAAATGCATTTTTAGTGAAAACAAGCCTAATGTTAACACAGAGTGATCATAACGTCACCGCGGTGAAGTTAGTTGGACTTCGGTTAGCTGTGTTTCGAGGACTCGTGCACGAGAGCAGTGTGTCGCCTGGGGGCCGTCAACAAATTTCTAGTCATTCCAAAAAAGAGGTAAAAAAATCAAAAGCTTCCACATTAACTGATTAACTCATTCACTGCCAGCCGTTTCCTGATCAGAAAAGCCCTTCGATGCAGCATTTTTACAGTTTTTTTTTAAGAGTCACAGAACGTTGCGCGCTAGGATGACGTCAACGCCAAAACAACCAAAACAAAGCGGAGACTCACCTCTTACATCTGGAAGAATCTGCGAGTTTTGAGCGTTATCCGTTCTTTTGTAATCCGTTGTTGAATTGTGATCTGTAGAAGCTTTTCCAGTTCGTGCCTCACTTTTTTACAGCAGCGGCCCAAAGTGATCTCCTAACACATGGATGTTCTGCTTCCTGATCACGTGACGTGTGACATATGCGGATGAAGATCGGCTTTAGAGCGGAGATTTTTGTTCTGACGGTGCGGGTGCTCGTCCGACGCCCACACCGTAACAAAGTGCAAATGACGACTTAAGTCGTCATTTGCAGTTAATGAGTTAAATGACTCAATCAATTCTCAGTTGTGTTACTGAACTAAATCAACAAGACACAACACTTTTTTTTTTTACATATTTCACTTTTTTTTTTACATATTTCACACAATCTAACAATTTTTAATCAGATTTTCATCTAAATAAAGTGATTTTCTTCAATATCTTCAAGGTAAATTTATCTAAATACTCTAAACCAATTCCCAATTCTGTTACTAAAACATCACAGTTTAAAACATTCCTAGAGGAAATTCTGTAAAGGTTACCGACAAATGTGACCAGTTTTATTAGTTTGCATGGATGATAAATTAGAAAATGAGCATGCTTTGATTTTATCTTTTAATGGCTTTAACTTCTACCACCAATAGACACACTCGTCAATGTTTGTCTCCTTTATTATGAGGAAATCCTCCATTGGAATAAACTTTTTAAATCAGTTGCCAGTCCGCTGATGGAAATGAAACTTTTCTGTTGCTTTTTTCACTGTAATCATTTTCTGTTGTTCCGCAGATTCTAGTCTCTTTTCTGAAAGCAGAGAGGATTTAGTTCAAGTTGATTTCTTTGGTTGTTTTTGTAAAATTTAAAGAATTCTCTGCTTCCCTGAATGTTTGCATTACACAGACGGGCCTCTCTTTTCCGAACACCTGCATGTTTCCTGACTCCTGGCCAGCTGCTGCTTCTGTGCAGAGCTTTTATTACACAGATGTCTGTTTTTCTAAGATCAGCATACCCCTCGCTGTTCTCTAATGTGGTGTGTTGTGCTAATGTATTTGTGCACACGCTCGCAGACAGGGTGTCAGAAATAAAACAGACTGCAGATTGCAGCACTCAGCGCTGTAATGAGTCCTAGTTCATCTGTCTGCAGCCATTACCCTTCAGCCGGACTAGTTCTGCTGCTCCTTCATATATCAGGACTCGGTCCACTTCCTCTGGTGTTTTTATGTCTTCAACTCTCTGCTCTCAGACGGAGAGGACAATGACAGAGCTGGAGATTGCTGTAAACCAGCGTGTGGGGGAGTGGGAGGTGATCCAGGAGTCGGGTACCACCCTGAAGCCCCTGTTTGGCCCCGGCCTGACTGGGATGAGGAATCTGGGGAACAGCTGCTACCTCAACTCCGTCATGCAAGTGCTCTTCACCATTCCAGACTTCCAGAGCAAGTAAGTGCCTCACCTTTAAAAAATAAATGCTGTTTTTGTTTACAATTTTCATCAATCTGTCTCTGAAGTGTCACTAATGTTACCATATAATCCTTAAAGATGGTAGAAGCAGGATGGATTACCCAAGTGTTTCACACACTTCTGTTCTCGCAGGTACGTGTCTAACTTTGACAAGATCATCAACGATGCGCCGAGCGACCCGACCCAGGACTTCAAAACTCAAGTGTGAGTTTCCTCGTTATGCAAACAAAGCTCTGAGTTCACCACAAGATGCCTGAGAGAGCGGTGCATGAGGTCTCCACACACCGTCTACCGGCTTTTAGAAAATTAAATGAAAGTTTAAAATGTTTCAGGTGGGATTTTTCAGCTTTCAATGTTTATCTCTAGAAACGTAGAGGTTATTTTTCAGAGGAAGATACGTCTGCTTCTACTGTGGCTTGTTAAAGCTGCTTTCCGGAGTTTTCCCCTTTCAGAAATGATGAAGGATTTTTCAGAAATCCTGTAAAAGCGATTATCTCATCATGTACTGTGGTAAAATGTAAGCGATACGTCCTTTTGTTGTTGTTTTTTGCTAAGCACGCCCCTGCCCCGCATAGCCCCGTGCAATAGGAAACCGAGCGCCGACCAGAACTAGCTAATAACGTTAGACTACCGCTTACTTGCTTCAAATTTAAGGAATACCTCGGCTGATGCAGAGTTAATTAACTTTTCACGGTCAAGAAAGTCTCTAAAATATAAATATATGAGAACACAACATGACATGAGGATAACACTCGTAAAACTGCGTGTTTTAGCTCTGTTTGTCTGCTACAGAAGCACATTTATAAACAGAAACGTGAAGTCGCCATCTTAAACAGAGCAACAGATTTTTTGTGTGATATGCTTGTCAGCCACTAGATGGTGCCATCAGATAAAATGTTTCTTTATTTATAGAAGTTTCAGGTACCAAACATTTTTTCTTGAATATAAAAAAAAAAACGACTAAATATTTGCGCTGCCCTGGGAGGTGAATGCAGTTTATGCTGATCATTTAAAGGTGTGGAACACTGAAAAAAATTTTTTTTGATTGTTTCTGATTCTAACGGGTCACTCTTGAGATTTTTATGCAGGCTGAACATGAAAATAGTCTCCTACACCTACCTCCTGCATTAGCTTCTGATAGAAAACAGACGGTGAAACTCTAGGATTAGAAAATCCTGACAGATTTACGTCACCCTGTCACTTTAACATTCGTGAACTCGCCCATCTTGGCTTACAACGGGGAAGGCTGTTGTTGGTTTAGCATCCAGGAAACCGCAGAGAACGTCTTAGCTAGTAGAAGCTAACCATTAGCATTAGCGAATCCACCACACAGCAGAACTCCTCCAGGCTTGTGTTATTTGTGGAGATAAAACATCAACGTTGCAAGTGAATGGTATAGTTACGTTGCTGTTAGCCAATCAGAGAAGAGATTTATCAGGAAATAAGACTAAACCCTGCTGTCTGAAGCTCAGCTGTGATGTGGATCACTGCTAGTTTCTGGAAATGGTGCTCCGGTGTTTTTAGCCCCCTGCCCGTGTACGACTTACGAGGCATTAATTCCTACTGCAGACAACTGCTAATGTGTTGATTAAACAAGTGTGCCACACCTTTAAAGAGTAACGGGCTTCTAATTAAACATACATTTGGATTGGTTTCTCTTTCTATCAGATTATTTGAGCCTTGAAGCTACAATTTCTAACATGATTTACTAGAAACGTTATTTGTTTGTTTCTGCTGAATTACTCTGGGATGCAGCTTTATGCTGTATTATTTTAAACTATTTCTGCTTTGTTGCATTATTGACAAGCCTTTTTAAATTCTCTACAGACAAACTATCCCTCGTGAGTTCGCTTTCACTGTATTTGGCACAAGCAAAGCCTCATTAAGGCTTCTACTCAAAACCTCCTTTATGAGGTTTCCTGGCTGTTCGTTGATGCTAGCTTTGTTTGTTTGTTCTCCAGAGCCAAACTGGGTTATGGTCTGCTGTCGGGAGAGTACTCCAAACCAGCACCGGACCCCGGCGATGAAAACGGTGCCTCTGAACCCAGGGTAGGAAGTAGGCGGTGGAAGAGAAACCCAAAGCTGCTCGTTCCCTCTCAGACTGAACTAATGCTAGCTCTCCCCGTTGATGCTTTTGCTGCAGGGAGACCAAATCGGAATAGCACCGCAAATGTTTAAAGCACTCGTTGGCCGAGGCCACCCTGAGTTTTCCACCAACCGACAACAGGATGCTCAGGAGTTTCTATTGCACTTCATAAACATGGTGGAGGTAAAGCTGCATGTGTTTTCTCTGGTTAGTCCTCAGCTGGCTTCTCTTTAAACTAGCATGCTTTTCTTTTCCCTACAGAGGAACTGTCGCTCTGGGTCCAATCCATCTGAAGCTTTCAGGTTTCTGGTGGAGGAGAAGATCGTTTGTCAGCAGTCGCAAAAAGCCAAGTACACACAGCGGGTGGACTACATCGTGCAGCTGCCTGTGCCCATGGACCAGGCCACCAATACAGGTGTGGAGCTGATGGGCCTTTAATCCTGAAGCTTGTTGTTTGTTTATCATTTTAATGATTTTTTGAAAACCTAAATAACAGAGGAGCTTCAGGAGGCGGAGCGCCGTCGGGAGGAGGGTGACCTATTAGCACCAACGGTGCGTGCACAGATCCCGTTCTCCGCCTGCATGGCGGCTCTCAGCGAACCGGAAATACTCACCGACTTCTGGAGCTCGGCGGTGCAAGCCAAGACTTCTGCTACCAAGTGAGCCGAGTGATAGCCTCACTCCGACTGAAACAGGTTTTAGAACGTGTTTCCTGATCCCGTTGATCTCGTTTGTCAGAACAACCCGCTTTGCCTCGTTCCCCAACCACCTGGTAATCCAGATTAAGAAGTTCACCTTTGGCCTTGACTGGGTGCCTAAAAAACTGGGTGAGCAGTGATGTCTTTTTGTGATTTGTGTCGGAATGTTGCCCACCGCTTAAAGAAAATGACAAAGATGGATATGTTTGGTTGAAATTGGAAGACTGAAATGCTGATTGGTTTTATTTCTTCTTGACAGACGTGAGCATCGACGTTCCCGATACTCTAGATCTGAGTGCTCTGCGCGCAACCGGTCAGCAGCCAGGGGAGGAGCTTTTACCAGAGGTGGCCCCGCCCCCACTTATGACCCCAGATACGGAGGTTAAAGGTATCCTGGGTTTCCCTGGCAACGAGGAGGACGACTCGCTCTACTCCCCACTGCTGTGTCAGTCTGTCTGTCTTTTCTGCTCCTTCTCTGACGCGTTTGTCCACATTCGTCTCCTTCTGTTCCTTTTTTCTGTTTTCACGAGTCCGTCCGTTGCCTTTTTGGTTGTCTTCATGATGTGACACAATTTGATATTGAAGTTTAGAAGCCGTATATTAATGTAGCACCATTTAAAAATCTGTTTTACATCCTAGTAATTCATCTGTTTTACGTCATTCAGCTCCAGTCCTCGACGACTCGACTGTGTCCCAGTTGTGTGAAATGGGATTCCCACTAGAGGCCTGCAGGAAAGCGGTGTATTACACTGGAAACACTGGAATTGATGCTGCCATGAACTGGATCATGAGCCACATGGATGATCCGGGTGTGTGGAAAGTCAGGATTTACCAGGCAGTACTCCAACTGAGCGTTCCTGTGTCTTTATGGTTGCATCTTCTGATTGTCCGCAGACTTCTCAGCCCCCCTGGTGTTGCCCGGCAGCAGCACTGGACCCGGGACCACTCCCACCGAGAGTCTGTCTGAGGAGCACCTGGCAACAATCGTCTCAATGGGCTTCAGTCGAGATCAGGCCACCAAAGCTCTCCGAGCAACAGTTAGAGTCGAACTTTATTACTCCGTCACTCATAAACGCCGTATTCTATGTTAAAAGGAGCGGCCGTGGTTGAATGGGGAGAAAAGTTTCCGATATGAACTTTTGTTTTGTCTTTGTCACAGAGTAACATCCTGGACCGTGCAGTGGACTGGATCTTTTCTCACATGGATGATCTGGAGTCCATGGACGTGTCTGAAGGTGGTCGCTCAGCTGCAGAGAGCGAAGGTGGCAGGGATCCTCCACCTGGACCTCGTGTCCGGGACGGACCAGGCAGTGAGTTCAGAAGTTATAGGCTCTACTCAGTCTGGCTGTGAATGAGAACCATACATCTCTATTAGACAAACGTTTGTTTCTAGTGGTTCTGGTTCAAAGTAACTCTGGTGGTCATCTTTATCCAGAATACGAGCTTTTTGCATTCATCAGCCACATGGGGACGAGCACCATGTGTGGCCACTACGTCTGTCACATCAAGAAGGACCAGCAGTAAGTGTTTCTCACACGTTGCTTCTGCCATGTGGGTCTCTACTGCCTCTATAAAAACACCTGATGTGAAAAACCTGCCCATCCGTTTTCGATCAGTCTTTGGTTTTTAGGAATTATGTGCCTGAAACGAGCCGTTTCAAAAAAATCCCCGTTTGTGATGTCACAAACAAGGAAATTAACGTAGAACCACCTCTCACGTGCAATCTAGAGCCGCTGCTGGAGGAGCAGTGGCTCTAATCTGAGCCTTTCCTGGATATTAGAGCTTTTCAGATTAAAGCAACCCGAATGTGCGATGGGTGGGCGTGGCCCGCTCCAGGTTCTTTATTTATTTATTTTTTTAAGTGACAGAGCCCTGAACATTTCATTTGAATCACATTAGTTTATTTTTTAAGTGAAACAAAAAGCCAAAAGAAAAAAATGCTTATTTAATGTATTACATGGTTAATTTACCCAATAGAAACAAGGAAATGCAAGCCAATAAGTAAAAATGTTATTGTTAAAGCGTCCCAGCAGGGGGCGCCATAGCCCCACCTCTCTAGAGCTGCTTTATGTTCTGAACATCAAATATGAATATAGACGTTTTAGACATTTTATGTACCCAAATAAACAATATTCATGTAAAAAGAATGATTTTGTGTGTTAAGCTGCGTCGTGTCTCTCTTTTATTCATAGATGGGTCATCTTCAACGATCAGAAGGTTTGCGCTTCAGAGAAGCCTCCCAAAGACCTGGGATATCTTTACTTCTATCGTAGAGTGGCTGAATGAGACGAGGAGGAGGTGATGCCTTCAAACACTCTACAGCGAGCTCTTAAACGCCCTGGCCTGCTTCTCAACTGACAAACATGTAAATAAACCCCTCCGATTGCCTATACACAGTTAAATAAATTGGTGTAAATGTACAGATAAAGGTGTTTGGGGGGTTCTGCTGTTTTTCTTTTTGATTTACTGATCGCAAACCACAGGCTCAGAGTCTACCCGCCGACTATCTGAGAGCTACTGAAGCATGTAACACGGGCTGTAATCGGAAATATATTCAGAGAATTAGAAAAGTCAGCTTCAGGGAACATCCTCCAAACATCTGAGGGACTAAGATGGCAGCGTTATAGTTATTTTTTTTTTTACCCATAATTGGTAAGTTTACGCAACTGTTGATGCTAATTGACCCCTGACTATTGATCTGTTTCCACTGCCATCAGTAGTCACTGCCCTAATGTGTTTAGGAGTGCTGTGGTCAGGCCCCTCTTGGTTTACTTGATATCTGCAGCTTCGTGTCACCACGTAACACAAACACAGCATCCTGTACCGGTCCGAGTGCAGAGATATAACAACCCACCGTTAGAAAGAAGAGACAAAAGCGAAAACTTCAAAGTTTATCAGGAAAAACACCGAATCCACATGTTTTTCTCAAGTTTGGTGGGGGTGATACCCGGGTGACTCGTGTTTTATTTTAATTTTAAAGACAAGTGCTTTGTTACTTCTGCTGTGATAAATAAAGATTTCTCTGTCAAAATGAATTGTGGAGTTCACGTAATGCTTTTTCCTGCATCGTTACGATTTCTGGTTTATAATAAAGTGACTAGTCGGAGCATGTTTACCTGTTTTGTTAGCTTAAAAACACACAACTTCCTTGATGTGAGTGTAAGAGCAGCATACGGAATGCCAGGCCTCCGCTGCTGCTGCTGCTGCAAAAAAAAAAAAAAAACAGCAGCAGCAAACCCACATTGGCCTACAACTTTCCAAAGTGCTGGTTTGTCTTCAACACTCTTCCGCCTTCGACGCGTTTAACATCCTTACAGGCTTGTTTTTCGATGGCATGAAGCACTCAGAAGCTCTGAAAAGGTTTTGACCCTCAGCAGCGGCACAAAAGTGACCCTATCGACTGGAAAATACGGTAAGCTCTCCATCTAAATGGCTAAAATTCGGATTTACATGCAAGCTGAAACTGGTTTCGATATTGCCTCCAAATCTGATGTCGTTGAGTTCAACCTACAATTTTAATACGAAGCGTTTAAAAACATGTTAAGGTTACTGTTTGGTGTATTTTTTTTTAGATAATTTAAATTGTAGTGAACCAAATAAAAGTGCATTTAAACCAATGCAAAAAAGAAACTTGCTAAATTTAGATTTTAGTTAATTTTTTTGGTGCGTCAACACTTAAGGTTTGAATTTAGTTTATTAAAAGGTGAATTTGAAAGTTTTCTTATGTTATTTGCAACACAAGATGACAGAAAAGGCTCCAAAACTACAAAACTTCATTCTCATCCATGTATTAAGTAATCTGTTACTGATGTAATTATATGACACGAAATCCAAAATTGGGGGCTTTTGAAGTGAGAAAATATAGAAATTATGTTTTAATTTCAGCTGTTTGAAAGTCAACCAATAAAAAACAAACTTAAATATCTAAATAAATGTGTATGTAAGATGTGTTTGACCATTTTTAAGGTTAACTTTCTTCACTGGTAGAAAAACTCAATTCTTTCACTGTAAATGAACTTTTGATGAACGATCTGATGAAGTTGCAGCATCACGACCGGAAGCGTCCTAAAATGCATCATCGACTGAGTATTTAAATAAACATTTGTTCATTTATTTTTCCAAATCTAACATTTTCTCATTTCTACAACTGTTTACATCAAAACGTAGCTATCTTTATCTGTTTTAACTCACTAAAGAGAGAAAAGCAGGAAGCAGAGAGGAGCTTGGTGGTTAGGGATCGCATGTTTTGGGGTAAAGCGCTCTTTCTCTCAGACGCCGTGATGATAAAATGGAAGTTCATCTCCACACCGTGCTGCACTGATGCTCCTTTATGGTTTACTTCAGTAAAAATTACATTTATTTGTGTGTTTATTTTAAACTTTCAGGTTCAAAGCTCAGAATGAAGACAATTATCTGGTTTGGAGTTGGTGAGTAAATCAGAAAAATATATTTTTAAAGAGTTTTAAGTTTTAATGCTATAAAATAAGCGTGATTTCTGTTTTTAAACTCTATAAAAATGTAAAAGCGTTAAGGTTGAAATTAAGCATTAGATGTGTTTATTACATGATTCTACCATATAAATAAGGAACGTTGAATAAATGTGACCCTCTCTAGTGCTGGGTGCTCTCGCTGCTGCAGGAAAGGTCTTCATCGCAGAAGTTGGGATGAAAAAGGCACTCGAGTGTGGAAACCGCAAGACCATAACAGACGTGCAGTGGAATCATGGTTCTGAACAGATTTGCAAAGTTGATGTTAAAACAGGTCGATCCGTTAAAGGTAAATTCAAAAGTGTTTGAAATAAATCACTGTTATTTTCCTTATATCACTGTATAATACATTACTGTGTTTCTCCTCTGCATTAGGGAAAAGTAACATTTTAGAAAGGTCAAGGATAATACAAGACAAAAATCTGCAAATCCGTCCAGTAAAAGAAATGGATGCTGGACGCTTCACCTGTATAGCAGATGGTGCAACTTATGAGCACACACTTATTGTGGTCTCAGGTGAGTCTCAGACTCTGGATGGAGTAATGTAGGCCAGATGAGGACTGGTTCTCTAGTATTCTCCAACGCAGCATACTTTTTCCATTTTTGATCTTCATTAATTATAAACGAGCACATCCTAAAGTTTATTGTCCTGAAACGCGAGGTTAGTCAAACCTGAAAGCTTTCCAAGCTACAGTTTTCACATTAAGTTTTGTGTCTGAGCAGGGGCGGCTCCAAAAATCTTCATATTGGGGGCCAGTGAGACTTTTGGGGTAGCTCACCAAAATAGTCCCTGTGGTATTTCTGGGGAGTTTAGCCGGCAGAGAGCTATGCGTAACATGCTCCTTTAAACTTTTTTTCAATAAAAACAAAATGAATCTAACACATTTACCTCAAATTTGAGAAAGACAAAAGTTCTAAGTTTTTATTTAAAGGTGTGGTTTAGTCATTCAGTCAATACATTTAAAGTGGTTTCTAGTAGGAATGAATGCCTTGTAAGTTGTTCTCTGCAGGGTAAAAATATACCAGTGCACCATTTCTAGGAACTTTCAATGACCCACATCAGAGCTGAGCTTCAGACGGCAAGTTTTGGGAACTCATTTCCTGATATTTGGGCATCTCACCTCAGATTGGCTAACAGCAGCGCGACTCAACCACTGACTCAGTTTTCTCTGCAACATGGATGTTTAATCTCCACAAATAACACAAGCATGGAGGAGTTCTGCTGTGTGGTGAATTTGCTAATGCTAATGGTTAGCTTATATTAGTCGAGATGTTTTCTGCTGTTTTTTTGGGCACTTAACTAACAATCTATCAATCTTTTTTAATCCTAGAGTTTCGATTTTCATGCTCAATTTGCATGAAAAACTGATTATAATCAGAAATAATCATAAAAATGTTTTTTTTTTCAGTGTACCACTCCTTTGTTATTGTTTAAAATCCTGTCTATGGATGGATCTGCCCTCAGGGCACCACTGTTGCTGAGACTTTAGATTTAAAATTATTTAGTTTATTTTTGGCATTATTTATTTCACGGGTTGTTATGTGTCTACAGATGCAGTGTGAATCATTTGCACTCTTGTGTTTGTGATTATTTCTGTATTTTCTCCATGTCTGATGTCTCACTCTTTGTCAGTCTCGGTTAATCCCTCCAGCGACCTCTCAGCGGGCGCGGAAGCGTCTCTGGAGTGTCGGGTCACAGAGCCAGACCAAAAGTCCACAGTCAAGTGGGAAAAGCCAGGTGGTTCGTTTGAGAATTCCCCAAAAGTTCAGCTCAGCCCTGTGGAAGTCTCACATGGAGGGCCTTGGCAGTGTCATGTGACCAACGGTGCTGAAAATTTCAGCAAAACTCTGATGATCTCTGTGAAAGGTAGAATATTTATAGTCAAGAGTTAAACTTTTAATGTTTTTGTCCCAACAAAAGCATTTTTTTCTTCTTCCAGAGGCCGATCCTAAACTGACTTTACCAGTTCCAAAACATGGTAATCCCAACATTCCCAAACCATCCGAAGATGATCTTTCATCACGTTGCAAAGACTGTGCGTGTCGTTTGTTCCACATTTCCTTACACCTGATTCCTCACTTGACTCGTAATGATCTTGCCTTTGCCCCAGCAGGCAGCACTAACCACCAGCCTCCATCCGGCGGGATGACGCTGCTGGGTCTGATCTGGTGGGTTTGGGTTGCAGTCGGAGTTGGCAGCCTGGTTGTGATCATCCTGATCGTTGTTGTCATTGTCATGATGAGGAGAATCAGGAGGCGGAAGGTAATTGAGGAAAATCAATCAGGAAAAACTGTTTCTGGATAAAATATAAAAGTGACATTGAGTCTTTTTGCTGGCTTTTTATAGAGGAAATTTCTGAAGATGAGGGACGCCAAATTGCCGCCGAGAACCAAGAAGTACTGCCAGTGTGAGCGGTAAATGTTCTTAACACGCCTCCATCTATTAAAAACCCCTGTACACCCCCTCTCCAGTAATCTCCTCTCTCTTCACAGATGCTCTCTAATAGATTCAGCTCCGTTTGCACGGATGACTGTTTGACCTTGGTCTTCTCGGAGCCTTTTACCGAGCACTTCATTATTGTGTTGTAATTAGCGTGAAAACTTCTCCTCTTTGCTTTTATCACAGCCAAACAGCTGCAGCAAAACCGCAGCTAGGACGCCGGAGAGAGAAGCCGTCAGCCCAGCCGCTCCGACCCCTGCTGATGGAGTGACATGAAAGAGGAGGAATGGTGAAAGAGGAATGGAGAGATGGCGAGGAAGATAGAGAGAGGGAGAGAACAGCAGAGTGAGAGTGGCTTGAATGTAAATGAGCTATTAAATGTTCTGGATGAGCATATCTAATCAAATGTAATGCTAACGGCACTTTGAGCTTTTTTATCAAATGCTGTCGTCACATCATATTTAGTTTCCTTTTCCTGTTTGTTGTCTTGAGTCTGATTCTCCAAATCTGTTTCAGTTCCAGCCACTTAGTGATTGTTTGATTTTTGCTCAGACTTTGCCATCATTTATTTTAACCGTAAATAAAAATAGTAAAGATTTGCATCAAATTCCATCTGTTTTTCCTCTTCCAATTAGGTTTTGCATTAAGCCTCCATCACAGGGATGAAATTGCACAGGTTAAATTTTATTTAAAATGTCTGTACGCTGCGAAAACTGGTTTTCAAGAAGGTAAAAAATCGTATTTTTTAGATGTGTTATCATATTTTTTGGTTTATTGTCTGTAAAATCATCACTTTTGTAACAAGGTAAATATTCTTAAATCTGATCTAAATCTTGTTTGAGTTAAGTCTCCCAGTGGGGTTAGCAAAAGTTAATTGGCTACAATTCTAAAAACTAGCAAACTATTCAAAAGTTAGATTTATTTGCTATTTTTAAAACTTCTGACCAATCAACCCTTACTTTCAACAGTCTTGAAACACCCCCGATCCCAATATTTACCAGTTGTCTATACGAATAAAACCTTTACATTCCTGTCAGTTTTGCACAAAATGACTTGGACAGAAATACCAGGATACTCCTGCTAAAGTCCATTGGAAGTTCAACAGCTGGTTACTACTTGCACAAATAATCATAAAATCATTAGCACGTTGAGATTTCAGTGAAATGTAAAGCACATTACAAATAAAATGTATTATTATTATTAAAATATGTAAATTACCTCATAATGTGCAATTAAGGCATTGCAAATGCTAAAACACCTTAATCTAACTGCTGAAATGTTTCCTCAGCTTTTATTAGATTCTAGAGGAGCGATTCATCACAAAAATCAAACAAATCAGCTGTGTTCATGATCTAAAACATGCAGAAAGCGTGTTGGAAGCAGAATCCAGCTCCAATCCACCAGCAGGGAGAGGCCCGCCAACTCTGAAGTTGCAAGTCTGGTGTTCTGGCCACAGGGGGTGCTGAGGGTCTGCACATACTGGCTGGGTTAACATTGTCTAAATGAAGTAAGAATGACATCCTGTGGTCAAATTTGGGTACTGCAGCCCATTTTCTAAACACACAAATGACTTTCTCACTACTGTTCAATGAGTTTCTTGGCTGTTGTCAGCTACGGATCAGCGCCAGAAGAATCTACAAGACAAGTCATACAAAGTAAGTTGATAAGTAGATTACTATAAATGATTTGTTTTTATTTCACCGTTAGCATTGTTAGCTCACTTTAGCCTTCTTCACCCGATATTAGAGTAAAACAGAAAGATGCCGTTGCTTCTCAGGGGTACATGAAACAACTTCTGGGTCGCTTCTGGTACTGGATTAGGATCTTTACAAAATGCTGCTGTGTTTTTGCCAGCCGGTGTCAAATTACAGCACAGACTTGGCAACGCTGCAGGCTCATGGGTTGTAAACAAGGTCTACGTCCCTCTTAAGCTTTTTAAAAGAAGAAAAACAGACAACCCCCTCAGCCGGCTGAGAAGGAAATCGGTTCCAATGTAACCTTCCTTCCAACATGATTCAGACATTTGACTGTTTCATTCAAATTCTTACAAATTTAACCTTTAGGAAAATTCAACATTTCAATTGTTAGGGCGTATCTGTCGGCTCGTCAGACGAGCTGTTAGCTTGTTTTTCGGGTCAGAATGAACTATTTGAGGTGGTTCAAAGAGCTCTCCACTACAGCTAAGATATGAATACATAATATTCATAAAACAATATAATTTATAATTTGGTCTCATGATCTTTGGCACACACCAGTTGTTACGTTAACCTTTTTTACTGTATAAATGCTTTATTTTGAGATTTCTTTGGTTCCAAAACTCCACAACTGGTGCAGACCCGAGCAGGTGTTGACCCCACTGCACCACCACACGAAACACCTGCCTAACATGATCGCACATCACCGGTGACACACTTACAATCACATAGAGATCTATATAGTTCATATATATGTTGTAAAATGACATTTACCCAATTGACTTATTTTATTATTATATGTGTGAATTTTTTATCATAATTCATGCAACATTTTTTAGAGAAGACAGAAAATGCAAAGGATGGGATCATATGATGTCTGACTTCCTGTGAGTGCATGTGTGTGTGCGTGCTTGTGTGTGTGTGTGTGTGTGTGTGTGTGTGTGTGCGTGCTTGCGTGTGTGTGTGTGTGTGTGTGTGTGTGTGTGGAAGAGGCAACGTCACTGCTTACGACCAGCCATCTGTCAAAGCTGAACTCATTGCTTTACTGAGAACATCACATGTGAGTACTTCTGAATTTTCTACCATAAATGCAGTTTTTTCATGATGGAAGCTGATTTAAGGGTTTGTCTTTCAAACTGGAGAATAAAAAACAAGAGAACAGTGTCTGAGTACCGCTGTATTAACAAATATCCCAGATGCGGCACATCATTGACTCTCAAAGAGGCTCTTGGGTGAAATCCTCCAATCTGACCAAAACTTTGGTCACAATTCATCTTTTATTTCCCTCTGGATACAATCGGATTTGTTTTTATCCTAACTGGGTCTTTTCTGTAGTTTGAAACAACTCACACAAATTATCCTACATACCGGTATACGAGAAAACTACAAGCGGCAGTCAGCGTGTCAGTTAAGATCAACTTTTAGTGTGTTTAGTGGATAAAATAACATAAAATACCATAATTGGACCAAATGTGTCAACATTGGATGATTAGATCTGTTTTAACTTCTAAAAACATTCCTAACTGTCCCTTTGACCATCTCCGAGTCTTCCAATGAACGTTATTTAGATCCACTAATGGCAACTCTGAACAAGGAGGAACAGAAATGCCTAAAATCGATTCTTCAGTATTCTTTACTATAAAAGATTAAACCTTGCACAACGGCAGGAGGAACAAAGATTTTGCAATCTTTGGATCGGTGCTAGCTTTGTGTTTCTTCTCAGGTAGCGCACACATCAGTTTGTGCTCAACTGAAACAAAAATCAGGGAAATAAGTAAATTTATCTAGAAAAACGAATAGATTTAAGGTGCTGATGTTAGCTGTTAGCATTAGCAGGTGCTAACAGGCAATTATGAAACTAGATTATTGCAACAAATGTTCTAACAGCCCACCAAAAATTATTACCTTCTTTTTTTGTTGCAACAGAAAAAATGTCATTAATAAACTAAATCTGGTAATACGTTACAATAAGGGTTCCTTTATTAAGTTACTTAGTGCATTATTAAGCATTAATAATCTATTAAATAAAGTATTAACAACTGCTTAACCATATTATATAATGCATTACTAAGCAGACTCCCTTCCTGGCTCTTTGTGCTAACAATAACAGTAACATTAATACATTAATCTTTGGTTTATTGATGTCTTATAATGCACTAAGTAACGCTAATAAAGCGACCCCTGTTGTAAAGTGTTTCATGAAGACATTTCTATTGTCAACTGTAGAATTTTATTTCTGAAGATGCAAACGATGTCACTATATTCACACAACCTTTTGTGCGATCGTGATGCTTCACTGTGAACTGCAGCTTCTCGTTGTTGTTGGTGTGTTTGAAAAATAAAAGGTACGGAAAACGCTTCGATGCACAACCCGGGTCAGAAGCTTCGTAAGGCAAACCAGTGTAGGGGGAGAACGGGCTGCTAGGTACTAACAGCTTTTTATTTCAAAAACACAATATAGTCCCTACGTTTTCTGACAGAAATAAAAATGTACTTGTAGATGATTCTTTATGGAATAAACAAAATGAGAATCCGCACACTTCAATTTGCGATGTAGGAGTTTATTGGTCAAGCTTTCAGTCAGAGACCTTCATCAGGAATTGTGGAGGCTTACACCAAACAATCCTTAGTTAAACAGGTTATTTGATTTAAAACACCTGTGTGGCTGAATCTAGCAAAGTATCATGGGAGATGTAGTCTCAGACACTGAAAACATTCCACTTAATTTTAAAAACATTCTAAATCAGCTCAGGAAGTGAGAGATTTGTACGTTGCAAACCTCAAGCTAAAAAAGCCATCATACAGCAAGGCAGAGAAGTATAAAAACACAGCAGTGTATGCTATCTTTAAAGAAACACAGACATCTCAAAGTCCTCATTTAAACCTAGTGGTTGAAGTGTTTTCAACGTGTAAATCCAGAACAGTTCCCTTTGGCAGAGTTTTTTTTTTATCTATATCACCTCCTCTATGTAGTGAAATATGTTCAATCCCCTGGAATCTGACTGAAGACACGGGGTGTGAAAAGTCATTGAAACGGCGTGCTACTGGATAGGTCGTCTTTTCTCCTAATTGAACTCTTGTGTTCACTGATCCTCTGTTTGAGCGGCCTTGTTGCTTTTCCAATATAGATTTTGTCGCAGGGGCATTTTAACGAATGAATTACATTCTTTGAATTACAAGTAATTATGCCCTTAATCAAAAATCTTTTTCCTGTTCTCAGATGCCGAAACTCAGATGTTTTAACAGTATTGTGGCACTGAGCACAGTTTCCACAGGGGTAGTTTCCTTGCTGCAGAGGAGCGAGAGTTGACTGTTTTGGAGGTGGCCAACATTTTGCTGATTTTAGCGACAGGAATATGTGACCATGAGCCGGCTGGGTCTCACCGTTAATTTATAAATCCCTGAAACCAAGCTGGAATATAAAACATGTGCCTTCATGTTTCATTGCTTTACCAAACACTGACTTGTATCGCTCATTTGACAAAAAGTCGAGCACCTAAACAGGAACAAATAGGACAGAAATACAATAAGGCCAAAAAGACTCATGCAGATTATGAATGTGTAACATGTCTAAAACTAAAACAACGTACATTTTTGCTATTATTACGTGTTGTGGCCTTGCTGGGTGACACGTGAACGCTTGCTGGACGATGAAATAAAAGTTTCAGATGTGAATAAAAAAACCAAAACATTAAAAGTTTTATTTTATTGTTTTGGTAACACTTTACAACAACGGTATCTTTGTTAACGTTACTTAGTGCATTATTAAGCATTAATAAAAAAAAGGTCCTTTTTCAATGCTACTTAGTGCATTATTGAGCAGTAATAAACAAAAGATCAGTTTATTAACATTACTCAGTGCATTATTAAGCAGTAATAAACAAAAGGTCCCTTTATTAGTGTAAATTAGCGCATTATTAAGCAGTAATAAACAAAAGGTCCATTTATTAACGTTATCATTATTAAATAAGTGTTCTTAAAGTTAGGACAAAGGGCCGGGGGGAGGTCTGCTTAGTAATGTATTACATAATATGGTTAAACAGTTGTTAATATTCATTTAACAGTTTATTAATGCTTAATAATGCACTAAGTAATGTTAATAAAGGGACCCTTATTGTAAAGTGTTACCTTCTTTTTTTTTGAGAATCAAATGCTCGCTGTAACGTACGTGGACATATTTAGCGTGAAAACTGGAGGGATTTTAGCCAAAAATGTTTATTTTTTGCTTGTTTTTCATCTTCTTTTAACTGATCAGAGTTCTTCACCTCACATCATCTTTTTGTTACTAAAATGTCTAATATTCTCAGTCGCTGATCATATGGTTGCTGTTTAACATCACCAAGAGAAATTGTGTCAAAATAAGTATCTGAATCAACATTGAGACAATAAATAATGGACAAGAAAGTCATTTTACTGTCTATAAACTATTTTTATTGTTTTACAAACACTATATTACCTAAATACGTTATGCCACATAATTCTGCTGTTTATAAAAAGTACATTTGAGACAAATAAAAGGCACATTTTTTAAGTAGCTCTAATTGACATTTTATTGTTTTCTTTTATTTTCTTGTGTTTTTTAAACAAATTGCAATAAACAATCACCATGAAGAGATTAAACTTGTGTGTCAGAGACCTGCACCGCTCTGATATCCATCAGTTTTGTATTTTACTGCACAAACCCATCTCAGTGATCCCTCCGGTTCCTCACAGGGATTAGGTTTGGATGAGTGGCTTGGCGTGTTAAAAACGTTCCCATGCTTGATCATAAAATGTGCTCCTCTC